CGGGCGCCGCGTGCCACACTGCTGCTTGTACTAGTCCTGGTCAATTAGACGGTCACCGGGGGTGGGCATCACTTGACACAAGCGAAAAATTTTGGGGTGTCCCACTGCCCGCGTGTCCCGCGGGAGTGTTGCCACACGCCCCTTTCCTGCTCCCTTCAGAAAGGGCGGGCGCCCTGTCTGCGGAACGAGTTGGAGGGACGGGACCACTTCTTCTCCGTCCAACAAGCCTCTTCGCCCTGCTTGACAACGACTACCGATAACTCGTCAGCCCAACAAGACCGGCGGCCTTCACCTCCTCGCTCGCTGCTTCAAGGGAGGGCTCCCACTGCCGCCTCCCTCGCCGTCCTCCTTTGCCCCCTTCCTTCTCCCGTCGCCATCTTGTCTCCGCCTCCCTCATCCCCGCCTCCTCTCCTCGCGGCACCTGCCTCCGCCTCTGTCGCTGCTCCATGTAAGTTGGGTGGGGGGCTCATAGTGGTGTGGTCGTAGGTGCACGTGATGCGGGGTTGTTATCGCCGCCCATCCGGGCCATCCCCAACCCGAGCCGATGCGCCCGACCGAGCAGCAGTGACAAGTGCATCAACTGAGGCAGCTGCGGTTGGTTGCTTTGCCCCCCTCTCGTGTACGCGTCCTTGGAGCCGTGTACCGGTTGCACCAGTTTATGCTGTGTTGATATGCACCGCATCCTACCCATGTGACCAACACCCCGCCTCCACCCTAAATTTCTTTTTTCCCCCTTTCTCCCCACCCCCTCGCATGCCATGGGTCGAGTTCGATCCCCCGCTACGCCCAGGCAGCCCCCGTTACCCCCTCCTGCATCGCGTTCCCCTGCCCCAGCCCGCCTCGTCACGGACATTGGCTGGGTGCCGCAGCTGCCACTCGACAAGGTAAGTCAGGGCCCGATGCCATCATTGCATTCCCATGCGATTGGCGGTTGTCGGGTAGGGGCTGTTGGTGGCCAGTGTTGTGCCCAGCTGCACTGACTGGTTGGCGTTGGGTGGCTTTGGGTGGAGTCCGGTGGCGTGGTTACTAGTGCCGCGGCTGTGCTTGCTTTGTTGCAGGCTGCTGAGCGGATGGTGGGTTGGCTACATACCGGTATGCTGCTGGCTGAAGGTGCCTCTGGTGCACACGTTGGTACTGAACATGTTGCCTAAGACTTTTGCGAGTACATTGTTAGTTGGGCATTGTACTAGTGCTGGAAGACACGGGGTCGTTGAGAAGACGGCTGTGTGGCATAACTGTTGTGGTCATACCGGTAGCTGGTGAAGACATGGAAGCGGACACTCAGCTGTTGGGAGGCGTGCGACGGCGTCCAGCAGCCTTGTCGTGGACCGTGCCGGCCTGTGCGCTGTCCCGGCAGCTGTGTAGTGTACCGGTGTATGATTCTGCATATGTCCGGGGTTGGAACCGTAGCTTTGTTGCTCTGGGTGCGGTTAGTTTGTGGTTGGTACGGCGTATCTGGCATCTGTGTCGTACGGCCGGCGATACTGAGAAGGGGGCGATGAAGTCTAGGGCGGTAGAGGCTCATGGGGTGGTGTCCTGAAAAAGGGCCTCGTGCTGTGTAGCGGTTTAGCTTCTGGTACGATAGTGCTGGTCGTGGGGTCGCAACTCTCGCAAGGATACGTTGATGGCAGGTTGTGTGTGGTGTTTGGCAATGTACGGCGTTTATGACTACTGTACTTGCACCTTTTGCCACTAAAGAATGAAGGCTCTCTGCAGCGCCCAGCAGCTCGCAGCTAGCTCGCTCGCAGCCCAGCACCTGATGTACAACACGGCTTGGGGGCGGACGGGGTGGGTCGGCCACATGCGCCTCAGCGACCCACCCCAGTCAGGCCAGATTTCTCCCTCGTCCTCGTAGGGCCTACACAGCACAGCACAGCACACACAGCCACAGCTCCAGAACGCAATGACACACTCAACAGCAGCAAACGTATATAGTAGTATCTAAACGACATGTTGTATCGAGTTAATTGACGATTCTATTCAAAATGTGTTTAACAACAGCTAAGGCCGCTAGTGCCGCCTACTCTGCAATAGAGGGAGATACCCGCAGCAAGAAAGGAAAGCACGCAGCAGTAAGGGTAATGCAGTAAGGGTTGGAGAAGCGATAGGTGGGAATGCGAAAGGCGTGAGGGTGGGGTATCAAGTGGAAGGGTGGGGATGAAGGTAGGCGGGCGGTAGTGGGAGAGGGAGGCTAGGTGGGGGCGGAAAGTGAGAGGGAGGATAGGTGGGGCGGGAGGGGTAGGTGGGGGAGGGAGGCTAGGTAGGAGCGGGAAGGGGTAGGCGGGAGGGAGGGGTAGGTGGGGGCGGGAGGGGAGAGGGATGAGTAGGTGGGGGCCGGGAGGGGAGAGGGATGAGTAGGTGGGGGCCGGGAGGGGAGAGGGAGGGATGGGTAGGTGGGGGCAGGAGGGGAGAGGGAGGGAGGGGTAGGTGGGGGCCGGGAGGGGAGAGGGAGGGACTCGAGGGAGGGGAAGGTGGGGGCGGGAGGGGAGCGGAGGGGAGTTAGAGAGGAGCGGAGGGGGGTAGGTGGGGGTGGGAGGGGAGAGGGAGGGGTAGGTGGGGGCGGGAAGGGAGAGGAAGGGGTAGGTGGGGGTGGTAAGGGAGGCAGAAAAAAGAAATGAAAAGTGAAGCAACCCCATATTACATCCAAACCCATGCAGTGATCTCATGACCCAGGCACTATTTTAGGAACACGCAACGCTAAGAAACCTAGACGACTGGGGTTAAGGGAGTTGGCTAGGTGGGGGTGGGAGGTAAGGGGGAGGTGGATGGCAAAGCAATGGGGGTGGGGCACAAGGGTGGTGCATAGTTTGGGTGGGATGGTTGGGAACGTGCGCTGTTCCTCATTCCCTGCACCCTTCAACGTCATCATGTCTGCGGAGAGCTGCAGTCATGGTGCAAGCATGCTTCTGGAGCCAGACTTGCGTCTGATGCACCTGGCTTCCTTGCTGCCAAGTGCGCGGCTTCCTTGGTGGCTCAGGGCCATGTGTTAATTAATCTGGCCACGAGTCCATGTGTCCACGCGATGACATCCACACGATGATGGTACTCGACACGCCCGCAGCAGGCCTTACATTTGACACCAACCGGTGCAGGCCTGAATGGACCACACATGGTATACCATGCCTCCACAGCGCTCATATGCTGAACTCCACACCGCAACTCGGTTAAGCCAAGCTTTCAAGCTGTAATAGCCATGGTCGGGTTCCGTTCTTGTTTGGATTAGGTAATACCAACGCCAAAGCACGAACGCAAAGCTCGCAAACAGAAGTAGCCCACCAAATACCGGGCATGATGTCCCTGAATAAATTTCAAGCGAACTTGATTGTGATCCTTTGTGAGCCTGCCATGCGCCATGGCGTATGAGTACTGCGGTCCTTACACATGATGCGACTAGCCGACCATATGAGCTAGTCTCTGCATCTTGGATGACCGTTTCAGCAATCGCAAACCTGTATGTTCTATATGCGTGCGGTATAGGTCCAGTCGTGTTCAACGAGACGTCTGTCCACCAGTACACTCTCAACCACGTGCTATTCTCCATTTTTGCTGCAACGGTTCGTAAGGTTGTGCGATGGGGGGGTTTCCCTATATTGTAACAAATTTGCACGGATCGCATGCATGGACCCAGCGGCTATTATGCGTTTCGCACTGCAAAATACAGGGCAAACCGATACCGTATATCTAATTAGGTTTCCAGTTGCATTCAAAAGCAACGAAACATCTAGCAAGAAATACCGTACGCTTCTAAAGCTTTTTTTCGTCCTTGTTAAAATGTTGCAGCGACTAGCCGACAACTAGGCCTCTACAAAAGAAAGAAGTTAGGGTTATTAATGCATTGCAACCACTTCCACGCCCCAATGGATTGCACATGCGCACCAGCCGTAAGAGATACTACTGCAAAACAACCCAGCATTACTTCACGAAATTTCGACATGCCCTACTCTAAAATAGGTCGTGTGTATGCTATAGCTACCTTGCGACATAGCTTATTTCTCCCAAAATTCTCGCGCTTGTTTCGTTGCAGACAGCAAATTGTTGCCGTTTACCGTTTCTAGGCGCATAGCTACACAGGAGCTTGCCCCTTGGTTTAAGACATATTAATCTATGCGGCGCCCGTCTACCTCGGGACAGGCGCGTGTGGTCGGCAAGCAGACAGTCATACTGCTCAAAGTCAGTTTCTCTGGCCTGACGCACCCATTATCGCAAAACGTTGTCAATGCCTCTCTGTAAAGTTAAGATGCGTACCGGAATTATGCAATGCGGGAAGTGTGCCACTTTATTTCCTTCTTTTGTGTCATGTGCCTTAAACATTTCCTTTATATGCGCATATTGTCGACTAGTCGCTGGTTTCGTATGCAGAAGTTGCTGTATAAATTAGCAAGCAGCGTGGCGCCTGAGCCCCTGTCTTTTTTAGCTTGGTAGTTCAGGTGTCGCGCACTTCCCTCATACGGATTCGACACCAACATCTCCAAGTAATGTCTTATTCTCATGAAGAGATTAATGAGAAGGATGCGTCGTCTTTACGGTCCGCTACGAACATGACTCTGGAAGATGTTACGCGGACCAAAGGGACCTTCCCAGAATGCACGCTAGACGTCATGTACCAATTATGTCATTGATGTTGGGGAAGTCCCGTATAAGTGGGAAGGGGTTAGGCATTATTTGTCGCCCTTATGGATGGCAGACATGCCCAGGCCTGAAGACATCCTTGCGCTTACGAATGGTGTGATACGCCTGCAGCACTTAAATACGTATGCATGTGCCGCCAAGTTGCTAAATGGGTGCTTCTTCAATACTGCTGCACCCTTTCCATACATCCGTAACCGTGACCGTGGGTGTTGTAAGCAACGGAAAAGCACCAACAATGACGAAAGGGCCAGCCGCCCTTATAATGCTTGTACCGGAAGCAGGCGCGGTGTAATTGGGCAAGAGGTCAAGCGAGAGTACGGTAAACGCTGTCCTTCGCTCCTTCCCAGGCCACACCCATCGCAACTTCCTTAGGAGGTTTGACTGCTTTCCTATCTGCCATTCGGCTGGGTTGTAAAACGGATTACCATAAATAAAGGCCCCCTTCTAGGTCCTTTAACAATACGTCTGACCTGCGTTCCTAAGTGCCCTTGGGCCTAGTCGCAAACTATGTTTGCAGGCGCCAGGGCAAAGGCCCTGGGCGCTCTGCTCCTCGCGCTCGCTCTTGTTATCCATACCCAAGTCGCTCAGGCCACCCGCGTTGCTGTGCTCACGAGCGAGACTAATGGCGCCCCATTCTTGCGTTCGAATGGCCTAGCTAGTGTTATTAGCCAGTTGCGCAGCTTCGGCTGTGAAGTGCGGGAAGCCCATTTCGGCATCGCCGCCAGCAGGCTCGCGGGGGATGTTGACGCCCTTATTATTGCTAGCCAAGTTTCTGAACCCATTCACGTAGACCGGCACAGCAGTGATGCGATTGCGTCCTTCGTGTCATCCGGTGGATTGCTGCTTCTCTTGGGCAGTACCCACGGCGACAGTGTGGGGCTCGACTTTGTGGCATCGGCTTTAAGGTTACAAGGTAGATTATTTTTTGTTTCGCCGCAACGCGAAGGTTGTCCTTCAAGTAAAGTCGCCTACTTGAGAGGTAATGCGCTCATCACTTCCTGTGACTATGGCAATGTGCAGGCCATTGGGTCGGTTGTCAGCCAGTAAAAACAAAAGACCTTGGCGCGCCCTTGCTCAGCGCCTACGCTCGTTCGTTCCTGTCGCTTGACAACTGGCATGGCGAGGAGGACTTACCTGAAGCTCTTGAAAGTGTTGGCTCCAATGCCTACATGTCGTGGTGCCGCCATCAAGATGTCGATGCCGCTGTTGTACCACTGTACACCGCCCAGGGTGACGTGACGAAGGTTGCCGTACAGGTACTGACGCTTTCCTTTTTAGGCCGGCCTTGAACTACCTTGTTGACTGAGCCAGCCAGCCGCGCCTTCGTTTGGTACGCATGGCGCGATAATACGTTTCCATTTGGGTACCTTGCTGCAGGGCTTCAAGAAGGTTGGCAACCCTGGTGCAGTTGTGTGGTTGGGTTACAAGCCTTACAACTGGGAGGGTGGCCAGCAGCCCCAATGGAACAGCCTCCTGCAAAAGCTAGTTGCTTACCACTCTAAAGGTGTGTGGGCCATGTGAAGGTAGTCCCCTGCATACATGTTCTGCAGCTCCCTCCAGCTTTTCCTCGTCACTTAATGTCAAAAGTTGAATAATGGGCAGTAAAAGCCAATCGTGGTTGGCTGTCGTTCCAGTTGGTTGGCACTTGTACTATGTACCACAACACGCTTAGTTAAAGCGTGTTACTAAAACCCGTGCTTGTCCCAATGCGTGCAGGCTCCAGGCTAGAGACAGCTCAAACCCTGGCCATCAAGCAAGGCACCGAGATTGTGCCACGGCGTTCACTGCTTGATGAACCCTCATTGCCCCCTCCACCATCGCCCGCCCCTTCCCCCGACCCGCCTTCTCCTCCCCCTCCACCATCGCCCGCCCCTTCCCCCGACCCGCCTTCGCCTCCCCCTCCACCATCGCCCGCCCCTTCCCCCGACCCGCCTTCGCCTCCCCCTCCACCATCTCCCGCCACTTCCCCCGAACCGCCTTCGCCTCCCCCTCCACCATCGCCCGCCCCTTCCCCCGACCCACCTTCTCCTCCCCCTCCACCATCGCCCGCCCCTTCCCCCGACCCGCCTTCGCCTCCCCCTCCACCATCGCCCGCCCCTTCCCCCGACCCGCCTTCGCCTCCCCCTCCACCATCGCCCGCCCCTTCCCCCGAACCGCCTTCGCCTCCCCCTCCACCATCGCCCGCCCCTTCCCCCGACCCGCCTTCGCCTCCCCCTCCACCATCGCCCGCCCCTTCCCCCGACCCGCCTTCTCCTCCCCCTCCACCATCGCCCGCCCCTTCCCCCGACCCGCCTTCGCCTCCCCCTCCACCATCGCCCGCCCCTTCCCCCGACCCGCCTTCGCCTCCCCCTCCACCATCTCCCGCCCCTTCCCCTGAGCCGCCTTCGCCTCCCCCTCCACCATCGCCCGCCCCTTCCCCCGACCCGCCTTCTCCTCCCCCTCCACCATCGCCCGCCCCTTCCCCCGAACCGCCTTCGCCTCCCCCTCCACCATCGCCCGCCCCTTCCCCCGACCCACCTTCTCCTCCCCCTCCACCATCGCCCGCCCCTTCCCCCGACCCGCCTTCTCCTCCCCCTCCACCATCTCCCGCCCCTTCCCCTGAGCCGCCTTCGCCTCCCCCTCCACCATCTCCCGCCCCTTCCCCCGACCCGCCTTCGCCTCCCCCTCCACCATCTCCCGCCCCTTCCCCTGAGCCGCCTTCGCCTCCCCCTCCACCATCGCCCGCCCCTTCCCCCGACCCGCCTTCGCCTCCCCCTCCACCATCGCCCGCCCCTTCCCCCGAACCGCCTTCGCCTCCCCCTCCACCATCTCCCGCCCCTTCCCCCGACCCGCCTTCGCCTCCCCCTCCACCATCTCCCGCCCCTTCCCCCGACCCGCCTTCGCCTCCCCCTCCACCATCTCCCGCCCCTTCCCCCGACCCGCCTTCTCCTCCCCCTCCACCATCGCCCGCCCCTTCCCCCGACCCGCCTTCGCCTCCCCCTCCACCATCTCCCGCCCCTTCCCCCGACCCGCCTTCGCCTCCCCCTCCACCATCGCCCGCCCCTTCCCCCGACCCGCCTTCGCCTCCCCCTCCACCATCGCCCGCCCCTTCCCCTGAGCCGCCTTCGCCTCCCCCTCCACCATCTCCCGCCCCTTCCCCCGACCCGCCTTCGCCTCCCCCTCCACCATCGCCCGCCCCTTCCCCTGACCCGCCTTCTCCTCCCTCTCCACCATCGCCCGCCCCTTCCCCTGACCCGCCTTCTCCTCCCCCTCCACCATCGCCCGCCCCTTCCCCCGACCCGCCTTCGCCTCCCCCTCCACCATCGCCCGCCCCTTCCCCCGACCCGCCTTCGCCTCCCCCTCCACCATCTCCCGCCCCTTCCCCTGAGCCGCCTTCTCCTCCCCCTCCACCATCGCCCGCCCCTTCCCCCGACCCGCCTTCTCCTCCCCCTCCACCATCTCCCGCCCCTTCCCCCGACCCGCCTTCGCCTCCCCCTCCACCATCGCCCGCCCCTTCCCCCGACCCGCCTTCTCCTCCCCCTCCACCATCGCCCGCCCCTTCCCCCGACCCGCCTTCTCCTCCCCCTCCACCATCGCCCGCCCCTTCCCCCGACCCGCCTTCGCCTCCCCCTCCACCATCGCCCGCCCCTTCCCCCGACCCGCCTTCTCCTCCCCCTCCACCATCTCCCGCCCCTTCCCCTGAGCCGCCTTCGCCTCCCCCTCCACCATCTCCCGCCCCTTCCCCCGACCCGCCTTCGCCTCCCCCTCCACCATCTCCCGCCCCTTCCCCTGAGCCGCCTTCGCCTCCCCCTCCACCATCGCCCGCCCCTTCCCCCGACCCGCCTTCGCCTCCCCCTCCACCATCGCCCGCCCCTTCCCCCGACCCGCCTTCTCCTCCCCCTCCACCATCGCCCGCCCCTTCGCCCGACCCGCCTTCGCCTCCCCCTCCACCATCGCCCGCCCCTTCCCCCGACCCGCCTTCGCCTCCCCCTCCACCATCGCCCGCCCCTTCCCCCGACCCGCCTTCGCCTCCCCCTCCACCATCGCCCGCCCCTTCCCCCGACCCGCCTTCGCCTCCCCCTCCACCATCGCCCGCCCCTTCCCCCGAACCGCCTTCGCCTCCCCCTCCACCATCGCCCGCCCCTTCCCCCGACCCGCCTTCGCCTCCCCCTCCACCATCGCCCGCCCCTTCCCCTGAGCCGCCTTCGCCTCCCCCTCCACCATCTCCCGCCCCTTCCCCCGACCCGCCTTCGCCTCCCCCTCCACCATCGCCCGCCCCTTCCCCTGACCCGCCTTCTCCTCCCTCTCCACCATCGCCCGCCCCTTCCCCTGACCCGCCTTCTCCTCCCCCTCCACCATCGCCCGCCCCTTCCCCCGACCCGCCTTCGCCTCCCCCTCCACCATCGCCCGCCCCTTCCCCCGACCCGCCTTCGCCTCCCCCTCCACCATCTCCCGCCCCTTCCCCTGAGCCGCCTTCTCCTCCCCCTCCACCATCGCCCGCCCCTTCCCCCGACCCGCCTTCTCCTCCCCCTCCACCATCTCCCGCCCCTTCCCCCGACCCGCCTTCGCCTCCCCCTCCACCATCGCCCGCCCCTTCCCCCGACCCGCCTTCTCCTCCCCCTCCACCATCGCCCGCCCCTTCCCCCGACCCGCCTTCGCCTCCCCCTCCACCATCGCCCGCCCCTTCCCCCGACCCGCCTTCGCCTCCCCCTCCACCATCTCCCGCCCCTTCCCCTGAGCCGCCTTCGCCTCCCCCTCCACCATCGCCCGCCCCTTCCCCCGACCCGCCTTCGCCTCCCCCTCCACCATCGCCCGCCCCTTCCCCCGACCCACCTTCTCCTCCCCCTCCACCATCGCCCGCCCCTTCCCCCGACCCGCCTTCTCCTCCCCCTCCACCATCGCCCGCCCCTTCCCCCGACCCGCCTTCGCCTCCCCCTCCACCATCGCCCGCCCCTTCCCCCGACCCGCCTTCGCCTCCCCCTCCACCATCGCCCGCCCCTTCCCCCGACCCGCCTTCGCCTCCCCCTCCACCATCTCCCGCCCCTTCCCCTGAGCCGCCTTCTCCTCCCCCTCCACCATCGCCCGCCCCTTCCCCCGACCCGCCTTCGCCTCCCCCTCCACCATCGCCCGCCCCTTCCCCCGACCCGCCTTCTCCTCCCCCTCCACCATCGCCCGCCCCTTCGCCCGACCCGCCTTCGCCTCCCCCTCCACCATCGCCCGCCCCTTCCCCCGACCCGCCTTCGCCTCCCCCTCCACCATCGCCCGCCCCTTCCCCTGACCCGCCTTCTCCTCCGCCTCCACCATCGCCCGCCCCTTCCCCCGACCCGCCTTCTCCTCCCCCTCCACCATCGCCCGCCCCTTCCCCCGACCCGCCTTCGCCTCCCCCTCCACCATCGCCCGCCCCTTCCCCCGACCCGCCTTCGCCTCCCCCTCCACCATCTCCCGCCCCTTCCCCTGAGCCGCCTTCGCCTCCCCCTCCACCATCTCCCGCCCCTTCCCCCGACACGCCTTCGCCTCCCCCTCCACCATCTCCCGCCCCTTCCCCTGAGCCGCCTTCGCCTCCCCCTCCACCATCGCCCGCCCCTTCCCCCGACCCGCCTTCGCCTCCCCCTCCACCATCGCCCGCCCCTTCCCCCGACCCGCCTTCTCCTCCCCCTCCACCATCGCCCGCCCCTTCCCCCGACCCGCCTTCGCCTCCCCCTCCACCATCGCCCGCCCCTTCCCCCGACCCGCCTTCGCCTCCCCCTCCACCATCTCCCGCCCCTTCCCCTGAGCCGCCTTCTCCTCCCCCTCCACCATCGCCCGCCCCTTCCCCCGACCCGCCTTCTCCTCCCCCTCCACCATCTCCCGCCCCTTCCCCCGACCCGCCTTCTCCTCCCCCTCCACCATCGCCCGCCCCTTCGCCCGACCCGCCTTCGCCTCCCCCTCCACCATCGCCCGCCCCTTCCCCCGACCCGCCTTCGCCTCCCCCTCCACCATCGCCCGCCCCTTCCCCCGACCCGCCTTCGCCTCCCCCTCCACCATCGCCCGCCCCTTCCCCCGACCCGCCTTCGCCTCCCCCTCCACCATCGCCCGCCCCTTCCCCCGAACCGCCTTCGCCTCCCCCTCCACCATCGCCCGCCCCTTCCCCCGACCCGCCTTCGCCTCCCCCTCCACCATCGCCCGCCCCTTCCCCCGACCCGCCTTCTCCTCCCCCTCCACCATCGCCCGCCCCTTCCCCCGACCCGCCTTCGCCTCCCCCTCCACCATCGCCCGCCCCTTCCCCCGACCCGCCTTCGCCTCCCCCTCCACCATCTCCCGCCCCTTCCCCTGAGCCGCCTTCGCCTCCCCCTCCACCATCGCCCGCCCCTTCCCCCGACCCGCCTTCTCCTCACCCTCCATCACCACCCTCCAGCCCGCTGCCGCCCCCACCCTCTTACCCGCTGCCGCCCCCGCCGTCCAGCCCGCTGCCGCCCCCGCCCTCCAGCCCGCTGCCGCCGCCGCCCTCCAGCCCGCTGCCGCCCCCACCGACCAGCCCGCTGCCGCCCCCACCATCCAGCCCGCTGCCGCCTCCACCATCCAGCCCGCTGCCGCCCCCGCCGTCCAGCCCAATGCCACCCCCACCCTCCTACCCGCTGCCGCCCCCACCCTCCAGCCCGCTGCCGCCCCCACCATTCAGCCCGCTGCCGCCCCCACCCTCCAGCCCGCTGCCGCCCCCACCATCCAGCCCGCTGCAGCCCCCGCCGTCCAGCCCGCTGCCGCCCCCACCATCCAGCCCGCTGCCGCCCCCACCATCCAGCCCGCTGCCGCCCCCGCCCTCCAGCCCGCTGCCGCCGCCGCCCTCCAGCCCGCTGCCGCCCCCACCATCCAGCCCGCTGCCGCCCCCGCCCTCCAGCCCGCTGCCGCCGCCGCCCTCCAGCCCGCTGCCGCCCCCACCTTCCAGCCCGCTGCCGCCCCCACCATCCAGCCCTCTGCCGCCCCCGCCCTCAAGCCCGCTGCCGCCCCCACCTTCCAGCCCGCTGCCGCCCCCTCCATCCAGCCCGCTGCCGCCCCCGCCCTCCAGCCCACTGCCACCCCTACCCTCCTACCCGCTGCCGCCCCCGCCCTCCAGCCCGCTGCCGCCCCCGCCGTCCAGCCCGCTGCCGCCCCCGCCCTCCAGCCCGCTGCCGCCCCCGCCCTCCAGCCCGCTGCCGCCCCCTCCCTCCAGCCCGCTGCAGCCCCCACCGTCCAGCCCGCTGCCGCCCCCGCCCTCCAGCCCGCTGCCACCCCCACCTTCCAGCCCGCTGCCGCCCCCACCATCGAGCCCGCTGCCGCCCCCGCCCTCAAGCCCGCTGCCGCCCCCACCTTCCAGCCCGCTGCCGCCCCCTCCATCCAGCCCGCTGCCGCCCCCGCCCTCCAGCCCGCTGCCGCCCCCTCCATCCAGCCCGCTGCCGCCCCCGCCCTCCAGCCCGCTGCCGCCCCCACCGTCCAGCCCACTGCCACCCCCACCCTCCTACCCGCTGCCGCCCCCGCCGTCCAGCCCACTGCCGCCCCCGCCCTCCAGCCCGCTGCCGCCCCCTCCATCCAGCCCGCTGCCGCCCCCGCCCTCCAGCCCGCTGCCGCCCCCACCGTCCAGCCCGCTGCCACCCCCACCCTCCTACCCGCTGCCGCCCCCGCCCTCCAGCCCGCTGCCGCCCCCGCCGTCCAGCCCGCTGCCGCCCCCGCCCTCCAGACCGCTGCCGCCCCCTCCATCCAGCCCGCTGCCGCCCCCGCCCTCCAGCCCGCTGTCGCCCCCGCCCTCCAGCCCGCTGCCGCCCCCGCCCTCCAGCCCGCTGCCGCCCCCGCCCTCCAGCCCTCTGCCACCCCCACCCTCCTACCCGCTGCCGCCCCCGCCCTCCAGCCCGCTGCCGCCCCCGCCCTCCAGCCCTCTGCCACCCCCACCCTCCTACCCACTGCCGCCCCCGCCCTCCAGCCCGCTGCCGCCCCCGCCGTCCAGCCCGCTGCCGCCCCCGCCCTCCAGCCCGCTGCCGCCCCCGCCCTCCAGACCGCTGCCGCCCCCTCCATCCAGCCCGCTGCCGCCCCCGCCCTCGAGCCCGCTGCAGCCCCCACCATCCAGCCCGCTGCCGCCCCCGCCCTCCAGCCCGCTGCAGCCCCCGCCGTCCAGCCCGCTGCCGCCCCCGCCCTCCAGCCCACTGCCACCCCCACCCTCCTACCCGCTGCCGCCCCCGCCCTCCAGCCCGCTGCCGCCCCCGCCGTCCAGCCCGCTGCCGCCCCCGCCCTCCAGACCGCTGCCGCCCCCTCCATCCAGCCCGCTGCCGCCCCCGCCCTCCAGACCGCTGCCGCCCCCTCCATCCAGCCCGCTGCCGCCCCCGCCCTCCAGCCCGCTGCCGCCCCCGCCCTCCAGCCCGCTGCCGCCCCCGCCCTCCAGCCCGCTGCCGCCCCCACCTTCCAGCCCGCTGCCGCCCCCACCCTCCTACCCGCTGCCGCCGCCGCCTTCCTACCCGCTTCCGCCCCCGCCGTCCAGCCCGCTGCCGCCCCCGCCCTCCAGCCCGCTGCCGCCCCCGCCCTCCAGACCGCTGCCGCCCCCTCCATCCAGCCCGCTGCCGCCCCCGCCCTCCAGCCCGCTGCTGCCCCCACCCTCCAGCCCGCTGCCGCCCCCACCATCCAGCCCGCTGCAGCCCCCGCCGTCCAGCCCGCTGCCGCCGCCGCCCTCCAGCCCGCTGCCGCCCCCACCTTCCAGCCCGCTGCCGCCCCCACCATCCAGCCCGCTGCCGCCGCCGCCTTCCTACCCGCTTCCGCCCCCACCGTCCAGCCCGCTGCCGCCCCCGCCCTCAAGCCCGCTGCCGCCCCCACCGTCCAGCCCGCTGCCGCCCCCGCCCTCCAGCCCGCTGCCACCCCCACCTTCCAGCCCGCTGCCGCCCCCACCATCCAGCCCACTGCCGCCCCCGCCCTCCAGCCCACTGCCACCCCCACCCTCCTACCCGCTTCCGCCCCCGCCGTCCAGCCCGCTGCCGCCCCCACCGTCCAGCCCGCTGCCGCCTCCACCCTCCAGCCCGCTGCCACCCCCGCCGTCCAGCCCGCTGCCGCCCCCACCCTCCAGCCCGCTGCCGCCCCCGCCCTCCAGCCCGCTGCCGCCCCCACCCTCCTACCCGCTGCCGCCCCCACCGTCCAGCCCGCTGCCGCCCCCACCCTCCAGCCCGCTGCCGCCCCCACCCTCCTACCCGCTGCCGCCCCCACCATCCAGCCCGCTGCCGCCCCAACCCTCCAGCCCGCTGCCGCCCCCACCATCCTACCCGCTGCCGCCCCCGCCGTCCAGCCCGCTGCCGCCGCCGCCCTCCAGCCCGCTGCCGCCCCCACCGTCCAGCCCGCTGCCGCCTCCACCCTCCAGCCCGCTGCCGCCCCCGCCGACCAGCCCACTGCCGCCCCCGCCCTCCAGCCCACTGCCGCCCCCACCCTCCAGCCCGCTGCCGCCCCCACCCTCCTACCCGCTTCCGCCCCCTCCATCCAGCCCGCTGCCGCTTCCACCCTCCAGCCCGCTGCCACCCCCACCCTCCTACCCGCTTCCGCCCCCACCGTCCAGCCCGCTGCCACCCCCGCCGTCCAGCCCGCTGCCGCTCCCGCCCTCCAGCCCACTGCCACCCCCACCCTCCTACCCGCTGCCGCCCCCGCCCTCCAGCCCGCTGCCGCCCCCACCGTCCAGCCCGCTTCCGCCCCCGCCCTCCAGCCCGCTGCCGCCCCCGCCCTCCAGCCCGCTGCTGCCCCCACCCTCCTACCCGCTGCCGCCCCCGCCCTCCAGCCCGCTGTCGCCCCCACCGTCCAGCCCGCTGCCGCCCCCACCCTCCAGCCCGCTGCCGCCCCCACCGTCCAGCCCGCTGCCACCCCCGCCGTCCAGCCCGCTGCCGCCCCCGCCCTCCAGCCCGCTGCCGCCCCCGCCCTCCAGCCCGCTGCTGCCCCCACCCTCCTACCCGCTGCCGCCCCCGCCCTCCAGCCCGCTGTCGCCCCCACCGTCCAGCCCGCTGCCTACCCCTCCATCCAGCCCGCTGCCGCCCCCGCCCTCCAGCCCGCTGCCACCCCCACCCTCCTACCCGCTGCCGCCCCCGCCCTCCAGCCCGCTGCCGCCCCCGCCCTCCAGACCGCTGCCGCCCCCTCCATCCAGCCCGCTGCCGCCCCCGCCCTCGAGCCCGCTGCCGCCCCCACCATCCAGCCCGCTGCCGCCCCCGCCCTCCAGCCCGCTGCCGCCCCCGCCGTCCAGCCCGCTGCCGCCGCCGCCCTCCAGCCCGCTGCCGCCCCCACCCTCCTACCCGCTGCCGCCCCCACCATCCAGCCCGCTGCCGCCCCCGCCCTCCAGCCCGCTGCCACCCCCACCTTCCAGCCCGCTGCCGCCCCCACCATCCAGCCCACTGCCGCCCCCGCCCTCCAGCCCACTGCCACCCCCACCCTCCTACCCGCTTCCGCCCCCGCCGTCCAGCCCGCTGCCGCCCCCACCGTCCAGCCCGCTGCCGCCTCCACCCTCCAGCCCGCTGCCATCCCCGCCGTCCAGCCCGCTGCCGCCCCCGCCCTCCAGCCCGCTGCCGCCCCCACCCTCCTACCCGCTGCCGCCTCCACCCTCCAGCCCGCTGCCATCCCCGCCGTCCAGCCCGCTGCCGCCCCCGCCCTCCAGCCCGCTGCCGCCCCCACCCTCCTACCCGCTGCCGCCCCCACCGTCCAGCCCGCTGCCGCCCCCACCCTCCAGCCCGCTGCCGCCCCCACCCTCCAGCCCGCTGCCGCCCCCACCCTCCTACCCGCTGCCGCCCCCACCATCCAGCCCGCTGCCGCCCCCACCCTCCAGCCCGCTGCCGCCCCCACCATCCAGCCCGCTGCCGCCTCCACCCTCCAGCCCGCTGCCGCCCCCGCCGTCCAGCCCACTGCCACCCCCGCCCTCCTACCCGCTGCCGCCCCCACCATCCAGCCCGCTGCCGCCCCCACCCTCCAGCCCGCTGCCGCCCCCACCATCCAGCCCGCTGCCGCCTCCACCCTCCTACCCGCTGCCGCCCCCGCCCTCCAGCCCGCTGCCGCCCCCGCCGTCCAGCCCGCTGCCGCCCCCGCCCTCCAGCCCACTGCCGCCCCCACCCTCCAGCCCGCTGCCGCCCCCACCCTCCTACCCGCTTCCGCCCCCTCCATCCAGCCAGCTGCCGCTTCCATCCTCCAGCCCGCTGCCACCCCCACCCTCCTACCCGCTTCCGCCCCCGCCGTCCAGCCCGCTGCCGCCCCCACCCTCCAGCCCGCTGCCGCCCCCACCCTCCTACCCGCTTCCGCCCCCGCCGTCCAGCCCGCTGCCTCCCCCACCCTCCAGCCCGCTGCCACCCCCACCCTCCTACCCGCTTCCGCCCCCGCCGTCCAGCCCGCTGCCTCCCCCACCCTCCAGCCCGCTGTCGCCCCCGCCCTCCTACCCGCCGCCGCCCCCGCCCTCCAGCCCGCTGCCGCCCCCGCCCTCCAGCCCGCTGCCACCACCGCCTTCCAGCCCCCTGCCGCCCCCACCGTCCAGCCCGCTGCCGCCCCCGCCGTCCAGCCCGCTGCCACCCCCACCGTCCAGCCCGCTGCCGCCCCCACCCTCCAGCCCGCTGTCGCCCCCACCCTCCTACCCGCTTCCGCCCCCACCCTCCAGCCCGCTGCCGCCCCCGCCGTCCAGCCCGCTGCCGCCCCCACTCTCCAGCCCACTTCCACCCCCACCCTCCAGCCCGCTGTCGCCCCCGCCCTCCTACCCGCTGCCACCACCGCCTTTCAGCCCGCTGCCGCACCCACCGTCCAGCCCGCTGCCGCACCCACCGTCCAGCCCGCTGCCGCACCCACTGTCCAGCCCGCTGCCGCCCCCGCCCTCCAGCCCGCTGTCGCCCCCGCCCTCCTACCCGCTGCCACCACCGCCTTCCAGCCCGCTGCCGCCTCCACCCTCCAGCCCGCTGCCGCCTCCACCCTCCTACCTGCTTCCGCCCCCACCCTCCTACCCGCTGCCGCCCCCACCGTCCAGACCGCTGCCGCCCCCGCCGTCCAGCCCGCTGCCGCCCCCACCCTCCAGCCCGCTGCCGCCCCCACCCTCCTACCCGCTTCCGCCCCCACCCTCCAGCCCGCTGCCGCCCCCGCCCTCCAGCCCGCTGCCGCCCCCGCCGTCCAGCCCGCTGCCGCCCCCACCCTCCAGCCCGCTGCCACCCCCGCCCTCCAGCCCGCTGCCGCCCCCGCCCTCCAGCCCGCTGCCACCCCCACCCTCCAGCCCGCTGCCGCCCCCGCCCTCCAGCCCGCTGCCGCCCCCGCCGTCCAGCCCGCTGCCGCCCCCACCCTCCAGCCCACTGCCAACCCCACCCTCCAGCCCGCTGCCGCCCCCGCCGTCCAGCCCGCTGCCGCCTCCACCCTCCAGCCCGCTGTCGCCCCCGCCCTCCTACCCGCTGCCACCACCGCCTTTCAGCCCGCTGCCGCCCCCACCGTCCAGCCCGCTGCCGCACCCACTGTCCAGCCCGCTGCCGCCCCCGCCCTCCAGCCCGCTGTCGCCCCCGCCCTCCTACCCGCTGCCACCACCGCCGTCCAGCCCGCTGCCGCCCCCACCCTCCAGCCCGCTGCCACCACCGCCTTCCAGCCCTCTGCCGCCCCCACCCTCCAGCCCGCTGTCGCCCCCGCCCTCCTACCCGCTGCCACCACCGCTTTCCAGCCCGCTGCCGCCTCCACCCTCCAGCCCGCTGCCGCCCCCACCGTCCAGCCCGCTGCCGCCCCCGCCCTCCAGCCCGCTGCCGTCCCCGCCCTCCAGCCCGCTGCCGCCCCCGCCCTCCAGCCCGCTGCCGCCCCCACCCTCCTACCCGCTTCCGCCCCCACCGTCCAGCCCGCTGCCGCCCCCGCCGTCCAGCCCGCTGCCGCCCCCGCCCTCCAGCCCGCTGCCGCCCCCACCCTCCAGCCCGCTGTCGCCCCCGCCCTCCTACCCGCTGCAACCACCGCCCTCCAGCCCGCTGCCGCCCCCGCCGTCCAGCCCGCTGCCGCCCCCACCCTCCAGCCCACTGCCGCCCCCACTGTCCAGCCCGCTGCCACCCCCGCCGTCCAGCCCGCTGCCGCCCCCGCCCTCCAGCCCACTGCCACCCCCACCCTCCTACCCGCTTCCGCCCCCGCCTTCCAGCCCGCTGCCGCCCCCACCGTCCAGACCGCTGCCGCCCCCACCCTCCAGCCCGCTGCCACCACCGTCCAGCCCGCTGCCGCCCCCTCCATCCAGCCCGCTGCCGCCCCCACCCTCCTACCCGCTGCCGCCCCCACCTTCCAGCCCGCTGCCGCCCCCGCCGTCCAGCCCGCTGCCGCCCCCACCCTCCAGCCCGCTGTCGCCCCCGCCCTCCTACCCGCTGCAACCACCGCCTTCCAGCCCGCTGCCGCCCCCACCCTCCAGCCCGCTGCCGCCCCCGCCGTCCAGCCCGCTGCCGCCCCCACCCTCCAGCCCGCTGTCGCCCCCGCCCTCCTACCCGCTGCCACCACCGCCTTCCAGCCCGCTGCCGCCCCCGCCCGGACCTCCAACACCACCCCCGGGTACCAGCCCCTCACCTCCACCTCCTCTCATCCCATCATCCCCATCACCACCCAGCCCACCATCTTCACCCTCGCCGAGCCCCTCACCTCCACAGCCTCCCAGCCCACCATCTCCACCTCCTCCCAGGCCACCCCCTCCACCCCCTCCCAGCCCCCGACCCCCACCACCCCCCAGGCCTCCACCTCCCACCCGCCCGTCTCCTCCTCCTACCATCCTGCCTCCTTCCCCTCCCAGCCCGCCTCCCTCCCCGCCGTCCCCGCCCGCCCCGCCTCCCCCGCCCCCCGCCTTCGAGGTGCTGTCCGTGTCCCCCGGCCTGCTGCCGCTGGCGGGCGGCACCCTCACTGTGGCGGGCCGCTTCGAGGTGTGGCCGTCGGAGGAGCTGGTGAGCTTCACCTGCGTGTTCGCCCTGACGGATGCCTCCGCAGGCAGCAGGGCGGTGACCTCCAACTACACGGTAAGTGTGGGCTAATCCTGAATTACCGAAAGCTTAAAAAGCCGACTGCACCGTTCGGTAGCGTCTATTATTTCCGAAGTTGGTTTCGGGCCACAAGGCGACTTAACATACAGCACCTGACTGCACACGCCCTTGCCCGGGTTCCTCTCTTCCTCCCTGCATTTCCTCCTCCCCTCTGCTTGTTCCTTCCGCAGGCGGAGCGCCCCTCCGCGTCCGCCCTCCTCTGCCCCGCCCCAGTGGCTCGCAGTTCCGCCGCCTACCTGCAGCTCAGCATCGCCCGCAGCCCCGCGCGACCCGGCATGGAGGGCCTGCGGGAGGTGGTGGCTTACCCGGAGGTCATCCGGTATTACGCACCCTGCCCCGCCGACTGCCATGGCCACGGCAGCTGCCGACTGGGCGTGTGCAGCTGCAGCGACGGATGGGCCGGGGAGGACTGCAGCACACCGGCGCCCATCTTCGCCATCACCAGTCTTCAAGGTAAGAAGGCATGAGGGGATTGTGGGCAGAAGGGCAAGAAGGAATGGAACATTACACATACTGAGTACATGTTAGTAAGCGGTAATCCGTTGATCCAAGCTCGCCCGGCACCGCCGCTTGTCAGCCCGTTGCAGCCACACCACATGCCGCCCCACAGAGTCCCTCGACCTCAAGTCCTCAACGCCCTCCTCCCCTCCCCTCCCCGTTGCTCCCCGCACTCAGGCGGCCCCAGCCAAGCAGGCCAGCAGGTGCTGCTTGAGGGCGCCTCCTGGACCGCCCAGCCCCTCCTCGCCAACTCCACCGCCGCCACCTGGCTCCTCTCTACCAGCCTAGCAGGCCTGGTCATCAACTCGACAACCGGACGCATAAGCTGGCCGGCTGCGGTCGCCCCCGACACCTCCGCATCGCCCCGCCTGGTCACCCTCACCGCGGTGTCGTACGCCGGAAAGGTGGCGACCTACAGTTTCTACGTCTCCGTCGTACCGTCTTACGGCATCAGGGAGCTGAGGCTGCCGGGCGGCTCGAGGGCGGCTCCAGGCAGCCGGATCGCCATCCTGGGCCGTCTGGGCTGGAGCCAGGCGGCGATTGCTGCAGGAACAGGTGGGGTGCTGCGGACTGACCGCTTCTGCCGACTACTGGGCCTCCGTCGTTAATGAGCGCCACTGTTTTGCACCCCCCTTTGCACTGCTGATAGCTGCCCCAGTCGCCTCTGTTGTGAGTTTCCACGCTCTTTCCGGTAGTCGTACTTTCAGTTCGCTGTTTCGCTGACACCGAACCAACCCACCTCCGCCCCTCCACAGATGCCAGCAGCCCGCTCCCCTCCCTGCCGGTGCTGGTGCTGGTGCGCCAGACCTCCCAGCTGGGCTCCTCCTCCTCCTCTTCCTCCTCCAGCAGTGGCTTCCAGGTGCTGCGGACCAACAGCAGCTCGGCTGGCGGCGCATTCACGCTGGAGCTGCAAGTGCCGCAGAGCAGCATGGGGTGAGGCAGGGAGGAGGGAAGGGAAGGAGGATGTGGCCGGGGATGAGGGCAGGATGGAGGTTGTGGCCGAGGCCTGCCAGATGATCTTTGCCACCTGCATGCTTCCTTACGGGCCCCTTTTGCCCCTCCCTGCCGCACGCAGCTCCTTCGATATCTTCGCGCTGCACCCCGCCGCCACCCTGGACGACACCGCCCCCTCGCCCTCCCCCGCGGACGACCTGCCCCTCTTCCAGCGCCGCACGCATCTGTCCGTGCCCTTCGTCGCCGCCGCCATCAACCGGGACGCGGGCAACACCAGCAGCCAGCTGGACCCGCGGTTCGCCCAGCCCACCCTGTCGCTGGGCCCAGGCAGCAGTGCGCAGCTGGGGGAGTTTGCGCGCCTAGTGGGCTCGCTCGAGGTAAATAGGGGGTTGGGGAGGGGAGCGAGGTCGGGTTAGTGATAGGCTGATAGCCCTGGTAGGGGGTAGGGTGGGGCAGATGTATGGCTGCCGAGTAGTAGCATTCTGTATTCCCGACCGGCTAGAACATTACCAACCTCGCCGCTAACCCTTTCCCACTGCTCCTTCTCCAGGACCTGACCTCCCTGGCCGTCACTGTGCGCACCCGCTTGGTTTCCTTCTCCGGACCTCCGCCCAGCCTCACAGCCAACGCCAGCCTCGCAGCACCTCCCGCGCCCCTCTGCACCTCCAACTCGTCCTCCAACTCCTCCAGCCCGGCCATCTGCCAGGGTGTGCAGGACGCCACCGCCAGCTCGGCCCCCGGCAGTGCGGCGCTGCAGCTGCAGGTGGCGTCGGCGCTGGTGCCGGGTTCCGGAGCGGCGGAGCTGGAGGTGAGGCTGTGGGGGTGCGGCGGGTCGGGTGGGGAGGGGCGGGATGCCCTCGGGGACTGCGACTCTTAGTGTCTTGTTGGTCAATGTCGAGCACAGTTGTCTGCATTCGAAGCACAAATGCATATTCCTAGTAACAACCCTTAACCCCTGCATGGGCCCATCCCAACATGCATTTCTTTGGCCAGCTTGTGTTCACCCTGCGCGGCGGAGCAAGCAACGCCACCGCCACCCTGCTGCTGCGGGTGCTGGTGGACTCGGCGCGGGTGGAGCTGGCGGCCGACCCGGCGGGTCGCTTGTCCGTGGTGCTGCCGCCCGGTGGAGCCAGCAGCGTGCACCTCACCGTCACCAACAACGGCAACATCGCGTCAGGGTGAGATCGGACTCTTTTCGTTAGACATAAGCTGCGCAATTGGCTTACCTACGTGCCCGCTTCCAATTCCTGACAGTCTCGCCTACTGTACAATTGTATATGCAGTCTGTTGACCTTCCCCTGTCCAATATTCACGCGCCCTCTCCTTCCTGCCTTCCCCCAACTGGGCCCCCCTCCCCACAGGCCCTTGGTGCTGCCCCCCACACCTGCCGGCGGCTCCTGGCTCAGACCAACCACCCCCATGCCCCTGGCCTCGCTCGAGCCCGGCGCCTCTGCCTCCCTGGAGTTCTGGATCACCGTTCCTTCGGGCGCCCGCCTGAGTGATATCTACTCCGTCAGCACCACACTCTACAACAGTGTGACCCACGGGTCAGTGTCGCTGGACTTTGAGCTGGCAGTCGCCTCGGAGCCGCTGGGCGACCTGGAGGTGACGGTTGTGGACGAGTACACCACCTACGACCCCGCGCAGCCCCGGGTGGCTGGGGCGCGGCTGGTGGTGTGGTCGCAGGACGGCAGCACCGTGATTGCCAGCGGCACGGTGGGTGGCGGGAGAGCAAGGGCGTGTGTGGAGGTGTGCCTAGTAACTAGGCGATTGCTGCCAGCAAATTACACACGTTATTTGTGCTTCCTGTGTAACTGTATACAGTACTGTGCGTTGAGCACAGTAGTTGTCCGCCCAAGCTGCTGCTAAGCCTGAATGGCAAGCCGCCTGCCTCCGCCTTCCTCTGCAGACGGACGACAACGGCACCTTCACCTTCCCCAACCTCACTGCGGGCTACACATACGCGGTGGACGCCTTCGCCGCCAACCACACCTCCGCCCGCCGCACCGTCGCCATTACAGGTGGGTGCGTGAGGGGGCCGGTTGCTAGGAGGCCAGGGGGATGAGGTGCTGCGGGAGCGGGTCATAGGACTTCAAAGGAGAACAGATGTCTATACATACAGTTGGCCCAGGTTGAGCCGCATTAAGACAATGCGACACACCCCATTTATACCCTACACAGGCGGCGCTCGCAGTCTGCGCATCTTCCTGTCCCGCAGCGCCGTGCGCGCCTCCTTCGCCGTGGTGCCCACCACCTTCCAGGAGGTGGTCGACATCGTGGTCAACGTGGAGTACCTCACCTTCGTGCCCATGCCGGTGGTGCGCTTGGAGCCGGCACTGCTGTGAGTGCTGCCGGGGAGTGGGCGGGTGGGCAAGCAAATGCTTGATGAAGCACAGAAGGAGCTGCTGCCAGCATGCCTAACTGCTAGTACATGCATTTGGACTGCAAGTAGGTCGGATCCGACGTAACGCCAAAGCGAGGAAGGCGCATGACGCGGGGTTGGCCCCACTCCCCACCGCCCACCGCTCACCCTTCCCTCCCGTGTTGCTGCAGCTACGTGGAGGACATGCTGGAGTCGCGCACGCAACAGCTGCGCATCATCAACACGGGCCTGGCAGCAGCGATCAACGCGCGCATCAAAGTTCCCGTAGACAGCCCGGTGAGCGATGGGTGGGGAGGGCGAGCCGGCACTGGCGTGTTGCTGAATGTAATGTTCAGTACGGGGACGCTCTGCTCCTCTCCATTTGCACCGCGCTGTTTCTGCGGCTGCTGCCCACGCATGATGTAACTGCGGAAAGCTGGTTATTACCAACTCGTAATAGGTTCTGTTCTTCCTTTCTGCATGCCGACGCCCTTCCCCTCCTTCCCCCTGCCCCCGCCCCTCCACCCCTCCATCCACGCAGTACTACACGTTGGGGCTGCTGGGCGCTCGCTGGCTGCAGCAAGAGAACACCACCCTGCAGGAGCCGGCGGATGTGATGGTGTCGGACACAGACGACTTCACCTCCTCCTCCTCCCGCACCTCCTCCTCCTCCGCCCTCAGCCTGACCAGCGGCACCCTGTACGTGCTGCTGGGCCGCATGCCCGCCATGAGCGAGCTCGTGGTGGAGCTGAGCGTGGCAGCCAAGCAGCTGGGCAACAACAGCAGCAGCACCAACAGCACCGCCGCCACCAGCACCACCACTGGGGCGCATCGGAGGGCGCTGCAGCAGAGCGGATCCAGCATATGCGGCTGGGCGGCGCAAATCGGCCTGGTGTGGTCGGACCCCTGCGACCCGGAGAGGGACCGCAGCAGCTCAACCACCATCATCAGCAGGTGCGCACGTAGGCGCCGTACACAGCTTGCTGTGTGTGAGGATGTGATGCCACTTGTTCTCATTCAATCCTGTCATTTCCTGTGCTGTCTGCAACGCTTGCATGGATGGGACAGTCCCCTATGCGGTGGTCCCCGCCCTAGATGAGAACCGCCTGGGCTGCTACTCCTTAAAATCCTCCATGCGTACCCACCCTTCCCCTTCCACCTCCGTTCCCCACGCCGCTCCCACAGGGGCTTCCACCCTGAGTGCGCCTGCACCAACTGCGACTCCGAGGTCAGCAGCAGCAGCAGCAGCAGCAGCTTCGTTGATACGCTGGTGGTGTACAGCGGCAGCGCAACCAGCGCTAGCGGCGGTCCATTGGGTGGGTAGGGTGTGGATGGGGATGAGAATTTTAAGGGTGAGGGTATTGGCGGCAAGCTACGATCCATGCTGCCTGGCTGCCTGCGCCATGCATGGCACGCATGGCTGCTGCTGCGTGCGGTGGGGATTGCGGTGTGCCGTACGTGCTACTCGCAAGCCTGAACTCTGCAGTTACGTCACTTCCGAGGTTGTGACAGATTGCGGCCCTGTAAGGCGGTTTGGAGTCCAGGGCAAACACGGGTCGCCTGGTTTTGACGAAGCCATCCACATGCACTACATTGTTCACTGTTTGGAACCTACTTATTGCTGGTTGTTTCTTCGCTTCCCTCCCTATTGCAACCACCTACCACCGCTACCATCGCCGCCAACCCCTGCTGGCTGGTGTGTTCAGAGCTGAACCTGTGCGACCAGGCAAGTAGTAGCGGGTTGACAGAGGGGAAGGGGTGGGGCCGACTAAGCGTTATAGCTAAACATGGGACACTGAACTACCGGTATAGCATCCCTTTACAAGCAGTTTCTTTGCCATAATTGCTTCCCATACTTGCCCTCTTCCTCACTGCATGAGTCGGGATTTGGGATTGGGACTCCGTTGATGCACTTCTCTGTATTTTTCCCCCTAGCGCCCCAGCCCGCTCCCCCCCATCTCACCTCCCCTCACACCACCTCTTTCCCCCCTGCAGTGCGCCACCGACTGGTTCGCTGCGGGCGTGTGTCTGGCCAAGGACATCATCGCCCCCTGGAGCAAGCACTCGGCCGACATCATCGGCATCATCCGTCGTATATACGCCCTGGAGAATCAGGTAGATAGCCGGCACGCCTGTGCTAATAACATGGAGTAAGTACCGCCGCCGCCTGTGCAGCCGTCTTGCTGTTTTGGTGCCTACGGATTGTCCGCCGCCACAACTTACACGTACCACATCTGCGCCTGCCTGCGGCTGCTGTTCGCTCACACACCTGCAGGCCTCCGTCTCCCGGCGGCGCTCACTGCTGGCTGACGGCGCGGCGCTGCAGGGCGACGCCGAGCTGCCCCGGGCCCTGCTGCCCGGACAGCAGCATCAGCAGCACTCCGCCCTCCTGGCCACCCGGAGGTCACTGCAGTCCAGCATTGGGGGAAGCAGCGGATTGTCGGGTCCGTCTTCCATCATCGTGGTACGTATGTTGCGCATTAGCGTCCACCTAGGAGCCTTTTGGTATACTGTCGTGCAGCAGAGGACAGAGTGTCAATGACCCGAGGACATAGGTGTGGGAATTGGCAAATCACTTCTTCCCAGGAGCGCACATCGCTTCGTTTCTCGCGCAGCGTACAAAGAAGTACTCGACATTTTATATTGCCCGGTTCTCCATGCTTTCCTTTGCTGAACGCGTGCCTGCTCGTTCCCTCCACGCATGTCGCCACTCCTGTGCTATGTGTACGGCACCCACCGCTGCCACCCTGCTGTTGACGTCGTCCCGCCGGCCGCTGTACGGCACTGCAGGACATCATTAAGGACAATGTAAGGGGGAAAGTAGGGGGCGGGGCTGCGTGTATGTTTTTTGTGTACCGTACCGTAGTTACGTAAACTCGGCTAGGGCAGCAAGGCAAGCGGGTGGGGCTTTGGCAGGGTCCCAGGGGCTCACCCGGCGGTGCCTTTGCCACGTTGATTTACCATTGCTACAAACCGTTTCTGGGTTGCTCTGTAAGCTGCTGGATGCGTGCTGGCGCAATTGAACGCTATCCGGCAACTCCGTGATTTCTGCGGCACCCAGTTAACCCCCCCCCCTGGCTGCCCCTATCCCAGACTGTGGACCGCATCCCCGACGTGGGCTGCTTGCTGGACTCGCTGCCGGACTGCCTGGGGCTATTGGACTACCTCAGTGAGTGGCGGGGAGGGGCAGGTGATGGAGTAGGGGCGGAGTGGGAGAGGCACGCGACGGCCAGGGGGGCAGCAAGCATAGATGCTGGGGCTGTTGCTATTGTTCAGGACCCAAGCAACGCCATTCCCGGCCCTAACGAGCCGGTCTGCCGTGTAAACCAATCCGCATGCCTCTTGCTACCTGCCTAATTCTCCCCCTTCCTACCTAACCCTCCAGATGCCACGGTCGGCGATGCACTGGCGACTCTGGATGGCGCCATGACCGGGTGAGTAGGGGTGTGTGTTGAGGGTTACCGGTACACATGGGATGTGGGGCAGGGCCCAGCGAAGCCGGAGTTTCGTTACCGAGTTAGGGGTTGTTGACTGGTTGCGGGATGGCAGCCTGCCGATGCTACCGAAGTCACCCCTCGCCCCTGCATCCCCGGCCCTGTTTCAACACCCATAACCTTATCCCCTCCCTCCCCTTCTCCGTTCCCTCCGTTCTCTCTTCCACTCATGCAGGCACCACAGGCGAAGCCTGCTGTCAGGCGGCCCCGCGTGGCCGTCCCCCACCGCCCCCACCCTGCAGCCACTGCAGCCCGCCCTCGTCATCCCACTGGACGTCTCCCTCTCGCCGCCGCCCCCGATCGCAGTTGAGGTGCAGCCCAGCAACGCCTCCGCCACCACCGACCGGCAGCGGCGGCTGCAGAGCTCCTCCGGTGGCTCGCTGTATGTGCCGCCAGAGGACCGACAGAGCCACATCATGGAGAGCCCCGCAGGTGGGCTGGGGTTGGGTCTGGGAAGCTGCGGGGTAAAGAAACAGAAATGAAGCGGCGTAAGGGCATGGATGGGCGCTACACCACGCTGACCATGTGAGTGCTGTCGGATCAATACTTACACGCCGCCCGGCAATCTGCGTCTCACCACCCCGCAGGTCAGGACATCCTCCGCTGGGCGGCTGCCATCATCAACCTGCATGCGGCGGGCGCCGAGATGTGGGGCCTGGAGCACTACATGTGAGCAGGGGGCCGTGCAAGCTGGGCAGGGAGTTAGTGGGATCGAGCGCAGCTGCAGAGCCTATGGGGCGATGCTGCGATGCATGGTCATGATCGAAGCCGCACAACTTGCCTATCTAGCACCTATAACCTGCACCCCCCTACATACCTGCAGGGAGTGGATGAACCCGCAGTTCCCCGCCGACGTGGAGGCCCAGTGGCGCACCGCCTGGGAGGCCGCCACCTCGGACACCTCCCCCTCGGGCGCCCTGGTGGACTGGACGGCGGAGGCACCGCAGCTGCTCAGCGAGCAGTTCGCCCCGCTGGTCAACGTGACCGCCCGGCAGGCGCTCATCGAGCGCTGGAATGCCACCTTTTTGCAGCAGCCCGGCAGCTCGGCGCCGGCCATCAACCTGGAGCGGGTGGACCGCGCGCAGCAGAGCTACCTGGCCGACACGTTGGCCGCGCTGGAGCAGGGATACGCCAGTGAGTGGGGACGAGGGAAGAACTAAACCACAAGTGGGGACAAGGCATTAGGAAGAGGAGGCGGCGAGTACCACAAAGGAAGGGAGGGTTTGCGGCCATAAACCAAAGTATGGGGAGGGGATTCCCTGTGGGGAGGGGTAGGTGGCGAAGGAGAGGACCTTACAACGGTACTGGTCTCACACCATATTCCACCCCTGGCCTCATCACCTCTGCCCCCTCCCAGGTGTGTTTGATGCCCTCGACCAGAGCATCAGCACCCTCATCGCGCCCTACGTGGCCGGTACCGCGGGTGGTGGCGCCACGTGCGCACGTGTGGTGGTGCAGCTGAGCCAGCAGCTGGTGCTGACGCGGCAGGCGTTCGAGGCCTCCCTGCAGCTGGACAACAGCGGCGGCGCCAGCAGCCTGAGCAACGTGACGGTGCAGCTGACGGCCTGGGTGAAGGACACCGGGGAGGCGGCCGGGAACGCATTTGCGGTGGGGCTGCCGACTGTTGAGGTGAGGCAGCGGACGAAGTTGGTTACGGTCGTTAAGGTCGTTCCAGGCAGTGCGCGATGTCCATGACCAAACCAGACATGTATAGCAGCTGGGTAAAAGGTCATCTCTGCAACGACTATGCCTCTGACGCGACTCCCTCCCCCTGACCCCTTCTCCTCTCAGGGCATGACCACCGACGCGAGCGGCCTGGTGCTCCCCGCTGGCGGTGTGAGCAGCATGCGGTGGCTGCTGGTGCCGCGGGAGGCCGCAGCGCTGCAGGCGGACACATGGTACTACGTCGGAGGCCAGGTCACGTGAGTGGGGGTGGGGTGCGCGGGGTCCGGGAGTTCGATGCGTACATGCACTGTTTTCAAGGTAATTTATGGTATTTTCCTTATCTTCAATCCCGGCTGCATATTATTTTTGGCGCAGTTACATCCCGGGTCCCGGTCTGCCCGCCGAGGTGCTGCCGCTGGAGCCGGCTGACGTGCGTGTGTCGCCCGAGGGCCGGCTGGAGGTGCGCTACTACATCGAGAAGGACGTGCAGGTGAGGCGGTATGTTCGTTGGGGTGGGTGACAGGCGAATTGTGCCGCGGTGGGGCGGCATGTTGGAGTGGAGTGCAGGCGGGAACTGGGGTGTGGGAGGAGGAAGAGCGGCGGGTGCAGTTCTCCGACAAGAAGGATGATTAGTGCCGCGCCCTAATTCGTCAACACCTGACATTCCTAACCCAGCAGTCAGTGCTCCGCCCGCATTCACCCCAAGGCGCTTGCATGGTGGCGTCCCCTACCCACTCATCTCCCCACCCACGTCTTCCCTCCTGCAGGGCGACAACCCCTTCACCCCCGCCGTGGAGCCCAGTGTGCCCGCCGCACTGGTCACCCTGCTGCACAATGTGGGCAGCGGGGTGGCGCGGGGGGTGGCCATGCAGTCGCTGCAGCCCAAGATTGTGGAGAACGACAAGGGCCTCATGATCAGCTTCAACATCGTCAACGTCACCGTTAATGGCCGGCCGGCACCAGCGTAAGTGCACTTGATGATGCTCACGTAACGTAGCATGCTACCCTGTCAGCGGCTCTTCATGACTCTTCTGGTTCCCTCTCGATTGCAACATGCAGTGCTCTCCAGGCGTCAGTGGGCGACATGCAGCCGGGCAGCACGTCCATGGTGCAGTGGTGGATCACCGCATCGCTGCAGGTGAGGGGAAGGGGGAGAAACACAGTAACGTGTCCCCCACAAGACATGATGGAACGCATAGGCCATACAAAGGAAACGTGTGCCGACTAGCCGAACGCCGTAAGCTTCATCGTCCTTGCAACTGCACAGCTGGAACGTTCAGTCCGGGGTAGCCTACCGGTGTCTTAATCACACCTCCACTTCCTCCCTCCTCTGCCGCCATTTCCCTGCTGCTGCTACAGGGTACCTTCTCCGGCATCAACGCCACCTTCAGCAGCCGCAACCCGCTCAACGACCCCACCCTCAGCACCGTCACCAACGTCACGCTGTACGACCTGCTGCACCTCGTGCACCTGGGCGGTGGGTTTGATGGGGGAGGGAGGCGTGTGGGTGTGGGTGTTAGGGGTGGGGCGCATGCGGAGTGGAGCCTGGGTTTCATGGGGGGGAAGCTTCGTATTCTACATGAGCTGTGTGGGTGTGGGTGTTAGCGGTGGTGTGCATGCGGAGTGGAGGTCAATTTGGAAGTGCAATCGAGTTTGGTATGCATGCCGCCGCACGCATAATCCCTTATCCCACGCGCGCCCCTCTTCCCACAGGCGCCGCTGACGATGGCCTGCCCGACATGCTGGTGTCCGCCCAATCGGGCTCCACCATCCCCGCCGCCATCCACAGCAGCCGCGACGGCGCTATCCTGCCGGTCTCCGTGGTGCCCTCCGCCGCCCTCACCAACATCTCCACCGGCGGCCCCAGCGGCGCCCTCACCCTCACCATCCGGGTGGACGGAACGCAGCTGACGGCGCCGCCTGTGTCGGCTGGTGGCAGCACTGGCAGCGGGTGGCAGTACCTGCGGATCAGCAGCCCTCCGGCCCTGCAGCCCAGCAGTGACTGGGTGCTGCGGACCGCCACGGCCACATCAGCGGCCAGCGCCATCGTGGGCACTGCTGACAGCAATTCAATCGTGGATCTGAGCTTGCCGTACAACGCATGGGCTTCCTATCAGGTGTACGGCTCTCAGACAGCGGTGCAGGACTACGTCCACGTGCTGTACAATGGGTACAGCCTGACACAAGATACTGTGCTGACCCTCGCTTTTGAGCTTACCAGCAAGCCGCCACCGCCCGCAGCTCCCAGTCCCCCACCGTCTCCTGGCCCGGCCCCGCCTCAAGCGCCACCACCCAGCCCGCTGCCACCCCCACCATCCAGCCCGCTACCGCCCCCGCCGTCCAGCCCGCTGCCGCCCCCACCCTCCTATCCGCTGCCGCCACCACCCTCCAGCCCGCTGCCGCCCCCGCCATCCAGCCCGCGGCCTCCTCCGCCGTCCAGCCCGCTGCCGCCACCACCCTCCTACCCACTGCCGCCCCCACCCTCCAGCCCGATGCCGCCCCCACCCTCCTATCCGCTGCCGCCCCCACCCTCCAGCCCGCTGCCGCCCCCGCCCTCCAGCCCGCTGCCGCCCCCGCCGTCCAGCCCGCTGCCGCCCCCGCCGTCCAGCCCGCTGCCGCCCCCACCCTCCAGCCCGCTGCCGCCCCCACCCTCCTACCCGCTGCCGCCCCCGCCCTCCAGCCCGCTGCCACACCCACCCTCCAGCCCGCTGCCGCCCCCGCCCTCCAGCCCGCTGCCACCCCCGCCCTCCAGCCCGCTGCCGCCCCCGCCCTCCAGCCCGCTGCCACCCCCACCCTCCAGCCCGCTGCCGCCCCCACCGTCCAGCCCGCTGCCGCCCCCACCCTCCAGCCCGCTGCCGCCCCCGCCCTCCAGCCCGCTGCCACCCCCACCCTCCTACCCGCTGCCGCCCCCGCCGTCCAGCCCGCTGCCGCCCCCACCCTCCAGCCCGCTGCCGCCCCCGCCATCCAGCCCGCTGCCATCCCCGCCCTCCAGCACGCTGCCGCCCCCGCCCTCCAGCCCGCTGCCGCCACCACCCTCTAGCCCGCTGCCACCCCCGCCGTCCAGCCCGCTGCCGCCCCCGCCCTCCAGCCCGCTGCCGCCCCCACCCTCCAGCCCGCTGCCGCCCCCACCCTCCAGCCCGCTGCCGCCCCCACCTTCCAGCCCGCTGCCGCCCCCGCCCTCCAGCCCGCTGCCACCCCCACCCTCCAGCCCGATGCCGCCCCCACCCTCCTATCCGCTGCCGCCCCCACCCTCCAGCCCGCTGCCGCCCCCGCCGTCCAGCCCGCTGCCGCCCCCACCGTCCAGCCCGCTGCCGCCCCCGCCGTCCAGCCCGCTGCCGCCCCCACCCTCCAGCCCGCTGCCGCCCCCACCCTCCTACCCGCTGCCGCCCCCGCCCTCCAGCCCGCTGCCACACCCACCCTCCAGCCCGCTGCCGCCCCCGCCCTCCAGCCCGCTGCCACCCCCGCCCTCCAGCCCGCTGCCGCCCCCGCCCTCCAGCCCGCTGCCACCCCCACCCTCCAGCCCGCTGCCGCCCCCACCGTCCAGCCCGCTGCCGCCCCCGCCGTCCAGCCCGCTGCCGCCCCCGCCCTCCAGCCCGCTGCCACCCCCACCCTCCTACCCGCTGCCGCCCCCGCCGTCCAGCCCGCTGCCGCCCCCACCCTCCAGCCCGCTGTCGCCCCCGCCCTCCTACCCGCTGCCGCCCCCGCCATCCAGCCCGCTGCCATCCCCGCCCTCCAGCACGCTGCCGCCCCCGCCCTCCTACCCGCTGCCGCCACCACCCTCTAGCCCGCTGCCACCCCCGCCGTCCAGCCCGCTGCCGCCCCCGCCCTCCAGCCCGCTGCCGCCCCCACCCTCCAGCCCGCTGCCGCCCCCACCCTCCAGCCCGCTGCCGCCCCCACCTTCCAGCCCGCTGCCGCCCCCGCCCTCCAGCCCGCTGCCGCCCCCACCCTCCAGCCCGCTGCCGCCCCCACCCTCCAGCCCGCTGCCGCCCCCACCTTCCAGCCCGCTGCCGCCCCCGCCCTCCAGCCCGCTGCCACCCCCACCCTCCAGCCCGCTGCCGCCCCCACCGTCCAGCCCGCTGCCGCCCCCACCCTCCAGCCCGCTGCCGCCCCCGCCCTCCAGCCCGCTGCCACCCCCACCCTCCTACCCGCTGCCGCCCCCGCCCTCCAGCCCGCTGCCACCCCCGCCCTCCAGCCCGCTGCCGCCCCCGCCCTCCAGCCCGCTGCCGCCCCCACCCTCCAGCCCGATGCCGCCCCCACCGTCCAGCCCGCTGCCGCCCCCACCCTCCAGCCCGCTGCCGCCCCCGCCCTCCAGCCCGCTGCCGCCCCCACCTTCCAGCCCGCTGCCGCCCCCGCCCTCCAGCCCGCTGCCGCCCCCACCCTCCAGCCCGCTGCCGCCCCCGCCGTCCAGCCCGCTGCCGCCCCCGCCCTCCAGCCCGCTGCCGCCCCCACCGTCCAGCCCGCTGCCGCCCCCACCCTCCAGCCCGCTGCCGCCCCCACCCTCCAGCCCGATGCCGCCCCCACCGTCCAGCCCGCTGCCGCCCCCACCCTCCAGCCCGCTGCCGCCCCCGCCCTCCAGCCCGCTGCCGCCCCCACCTTCCAGCCCGCTGCCGCCCCCGCCCTCCAGCCCGCTGCCGCCCCCACCCTCCAGCCCGCTGCCGCCCCCGCCGTCCAGCCCGCTGCCGCCCCCACCATCCAGCCCGCTGCCGCCCCCGCCGTCCAGCCCACTGCCACCCCCACCCTCCAGCCCGCTGCCACCCCCACCATCCAGCCCGCTGCCGCCCCCACCCTCCAGCCCACTGCCGCCCCCACCCTCCTATCCGCTGCCGCCCCCACCCTCCAGCCCGCTGCCGCCCCCGCCATCCAGCCCGCGGCTTCCTCCGCCGTCCAGCCCGCTGCCACCCCCACCCTCCTACCCACTGCCGCCCCCGCCGTCCAGCCCGCTTCCGCCCCCACCCTCCAGCCCGCTGCCGCCCCCGCCCTCCAGCCCGCTGCCACCCCCACCATCCAGCCCGCTGCCGCCCCCACCTTCCAGCCCGCTGCCGCCCCCGCCCTCCAGCCCGCTGCCACCCCCACCCTCCAGCCCGCTGCCGCCCCCGCCCTCCAGCCCGCTGCCACCCCCACCATCCAGCCCGCTGCCGCCCCCACCCTCCAGCCCACTGCCGCCCCCACCCTCCTATCCGCTGCCGCCCCCACCCTCCAGCCCGCTGCCGCCCCCGCCATCCAGCCCGCGGCTTCCTCCGCCGTCCAGCCCGCTGCCACCCCCACCCTCCTACCCACTGCCGCCCCCGCCGTCCAGCCCGCTTCCGCCCCCACCCTCCAGCCCGCTGCCGCCCCCGCCCTCCAGCCCGCTGCCACCCCCACCATCCAGCCCGCTGCCGCCCCCACCCTCCAGCCCGCTGCCGCCCCCACCCTCCAGCCCGCTGCCGCCCCCGCCCTCCAGCCCGCTGCCACCCCCGCCCTCCAGCCCGCTGCCGCCCCCACCCTCCAGCCCGCTGCCGCCCCCGCCCTCCAGCCCGCTGCCACCCCCACCCTCCAGCCCGCTGCCGTCCCCACCGTCCAGCCCGCTGCCGCCCCCACCCTCCAGCCCGCTGCCGCCCCCGCCCTCCAGCCCGCTGCCACCCCCACCCTCCTACCCGCTGCCGCCCCCGCCGTCCAGCCCACTGCCGCCCCCACCCTCCAGCCCGCTGCCGCCCCCGCCATCCAGCCCGCTGCCATCCCCGCCCTCCAGCACGCTGCCGCCCCCGCCCTCCTACCCGCTGCCGCCACCACCCTCTAGCCCGCTGCCACCCCCGCCGTCCAGCCCGCTGCCGCCCCCGCCCTCCAGCCCGCTGCCGCCCCCACCCTCCAGCCCGCTGCCGCCCCCGCCGTCCAGCCCGCTGCCGCCCCCGCCGTCCAGCCCGCTGCCGCCCCCACCCTCCAGCCCGCTGCCGCCCCCGCCGTCCAGCCCATTGCCACCCCCACCCTCCAGCCCGCTGCCGCCCCCACCCTCCTACCCGCTGCCGCCCCCACCCTCCAGCCCGCTGCCGCCCCCACCCTCCAGCCCGCTGCCGCCCCCACCTTCCAGCCCGCTGCCGCCCCCGCCCTCCAGCCCGCTGCCAACCCCGCCCTCCAGCCCGCTGCCACCCCCACCCTCCAGCCCGCTGCCGCCCCCGCCCTCCAGCCCGCTACCACCCCCACCGTCCAGCCCGCTGCCATCCCAACCCTCCAGCCCGCTGCCGCCCCCGCCCTCCAGCCCGCTACCACCCCCACCGTCCAGCCCGCTGCCACCCCCGCCGTCCAGCCCGCTGCCGCCCCCACCCTCCAGCCCGCTGCCGCCCCCGCCGTCCAGCCCGCTGCCGCCCCCACCCTCCAGCCCGCTGCCACCCCCACCCTCCAGCCCGCTACCGCCCCCACCCTCCAGCCCGCTGCCACCCCCACCCTCCAGCCCGCTACCGCCCCCGCCCTCCAGCCCGCTGCCGCCCCCACCCTCCTACCCGCTGCCGCCCCCGCCCTCCAGCCCGCTGCCACCCCCACCCTCCAGCCCGCTGCCGCCCCCGCCGTCCAGCCCGCTGCCGCCCCCGCCCTCCAGCCCGTTGCCACCCCCGCCGTCCAGACCGCTGCCGCCCCCACCCTCCAGCCCGCTGTCGCCCCTGCCATCCAGCCCGCTGCCGCCCCCACCCTCCAGCCCGCTGCCGCCCCCGCCGTCCAGCCCGCTGTCGCCCCCGCCGCCCAGCCCGCTATCGCCCCCGCCGCCCAGCCCGCTGCCGCCCCCACCCTCTTACCCGCTGCCGCCCCCGCCCTCCAGCCCGCTGCCACCCCCGCCCTCCAGCCCGCTGCCATCCCCGCCCTCCAGCCCTCTGTCGCCCCCGCCATCCAGCCCGCTGCCGCCACCGCCCTTCAGCCCGCTGCCGCCACCGCCGTCCAGCCCGCTGCCGCCCCCACCCTCCAGCCCGCTGCCGCCCCCACCCTCCAGCCCGCTGCCGCCCCCACCGTCCAGCCCGCTGCCGCCCCCGCCCTCAAGCCCGCTGCCACCCTCGCCACCCAGCCCGCTGCCGCCCCCGCCATCCATCCCGCTGCCGCCCCCGCCATCCATCCCGCTGCCGCCCCCGCCGTCCAGCCCGCAGCCGCCCCCGCCGCCCAGCCCGCTGCCGCCCCCACCCTCTTACCCCCTGCCGCCCCCGCCCTCCAGCCCGCTGCCGCCCCCGCCCTCCAGCCCGCTGCCACCCCCGCCCTCCAGCCCGCTGCCGCCCCCGCCCTCCAGCCCGCTGCCGCCTCCGCCCTCCAGCCCGCTGCCACCCCCACCGTCTAGCCCGCTGCAGCCCCCACCCTCCAGCCCGCTGCCGCCCCCACCCTCCAGCCCGCTGCCGCCTCCACCCTCCAGCCCGCTGCCGCCCCCGCCCTCCAGCCCACAGCCACCCCCACCCTTCAGCCCACAGCCACCCCCACCCTCCAGCCCACAGCCACCCCCGCCCTCCAGCCCGCTGCCGCCCCCACCCTCCAGCCCGCTGCCGCCCCCGCCCTCCAGCCCGCTGCCGCCCCCGCCCTCAAGCCCGCTGCCACCCCCGCCACCCAGCGCGCTGCCGCCCCCGCCATCCAGCCCGCTGCCACCACCGCCCTCCAGCCCGCTGCCGCCCCCACCCTCCAGCCCGCTGCCACCCCCACCGTCCAGCCCGCTGCCGCCCGCGCCCTCGAGCCCGCTGCCGCCTCCCTCGCCGCCCAGCATTCCCCGCCCGCCTCGTCGCCCCAAATCACCACCACCCAACCCCCTGCCGCCAAACGTGCCTCCAGAGTCCCCGAACCCCCCACCTTCCCCCAGTCCGCCCCCGCCGACCTTGCCCAATGTGCCGGGCCTGCCGCCGCTTGCACCATCACCACCTCCACCGCCCAGCCCCTCTCCCCCGCCTCCGTCGCCTCCCCCCAGTCCACCCCCGCTTCCCCCTGGCTTGGCGGAGGTCCAGGAGCACCTTACGATTCTTCCTTCTACCGCTGCTATCGAGAAGGCCGGTGGCGTTGACGCCTACGTTAATAACAGCAAGCAGATTATTGCTGAGGCATATGTAAGTTTTCTCCGTGCCTTCCTAGGTTTGCTTCCTGTTAATTTTTCCAACCATGCTTACCACAGGATGCCTCTTCTGTCATGCGTGTTTAGCTGGTATTTGTGTACTGATTAACAACTGTCGGTGCCTTACTGCCTCGCTTCTCAGGGCACCACGCCGGACCACATCGTCGCCATGTACGACAGCAAGACCGCTCGCCGCCGCAGCCTGGTGGACCTGGACATCGCAACCGCCAACCGCCTGACCCAGCTCAAGACCCAGCTGCAGCTGCGGGACACCTACATCGTCAGCACAATGCCGTACGACCTGGAGAGAGAAGTGCAGGTACATGCGGACAGGGCGTGTGTAGGGCTAGTCACAGCTGGGGATTCCCGAGATGACCCATGGGTCCGAAACTCCATCAAGCTGTCTTTTGTGCTTGATGCTTTAGCATCTCCAACGCAAATCTCATCGTGGTTCTGTCGCCCCTTCTCCTCCTTGCCCTGTTTGCGTCTGCAGGCCAGGATGGACGAGCCGGCAGCGCTTGATCAGTACCGGCGCGAGCTGCAATCCTCTGATGGTGTGCCTGCCATCGCCTTCCTGGTCCGCCTGACCATTGAGGTGCCGCTGCCGCCCTCGCCGCCACCTCGCCCACCGGCCAGCCCTGGCATGACAGCGCCTCCGGACACGCCCGATTATCCACCACCCCGGCCCAACATCCCGCCACGGCCGCCTCCAGTTAACCTTACTGCTCTGGCTGCTGCAACAGGTACCATAGGCTGCATGCACTGACGACTTACTCGATCATTGGTAACATTGCCTACCACCTGATTCAAGCAGGAGCCTTCTTGTAAACCCTATGATGTCCAACTCTGCCATGCCTAACCAAGCCGTGCACCTGCCCAACCCCTTGTAACACCTTGCAGAGGCTGACAGCGTTTTGGACCACTTCCTGCCTCCACCTTCGCCGCCGCCACCAGTTCCTCCCAGCCCGCCAGATCTGCCCCCGTCTCCGCCTCCCTCGCCTCGGCCCCCCCGGCCCCCTCGCCCGCCGGGCCCACCAGTCCCACCCTCGCCACCGCCACCACCGCCTCCCTCACCACGCCCGCCACGCCCGCCACCGCCGCCTGGTGCGCCTTTGGAGCCGGATGTGCCGCCCCTGCCGCCCCCGCCGTCCAGCCCGCTGCCGCCCCCGCCGTCCAGCCCACAGCCACCCCCGCCGTCCAGCCCGCTGCCGCCCCCGCCGTCCAGCCCGCTGCCGCCCCCGCCGTCCAGCCCGCTGCCGCCCCCGCCGTCCAGCCCACAGACACCCCCGCCGTCCAGCCCGCTGCCGCCCCCACCGTCCAGCCCGCTGCCGCCCCCACCGTCCAGCCCGCTGCCGCCCCCGCCGTCCAGCCCGCTGCCGCCCCCGCCGTCCAGCCCGCTGCCGCCCCCGCCCTCCAGCCCGCTGCCGCCCCCGCCGTCCAGCCCGCTGCCGCCCCCACCGTCCAGCCCGCTGCCGCCCCCACCCTCCAGCCCGCTGCCGCCCCCGCCGTCCAGCCCGCCGCCGCCCCCGCCGTCCAGCCCGCTGCCGCCCCCGCCGTCCAGCCCGCTGCCGCCCCCGCCGTCCAGCCCGCTGCCGCCCCCGCCGTCCAGCCCGCTGCCGCCCCCGCCGTCCAGCCCGCTGCCGCCCCCGCCGTCCAGCCCGCTGCCGCCCCCGCCGTCCAGCCCGCTGCCGCCCCCGCCGTCCAGCCCGCTGCCGCCCCCGCCGTCCAGCCCGCTGCCGCCCCCACCGTCCAGCCCGCTGCCGCCCCCGCCGTCCAGCCCGCTGCCGCCCCCGCCGTCCAGCCCGCTGCCGCCCCCTCCGTCCAGCCCGCTGCCGCCCCCGCCGTCCAGCCCGCTGCCGCCCCCGCCGTCCAGCCCGCTGCCGCCCCCGCCCTCCAGCCCGCTGCCGCCCCCGCCGTCCAGCCCGCTGCCGCCCCCGCCCTCCAGCCCGCTGCCGCCCCCGCCGTCCAGCCCGCTGCCTCCCCCGCCGTCCAGCCCGCTGCCGCCCCCGCCGTCCAGCCCGCTGCCACCCCCGCCCTCCAGCCCGCTGCCGCCCCCGCCGTCCAGCCCGCTGCCGCCCCCGCCCTCCAGCCCGCTGCCGCCCCCGCCGTCCAGCCCGCTGCCGCCCCCGCCGTCCAGCCCGCTGCCACCCCCGCCGTCCAGCCCGCTGCCACCCCCGCCGTCCAGCCCGCTGCCGCCCCCACCGTCCAGCCCGCTGCCGCCCCCACCGTCCAGCCCGCTGCCCCTCCCGCCCTCCAGCCCGCTGCCGCCCCCGCCCTCCAGCCCGCTGCCGCCCCCGCCCTCCAGCCCGCTGCCGCCCCCGCCGTCCAGCCCGCTGCCGCCCCCGCCCTCCAGCCCGCTGCCACCCCCGCCCTCCAGCCCGCTGCCACCCCCGCCGTCCAGCCCGCTGCCGCCCCCGCCGTCCAGCCCGCTGCCGCCCCCGCCGTCCAGCCCGCTGCCGCCCCCGCCGTCCAGCCCGCTGCCGCCCCCGCCGTCCAGCCCGCTGCCGCCCCCGCCGTCCAGCCCGCTGCCGCCCCCGCCGTCCAGCCCGCTGCCGCCCCCGCCCTCCAGCCCGCTGCCGCCCCCGCCGTCCAGCCCGCTGCCGCCCCCGCCCTCCAGCCCGCTGCCACCCCCGCCCTCCAGCCCGCTGCCGCCCCCGCCGTCCAGCCCGTTGCCGCCCCCGCCGTCCAGCCCGCTGCCGCCCCCGCCGTCCAGCCCGCTGCCGCCCCCGCCGTCCAGCCCGCTGCCGCCCCCACCGTCCAGCCCGCTGCCGCCCCCACCGTCCAGCCCGCTGCCGCCCCCGCCGTCCAGCCCGCTGCCGCCCCCGCCGTCCAGCCCGCTGCCGCCCCCGCCGTCCAGCCCGCTGCCGCCCCCGCCGTCCAGCCCGCTGCCGCCCCCGCCGTCCAGCCCGCTGCCGCCCCCGCCGTCCAGCCCGCTGCCGCCCCCGCCGTCCAGCCCGCTGCCGCCCCCGCCGTCCAGCCCGCTGCCGCCCCCGCCGTCCAGCCCGCTGCCGCCCCCGCCGTCCAGCCCGCTGCCGCCCCCGCCCTCCAGCCCGCTGCCGCCCCCGCCCTCCAGCCCGCTGCCGCCCCCGCCGTCCAGCCCGCTGCCGCCCCCGCCGTCCAGCCCGCTGCCGCCCCCGCCGTCCAGCCCGCTGCCACCCCCACCGTCCAGCCCGCTGCCGCCCCCGCCGTCCAGCCCACAGCCACCCCCGCCGTCCAGCCCGCTGCCGCCCCCGCCGTCCAGCCCGCTGCCGCCCCCGCCGTCCAGCCCGCTGCCGCCCCCGCCGTCCAGCCCACAGACACCCCCGCCGTCCAGCTCGCTGCCGCCCCCACCGTCCAGCCCGCTGCCGCCCCCACCGTCCAGCCCGCTGCCGCCCCCGCCGTCCAGCCCGCTGCCGCCCCCGCCGTCCAGCCCGCTGCCGCCCCCGCCGTCCAGCCCGCTGCCGCCCCCGCCGTCCAGCCCGCTGCCGCCCCCACCGTCCAGCCCGCTGCCGCCCCCACCCTCCAGCCCGCTGCCGCCCCCGCCGTCCAGCCCGCTGCCGCCCCCGCCGTCCAGCCCGCTGCCGCCCCCGCCGTCCAGCCCGCTGCCGCCCCCGCCGTCCAGCCCGCTGCCGCCCCCACCGTCCAGCCCGCTGCCGCCCCCGCCGTCCAGCCCGCTGCCGCCCCCGCCGTCCAGCCCGCTGCCGCCCCCGCCCTCCAGCCCGCTGCCGCCCCCGCCCTCCAGCCCGCTGCCGCCCCCGCCGTCCAGCCCGCTGCCTCCCCCGCCGTCCAGCCCGCTGCCGCCCCCGCCGTCCAGCCCGCTGCCGCCCCCGCCCTCCAGCCCGCTGCCACCCCCGCCCTCCAGCCCGCTGCCGCCCCCGCCGTCCAGCCCGCTGCCGCCCCCACCGTCCAGCCCGCTGCCGCCCCCGCCGTCCAGCCCGCTGCCGCCCCCGCCGTCCAGCCCGCTGCCGCCCCCGCCCTCCAGCCCGCTGCCACCCCCGCCCTCCAGCCCGCTGCCGCCCCCGCCGTCCAGCCCGCTGCCGCCCCCGCCGTCCAGCCCGCTGCCGCCCCCGCCGTCCAGCCCGCTGCCGCCCCCGCCCTCCAGCCCGCTGCCGCCCCCGCCGTCCAGCCCGCTGCCTCCCCCGCCGTCCAGCCCGCTGCCGCCCCCGCCGTCCAGCCCGCTGCCACCCCCGCCCTCCAGCCCGCTGCCGCCCCCGCCGTCCAGCCCGCTGCCGCCCCCGCCCTCCAGCCCGCTGCCGCCCCCGCCGTCCAGCCCGCTGCCGCCCCCGCCGTCCAGCCCGCTGCCACCCCCGCCGTCCAGCCCGCTGCCACCCCCGCCGTCCAGCCCGCTGCCGCCCCCGCCCTCCAGCCCGCTGCCGCCCCCACCGTCCAGCCCGCTGCCCCTCCCGCCCTCCAGCCCGCTGCCGCCCCCGCCCTCCAGCCCGCTGCCGCCCCCGCCCTCCAGCCCGCTGCCGCCCCCGCCGTCCAGCCCGCTGCCGCCCCCGCCCTCCAGCCCGCTGCCACCCCCGCCCTCCAGCCCGCTGCCACCCCCGCCGTCCAGCCCGCTGCCGCCCCCGCCGTCCAGCCCGCTGCCGCCCCCGCCGTCCAGCCCGCTGCCGCCCCCGCCCTCCAGCCCGCTGCCGCCCCCGCCGTCCAGCCCGCTGCCGCCCCCGCCGTCCAGCCCGCTGCCGCCCCCGCCGTCCAGCCCGCTGCCGCCCCCGCCGTCCAGCCCGCTGCCACCCCCGCCCTCCAGCCCGCTGCCACCCCCACCCTCCAGCCCGCTGCCGCCCCCGCCGTCCAGCCCGCTGCCGCCCCCGCCGTCCAGCCCGCTGCCGCCCCCGCCCTCCAGCCCGCTGCCGCCCCCACCGTCCAGCCCGCTGCCGCCCCCGCCGTCCAGCCCGCTGCCGCCCCCGCCCTCCAGCCCGCTGCCGCCCCCGCCGTCCAGCCCGCTGCCGCCCCCGCCCTCCAGCCCGCTGCCGCCCCCGCCCTCCAGCCCGCTGCCACCCCCGCCCTCCAGCCCGCTGCCGCCCCCGCCGTCCAGCCCGCTGCCGCCCCCGCCGTCCAGCCCGCTGCCACCCCCGCCCTCCAGCCCGCTGCCACCCCCGCCGTCCAGCCCGCTGCCGCCCCCGCCGTCCAGCCCGCTGCCGCCCCCGCCGTCCAGCCCGCTGCCGCCCCCGCCCTCCAGCCCGCTGCCACCCCCGCCGTCCAGCCCGCTGCCGCCCCCACCGTCCAGCCCGCTGCCGCCCCCGCCCTCCAGCCCGCTGCCGCCCCCGCCGTCCAGCCCGCTGCCGCCCCCGCCGTCCAGCCCGCTGCCGCCCCCACCGTCCAGCCCGCTCCCGCCCCCGCCCTCCAGCCCGCTGCCGCCCCCGCCCTCCAGCCCGCTGCCACCCCCGCCCTCCAGCCCGCTGCCGCCCCCGCCGTCCAGCCCGCTGCCGCCCCCGCCGTCCAGCCCGCTGCCACCCCCGCCCTCCAGCCCGCTGCCACCCCCGCCGTCCAGCCCGCTGCCGCCCCCGCCGTCCAGCCCGCTGCCGCCCCCGCCGTCCAGCCCGCTGCCACCCCCGCCCTCCAGCCCGCTGCCACCCCCGCCGTCCAGCCCGCTGCCGCCCCCGCCGTCCAGCCCGCTGCCGCCCCCGCCCTCCAGCCCGCTGCCACCCCCGCCGTCCAGCCCGCTGCCGCCCCCGCCCTCCAGCCCGCTGCCGACCCCGCCCTCCAGCCCGCTGCCGCCCCCGCCGTCCAGCCCGCTGCCGCCCCCGCCGTCCAGCCCGCTGCCGCCCCCGCCGTCCAGCCCGCTGCCACCCCCGCCCTCCAGCCCGCTGCCACCGCCGCCCTCCAGCCCGCTGCCGCCCCCGCCGTCCAGCCCACTGCCGCCCCCGTCCTCCAGCCCGCTGCCGCCCCCGCCCTCCAGCCCGCCGCCCTCCAGCCCGCTGCCGCCGCCGCCCTCCAGCCCACTGCCGCCCCCGCCGTCCAGCCCGCTGCCGCCCCCGCCGTCCAGCCCGCTGCCGCCCCCGCCGTCCAGCCCGCTGCCGCCCCCGCCGTCCAGCCCGCTGCCGCCCCCACCCTCCAGCCCGCTGCCGCCCCCGCCCTCCAGCCCGCTGCCACCCCCACCCTCCAGCCCGCTGCCGCCCCCGCCCTCCAGCCCGCTACCACCCCCACCGTCCAGCCCGCTGCCACCCCCACCCTCCAGCCCGCTGCCGCCCCCGCCCTCCAGCCCGCTACCACCCCCACCGTCCAGCCCGCTGCCACCCCCGCCGTCCAGCCCGCTGCCGCCCCCACCCTCCAGCCCGCTGCCGCCCCCGCCGTCCAGCCCGCTGCCACCCCCACCCTCCAGCCCGCTGCCGCCCCCGCCCTCCAGCCCGCTGCCGCCCCCACCGTCCAGCCCGCTGCCGCCCCCGCCGTCCAGCCCGCTGCCGCCCCCGCCGTCCAGCCCGCTGCCGCCCCCGCCCTCCAGCCCGCTGCCGCCCCCGCCGTCCAGCCCGCTGCCGCCCCCACCGTCCAGCCCGCTGCCGCCCCCACCCTCCAGCCCGCTGCCGCCCCCGCCGTCCAGCCCGCTGCCGCCCCCGCCGTCCAGCCCGCTGCCGCCCCCGCCGTCCAGCCCGCTGCCGCCCCCGCCGTCCAGCCCGCTGCCGCCCCCACCGTCCAGCCCGCTGCCGCCCCCGCCGTCCAGCCCGCTGCCGCCCCCGCCCTCCAGCCCGCTGCCACCCCCGCCGTCCAGCCCGCTGCCGCCCCCGCCCTCCAGCCCGCTGCCGCCCCCGCCCTCCAGCCCGCTGCCACCCCCGCCCTCCAGCCCGCTGCCGCCCCCGCCGTCCAGCCCGCTGCCGCCCCCGCCGTCCAGCCCGCTGCCACCCCCGCCCTCCAGCCCGCTGCCACCCCCGCCGTCCAGCCCGCTGCCGCCCCCGCCGTCCAGCCCGCTGCCGCCCCCGCCCTCCAGCCCGCTGCCACCCCCGCCGTCCAGCCCGCTGCCACCCCCGCCCTCCAGCCCGCTGCCGACCCCGCCCTCCAGCCCGCTGCCGCCGCCGCCCTCCAGCCCGCTGCCGCCCCGGCCGTCCAGCCCGCTGCCACCTCCACCGTCCAGCCCGCTGCCACCTCCACCGTCCAGCCCGCTGCTGCCGCCGCCCTCCAGCCCGCCTTCGCCGTCTCCACCCTCGCCACCACCACCCTCACCCGACCCGCCATCGCCTTCACCACCCTCACCGGATCCGCCATCGCCACACCCCCCTTCACCACAGCCACCTTCACCGTCGCCACCTTCACCACCCCCACCTTCACCACCACCCCCTATGCCTCCACCCCCTTCACCGCCACCATCACTTCCCCTTACTCCACTGTCAGCTCTTCCCCCCTTACTTCCGCCACCCTCACCGCCGCCTCCCTCACCGCCACCGCCTTTACCGCCGCCACCTTCACCACCGCCCCCTTCGCCATTACCTCCTTCACCACCGCCTCCCTCACCCGACCCTCCTTTGCCCTCTCCACCCTCTCCACCTCCTCCCTCACCCGACCCGCCTTCGCCTTCTCCACCCTCTCCACCTCCTCCCTCACCCGAACCACCATCGCCTTCTCCACCCTCTCCACCTCCTCCCTCACCCGACCCGCCTTCGCCTTCTCCACTCTCTCCACCTCCTCCCTCACCCGACCCGCCTTCGCCTTCTCCACCCTCTCCACCTCCTCCCTCACCCGAGCCACCATCGCCTTCTCCGCCCTCTCCACCTCCTCCCTCACCCGACCCGCCTTCGCCTTCTCCACCCTCTCCACCTCCTCCCTCACCCGAGCCACCATCGCCTTCTCCGCCCTCTCCACCTCCTCCCTCACCCGACCCGCCATTGCCTTCACCACCCTCACCGGATCCGCCATCGCCACACCCCCCTTCACCACAGCCACCTTCACCGTCGCCACCTTCACCACCCCCACCTTCACCACCACCCCCTATGCCTCCACCCCCTTCACCGCCACCATCACTTCCCCTTACTCCACTGTCAGCTCTTCCCCCCTTACTTCCGCCACCCTCACCGCCGCCTCCCTCACCGCCACCGCCTTTACCGCCGCCACCTTCACCACCGCCCCCTTCGCCATTACCTCCTTCACCACCGCCTCCCTCACCCGACCCTCCTTTGCCCTCTCCACCCTCTCCACCTCCTCCCTCACCCGACCCGCCTTCGCCTTCTCCACCCTCTCCACCTCCTCCCTCACCCGAACCACCATCGCCTTCTCCACCCTCTCCACCTCCTCCCTCACCCGACCCGCCTTCGCCTTCTCCACTCTCTCCACCTCCTCCCTCACCCGACCCGCCTTCGCCTTCTCCACCCTCTCCACCTCCTCCCTCACCCGAGCCACCATCGCCTTCTCCGCCCTCTCCACCTCCTCCCTCACCCGACCCGCCTTCGCCTTCTCCACCCTCTCCACCTCCTCCCTCACCCGAGCCACCATCGCCTTCTCCGCCCTCTCCACCTCCTCCCTCACCCGACCCGCCATCGCCTTCTCCACCCTCACCCGATCCGCCATCGCCGCTCCCTCCTTCACCACAGCCACCTTCACCGTCGCCACCTTCACCGCCCCCACCTTCACCACCACCCCCTATGCCTCCACCCCCTTCACCGCCACCATCACTTCCCCTTACTCCACTGTCAGCTCTTCCCCCCTTACTACCGCCACCCTCACCGCCGCCTCCCTCACCGCCACCGCCTTTACCGCCGCCACCTTCACCACCGCCCCCTTCGCCATTACCTCCTTCACCACCGCCCCCTTCGCCGTTGCCTCCTTCGCCACCACCACCCTCGCCGCCACCCCCGTCACCGCGCCCCCCCTCGCCGCCACCCCCTTCACCGCGCCCCCCCTCGCCGCCACCCCCTTCACCGCCACCCCCTTCACCGCGCCCCCCCTCGCCGCCACCCCCTTCACCGCGGCCACCATCTCCTTCGCCTCCATCGCCTCTACCTCCATCACCCCCGCCTCCATCACCCTCACCCCCATCCCCTCCACCTCCTTTGCTACCGCCTCCATCACCCCTACCACCTTCACCTTCTCCCCCATCACCTAACCCACCTCCGCCGCCATCACCGGACCCATCACCGCCCCCGCCGTCACCAGAACCATCACCAAGGCCCCCATCCCCGCCGCCTCCCTCCCCGCGACCGCCCTCACCTCCTCCATCACCTGTGCCGCCGTCACCAACACCACCATCCCCGGATCCCCCAGGTGGCCGGTCACCTTCTCCTCCCCCATCACCCCCGGAGCCCCCCACACCCCCGGAGCCTCCATCACCCGCACCACCGGGAAGTCCCCGCCCGCCTCGCCGCCCCAAACCACCACCACCCAACCCCCTGCCGCCAAACCTGCCTCCAGAGTCCCCGAACCCCCCATCATCCCCCAGTCCGCCCCCGCCGACCTTGCCCAATGTGCCGGGCCTGCCGCCGCTTGCACCATCACCACCTCCACCGCCCAGCCCCTCTCCCCCGCCTCCATCGCCTCCCCCCAGTCCGCCCCCTCTTCCCCCTGGCTTGGCGGAGGTCCAGGAGCACCTTACGATTCTTCCTTCTACCGCCGCTATCGAGAAGGCCGGTGGCGTTGACGCCTACGTTGATGACAGCAAGAAGGCAGTCGCTGAGGCTTACGTAAGTGCCCACTAGTGCCCACTTTTGCCTCTTGCCACTTGTTCCCTATCCTCCGTTCACCTCCTCACGTTCAATGCTTACCGTGTTTCCGTATCGGGTAGCCCGACATGCACGTTGTTTGCTAATTGCCAAACGTGATTTCTGCTTGAAGTTACACTGTGCTCTGTCCAGCAAGCACACTGTTGGGTAATCGGTGCAGCGTTATCTCCTGTCGATGAACCTGTGCGACACTGCCAGCGGTTAGTCCAGAAGCATGTAACACAAATGTGCAACGCAAGCACCGCACTAGACCACCCGCCATGCCTTACTGCCTCGCTTCTCAGGGCACCACGCCGGACCACATCGTCGCCATGTACGACGGCAAGACCGCTCGCCGCCGCAGCCTGGTGGACCTGGACATCGCAACCGCCAACCGCCTGACCCAGATCAAGTCCCAGCTGCAGCTGCTGGACACCTACATCGTCAGCACAATGCCGTACGACCTGGAGAGAGAAGTGCAGGTACGTGCGGGCAGGGCGTGTGTAGGGCTAGTCACAGCTGGGGATTCACAAGATGACCCATGAGTCCGAAACTCTGTCTGTTGTGCGTGGTGCTTTCAGCATCTCCAACGCAAATTCTCATCGTGGTTTTGTCGCCCCTTCTCCTCCGTGCCGTGTTTGCGTCTGCAGGCCAGGATGGACGAGCCGGCGGCGCTTGATCAGTACCGGCGCGAGCTGCAATCCTCTGATGGTGTGCCTGCCATCGCCTTCCTGGTCCGCCTGACCATTGAGGTGCCGCTGCCGCCCTCGCCGCCACCTCGCCCACCGGCCAGCCCTGGCAAGAAGGCGCCGCCCATGGTGCCCAACCACCCGCCCAACCGCCCTCCCACCCCCCCCCGGCCGCCTCCAGTTAACCTTACTGCTCTGGCTGTCGCAACGGGTAAGATGGGCTGCATGTTTTTTATTAAATCATGGAGGCAACCCAAAAGAGACTGTTGTTAAGCTCTTGCGCCATATCCTAGCTTTTCCTTTGACGGACGGCAGTACCTACCGTGGGTGACCTAATGGGTTCATAGGTGACGTGCACGGCTGTCGTCATCCTTGCTTGATTGGGGAGAAAAGCTAGAGAAAGAAGAGAAGGCGGACGGTAGTTGAGCTAAGCCCCGCACACGAACCCTGCCTAGCCCATTTGCTATCGTGTTTTGCGAAACTTGCCCCTGAGCTCTGCCTCTCGCAGCCACGCCCAACCTGCATCGTACGCCTGCCTACCCGTTCTCCCGCGCCCCGCAGGTGCTGAGAAGGCTTTGGACCACTTCCTGCCTCCACCTTCGCCGCCGCCACCAGTTCCTCCAAGCCCGCCAGATCTGCCGCCGTCTCCGCCTCCCTCGCCTCGGCCCCCCCGGCCCCCTCGCCCGCCGGGCCCACCGGTTCCACCCTCGCCACCGCCACCACCGCCTCCCTCACCACGCCCTCCGCGCCCGCCACCGCCGCCTGGTGCGCCATTGGAGCCGGATGTGCCATCCTCGCCTTCACCCCCCTCCCTTCCGCAGTCTCCATCTCCGCCGTCACTTCCACCGCCGTCCCCGCGCCCGCCGCCCCCTGATATGCCAGTCAATTTCACCAAGTTTCAGGACATGTCTGCACAGGGCACGCTTGGCAAGGAAGGGTAAGTCCTTGGGCTAAGACACCTGCTGCCAGGATGGAGATAGTTGAAGAGCTCGCATCATTGCATCCATGACCATGCTGTTGCCTTCGTCTGCGTCCTGCGCCTCCCGCCGGCATGAATCCCCACCACAACAACAATGGGTGAACACTATGAAGCAAGCACCAAGCGCTTGATTGTCCGTTCCATTACAGTTGCTGTTCATCGAGCTTCACCGCCCATGCCTCCTTGCCATCCTAAAATGAAACACGGCGGGTCAACCCAACCCAACCCAACCCTTCACCATTTCCACACAGCAGGGGGCTTCCATAGCCTCCTGCCTCCTCTTTCCTTACCGTTACTTACCCTACCTGTACTGTGCTTAGCTTGTATACCCACACACAATGCGGCCCTGTGTTTGTACACATCTCTGTACGGCAGGAAGCTGGTGTGGTTCGGAACCCCAGATTTCAGACGACAGCTTGCCAAGTACTCGCCACTGCACCTGGTAAGTAAGGCCCACGCACGTACGGTGGGTGAGTAGATAGACGGACTGGTGACCCGCTGTTTGTTCATAAGGCATGCTTGGCCTCCAACTTCCCACCATGCCTGTCCACTTTTGTACGTTTCCAATTCAGCTGCGTACATTACTTACATCCTGCCGTCACTGTACGTACTTGCCTGCTGCCTGCCTCACTCGTCACGCAGATCAACGCGAAGAAGCCGGCTTGCTCTGCCTCGGCATGCAACGGCTGTGCCGCATCCTGGAAGGTCACCTCCACCAACGCCACCATCTACCTCTACTTCCGGGAGCCGGTGCAGATTTCCGAAATCCACATCAAGGAGAGAAAGAGCTCTGGCGTTGTCCAGGTGCGACATGTGCAGACACACGCATCTACCTATCTAGCTGTCTACGCGCTTCCTGGATACAATCTTTGCAGCATGTAATGATGTGTAATACGGTAGCATGTAAGCATGCACCCACTCAATGCACATGTGGAATGAAAGCTGTGTATGAACATGTAAGAACGCAAACTTGTGCGCTAGCACAGTGAGCCCACCTTGTACACTTCTCTGCCTGTCCTGCTGCTGCCTAAACTGGCTACCAACCTTCTGCTGCCACACCCACCACAGGTCCAGCTCCTCAACTGGGTGGCCCCTCCCTCCGACAACACCACCACGACCAAGCCAGGCCGGGTGGTCTACAACTCCACGATTGCCGCATCCGCCAGCGGCACGTGCCAGCAGTCCATCCTGCCCATATCCATCGGGCCCGTACGTAGCGGTGTGAACCTGGTTGTGCCGGCGGGCGGCAGCCAGGAGGTGCTGCCCAAGGCGCTGGCCAAGACGGCGGTTGGTGGTGTTGCCATCACGGTGCAACGTCCACCCAAGGCGGGCGCCAATTACGGGCCGTTCATTGAATACGTCCGGTTCACGGGCCGTGTGCTGTACCCGAAGGATGCGGCTGCCTACAGCAGTTATGCCCCGATGAAGGAGTAATAATCAGGAAGAGGATGCATGCATGCCTGCTGGGCCGCTTCGGCCCAGGGTTAGTAAGCAAGGTTTGATGTTGTTGAAGACGTGTATTTGCGTGTGTGTGTGTGTGTTCCATTCCGGGTACCCGTTCCAACGAACGGTGGAGGGTACCCATCATACACGGGTTGTGGGATGAGGATGACCCAACTTCGTACATTTACATTTCCATTTGGTACCATACTTCCTGGTGACGTTCGCTTTGTGAAGAATATAACGCGCGTTGTTCAGGCAGGCGGGTTATGGACGGCAATAGCCCCTGCATTGACCCGTTGCGATTCGCAGTAGTAGTAAATGTGTAGGCATGTTCAACAACAAGCAACTGGGACGGGTAAACCCCGTAGGTGGGTTGATAGCATTCCAACTTGCAACTAACGGTGCCACTGCACCAGCATGCGTTCGTACAGTGCATGTTGATTGATTGACGGTTGATACGGGTTAATTTGTCATCATGAGTTCGTAATGGGTAGGTTGTCTCTTGTGGCGCATAGGTGTTGCTTGGCTTGCTGGCTACCGGTATACATCTAGCAGCATGTGGTACGTTGACTACGCGTAACAAAGTTTTCCGCCCCTTTGGGAGGGTTTATCCTGGTGCTGGTCCTTCCATTCTAGGAGTTCCAGCCACTGTTAGTATCAATTCATTGTGTGGGAGGGGCGAAGAACCCCGGGCAGCAGCCCTGACCAAACCAGCATGTGTTCATGTTCCGCATCGTCTGTATGCTTGTATCTTGATTAAGTATGGATGGATGCAACTACTTACTTGCACGTGCATGCAACAACTCCGGGACAGGCACGCATGGACCTGGCAAGGGAGTGGGCTGCTGTTTGGCTATTCTTTTAGACCGAATATGGTTTTGTTCCTACCTTTTGGAAATGCCCACCCTGGTTTTTCGAGCCAGTTGCCCTGGACTGACTGTTGTTGGTAGCACAATTCCATTGTCTTTCGTTAAAGGCCGTGACTTCCATAGTTCCTAAATGAGTGCGGTCATGTTTGTAATTGTTCACCACCCTCACCGGTGTCTGTGCCAATCTCGGATTGACGTGTTTACACTTTCATACTTTGCAAGTCGTGCTGCAGAGCCTCATACATACACTCGTGAGCTGTGGGATACGACAACCTATCCTAATCAGCGAGCGACTACCGCGCCGGTCAGACATGTCAGCTCCCCTGCCTCCTCACTTGTGGTTTCCCTCACGACCCGCTGGTTTCGTTCCGTCAGTGTTTCTTCATCTTTACCCACCTGCACCCAAGGGTTTAGACACGTCCTGCTGCGGTCCCTCCCTCAGCCGCTGCAGGCACATGCAGGCACCAAGCCAGGCGGCCCTGCCGGCATACGTGCATCAAGGGCGGCAGGGTGCGCCCAATCTGCCTCCTTGGTGCCGACCCATGGGTCCTTCAGCAAGGATCTGCGTCGGTTGAGAACCGAGCGTGGTAATCCGAATGGGGCCAACGTAAGGCGGTCTTGTGAATACCGCGTCGCTGGAATGGACAGTCAGTAACCAACAGTGAGACCATTTCAGAGCTTCTCTACCCAGGGAGAGGTGTGGTGAAGAGTATAGCAAAGCCTGGCTGCCGGACTCAACCTGGATGAAGAGAGGTGCCTTACTTTGGCCCAGCACCCGAGCGGGCGGGCGTGAAGAGCTGGACCTCCTAAACGTTACCCCCTCATAGTCGTTCCCGAAAAGGACATCACGTTACGCAAGGTAACCGGGGCTAGCACGGCGGCACCTCTTGGGCGCAGGGCTGCTCGGGTATGGTAAGCTGCTCTCCCTTTCCTATCTGTACCAATGTAACTGGCACTGTACGGCTGCCAAGTAACAAGCAAGCCAGGAGGCGGGGGCTTACATAGGTGTTGCGCGTTGCCGGTAACACGGACGTGGAGGGGGGGTCCAGGACAGCAAACCTCACGGACAACACTCTCGCCAGCGTTCTACGGCAACAACAAGGCCTGCTCTGGTTCTCACTCTCTCTCTTCCCCTCACAATCCGTGACCTCCATGTGCCCCCCTCGCTCCCCCAACAGCAACAACCTCACAAGCTCAGGACAGTCGTGACCAGCCCGCTGGTCAGCTGGGACCGCCTGGGGCAAGCAAGTAAGCGCAGTACATGTCCCTGGGTACGGAGGGTCGGTCCCCTTCCGTCGTACTCTCTCCGCTCGTCTTGCTGTCTCTTCTCCTCTTCTGCATACCCTCCCTCCCTCGCATGCACCGTGTGCCGTCCCGCATAGCACCCCCCTGTCCCACCGCCTCGCCCTGCACGCCCACGCCCCCTTCACCGCCGCCCCGAGAGGCCTCTACGATGACATGTGCCGGCGGCTCTTGGCACACCAGGCGCGGCCCCCGCCCGCCCGTGTTTCCAGCCGGTACTGCCTTTTCCGTCTTGGTCTTGCGGTTCCGCTGATTCCGCTGTCATATGTGTGTAGATAACTGGCCGCGAGGCGGAACGTACTGCGATTGCCCTCTCCCTCTCGCCCTGCTGCTGGCGTGCTGCTACTGCTGCGCCTCCCCGCCCCCCGCGGACAGCTCCGCAAACACGCCCCTCGCCCGGCCCTCCAGCTCCTTCAGGTACTCGGCCTGCAGCGAGGGCAGGCGGGAGGGCGGGAGGGCAGGCGGGCAGCAGCTGTGGCGAGCCGCAGGGTGCATGGATGGTGGCAAGATGCGCGGCGGCAGGGTGCGTGGAGGGCACAAGATACATACCCCCACCCTCCATGCACTCCCTCCACCCCCCTCCCCCCCACCCGCACCTGCACCCTCTGCGCGTACGAGCCGCTCTGCAGCCCCAGCACCACCCCCTCCATGCGCCGCTGCAGCGCCTCCGAGAAGCCCGCCTCGCTGATGGCCCCCTCGCCCGCCAGCGAGCGCAGCAGCGGCACCCACTGCCGCTCGGGGGCTGACAACACCTGGGAGGGGTGAGGGGGGAAAAAATTAAATATGTGAAACAACGAGTCCCAATCTGGGAGGGGTGAGGGGGGGTGAGGGGGGTCAAAAGCCATACCGAACGAGGAGGAATGGATAATGCAACTGAGCTCCAAGGGGTGGGTGGGTGGGTGGGTTTGTACGGCAGAGATGTGTGCGGCAGAGGTACAGATAGGCAGTAAGGCAGGGTAGTCGGGCCACAGCAAGCGGCGAATGAGGAGGGTGTGCAACCGCTGGCGTTGTGCTGGTGGCGTTTGCGTAGCATTGTTGGCTAGGTCGCATGCCTCTTGCAGCCCTCCCACCCCGGCCCCCGCCTCCCTCCCCGCACCCCCACCTCACCTGGTTCAGCGCCCCCTCCACCCCGCTCGTCTCCCCGCTGCGCAGCTGCCGCGCCGCGTAGAGCTGCAGCACCGCCTGCAGCAGCTGGACCATGTCGTTGAAGCTGTGGTGGGAGGGGAGGGAGGAGGGGAGGGGAGGGAGGAGGGGAGGGGAGGGAGGGAGGGAGGGAGGGAGGGAAGGTGCGGGGTAAAGTAGCATGCTACCAAGTGTAGTGGGAGAGGGCGGGGCAGGGAGATCTAAATGGGCTTTGGTCGCAGCGGGGTGGTCGCGAGGGAGCAGCAGGCGGGCAGGGTGCACGCGAGGGCGGGAACAGGCTGCTGACAGGGGTGAGGCGCCCCACGCGCCACCAAGCCTGTGCCCCTAGGCCCCCCAGCCAGCAGCACAGCGGTGGGGTAAGCAGCACGCAGGGGGTGCACTGCAGAGCGCATCAGCAGCGACGCCCTGCCTGCCCCTTATGCTCGCATTAGGACAGGGGTCGGTGTTCATTACCCATTACGCCTCATCTCTCGCTCCCTCTTGCCCCCCGCCCCGCCCCGCCCCGCCTCACCCGTCCTCCGAGCTCTTCTTGATCCACGCGAATGCGTTGGACAGCAGCGCCTCGTCCAGCCGGGCGGAGTGCCGCTCTAGTGCCTGCCGCATGCGCTGGAGCTGGGGGCGGGGGGGAGGGGGGCAGGGGGAGGGGGAGGGGGAGGGGGGTTCCATGGTGGGTAGGGTGGGGTGGGGTTAGGCCTGTTAGGCGATGCAGGGAGAGTGGGTGTCCGGGCGCCCGTCCAGGTCGGTTCCGGGGCAGGATAGTTCGCCCATGGGGCAGGGAGCGGGAGGGGTGCGGCAACGTGAGGAGCGCGCATGGACCCGTTCGCCCCTCCCCCGGGCCGTAACTGGGGGTAACCTTTCCCGCGACTTCCCGCACCTCCGCGCGGTCAGTTTCTTCCTCTTCATCCCCCTTCCCAGCCCCCCTCCGAGCCCCTCTCCCCACCCCAGCGCCCCCCGGGTACCTGTTCGTCGCTGAGCGGCAGGTACCACTCGCCCTTCTCGTCCGCAGCCGCTACCAGGATGTCCTGAGGGGGAGGCAGGGAGGGAGGGGAGAGCAGCGTGCGGGGTGGGAAGGCGGAGGGGAGGAAGGGAGGACGTGGCGGGGAATGGGGATGCTGAGGTGTGCAGCTGGTGGGGTGAGGCGGCAAGTGGGGAGTGGGGGCAGGGGTGAGAAGCGGGCGTGCTGAGGAAAGGCCCAGGAGAGGTCGGCCTAGAAGAGCCCCCTGGTCCCAGCTGGTAAAACACCACCACCCTCCCCCCTCCCCTCCCCCCCACCTGCAGCACCCTGCCGCTGTCCTCCAGCTGCTGCTCCGTGCGGCGCCGCACCGCATCCACCAGCGCCATCACACTGCTGGCAACCGCCTGGGGGGGGGGAAGGGGGGGAGGGAGGGAGGGGTGGCGAGGAAGACATTAGAGGGGAAACGTAAAGAGGGCACTCCGCCCAGGGCACTGAGGAATTAGTAGAATCCGTGTACCAGCTGTCATGCATGGTGTCTCCTACCTCTCTACCCCTTTCCCGTACCCCAGCGCCGTACACTCCTACACCGTTCTCACCCCTCTCTTCCCCCTACCCGCCGCCCTGCTATCGCTCAGCCCATGGCCCTAGCTCTTCTTCCTTTGCTCCCCCATCAACCCCAACCCACCCCTCTCCCCGCTCGCCGCCCCCACCTGCAGCCTCTCCTTGTCCTCCCGCGTGCCCGCCGTGTCGCTGCGTGTGGCCAGGCGCATCCAGAACTTGGTGTCCACCGCCAGGATGTTCTCAGCCACCAGCTGGGCCATCTGGGGGGGCGGGATAGGAGAGGGGGTTAAAGAGGAAACAACTAACTGACTGAGGGATAAGGCGTCAACATGGGTTGCAACATGTGAGGGAGAGGGGGGTTCAGAGATACACCAAAACCACAGGTTAGGGCAAAGCATTGGGGATAGGAGAGAGGGGGGGAGGGGACGGTGATGTGTTTGGGGTAGTTTGGGGATAGGGAGAGGTGATAGGAGGAGGGGAAGAAAGAGAAGGAGGGGGCGGAAGGGAGGAGGAGGGCAGAAGAAGGGGTTGAGAAGGGGGCGGGGAGTAGCACTGTTGTGTCGTGCTGTACGCGGCTGAAGGGAAGAGAGTGGATGACAATGTATACCAAGGAATAACATCATGACGCCTGCATGCGGGGTGGAGCAACACGTACACATGGCTTTGGGTGTAGTGGCTGTGTACGGCTGCAGCTGTTGCACGGATGCCGTACTTCAACTAGGCGGCACCAAGGACTTGCGTTGCATGACTAACGAGAATCCTGATCAGCAGTATTCAGCAACGAGATACTTTTGAAGGCAGGAAGGTTGGGCTGGAGCCAGGGGAAGCTTTGCAAGGCAGGTCCGGAGGAAAGGGTTGGGTCATAAGGGCGCTGGGGATAGTGTAATAGAACCGGCCGACCCTACGCACGCGCATAGCGCACACCACAACGGCAGGCATGCTGACATCGCCACGAGAACCGAAACGTCTATCGGATTATTTGATGTGGGGAGCGCTTGCAGCACCCGACGGCGCGTATCATTTTATCCTTGCAGCACACCTGTTGTTGCGACTTCGTGCTGAGCAGCTGATCAATTAGCTCATCCAATGCAGCTGTTTCCTTTAGAGAATCGCCGAGGTCAGAGCGGGCCAGGACTCCACTCCGCGAGCGAACCCGCATTTGGCGACCGGGCGCGACTGGGCAGGAATGCGCGACGCGCATTCTTCGCGCCGATCTGCTTTGAACTCGACATGAGCTAAATGCTTCGACGCGGACGGCTCCCCTGGCCAAGCCAGAACTCAGGCGGAGCTCTTGACGATGCAGAACACTTTGCATTGTGTGCTGTGTATAGATAGGGTTTGCGTCTGGCACGGTTATTTAAAATAATAATGAGTCATAAACAGCTCCTTGGTGGCGACTACGGCTTGTATGCAATCCATGGCTCATTGCTGAAGTACCAAACTGCCCTTTACTGAATGCTTGCCGGACAAGGAAGACACTTTGTCTAACACGCTTGCAACTTATACTTTTGTCCTAGTACTCGTAAGCGAAGTTCTTGACACGATAGTCAGCTCGGTATCGTTCTTACCACTCAGGCGTGCAACAACTACTTGTATCACAACGATGCATATTTTCATTAGATAACAATTGCCGTTTGATAGTGTGATGCTTAAAGTGTGAAGAAACCGCCGCTCGAAAGAGCGTGACTTTTAGGCCGTCATGGATGAAGGACTAGGCGAGGACGCAGCAGCTGCTAATGATGCGCTGGTGTCTGGTCTCGCGGACGAGCTAAGCCGGCGGCTTACAAACAGCGACCCGGCAAGCCTGCCTATCCCGCCCAACGTCCGAAATGCACACTCTGAAGACCCTACTGTTTCGCCCATGTTTCGCAGGTACCTCCACCGCCGCAAACAGATAGCGGTGGCTCACTAAAACCTCCCCCGCGTATCCTTTGTGAGGTGCGTCAGATAGGATGCCGCACGGGTTATCACGAGGGCTCTTTCGGCTTGGCGTGGCGGGCAGTAGCGCTTGCATCAGGCGTAATCTCATACTGGGACCTTACTGGTGGGTTAACAACGGTTATCTCCGCATGCATACAGGAGCGCCACGACTGCACGGTTGATGATGCCGACCTGCGCTCCATTGATCATGGCTTGGTTTCAAAGTGGCGACAAAAGGAGAAACTAAAAACGACAAGCGTGGCGCTGGTGCTTTGCTTGAACATCGGCGTGGATCCCCCGGATGTGATTAAGATATCGCCGTGCGCCAGGCTGGAGTGCTGGGTGGACCCAATGTCGGCACAGCCCGCAAAGGCGCTCGAGCACATCGGTGAGCCACAACCCTGACAGCAGCATGCACACAACCCTATCCTTCATCCCCCCATGCGCGTTCATAACTGCCTCTCAACGCTATCCTCCCAAGTATGGGGTGTGGAAACATGACCCGTGGGACCACCGCCGTAGGTCCCCTGGGCTTTCTCCCTCACAGGTTTTTGAGGACTCTCATCTGTGCTGTCTCCCGGCAATCACTAACCAATGACCTCCACATCACCGCTTTCCTCAATCTCCCTGCCGCCGCTTCCCTCCGCCATCCCTCCCTACCCTAGCCCTAACCCTCTTCTCTTTCCCTCCGTCTTCCTTCCCGTGCTGCACCGTGCTATCATTATATCCCCTCCTCGCCTCCTTGCCTTCCACCTCTTCCACCCTTCCCCCCATTGCTTTGCCCTAACCTGTGGTTTCCTACGGTTTGGTATGGTCTTTGACCCCCCTCACCCCCCAGGCAAGAACCTGCAGGCGCAGTACGAGCGCTGGCAGCCGCGCGCCAAGTACAAGATGCACCTTGACCCCACCGTGGAGGACGTCAAGAAGCTGTGCCTCAGCTGCAGGAGGAATGCAAAGGTGGGGGGCTGGGGGGGCAGTTCTGGGATGGGGAGGAGCGCTGGAGTAGAGGGAGGGGCGAAGGGAGGAGCGGGCTGGGGGGGAGCGCTGGAACAGAGGGAGGATGCGGGTGTGGCACGCAGTGACGGGGTGCGCCGGGTAGCGGGGGGCGTCCGTCTGCAGTCGGCCCACAGGTAGGGGAAGCAGCACACGGCACGAGGAGTATAGGAAACAGCGGTGTCCTCTGCCCCTTTGCCCCACGCGCCTCTCTCTGGCCCCTCCCCTCTCCTCTGCCTGCCTGCGCCCCCCTCCCGTGGCACCCGGCCCCCTCCTGTCCCCGCTGCTTGCCCTACCTGTTAGTTCCCACGGTATGGTATGGTCCTTGACCCCCCCCCCTTCCCGCCCCCTCCCGCTGCACCCAGAACGAGCGCGTGCTGTTCCACTACAACGGCCACGGCGTGCCTCGGCCGACCGCCAACGGGGAGGTCTGGGTGTTCAACAGCCGCTACACGCAGTACATACCGCTGTCCATATACGAGCTGCAGGTGGGGAGGGGCGGGGGGATGAAGGGGGGCGGGGAATGAGGGAGGGTGGGGGAGTGTGGCAAAAAGGGGTGGGGGCGGGGGTGAGGTAGCTGGCAGAATGGGATGGCCGGGGCGGATGGAAGCGGAAGGACAGACACCACCCATCATGGGCTTCCCAAGTGCTGCCTTGGCCAAAGACAGATTCCGTGCACATGCGTGGGCCAGCAAGCATGCAAGCGAGAGCCCTCCCCAAGCGCCGCGCCCTCTCGCCTTCTGCCCCTACCTACGTTCCCACCTCCCCACCTCATCCCCCCCCTTCCCAAGAGCTGGCTGGGCACCCCCTGCATCTACGTGCTGGACTGCTCCGCCGCCGGCCTCATCATCTCCGCCATCCGGCAGCTGCTGGAGCAGCAGCGCAGCAGCGAGGCCATGAGGGGCGGAGGAGGGGGAGGCGGGGGAGCGGGGGGCATGTACCCGGGCATGGCGGGAGGGGGAGGGGGAGGAGGTGGAGGTGCGCCCGACCACTTGAAGGAGATCATTGTGTTGGCTGCGTGCGGCGCGGGGGAGCAGCTGCCGCAGAACCCCGACCTGCCGGCGGACGTCTTCACCGCCTGCCTCACCACGCCAATCAAGGTGGGGAGGGGTAAAAAAATATATATGATGAGGAGGGGAGGGGGGGGGGTAAGGGCCATACCATACCATCGGACAATTACAGGTTAGGGAAAGCAATGGGGATAGGAGACGGCAGGGTGCCACAATACAGAGTGTTGGTTAGTATTCCTGGGAAGGGGGGGAGGGAGGGAGACAGGAAGGAATAGGAAACCAGCCAGGGGAAGATTGTAGGTAGGCGGGGAGGAGTGGGATAGTGCGCATTGCGATCAACCCCATACACGTTACCTTTCCTCCCCCTTCCCCTCCCCCTGCCCTTCCCCTCCCCCCCCCAGGTTGCCCTCCGCTGGTTCTGCTCCCGCAGCCTGATGCGCCACGACGGTCTAACCAAGGACCTTATCGACCGCATCCCCGGCAAGCAGACCGACCGCAAGACGCCGCTGGGGGAGCTCAACTGGATCTTCACCGCCATCACCGACACCATTGCGTGGAACGTGCTGCCGCGGCCGCTCTTCCAGAAGCTGTTCAGATCGGTGAGGGGGAAGGGAGGGGCGGGGGCGGGAGAGGGGGCGTGTAGGTGGGGGGAAAGAGGGGAGGGGGGAAGAGAAGGATACCGAAGGGAGGGCTTTGGAGGGAAGGATGCAACTTGAATGGTCCACGGGACATTACATCTTTCTCTTTGGTGCAGCAATAACGAATGGGCAACACTGAACCAGTACGACTGATCCAGCACACCCTTCTTGCTATGTCGCCTCCTCCTAGCCCTCGCCCACCCCCATCCCTTCCCCACCCGCTGCACCCTCTGTACACACTAACCCCTCTCCCCCTCCCCCGCTCCCTCCCCCCCCTCTCTCCCCCCCATTCAGGACCTGCTTGTCGCCTCGCTCTTCCGCAACTTCCTGCTGGCTGAGCGCATCATGTCAGCGGCCGGCTGCACGCCCATCTCCTACCCGCGCCTGCCGCCCACCTCGCAGCACCCGCTGTGGCAGGCTTGGGACCTGGCGGCGGAGATGTGCCTGGTGCAGCTGCCCACGCTGAGCTCCGACCAGCAGGCGGAGTTCACACCCTCCAGTGAGAGGGGGAGGGGGGGAGGGAGGAGGGGAGCAGGGTACAGCGGTGGGGTGGCACAAGCAAACAGCTGCACGCGTGCGGGCGCATGCCTGGGGGGGGTGTCTCGGTCGCGTTTGCGCGCCTCCCCCCCGCTGAGCCGCATGCATCCGCTGCGGAGCCCCATCCGCCCATCAACCCTGAAGCACCCGCCGTTGAGCTCTGACTGGACTCCTCCTCCTCTTCCCTCCGACCCCCCTTCCCTCCTCTTCCCCTTCCCTCCGACCCCCTCCTCTTCTCCCTCCTCCCAGCCTTCTTCTCCGAGCAGCTCACCGCATTCGAGTTGTGGCTGGCGCACGGTTCCCGGGACAAGAAGCCGCCCGAGCAGCTGCCCATTGTGCTGCAGGTGGGGGGGCGGGAGGGAGGGAGGGAGGGAGGGAGGGAGGGAGGGGGGAGGTGAAAAGGAAACCGGTCCTAGGTGGCTAGGGGCCGGTGTGGGGGGTGGGAAGTGCGGTGGGATTGGGGGCGGGGAGATCGGGGCAGGGCAGCACTGGGGAGGGCTGTTGTGGGTGTGATGGTGCTGCACCCATGACCACCCGCGGGGGGAGCGGCAGTGGCAGCAGCAACCCACTGCACACCGCCGCGAGCCGCGCTGCCCCTCCTCTCTCGCGCTGGGAGCGCCCAACAGCCCCAAACAGCGCTTTCCTCGACCCGCTGCTTCCTCCCCCTCCCATCCCACCCTACCCCAGCTCCACACGCCTCCACGTTACCCCCCTTAATTGCGCTGTGCCCTTTTGTTCAGTCTTCGTTTGACGTCCCCTCTGCCCCTCCCCCCGTTCCTTTGCCCTAACCCTAACCTGTGGTTTCCTATGGTATGGTATGGTCTTTGACCCCCCTCCCTCCCCCCTCCCTCCCTCCCTCCCCCCCCCCCAGGTGCTGCTGTCCCAGGTTCACCGGCTGCGCGCGCTGGTGCTGCTGGGTCGCTTCCTGGACATGGGTCCCTGGGCGGTGGAGCTGGCGCTGAGTGTGGGCATCTTCCCCTACGTGCTCAAGCTGCTGCAGACCACCAGCGCCGACCTGCGCGGCACGCTGGTGTTCATCTGGGCCAAGGTGCTGGCGCTGGACAGGAGCTGCCAGGTGGGGGGAGGAAGGGGGGGAGCTGTGTGACGAGGGGGGCTTCACCTTGGGTTGCTTCATTGGACCCGGCCCATTCCGCCTCACCCGACATAGTAGGGGGGGAAAGTTATATAAGAAATGCAAACAACTAAGTCCCAATCCCATATCCCGACTCATGCAGGGATAGTAGGGGGGGGGGCTGGGGGGGGGAGGAGAACAAGGATGATTGCAGCACCCGGGGGAGGGGGGAGATATGTGAGAGTTAACCGTTGTTGATTGTTGTGACCTGTTGGCGAAAGACGAGGAGGGCAAGGAAGGTCCTTGCCTCGTGTAAAGGGCTGCCCGGAAGGCGGGTATCCACTCGCATTCCCCGAGCAAAACCCCAATTCTCCACACACCTCCTCTCCCGTCACCACCTTCCCCTTCCCCCCCTCCCCCCAAACTAGGTGGACCTTGTGAAGGACAGCGGGCACCTCTACTTCATCCGCTACCTGGACAGTGTGGACGGACACATCGACCTCTACTCGCGGGCGCAGGCGGCGTTCGTGCTGTCGGTCATATGCGATGGACACCCCAAGGCAGGGCGGGCGGTGGGGGGGTGGGGGGTTAGCAGCTGCATGGAGTGGCGGGGCTGGGACTGCTGATGCTGCTGATGCTGCTGATGCTGCTGCTGATGCGCCGGTTAAGTGGGCGTTGCATGCGTGCACACTCACACCGGGAGCTCACACCCCTCCAGCCCTCCAACCCCCTCCCTCCTAACCCCTCCCCCCCCCCTCACTGTCCTCTCAGCACCCATGGTAACACCCTGCTTAACCCTCCCTCTCCCCTCTCCCCCCTCTTCCCCCCCCCACTGCGCTTCCAGGGTCAGGCCCTGTGTGCCGGCAGCCAGCTGCTGGCGGTGCTGCTGCGCTGGCTGCGCTCGCTGGCGCCCGTCAACATCACGTACGGCCCCCCAGGGCACCCGCTGCTGCTGCGGTGGCTGTGCCTCTGCATCGGCAAGCTGTGCGAGGACATTCCGGAGGTGGGGAGGAGGGGGGGCGGGTGAGGGGAGTGGGAGGCGAAGGGAGGGGAGGGGATTATATAAACTGAGCCGCGGAAACACGGACTCTGACCGTAGTTTACCGGAGATTGCTTGATGGTGTCCCATCGGGGGCGGGGAGTGGGAAGTGGGGTAAGAAGATGGAAACCCAGCCATGTGACAGGTCTAAACCGTTAGCAGGGAGGCATGTGGGAGGGAAGACAGGGAGAAAGGGCTGAGGGAAAGGAAGGACTGGGTGAGGGAGAGAGGCAATGTTGTCTAAATCCGGCCGTCATATCCCTTCTCCTCCCCCCCCCCTTTCCCTCCAGCCTAATTCGGAATATGTATCCTAACAACCTCCCTCCCCCTCCCTCACAACACACATTGGAATTTCTTTTTTCCCTTCCCAGTTCTCCCTGCACGCCATCCGCGAGGGCGCTGCGGACATCCTGGTGCAGCTGCTCACCTCGCCGCTGCCCGAGATACGCGCAGCAGCCATATTCGGCCTCGCATGCCTCATACACAGCTGCCCCGACCCGGGGGAGGCTGCAGCGGCGGCGGCGGCAGCGGGGGTGCACCACGGGGGTGCGGGTGCGGGAGGAGGTGGAGCGGGTGCGGGCGGGGAGCACCCGGCGGGGCTGACCCTGACGCCCTCGGAGGACCGGCTGCCGGCGGAGAGGCTGATTGCGGGGGCGGTGACGCAGGTGGGGGTGGGGCGGGGGGTTTAGATGAGTGGGTGGGTGCTTTGGAGGGATGCATGGGGACTGCTTCAGTCACCTCGCAGCGCCACTAGGGACATACGTGGGGAAGGGCGCTTCTGAACGCGACGCTTGTGATCGTCTGCCCTGCATCATCACCACGATGCTAATCCTCCTCCCCTGCCCCTGCCCCTGCACCTGCCCCTGCCCAGGTGGTGTACGACCCCGCCGTGCTGGTTCGTGCCGAGCTGGCGGTGCTGTTCGCTCGCTTCGTGCGGGGGCACGGCGCGGCGGTGCGCGAGGCCATGGCGGCGCAGCAGCGCAGGCTGGAGGAGGCGGTGGCGGCGGCGAGGGCGGCGGCGGGAGGGGGAGTAGCGGCAGGCGAGGACGGCAGCAATGGATACCGGGGGCGGTCGAGTCCCGGGCACGTGCAGGAGGGTGGGTGGGGAGGGGAGGAGCTGGGGAGTTTGGGTGGAATGGAGTGGGGATGGTGGCGGCAGGGAGCGTGCATGAGGTGCCTATCACAAGAGGGGAGTTGGTGATATGCGGTCGGGCGCAACACGTTCCTGCTGCGTTGCTTTCCCCCTGTGCACTCCTCACACCTCTCGTCTCTTCTCACCCTGTCTCTCCACTCCACTCCAACGCCCACCTCCGCAGCCTCCTCCGGCGGCATGCAGCGCCCCCCCTCCGCCCCGCCCGCAGCGGCAGCGGGAGGCGGCCCCCCTGACGGCGCTGCCGGCGGCGCCCCCGCTGCCCCCCCGCAGCAGCAGCAGCAGCAACAGGTGTTGTACTCCAAGATCGCGGAGGCCATCACCATGCTCGCCCTCGACCCCGCGCCAAAGGTGAGCACATGGGAGCTGAGGGGATGGCCCCCGCTGGGCTGCAAGCCTTTCCCGCCTCTACCGGTGCCCGTACCCGCCCACTCGTCCTCCTCCCCATTCCCTCTCATTTTCCATCTACCTTTCCCCCCTCATCCCACACCGCACCATCTCCCCACCCCCAAACCTCCACACAGGTCGCCCGACTCGGCCGTGACGTGCTGCGTATCGCGCAGTACGAGCTCTCCTTCGCCTCCGCCGCCTCCGCCCCCGGCAGCGGCTTCGGGCCCCCCAACGGCAGCCTCTCCCCCCGCCGCGGCGACTCCTCCGCGGTCGGCTCCTTCGCCGCCAAGCTCAAGCCTCGCTCCTGGCGCGCCGGCTTCACCATCGGCGGCCTGCCCAACCTCTCGCGCATTTCCGCGGAGCCCCACGACTCGCACCACGCGCCGTCAGCGTCCTCGTCGTACAACCCCTCCACCTCGGTACCTGGCGGCGGAGTAGCTGGCACCGCCGCCGGCGGCGGCGCCTCCTCCGGCCCCGCAGCCGCCATGATGCGGCGCATGACACCCGCCGGAGGTCCGGCGGGAGGCGGCAGCGGCGGCGTTGCCGCTAGCGCTGCGACGTCGACGTCGGCTTCGCCTCCGTCGCCGGGTCGTGACGTCACGCTGGCGTACAGCCGTCATCCGTACACGCTGCGTACGGTGACGGACCCCAGCGGGCTGGGCGGCGGCAGCAGCGTGGGCGGGCTGAGCGACTACGACACGACGCATCACGGCGGGGCGGCGGGGGTGGTGGGGCCGGCTGGGGGCTATGCGGACACGCGGGCGCATGGGGGCAGTGGCCTGGCGGGGGCTATGCTGAGTGGGGCGCAGGTGGGCACTGGGGTGGGGTGGGATGGGGTGGGGCAGCCGGGGTCGGCACAGCTGTGCATACACAGCTGCCGAGAGGTGTGAGTTGATTGACTGCATGGCGCCGACAGCAGCAGAGTTGTTGTCCTTCTCTTCTACCGTACCTGCCTTTTAGCCATTCGCACGCTTCCATCCGCATCCTGAACCTTCCTACCTTCATTAGCCCTATCCTTAACCGTATGCTTTCCTGAACCCCCTTCGACCCCCGCCCCCCCTCCTCCCAGGACGCCCTGGGCGGCTCCGGCCTGCACCCCCACCATCCGGCCGGCGCCCCCTCCCTGCCGCACCCCCCCGTCCCCGTCCCCAAGTCGCTCATCTACGCCCTCTCCTGCGAGTACTTCAGCCGCCCCATGCTGGAGCCGCAGTCGGCAGCCTGGCGCGAGTCGGACGGCGCCAAGCTGGCGCCCTGGACCGCGCCCGCGGACCCGGAGCGGAAGGCGCGGCGGAGGGGCATGATGGAGGGCGCGGCGGCGCTGTCTCGAGCCATGAGGACACCCAAGCTGAGGGAGCAGGTGGGGGGCGAGGGTGCGGGCGGGGCAGCCGGGGAGGGGAGTGTAGGGAAGCAGGGCGGGAGGGGGGGTGTGGAATGGGAGGCAGTAGTGTGCCGTGGTAAGCAGGTGGCAAGAGGGAGCGAGTGGGGTACTGTGCTCAGGGTTAAGGGCACAGCGGTGTCATGGCATGTGAGGTGAGTGGGTGCCCTCCAGTACGGCTGCCCCCCGCCACTGGTGCGCGGGTGATGGGGGGCGCATCTGCTGCTGGCCTGCTGCTGCCTGCCACCCCTCCGGCTGCTGCTGCCGCTCCCTCCTCCCTCCTTGCCGCTTCACTCGCCACTTACCGCGCCGCTCCCCTGCCCCCTTCCTTCCTCCCCCTCCCGCCTCCTCCTCCGAATGCGCTCACTGCATGAGTCGGGATATGGGATTGGGACTCGTTGTTTCACATATTTAATTTCCCCGCCCCCTCCTCCTCCGCGCGCAGCTCCACTCCATCGAGTCGGGTCCCGAGCCCGTGTCCGCACTCGCCTTCCACCCCTACCACCAGGTGAGCAGCAGGGGGGCGCTGTGCGGGTGGGGGTGGGGTGCGGCACTGGGGAGGGAGGGAGGGGTGACACTCTGGACTGACTGCCTGGCGTGACGCTGCATATGGTAGCACAACTCCCCACAACCCACAACCGGCTGAAGAGCGATACCTTCCGTGTGGGGCTTCCCGACTCATCACACCCCACCGCCATCACGCTTCTCCCTACCTACTACGGAACACTCCCTCCTGGTATTCTGGCAGGACCAGTCAAGCTGCTGCGTATGAAGGCCATGCCCCCTCTGTTCCCCTGCCTCCCTCCCCCCTGCCACCCCCCCCTCCCCACAGGTGCTTGTGTCCGCCGATGTGCGCGGCCAGCTGAAGGCGCACACCTACCCCGACACCAAGCTGCTCAACAGCTTCCATGTAACCAACGGTGGGGAGGGAGGGGCGGCCGCGGCCTGCTTGCTTGCGTGCCCGGGCCTGCCTGCCTGTGGCTGCCTGCCTGCTGCTGTGGATTGGAGGCACCGCACGGGGGGAGCCACATCAGCATCATCAGAGAGGGGGCTATTCGCTATGGCCGTTACCCATGGCTCACATTCCTAGAGCACCGAACCCCTGCCGTGCACCGCCCTTCCTTGCCCTTCCTCGTGCATCCTCCCACGGTCAGCCTCTTGTATCCTCCTAACCACCCCCCACCCCCGTCTCCCCCCCCTCCTCCTCCCCCCCCACCCCCGTCTCCCCCCCCCCTTCCTCCTCCTCCTCCTCCCCCGCCCCCCCAGGCGCCCCCCATGCCGAGTCCCGCAGCTCGCTGCCCTCTCGCGTGGTCTTCCTGCGCCACATCAACGAGGCGGACGGTCCGCTGCTGCTGGCGGGCAGTGCGGACGGGGCGGTGCGCGTCTGGCGCTCCTACCTCAACAGCGGCGAGCAGCGCATGGCGACTGCGCTGCAGGTGGGGCGGGGGTGAGGGGGAATGGGCACTCCGCACTGAGCTGGGGTGGGGTGGGCTGGGCTGGGGTGGGCTGGGGTGGGGTGGGGTGTGTGACCGCCCTGGACTGCTCCCTTATACTGTAGCACGGCAACCGAATGCCAGCGGTTACCAGCCATGTGCCCCCCTCCCCCGCCTTGACACCCGCCTCGCTCAGTAGCCTCCTCGATTTACGCGACGATTCCATTTACCGACGTTACTGCCAGCTACTCCAACCTACGGGCTGCGCTTACTACTGGTATCTAATAGTATCCTACACACTTCATTCCCTGGATACTTAACCATCAACGTATAAGCCACATTGCTATCTTCTGCTGGACGCCAACGGGTCATCCTATGGTCACGGTCAGTGGTTTCTCGCGGCTCAGTTTATCTAATCCCCCCCGCAGGCGGTGTCCATCCACCTGGTGCCCACGCTGTCCTTCCCCACCGTCTACAACTGGAACCCCGCCGCCTGCCACCTGTTCGCGTCGGGGGGCAAGCAGCCCGACTACGTCTACGTGTGGGACCTGCTGCGCGAGCACTGCCACTCCGTGCTGCCGCTGCTCGGAGGTGCAGCGGCGGCAGCGGCGGCGCCGCCAGGCGGCGGCGTCGTACCACCCGGTGTAGCCTGGCCCGCCACCGGCGGCGCTGCCCCCGTCAGCACGGGCGTGGAGCAGCTGCTGCTGAGCAGCCTGGACCCCAACCTGCTGGCGCCCGTGTGTACGGACGGCACGCTGCGTGTGTTCGACCTGCGGTCGGCCACCTCGCCCCGCTTGGTGCTGCAACCGCTGGGCAGGTCACCGCTGGCGGGGGCCGTTCTGGAGCCGGGCGGCCGGCAGGGCTTGGTGGTGGTGGTGTCGGAGAAGGGGGAGATGCGGTGGCTGGACCTGCGGGGCGGCACGGGGGGAGGCGCGCCGGGCGAGGCGGGCGGGTCCGAGGGGTCTTCCTCGTCGTACACGTACAAGACGCTCCAGGCGCACACCAAGGGCGGCGTGTGTGCGCTGACGGCGCACTCGCTGGCGCCGCTGCTGGCGACCGGCACCTCCTCGCAGGTGGGGGTGGGGGTTGCAGGCGGGCAGGCGGGGTAGGCTAACAGGGGGAGCGGGGTTAGGAGACGCAGGAGTGGGGGGAGGTACAACAAAAGCAAGTACACAGAATTGCTGCGCTCATCGCCACCTCTACCGCTGCCTCTCCCTCCACCTCTCCCCGCTTCCCCGCACCCGCACACCCCCCCCACACCCACCCAGGTTGTCAAGATCTGGACGGACGACGGCGACGTGGTTGGCACCCTGCGTCCCGGCAACAGCTCCACGCTGCTCGCCCCGCACAAGGTGGGCCCCGTCACCTCCATGGTCTTCCACCCCTACCAGCCGGTGCTGGCGGCGGCGGGCAGCGACCACTGCACCGTGTACGAGCTGTGCGACCCCGGGGCGGCGGGGGGGGCGGCGGGGGCGGGGGGCCGGGCGGAGAGGGCGGCCAGCCTGGTGTAGTGGCCTGGAGCGTGGGGGGCGTGGGGGAGGGGGGTTTGCTGTCGGCGGGGATGCGAGGGCTTGGACTTTCAGGAGGCGTCTTTGCACGGCGCCGCGGAGGAGATGAGGGCTGGGGCTGAGGCTGGGTGCCGCGCGCACGCACGCACGCGCGCATGTGCGTTGTGCGTGTGTGTTTACTGGGAGGGAATGAGTTCAAGGTGCTGCTACGGATGGTGCTACTTGATGTGTGGAGCTCTGGCGGACCGTGAGGCTCTTGTGGCGCTACAGCCGTGCGCCGGCGTAAGGCGATGGTGGTGTGAACGGGTTTGCCTGGGGGGTCGTTGATGGGGGTGGCCAGAGGAGCGGGGCCTTGCTTCGCGTGGCGCCTATTTGACAGTCGGAGTCGTGCTGGTTCTGGGCTTTTCAGGAGTTGGATTGCAGCTGTGTGCTTTGGGGTGTGGTAGGGGGTGAGGTGGGGGGTGAGGTAGGGGGGCTATTTGGTTACTTGATGACGTGGAGGGCTGAGAAGCCCCGCGTACTGCCTCCTAACAGACGGCGGCATGAGCAGTTGCGGCTGCCGGTGGTGCCCATGGATAGCTTGTATCGCTGCTAGGACAGCAGTTGGCATGGTTGCTTTGCGGCGTTGCTTACCGGTAAGAGGCTTGGGAGGTGTTAGCGGACTTCGTAACACTGGGCGAGCTGCTATCCTAGCGGCCGAGACTGGCGTTTTGGCGACTGATTGAGGAGGAAAGAGCGAAATGACGGGTTTTTGGGTTTAGCTGGATGTTGGGGTCTACAGCGGTGGTGTTTCAGAGGCATGTGGACTCGGGGCGCGGCCTCGCTTAGCTGTGCTGTGCGCTGTTCTGGGGAGGGCGGCTGGGAAGGAGAAGACCTTTTGAGAGCAAAGACAGATAAGAAACAAACGGGGGTGAGGAGGGAAATCAGTGGGCATACCAGATTGTTGTTTCAAGCGAGCAGAGTTCCGTTATGTTACCTACCCTTCCGTACAACGCAACAGCACGGTTGTGTTTTGGTTGATGCTGATCAGAACAAGCGAGACGGAGTACGTGAGAGAGACGTACGTTTACTGGTAGCAGTATCTTGGGTAGTAACACATGTCGTACGACATCGTGTGTCGTGACGCAATGCGGTAAAGTGCAGGTGTGTTACCGGTACACCCTAGCCACGGCACCCACCGGGTTGCGGGGGGGGTGAGGAGTGACGCAGATGAGGGCTCGAGGAGGCATGTAGGGGGGCTCCCGTTGTAGTCGGCTGGGTCATGCGTGTACGGTACATGAGGACTCCTTGCTAGGGCTGCTAGTAGCCGTAATAGGGCACAAGCCTGGGAGACGACTGAGGACACTCAAGGTGGTAGCAGAGGGAGGCGGTCCAGGGGAGGCGGCTTCCCCACATAAAAGCGGTGTAGTGTGGATGTGCCAGGACATGCTTAGCGCCCTTTCACATGGCGGCCTGCTGCGGGTTCGGGTGCGCACTCACGTTTGGGAGGACTGGAAGGGCGGGCCGGATACGGTAAGTAGCGGTAGCGGTGGCTCCTTTAAAGTGAGCGTCAGGGGCGTTAGGATGGATGGGCAGTAAACGGGCAACGTGTGGGGTGCACGACGCCGCATAATCATGCTTCTGCATGTCTGTACTGCAATTGGACGTTGAAGGATGGGGGCTTCATGGGGCTTTAGTGAGCCCACATGGACTGCGCTACCAAGCCCCTTCCGAGAGCCGTACAATTTGAAGTGTAATGCCAACGACGTGATGCAATGAGCAGCAGATGCCTTCCGTCCCTCATTGGGGCAAGCAGTGCTCCTAGTATCCTGCTCTCTGGAAGGCGCTCGTCCATCAAGGTATGGCCGCCCAGCGAAATTGGTGATCGTACGACCTTATGATCCGAGCATGGGGCTCCGGTGTGTTAGGCATTGTTAGGCAGGTCCAAGCGCCTGGAAGGCAACAGTGACGAACAGCAGTACACGCCGCTGTTCTTACGCCACCTAACTACGCTGTGGACACAGGAAATCACATGTGATGCCGCAAGTCGTCAACCGCTTTGAAGCGGATGTTTGACTATGCGGTCTAGCCGAACACCAATACGTTGTATGTCGACTTAACTACAACCTCGAGGTTGTTACATAAGATCTGCAAGGCCTAGTTACTCTTTTTTCGCTGAGGGATGGCGCGCCTGCTCCTGCGAGCGGCAGTTGCAGTCGCGTTAATCGGAATTGCATTGCAATACTTTGGTAAGTCTATTATTATCGCAGCCGTTATCTTGAAAGGGCCAGCGATGCCCGGTGTACGCGCTGGGGTTTGCGCGCCTGCCTGCTCGTCGGCATTGTGCTTCCAGAGTGATGCTTTGAGTAGCCCTTACTGTGCCATTAACGGAGTGTACGTTCTCGAATGTGTCTAGTAAGCCTCTGGCCCATAAGTCGTTGTCGAGCAATCGTCACCGTACCCTCCGCACATGCTTAATGCTGACCTCTTGACCTGTCTTGTCCAGCCCATTAGGCATGGCGCCCCTCCTGACGCCCACCCTAAGCTACATCCCCTTTCCTTCCTTGGGCCTTATCCATTCCCCTGCCTCCTGCAAACCATCCCCTGCCTTTACCGTCATCAAACAGGCCTCGCTCCACCACTTCCCGGACTCGGCCTCCTTTCCGCCCGGCTTGGAGGCAGCAGCGGGGGCCCTGGCAGCGTCAATACAGCCAAGCTGCTCGCAGACCTCAACTGCGATGTACGACAAGGCCCAACAGACGACAAGAGCAGCAGCGCTAGCAGCAGCACGCAGCAAGCCCAGTCCTCCCCGCTTCATGACGGCGAGGAGCGGGCCAGGCAGCAGCAGCAGCAGCAGCAGCAGGTCACATCCGCAGCTCTGTCGGTCATGTACCTTGCTTCCATGCCGGGGCTGCGGGAGCAGGTGAAGCAAGAGGCAGGTGCGTAGATCGGGGTGGTAGAGGGCTTGGCGGTCGGCCCGGGTAGTAAGCACGTGGACTGCTTGATTCCAGCTCTGACTTGGTGACGTGCCATCAGGTATCTTGGAGTCGCTGGTCCGCCACGTCATGACACCGGACCTGGCGGCCGCACAACACCGCCTGATCAGGCAACAGCAGCAGCAGCAGCAACATGAAGAACAGCAGCAGCGGTCAGGGGCAGGGTCAGGGGATGCCGAGTTGCTGCCGGCGTGTCTGATGGCGCTGGCTCAGCTGGCCGGGGGGGACGTGCGGCTGCAGGGGCAGCTGCTGCTGGGGGCGGGAGGTGGAGGGGGAGGGGGAGGCGGCAGCAGGGCGGGAGCTGCAGGCCCCCTCGTGCTGCGAGAGGGGCAGCTGCTGGAGCGGCTGGGGGTGATACTGCGGAGCGGTGAGATGCGGCGCGGTGGGGCCCACCTGCTCCCACACCTGATGGGTATCGGGTTACAATGCATGGGGGCTGGGGGCTCGGGGCAGCGGAGGGTGGGAGGGATGGGAGGTAATGATGAATGCGGTATGTGATACGGGGTAGGCGGTGCGAGGGTGGGACCCGGTACGGCGATGTCGCGCACTGCCGCTGCAGGGAGGGAAAGTAAGCCGCTGCATGAAGGGAGAGCTGCATGCACGAGAGCTGGGTGGCACTCCCCCCTGAGGACACCCTGCAGCGGCGGCGGACGCGGCGGAGGTCACCACATGCATGCGTGGGGCGTGTGTGTGTCCTGCTGTGCCCGGCAACAGCAGTCGCCTGACAGTAGGGTGCCCAGCAGTAGGGTGCCGGTATGTGATGGTGGTGGTGGTAGGTGTTGCACTCGTCCGCTGCCCCCGCCTGCCCGCAGGTGTGCCCGCCTGGCAGGCCGCTGCGGCGGTGCTGCTGCGCTCGCTGGCGGGGAGGGAGGCGCGGTCGCTGCCCCCACACCACCACCACCACCACCAGCAGCCTGCTCCCCCCTCCTCCTCCTCCTCCTCCTCCTCCTCCTCCTCACCCTCCTCCGCTGCTGCCGCCGCTGCGGTGTTATCGTCCTGGGTCAGAGCCCACTCGGAGGAGCTGCTGGAGGCGGGGGTGGCGCTGCTGGAGGCAGGTAGGTGGGGAGAGGAACAAAGCGGCCTTGGGTCCTTCCTTTGTTGCTACAGGGAGAGGAGGGGGGCAGTGGCTGTGCGCGCGAGGAGTGTGTGGGGGAGGGCTCCCAGCCCTGCGCTGCTTCTCCCTAACCTCTCCTCACCACGACGCATGCATCCAGTCCTCGGCTCCATCTCCTCCTCCTCGTGTTGCTACACGACCTCCCCGCCGGTGTCTTCGTGGAGGGGCCTTAATGGCGGGGTCTCGACGGAGGGGGTAGTAGAGGGGTACTTTGGGAGTCTTCCCGCCGGCTCCCGTGGTCCTGTGGCGTCTGACCGCTCCCCTTTCCGCCTCCAACGGACCCTCTCTTGCCTTTCTTCCCCTCCCCTCCCCCCTCCTCCTGTCCTCAACCTCTCCCCCGCAGGTGCGCACTTCAACCGCACGGACGCGCTGCTGTCCGGCGCCCGCCTGCTCGAACTTCTGGCGGCTGGCGGGAGTGGCGGGGGCGGCGGGGGAGCGGGGCGGAGGGGGCTGGTGCGGGCGGAGGTGCCGGCACTGCTGGGGCAGGTGGGGCCGAGGAGCGGGGCATGGGGCGGGGTGGGGGATGGGTGCATGAAGGTGGCGAGGCAGACCCCGGGTGCAGGGAGTCATGAGGAGGAGGAAGGGCTGGGAGGGGAAGGGCGCGGGATCGTGTCCGTATGCATGTCTCGGTTCACCTAGGCGGTCGCTCATTACCGTGTCTGGTTGCCGTGCTGCCCCGCTGTCCCCGCTGCCCCCGCTGCTCAGGTGGTTCTCACCTTTGCGGGGCTCAACAGCAGCAGCGGCGGCAGCAGTGAGGTGGTGGGCGCAGCGGCGCGCGTGCTGGGCAGGATCACAGCTGCTGCGGGGGCGGGGGCGGGGGCGGGGGCGGGGGCGGGGGCTGCGGGGGCGGCTGGTGGGGCTGGCGGAGCAGAGCAGGAGGAGGAGGAGGGCGGCAAGGAGGAGGATGTGGCGCGGGCGGTGGCTAGGAACATGACGCTCAGTGGTGAGTGGGCGAGGGGTCACTGCGGGGGGGGGGTTGGCCTCCTCTGTAAGCCTTGCGGCCCTCACCCTGCTGACCCCAACCACCGCCTACCTGCCACCCCCAGGAGTGATCGCCCCGCTGGTGCGGGAGGTGCGGCTGGGCCACCCAGCCAGCCTGGCGCCCTCCCTGGCGGTGCTGAGGGACTGTCTGGCGGCGGATGCAAGTGACCCGCGGGTCGGTGGCAACGCACGGTTGGCGGGCCATGAGGCAGTTGGAGCGGGGCTGCTATCGTTGTGCGCGCAGCTGCTGTTTAAGGTGGGGGTGCGTAACTCTGAGAATGTCTGAGAGGGAATCAGGTACTGCAGGGTGGAGAGCTTCATGTGAGCTTCATGTGGTGGGGAGGGCGTGAGGCCTGTTGCAGCTTTTGTTGTGCGAGGCTGCTAGCTGCTGCTGGGTCAGGTGGGTCAGGTGGGTCAGGTAGGCAGCGGTTCGTGGTGGGGAAGGGAAGGGATCTGATGGACAGCAGCTTGGGTGGGGAAGAGGTCCAACCTCTTCAACCTCTCTCATACCCAATGGTCTCTTGTTTTGCCGTACCCTGGATGTACTGCACAGGCGGTGTCGGACCCCGAAGCGCGTGTCATCTGCTCGTCCATCGTACGACACCTGGTTGCTGCGAACAGCGCTGGCAGCGGCAGAGCCAGGCCTGGAGAGGTTGCCGACAGCGGCAGCAGCAACGTCGGCGGCGGAAAGGGCGGGGCTGCTGCCGCGGCGGCAGTTGAAGGAGGCGGAGGGTTAGGGCTGTACGGCAACACGACGGAGGGCCGAATGGAGCTGGCTGCTGACTTGCTGCGTGTGATGCGGTGGGTGGACGGCTGGGTGCGTGGCTGGGTGGCTGTTGGTTGTCAGTCGTCGTTACGGGGTGCGTTACTGGTGCGAATCACGGTCGGGGACAAGGGGGCCCCGGGTTGCAAGTTGGTGGCGCCGCCGTGTGGTCGCCTGTGTACCCACCTCGGGTAGCCCCACCTGAGGTCGTGTACCGCATCGGATGTACGACACCCCCCCTCCCCCCCCCCCCAGCGAGACGCAGCACCCCGACCTGCACAACGCGGTGCTGGAGGCGTGTCGCGACGTGGCGCCCGCAGCCCTGGCGGCGCAGGCGCTGGTGCGGGCGGGCGCGGTGCCGCATGCGGTGCACATCCTCTCCCACACCCCCTCCCGGGACCACACGCAAGGTGGGGCCGCCCTCCGCCCCCCTCACACCACCTGCCGCACCGTTCACTAAACCCTACAGAACCCAGCAAGCTAGGAGGCCCCGCCTGATGCCTTGCTTGCCTTGATGGCGCCCTGCCTCCTCGCCGGCTGCCTAACCAGTACCTATCCGCGCCGACCGGATACCGTACCCTGCCCCTACAACACAAACCCCATACGGTGCCGTCAGCAGGCGGCGGCGGCGGCGACGGCGAAGGCGGCAGCAACGGCAGCGACGGAAGCCCCCCCGGCGGCGGTCTGGACGCCTCCGGCACCGCCTGGGTGCTGCAGTCGCAGCGCTCCGCCGCCGCCCTGCTGGCGCTGCTGGCGCTGCAGCCGCCGCTGCGGCAGCGGGCGGTGGCTGAGGGGGCGCTGGGGGGGCTGGCGGCGGCGCTGCGGAGCCACTCGGGGCAGCCAGGGCTCATGGCGCAAGTGCGGGTGACGGCGGCGGCGGCGCTGGTGCCTCTATTGGGTGGGCGGTTGGGCGCGGGTGCGGAAGGAGATGAACTGCTTTCCCTTGAGTGATGGGTGATGGGTGGGACGGGCGCCAGCGGGGTGCGCTGCTTTGGAGCTTGTTTGTGGGGATGAGCTTTGGGCAGCTAGCACAGGGCGCTGTAGGCCACCTCCCGCCTCCCACCTCCCTCCCCTGCACCTGCATCTGCTCCTCCTCCTCACCATTCCGTCACGCCGGTTGTGTTAACACCCACCCACTGCCACCCCACCCCCCCACCCATGTTGAGGCCTTATTCCTTAGTCAGTTAGTTGTTTCCTCTTTACCCCCCGCAGGCGAGGACGGGCGCTACGACGAGGCTGCGGTGGCCGCGGGTGTGTTGGAGCCGCTGGTACGCATGCACTACAGCCGCAGCGAGGCGGAGCGGCGGGCGGCGGACCGAGTGCTGGGGCTGCTGGGGCGGGGGGCGGCGGTGGCGGACATGTACGAGAGGGTGGGGATACGGGTGTAGAGGCGGTGTGGGGGAGGAGGAGGAGGAGGGAGGAGGAGGGAGGAGGAGGAGGGAGGAGGAGGAGGGCGATGGGAAGGGCCCTGCTCGGTGATCGGCATGCATGCAAGGGTGCGGCTGCACGTGGTGTGCATGTGTGCGGGCGATCGCGGGAGAAGCGCGGGTGGGGAGATGTTAGGTTGGGGTGGGTTGGCGTGCGGTCGAGCGAAATGAATGGCAGGTGCTGGGTGCGGCCCTCTTCCGCTTCCGAAGGATCCACAGTAGAGGGCGTGTACTGTGCAGTGTACGCCGGGATGCATCATGCATGCTCTGGGTGCGCCCACATATCTGTTCCAACAGCTACGGTGATGGCATGAGGCAGGCGAGCGATGTACAGGTTTGCAAGCGGCAACGGCAGGTTGGTTACCGGTGGCGGTTGGAGAAGGCGCTTGCGCGGGGCAGAAGGGCGTGTTTGGACGCAGCTGCGGATGAGGGTGGCTGCTGCTGCGGAGTAGGAGGCCTAACGGAGGACAGCGGTGGACAGCGGTTTGTGATGTTACAGGGGATGTGTTGCATGCTCGCATCCTCGTGTGGATGTACATGGTTGACAACATCTTAGCGGAGCCTGGTCGCAGGCGCTATCGGTTGCCAAAGAACCAAGGAACTACCGGTAGCCAAAGCCGTGTAAGGCAATGTGTTGCCAGGCGTCAATGTCATACGGGCCTTGCTTGTGCAGCAGGCTCAAGATCACATACAATTGATATAAGGATATAAGATCAGATACGGCTATGCACATAGCTATACGCCCTTCACACATTCAGTCGTATACGTTACGTGCATTTGGCCCTTCAACCCCGCACACGCCTTAGCAGCGATCAGCACCCCACGCATCCAGCGTACAAGTAGGGCCCCAAAAAGACTGCCAAGCAAACTGAAGTGCTAACACAAAAGTTCCTATCAACACGTCGTCCACGTCACAGGTACGGTAATGCAAAATGTACAAAGCACACATCCATGTAGACCAGCATGCTACCTACGGAAATGCACCAATGCTCGCTTCTTCCACTTTGTCTGCCCCATGGCCGGACCTAATAACACACCCAACCCCTTTCACTTCCCCACATGCATGCCACACCAGCCAGCCAGTCCTACCGGCCTCCTCTCACCCCCCACCATACCGTCTCCATCCTCGCCTCCACCTCCGCCCTACCCGCGGCCAGCTGCTGCAGTGCCGCCTCCACCGCCCCCTCCACCTGCCCCGCCATCACCCACCTCCCCTCTCCGCCTCCGCCTACACCACCCGCCCATCCAGCACGCGCAGCCGCCTCCACCGCCCTCTCCAGCTCCCCGAGCAGTAGCGCCAGGTCCGCATCCAGCTGCGAACGGACCCCACCGCCACCCTCGCCCCCACCCTCACCTCCGCCCCTGCTGCTGCTGCTGCTAGCGACCTTGTTGCCGCCGCTGCGACCCCAAGCAGCACCCCACCTACTGCCCGCCGGACCACCACTACCGCCGCCACCGCCACCACCGGCAGCCTGCCTTCCAGCTCCTCCGCTGCTACCCATCCCGGGAGCCGCCTCCACCTCCACCCCCCGCCTTCTCCCCAGCTCCCCCACCACCGCCGCCACACAACCACAAGACAACCTCGCCCCTGCAGCCGGGTGCAGCCCCCACAGCGCCCCTCGCAGCGGCACCAGCAGCCGCTCCACCACCTCCTGCGTCCCGGCACTGGGGCAGCCGCCAGCACCAGGACCAGCACCAGCACCAGCACCGCTGGAGGAACCCACCTCACCCCCTCCTCCTTGACTCCTACTCCGCCCCGCCCCACCACCACCGGACCCCCCCACGCTGGCAGCACTGCCGTACATCTTCGCAGCTCGGTCGGCCACCTCTTGGACGAGCAGGTCGGCGGTTCGATCCGCGACTGCCCTCAGATGCGCGGCTAGACAGCCCAGCAGCCGCAGCAGCGCGGCGCCTTCAGCGGCGCAAAAGAGCGCGGAAGCAGGTAGCGGCGGCGGCGGCGGCGGAGGGGGAGGTGAGGGAGCAGCTGGGGAGCTTGTTGTCTTCTGTTGGGCTTGTATGCCACCGCGGTCCTCCTTGCCTACCAGGCACGCAGGTTGGGAGCTTGCGGGACGGACGGGTGGCTTGCCTGGATGCGCACGCAGGGGAGGAGGATGAGGAGCAGCAGCAGCGGTAGCAGCAGCAGCAGCAGCTGGCGGCGGCGGCAGCGGCTCCACCGGATCCTCCGACCAGCATAACCGCGAGCACACACCGCCGATGTTGGCCCTGCCGCAATCAGCCTTGCCCTCCCAGCTGCCTCCTCCTCCTCCTTTTCCGCCTCCTCCTCTTCCTCCGCTGCCGCCGCCTCCATTCGCATCCTCCGCGGCGGCCAGCCCGAGGCCAGAGGAGGGCGCCACCCGCCGTAGGCGCGAGCCCCAAAGCCCGGGTCCCCTTCGCCCTTTCCGCTTCGCCGTCTCGCCCTTCCGCCCGCCCGCCACAGCCTCCTGGCCTGCTGCATGTAGCGCCTGGGGGCCGGCGTCACTGGCGGCCCCGATAACGATCATCGGCCAAGCAGCCATGTCCGCTGCTGCGGTTGTCACCGCCGCCGCCGGTGGTACGACAGCGGCGCCGTACGCGCCACAGCTGCTGCGATCGCCGCTGTTGCAGCCACTGCTGCTGCTGGAGAGCGCGGGTGCGGGTGCAGCTCCAGCATCCACCACCGCTGCTGCCGCCACTTCCCCACCAGCAACACTCGCCAGGGATGCGGCAGGAGCGCCTGCGCCCTCGCCACAAAGCCCCAGGCCGCCCGCCCACAGCTGCCGCCAGAGCGCATGCAACAGCAGCAGCAATCGCTCGGTGGCCGACCCAAGGGTCACTGCGTCGCTGTGAGCCACACAGAGTGCCTTGAGGTCCGCACTCGCGCCGGGGCAATGCAGGTTGGACACGTGGGTGAGGCGGTTGGTGGCGGCGACGCAGGCGACGGTCGCCAGTCGTACGACAGAAGAGCCCCACAAGGCAGCCATGAGGCATGTGTCGTACGACAAATACGGCAATGCGATACCAGTGGTGGCGGCTGATGCGCACGTACTGTGACTGTGGCTGTTGTACGACGGGAAACGCGCTTCCTTAACTGGTGTCAGCGGTAGGCCACCGCCGCCGCCAGTGACGGCCGCGGCGGCTAGTGGAATCTGCGTTAAGGCCGTCAGGTGATGATGCGACGGCGGCGCTGGCGGCACCGCCATTGCCGCCGTCGTTGTCTTCTGGTCGGACGTCACCAGCGCCGCCGCTAGCGCCCGCACTCGGCCCGCCGCCAGCAGCAACGCCGACTGTAGCAGTAGCAGCTGCTGCGGCCGCGACTGTCGCCCGTCCCCCTGCATCGGCAGCACCGACGGCGCCAAAGGCGACGAATCCCCCAGCTGCCGTTCCCGCTGCTGCTGCTGCTGCTCGAGTAACTTCCTTTCCTTTTCTACCACCGAACGGCTGCCCTCCTCAACATCCCGCACCCATGCCGCCGCGTTCTCCACCCACACCTGCTCCTCCCGCACCCTCTCCTCCTCCTCCTCCTCCTCCTCTACCGCCGCAAATGCTAATGCGGCGTCAGACGAGGCGAGCCACGAGGTCGTGTGGCCGCCAACCGCCGCCGGTCGGACTGCTACTGCCACTGCAGCAGCGGCGGCGGCCGCTACAGCCGTACCAATAGCAGTCTCGGCGGCGAGAACACGAGTGGCGCCCGGGGGTAGCGCTGTGACGGCGACCGCGGGTCCGTACTTATCCGCCGCCGTACCCGCCCTGAGGTGTACGGCAGCGATAGCAGCGGCGCCGCGAATGGGTTCCCCGGGGCAACCGGGGCGGAGACAAGGCCTGATCACAACCGACTCGCAGCGCACGGCAGCCAGCAGCTCCCGTACACGATCCAGGAAGAAACATGTGCCGTACTCGACTGCCGTACTTGCAACATGCCGCCACAAGAGCACATCTTCCCGCTGCTCTCTTTCCTGGCCCTCTCCCCCAAGTCCCCGTCGATGCCGCTGCTCTGTCGGCCTTCCCTCCTCCTCTTGCTGCCGCTGCTGCTGCGGTTGCTTCCGCCTCGGAAGGTGGCTCGGCAGGGGGCCAGCCACGACAGGCCAGCCGTCAACAGGTGTCAGCCGATCCACCTGCTGCTGCTGCTGGCCCCTCTGCTCAGCAGGTATTGAAGGCCCAAGCTGCCCAGCGCTCTCCCCCGAGCAAGTGGAAGCTGCTGACGTGCTGCTGCTGCTGTCGTCGTGTACGACAACAGGTACGACAGTGCTGTACGGCAGCGGTGGTGGAGGTGGTGGTCGGGGGTCGGTATCGTCTGTGGCGGCTGTCGATGACCGACTGGCTGCCATGCTGGCGACGGAGGGCGGCCTCTCCACTGCACCCATCACCACCGACACCGCCGCAGCGGCCTCACCTGGGCTCCTACACGCAGCCGCCGCCGCACCCTCCTCCTCCCTCCCACCGCCCGCTGCCTCCATGCCCAGACCGCCGATTGCTGCAGCAGCTGCTGCTCCACCTTGCTTTCTCCGCCCCTTCCCCTCTTGCTCTCCACCACCCTCCCCCTCCTCCTCCTCCCCCGCCTGCAGCGCCCGCCGCAGCACCCGCAGCTCCCGCTCGCACAGCCCCCGCAGCGTCCCGTTCACCGCCTGCAGCTGCTGCTGGGTCTGCAGCGGCTGGGGCTGGGGCGGGGGATGCAGCCCCTCCTGTTGTTGTGGCTGGTGTTGTTGTTGTCCTAGGGTTCGTGGAGGCAGCCCTGATGCGGCAAGGGAGGACAGCGCACCCGCCTGCATTAAATACGGCAGCACCTGCGACACCGCATGCCTGGCGCGCTGAGTCAGGAAACACGACAGAAGGGCGAGTGGCGGATGCACATCTGCCGCCGCTCCTATATTCGCTAGAGCCGCAGCTGCTACAGCCGGGACGTCGCCGCTGCAGCAGCTGCTGCTGCTACTTGCTGCGTTTACTGCAGGCAGCCGCTGCTCGCTTCCCTTCTGCAACGGACAGCAGCAGCCTCGTACCGCTGCTGCGGCGCCTATCGAAGCTGCTGCTGCCGCCTTTTCCGCTGCCTTTGTTGCTGCTGCCGCTGCAAGCGCCTCCTCCGCAGCGCTGTTAGGAGCCTGGGAGGCCGCTGCGCCGCTCCCGGCGCCTCCCGAGGCGGAGCCCGCGGCGAGGTCCAGGATCGCTCCTGCGGTTGGTCTTGCGGCGTCTGACGCGCTGCAGCCAGCTGCCAGCACCCGGGAGGTGCTGCCGGCAGCAGCAGCGGCACTCGGAGCGGGGTGGTGCGCCGCAGCGCCCGCCGGGACCAGGGCGCGAGCGGGAGGAGCTGCTGCGGGCCGTGGTGGTGGTGGTGGTGGTGGTGCCGGGTTGCGCCGCAGGGGGGCCCAGGCGGGCAGCTGGTGCCGCTCAGCCCACACCTGCGGGGGAGGGAGGGGGCCGCGGGCAGGGGCAGGGGCAGCAGCGAACGGGGGAGGAAGGGATGGGGGTGAAGTTGAGGTCTTGGAGGGGACTTGGCGCTCCTTCTTTGTGGCGGAGTGCGGGTGTGCTCCTCGTGTAGACCAGGAACACGCCCTCGACAACAACAGCGCAGTCAGCACAACACAGCATTCCTCCCCCTTGCTGGCCCCTACCAACCGGCCCCACCCCCTCCCTCACCGCCATGCGCGTGTGCACCGCCGCATACAGCCGCCACACCCGCAGCCACCCCTCGCACCGCCGCTCCTCCTGCTGATCCTCTCCCCCCTCCCCTCCGCTGCTCGCCTCCTCGCCCGCCTGCCCTCCATGCCCCCGCCCCCACCCGCCCGCCTGCTCCCTCAGCCTGCCCCCCACCGCCCCCAGCGCCTCCAAGCCGGCAGCCAGCAGCAGCTCCAGGGCGCAGCGCAGGGCGGCATGCGGGGCGGGGGCCAGCGAGGTGGCTTGCGACTCCGACAGGTCGCCTGGGGAGGGACGGTGGGTGGGGTGGGAAGGTAGGAGTGGGTTGACGGGAGTGGGGTCGGTGAACATGCAAGCAGGAGGTATTGCTAGTGTGGAGGAGGAAGGGCCTGCCGTACGCTGCTGCCCGCAGGCCGCATGCAGCGCACTGTACGGACCCACCCAGCAGGCCCCGCCCAGGCCGCCGCCCCTCTCCCGCCCCGCAGCCTCACCCAGCAGGTCCCGGCTAGCCCGCTGCAGCGCCCGCCACACAGGCAGCTGTCGCCGCATGTGCCGCAGCGCCGCGCTGCACGTGTGGCATGCAGCAGCAGCAAGAGGGTCGGCAGCAGCAGCAGCGCCAGTACAGCCACGGGCAGAGCCAGCAGCAGCGGCAAGCCCCTCTTGCTCCCCGCCGTGTGGGTTGTCCAGGGGCGCCATGATGGCAGCTGGGGGTCGGGTTGGGGTGGGAGGAGCCGGGTTGGATTTGTGGATTGCGGTCAGGTGCGGTGAGCGTGGAGGGTGTTGTGGTGGGGGTGAGGACGAAGGGAACCTGAAACCTTCTACCATGTTATGATCCCTCAGGGGCAAGAAGGAACTTCCTGTCCCCGCCGTAACCACCACCCATTTCACAGCTACCCACCCAAAGCTGCGATCTCGCGCAGAGTCATGTGCCGCAGCTCATCCCAGGCGGCAGCGAGCAGTGCCGACGCAGTCGCATGCAGGGGACCGACATTGCTGCTGCCGACGTTAGCGCCGCTGCCACTGCGCGCGGTGTTGGCATTGCTGCTGCGCCCTGTGCTGGTCTGATGTGGTAGCAGCTGGTAGCATCGTGCAGTGCCATTGCGATGCGGGGATGAGCTGCTTGCTGGGGAGCATGTCTGGTCAGCTGAGGGATAGGGAGTGAAGGTAATGAATCGTCACTAGCGCCATTTCAGGCGTGGTCAGAAGGATTGCACCCCTTGACCATTTTGGAAATGTGGATTCGCAGTTATGGGCTTCGGCACGGTTAACAGCACTTACCAGCATCGCTGCAGGCCCTCCTCGCATGCAGCAGATAAAGGCAGCGACGCACAATTGTTAATGTGCTTTTGCATTCTTCTGTCCATCTGAAGCACTGGAACCCCTTCCTGCTGTGGTACTCCACTAGCGCGCCCCGTCTGCATGGTGAAAGCGCAAGACGAACCACGTAACATGTAGCATTGTTTACCAATCTACTGGAATCTGGCAACAGACTTACAAATGGGCAAGAGTCTTAGAAGAGTCTTCTGACAACCCCGCTGACCGGAGTGCACAGCCCTCGGTCATCCTATCTTAAGTCGGAGGTTAATGTGTAGTGCAAACCATTGCAGATGAAGATACATGTTTGCAAAGCGCAATGGTATCGTCTGTCGACAGTCGAGCATACTAGCAGGAAGAAACCGGTCTGTACGGCGATCGGCCTTTTACTCAACCTGCGCATTAAGCAGTCTTCCACCGTAGGCAAATAGTTTCTTGCTTGCACATACTACAGTGGAAAATACCTAAGCGGATAGGCTTGTTATTTGGGAAATGTCTTGCACTCTCAGGGTCCCCTCCTCTGCACGATGCACTAGCACTTCTTACACCCGTAAACATGCCACAGCTAACCAGCTCCTAAAGCAATTAGCACGGTTCAACCCAAATCAGCTCAGCAGCTACCAAGGCGTGAAGCTGCTGTTGCCGACAAAGGGTGCGGTGCACATGCCTCCTGATTGAGAGGCTTGAGTATATGGGAGCTAGACCCGTCTAATTACGCCTTTCCGCGCTGGGCTATGTGACACAGGTCGGCTGGCCATGACTCCGCAAGGGTCCGCCCCAGCACGCAAGGTAACCAGTCTTTTCAGCGCTGTTTGAGTTGGCTTGGGCCAATTGGGCTTGGGCGTCGGCTCAATACGCTTTCTGCCTGTGCAGCCGGTGCAAATGTCATTCCTTGGCGTGGGTGCTCCAGAGGCGCTCCTAGTGGCCGTGGTCGCACTGGTGGTGTTCGGTCCTAAAGGCCTCGCTGAGGTGAGGTCGCAACCTGTTGAACATCAGAAACAGTCTTCCGACTAACACACAGACCCGTGGGGCCTGTTGCACCCTCTTGTTGGACCCACACCGCAACACCGCGTCTCACATGCACGCGCCCACCTCAGGCCGCGGCCTGTGCAGCACCCTCAAAGCCAAACAACCTGACTTGCTTGCTCGCACACGCGTGTCGTTACCCTGCCACCCGCTTACCCCTCAGCTCGGCCGACCCCGGTGTGAAGCCCCTTGCGGCAGCCGTCCCCGCCAGCCTGCCACTTCCTTGACCTTTTCAACACCCTTCACCCCGCTCCAACTCCTCTCCACTCCTCACCCTCTGCGCTCCCTCCTCCCAATCCCCGCATCCCCGCATCCCTATCTACCCACCTCCGCCCCTCAGGCCGCCCGCAGCCTGGGTTCCGCGCTGCGCGCCTTCCAGCCCACCATCAAGGAGGTGGTGCAGGTGTCGCAGGAGCTCAAGGGGTCGCTGGAGAAGGAGCTGGGGCTGGAGGAGCTGAGGCAGGCCTCCAGGCCCAGCCCCACCCCGCTGACACGGGATGCGGCGGAAGGTGGGAGGGGGGAGGGGTCGTGGGAGCTGAGAGGGGGTGCGAGGGCAGCCGGGCAGCGGGAACTGGGCCGGATTGGCGGCGCGGGTGACTAGGTGAGGATGGTTCGACAGTTTGGGGTTTGGGTCTGCTTCGGTGGGCTGCCGGGGTACATGTGACGAGTTTGGGGCGATGAGAGCGGGGGGCCCTATGTCCCTCGGGACTGGGAGCGCTCCGGTCCAGCCTGACCTAAGTGCATACCCTTCTGCATTACTGGAACGGCGGCCTCAAACCCCCGCCCCCGCCTCCCCAGGCTCCCTCAGCAGCATCTCGGACTCCATGGCTAAGAGTCTTGATCCGGAGATTGAGGCCAAGCGGGCAGCATCCGCGCAGATGGCCTGGGGCGGCGCCGCTGCGCCCGCCAGCCCCTCCGAAGCACCCGCTGCTGCTCCTGCTGCTGCTGAGGCCCCAGCAGCCGCACCTGCTGCAACTGCGGCTGCTGCCGCCACTCCCCTAAAGGTGAATGGCTTGTTCGGCTCCGGGGTCCGGGGCGGGTTTCCCGAACCGCCATGTCCCTCTGCGGCTGTACTGCACCGCACTGCACCTGTGAGCAAAGCAGCTTGGGGGATGTCTCATTGCTCAAAGTATGTGTTTACAGACCCAGCATCAAGCCTGCAAGCGTCGCATGCGTCGCAAACTGATATGCTGTGCGTGCTGTGGACCTCCTGCGCTCCCACGTGTTATGTCTCGCAGGACATCTCCTCCATGAGCCTGGAGGAGCTGCAGGCGGAGCTCAGCCGCAGACGGGCGGGGGCGGGGGCAGCGGGGGGCGACAAGCAGCAGCGGCAGTGAGGGCGGCGGCTGCCGGGGGACACCTGGGGCGGTGTCAGGAGGGAGAGCGGCTGTCGTTGTCTGCTGAGTGGCGCTGCCTGCATCTGGGCAGTAGTTTGACGCTTGCGTAAGCGGATGCTTTACCTTATACGGGGTAATACTCACCGTTGATTTTGTGGCGTTGGTGCGGGGTAAAAATCGGTGCTGCTTTCATGGCTTTGGTGAAGGGCGAGGTATTCCCTGCGGCAGTCGGTGCGCATGTGTCACGTTGCATGGTGCATAATGGGTGCCGGGGCGCTTTGAATGGGTGTGGAAAGGGGGCGCCGCGATAGAGCAGGAGCGTTAGTATGCGATGAGAGGGAGAGCAGTTTTGCACATGGGGTCGCAAGGATGCGGATATGATTGCGTTCGTGCAGGGCTAGATGCCCCTGTCCATTTTCCCCATGCAGGACAGGAGCACTGAGCCCTTGTTGACGACAGTGTTGGACTTGCATACCGGTTTACTAATACTTTGTATTAAGGTTTACTAAAGCCAAGATTGCACGCAGTTCAGTTAACTGAACACATGGACTTGCTTTTTATCGGGTAGGGACATCATACCCCTGGTGCAAATTGTTGTCACGGTTGGAGAGGCAACTTGGGTAAAAGTTGCTGACACGCTATACAACGCACAATGCAATGCCATACCTCAATCGAACACAGACACAACAAAACCAACAGGCTCGACGCTATGTCCGAAACAACATGGACACCGCCAAGCCCCTCCACCCTCCATCAACCAGCATGGGAGTATGGAATAAAGACACCGGTAAAGAATAACCTTACAACGAAATGACATGGCGGGGTCGTGCGCTTACCTGCACAACCCCTCAACAGAAAGATAACATTACGGACTGCCGTGGCCCCCGATGCACACCAGGTGTATGCTTCAGCCCTCGCAGGCGTTCATGTGCACGTCACACATAGCCCGCGGGCCCACGGGTCCAACAATGGCGGTCATGCATTGGTTAGGTTAAGGCAGCATACATGGCTGCCACCCCTTAATGGAACACGCTTAGGGATCACTAGAAGCGTCTGCATTCAGCTTTCAGATTACCTTCCCGACGAGTCGCAGTGGTGTACCCAACGCGGTCCTCTGACACAAGGCACAGTCGCACAACCACAGAGACCTGGTCCCAGATTGTCCCATTAACGCAGCGGGCCCGGCTGCACATGCACAGTGCAGGGACACCCGAGTGGCCGAGTCGACAAACCAGTCAACAGTAAACGTCTTCTGAAACGTCTACCCCAACGCAACCCCCACACCCCCAACCCCCACCGCACATGGAACCCTTTCCAGGGAGTGCAGCCCATAGAAGACAGAGAAAGGGAGGAGGTTGCGCGGCACACTTCGCAGCCAGTTCCTACCTGTCTTCAACTCAGACAGGCGGCTGTTGGCCTGCGCCTAAACCGGTTGCACAGCTAGGCGGTTGCAACCGCTACAACGACTGCAAGTACCCCAGGCGTGGCCAGACACCTTTATGTTATAACCAGGGAAGAGATGCATGGCATATTGCTGCTAGGCCACCTCCACCGCAGGGTAGTGTCCCTTTCCAACATACAGGACCGATCTCTTCCGACTCTTCCGCTCTCTATCCGACCTCCTTCCTATATACAGCCTATGTTCAATAGCTAACTTGTCTTCGCTCCATCCCTCGCTCCTCACCTTACGCAGGCGGCAAGCCAGGGTAACCGCCAAACCATCAACAGGCAACCATCCCGTTCCTCGCGGTTCAGTTTACCTACAACATCCCGTACAGCATAAACCCGTACAACATAAACCTGTACTGCTATATACAAATCGGCACCCACTCGGCCTCCGTATAATATGACCCAGGGGTCGGTCCCCGTCACTCACTCCTCATCACTGCGACCAGGAGCTTGCCGTGAGCTTCAGCAGGCCTCGCAACGCCCGCTGGCTGCCACTCGCACCGCCACCTGCTGCTGCTGCAGCGCCTCCGCCTTCATGCCCTCCGTTCACAACCGCCTCCCCAGCAGCCGCCTGAGCCCCCTCCCGGACCTGTCCCTGGTAGCTATGCCGCTTTAGGTGCCGCTGCTGCTGCGGGTTCTGTGGCGTGTCGTGCTGCCGGTGCGCCGCGACGGGCGGGGGCGACTTGGACTGCAGCCTCTGCAGGACCGCGATGCCGGGCTTGATGGCCAGCGATGGTGAGGCAGCATGGCGACTGCACTCCGCCTCGGGAGGTGCGCGCTTGCCGTCCGCAGCGGCCAACGCAGCTGCGGAGGACTGGCGGCTGAAGATGCCTCGGGACCAGCCACTGCCCCTGCTGCCGCTGCTGCTGCTGGTGCGGGAGGAGCTGCCGCTGCTGCTGGTGCGGGCGCTGCCGTTGCCGCTCCTCATGTCGCCGTGGTGCCTCCAGCGGTCCGCCAGCGGCGGCAGGGCAGCCACAGCGGGCTGCCTGGGCGGGCGCGAGGAGGACGGCATCGGCGGCGGCGGGAGCGGCGCTGGCTGCAATAGCGGCATTGGCGCTGCGTCTACTGCCATCTCCTTGCTCGGGCTCTGGTTGATGTTACTGCTTACGTCCACTACTTGCAGGTGTGGTGCGGCGATGTTGGGTGACCCTGTCACCGGCAACTGCGGGTGAAGCTGATGGCTCCGCGGACTTAGCAGCTTGTCACCGCCGGTTGAGCTCCTGGGCTGTACGGCAACCAGGACCACCGCATGGGCCCCATGGCTGTCGTCAGCAGCTGGTGCCGTACAATTGCCTCTTGGCAACTGTGGGGGCTGCAGCAGGATTTGCAGCTGCTGACATGACGGCAGCGGCGGCCTGCTGCTTTGCTCCGAGTCCACGGTAGTCGCAACGTCGCTGCCGCCCGACACGCTGCTGCCACCGCCTGTTCCGCTGGGCCGCCTGCCAAACAGCAGCAAGCTCCTCGTGAGCTTTATTTTGGGACCTGGGCCTTTGGGCGTGGGCGGCTCAGGCGGCGGCGACAGGTCAGGCCTGTTCAGCAGCCGCCGCAGCACAGGGTTCCTGGGCCTGAGGTTCACCAGCGCAGCGGGGACAGCGCCATGGGGGCGGCCCTCACCGCCCCCTCCTCCTCCGCCTCCCAGGAGGTCCCCTTGGATGCGTGCAAGGATGCTGTCTATTCGCTCCACGATCGCGCACTCATCGTCGACGCTCCCTAGGGCGGACACGCTGGATGCGGTGGGTCCGGAGGCGGTGGATTCCGCGCCTGAGCAGCTGCGGAGGCTGTGGAGGCTCTGAGCGCTGCTACGCAGGCTGCAGCGTGAGCTGCTGCGGAGATGGTGGCTGCGCAGATCGACGGAGCAGGGCCGCGAGGAGAAGGCGCTGGAGGTGGCTGGTGTCCCGCCGCTAGCGATGCCCATGCTGCCTCTGCTGCAGTGCGCCAGCGGTGGCCATGGCGCGATGGGAGGGACTTTGGGGAGAGGCGGCAAGGACGCGGCTGGCAGAGGCTTTGATCTGGTGCCTGTAGATTTGCTGTCATGTGAAACCTGAGGCAAAGGCGGGATAGGTTGTAAATTACTCGTTTGCGTCGTGCGCGAGCATTACAATGCAAACATACAGGCGTGACGCGATCAGGGAATTTGAGACCAACACCAGCCAACACTGGCCATTATTCATGCCACCAGTAACGTGCGCCGCGCCAACATCAGGTAAGCATGAGGGGCTTGATAAGAGGCTCAGCGACCGACAATTAGCCCTTAGCTGTGCCAACGAAAAAGCAACACTGACGTCATTCCTACCTACGGTATGCACAGTTTATGATAGTACTCACCCTGCAGCTGCTTGACCCAGCTTGCTTCCTCAAATGGGAAGCACCAACCTCGCCCGTCGGCGACGTTGAGCGTAATGGACCGACAACGAGGTCGTTATCATCCTCTATTACGTCGTAGTCAGCTAAGTCTACTGCGTTGTGGGTCTGTAACAACCCCAGAGCTGGGTTATAGGAAGGCTTGGGCAGCATCTAGTTACAGGGACGACTCCATACCAAGGCTATCGGGAATGGAAATGACTGTAGGTCTCACGCAGCAGTCAGAAATGGATTCTAGGCAATAATGTACATGGAAAGGCGACGGTGCGGTCATGGAGGCCGGCTGTCACGCGACCAAGAAAGGTTCGCACAGAATTGCAAGCTGCTGCGGCTTCCATTCTACGATTACAGTACAGCTACATGAACATATTCGCATACTTCGTTTTAGGTGCTAAGCAGGAGTGCAAGCAAGCAAGTTTGAACGGCTGTGTACGACCTGATTCCGCTAATGCGATAAGCGAGCACGTCCACAGGTTCTTTAGATGCCGACAAATGGGAACTGTTATTCACACAAAATGCCGGTGACAATGTCGATAATCGCATCACAGTGGCGGTGTGCGTCACAACTTTTACTATTTTTGGCAGCCGTTCCCTTCGCATTTCCCTTCGCGTAACAACTGTCCCCTTTGCAACACTATCATCCATTAAGCCAGACTATGTCGGCTTGGGCTCCTCATGTCCGCAGGAAGCGCACCTTCCCAGAGCAATGCACAGTTCCCAGAACTAAATGACCCTGCACTGCTCCCAACCACGGCGTCGCCGCCTGCTCCTACACACCCCAAAGCAACGTTAACACCTGGCGTACCCACCTTCCCAGCTGTGCACGCCTGCCGGGTACCCGGGACCTCCCTTCCTCCCTGCCCCTCCGCACCCTCCCCACACGCTGCTGCTTCCAGCTGGCCTCCGCTCCTCCCCCTCCCCTACAGCTGCGCGCCCGCCGGGCTCATCTCCCGCCTGTCCAGCAGGTACACGTCCACCGGGTCCTGCCAGAACAGCAGCAGCCCGCCCAGCAGGCTGTACGCCAGGAAGCTGAGCAGCCCGAACACCACGCACGCGTTCAGCAGCGCCGGGTTGAAGGGCGCGCCGAACTGGGAGCGCCAGGTGGACAGCATGGGGCCGTAGCCGCGGAACTGGAGGGTGGGGTGGGAAGGGAGCGTGAGGAGGGTTGCCCGGGAGGGCAGGTGGTGGCGGTGGTGGTGGACGGTTCAGGCGGGCAAAGAAGAAGATACCGTACGAGGCGCTAAAATCTCAAACCCATGTCCCATGGACTCGTGCAATGCATGGACGACGGACATGCCGGGTCAGGTAGGGGCGGCTGGGCAGTGCAAGGAGGAGCTCTGGAGGAGAGCTGCAGGGGGGGACGTGAAGGGGGTGTGGGACATGGTGGGGAAGGCTGGCGGCGCCCTGTGCCTGCCACCACTTGCCCTCAGCTGTTACAGCGCCGCGTGATGGAGTCCGGCACACCGGTAGGACCATGCAGCTGCGTGCCAGGCCCCAGGTTCCTGCCGCTGGCTCCTGCCCCCTCTCGCATGGCGCCTTTGGCTCCCGCTGCCCCTAACCCCCACCCGCCCCTCCCCTCCCGTAGGTTCTCCTCCACCTCACCCCTTTCCCCCTCCCTCCCACCTGCAGTGCGATGTTGAGCACGTGCAGCCCGGTGAACAGCGCCGCCGACATGACGAAGGCCCGGCCGAAGCGGCGGCCCGGGTCGCCCAGCGACTTGAAGGAGCACAGCAGCAGCACCAGCGCACACGCCTGCGCAGCGGGGCAGAGGTGGGGGCGGGCAGGAGGACGGGCAGGCAGCATAGACGCCGTGTACGTCGGCAAGGGGGCCCAGCAGGAACAGGTGCGGTACCAGGAGCAGCGAGCAGTCTGAAGCAGAGGCTGCCGGTCCCACAACATGCAACAGGATACATCAGCCGCTGTACGCTGCATGGACGCCTGGGAGCGGGTGCACGAGGGAGAAGCTGCAGCAGCCGCAGAGGAGCATGCTGGCGTGCAGGTGCATTTTGAGCAGCAGCAGCCGCAGGGGGCTACAGCGGGGGTCCTGGGAGGGAGGGAGGGTGTGCACACACACACTCTCTCTCACGTGGAAGAGGATGGTGAGCACGACTGCGAAGCCGGCGCTGATGGCCGCAGCGGAGAAGAGCTGCTGCCTGCGGGGGTGCGGCGGAGGGGTGAACGGCGGAGGGGTGGGCTGGCGGTCAGGCCGGGCAAAGAAGAAGCGCGAGCGAGGTGGGTATGCCGTATGTGTTCCCCTCCCTCGGTTCATGAAGGTGTGTGGACCGCCACGTCACAGCAGTGTTTCATGCCTGGCATTAGCCTCGCCCGCGCGAGCCCCTTTGCTGGCATTATCAGCGTGCTACCCGCCGTGCAGCGCCTCCCCCGCCTCACCAGTCGCTGGCTTTGCTGCCGGCGGGAAAGCCCGAGGCGCCGTGACTCAGCTGGCTCACTGCGGATGTAAAGGTCTGGGGCAGGAAGGCAGGTAAGGAGGGCAGGTGAGGTGCGGCGGGGTGCCGGGAGGGGTGTTGGCGGTTGGGACAAGCCATGTGGGGCGGCTCGCTTGGGGGCGTACGGAGCCCCCAGCAGGCAGGGCAGGGCAGTGCAGTGCAGTGCACGGATGCATGCCGGGGATTGCAGGTACCGGTAGGTGGGGTACAGGGAAGTACACGCCACCACAGGGACCGCTAACCCTTGCTGTGGCAACAACACAGCGGCAGCCAGCGCCCTTCCCGGTGCTCAACCAAAAAGCGCCGCCGCCCCTTTTATGCATCATCCTGCACGCGCACCTTGTATGTTGAGCCACATAACGCAGCGAAGATCGCCGCTAACGCCATGTTAATGCCGAACACCGCCCACACCCATTTGCGCACTGGCGAGTGGTACTGTCGCAGCGAAGGAGCTGGCGCGCTGCTTGAAGATACAGGCAGACTGCTACGATTTCCGGACATTATTCCTCCTCCTACTGCTGCTGCTGTTGTCGAGTCTAGCGCGGAATTGAACTGCGAGGAGCGGCCTAAGGACCGCTGCCTGGGCTGAGATGTCTGACTTGAAGTAAAGGCGTTAGGTGTAACGGTTTGATATGCTGCAGGGCTCGACAAAGAAGGCTGGAACGTTTCTTCTCCGGAGCCGGAGTCGCTGTCTTTGGACCTGTCACCCGCTGCCTGTGAGCCCCAACAAATGGAGGGGGCTGCTCTTGCCGCAAAGTCTGAGGGTTGAAGGCTGCTGTCGATGGTTCGGGCTTCTCGTCGGGCTCGTGAGGGGACGTGGATGCGCTCTTTTGTGGGCCTCGGTGGCCGAGACTTGCCAAACATGTACGTGAAGGCTATTAAACTGTTAGTTGGCGGCGCTATGATTTGTTATGCCATTAGCAGGTTAGATTTTGAAGAGAAGGACGCGCTGCTATTGCACTTGGGATGACGATGATGACTCTTGGGATTGGACTAGCGGACGCGCATTCAGGCAGTTGTAGCTTATTACAGTACAGGAAGGAGGGAAGCTTCCTGTACGTTTGCGAAAAGCTAGGCTGGCCCTGTATATTAGAGAAGTACTGACCCACGGGTCTCTTTTGAAGGCCCCGTCATACGAGCAGAAGGCCAAACAACTGGACCTGCTTTGGGTTGTAAATGGCACACATATAACAGCAACACGTACATAACTGGTTGCCCTACCGTCACAGTCCCTCATGCGATATCGATGAGGATGTTGATACACAGCGTTCCGTCTCCAGCTACTTCCAACATCGGTTTTCAAATAGCCTTAAGGCTGGTTACGGCATTTGTTTCTCGAAGAAGCAAGCAGGATAGCAACCAAACGATACTCCCCGACGTCCCCGTCCCTGCCAGTCTTCCGAATTCGCCGTAGCAATTGCTAACATGTTCAACGTTTAATACAAATACTAGCCTCCCAGCGCCTTAGCATGCAACTTCGTCGTGCACGGTTGACTAGGCGTGCGAGGTGCATGTCTGGCACCATATTCCGATAATGCGACAAAACGGCAGCTTCAAAGCACATTGACGTTGCCGGGGCAAACGTTTGGGTAATCGACCTTTCCTGCTATGTGAGAGACATGCAAGAATGGTAATTGAGGCCTTCCTGTTGTTGCCAACAAGATAGGTAGCCAGTTTTATCAATAATAAGATAATGATATTGATGCAAATCTAATTGAACACTAGAACCTGACAACGTGTTTATTTTGATGTCCTTATAAACCCGCAGAGTTCGCAGGCAAGAACAAAGAAGTGCATTAGTGCAGAAATGGCACACAATTGCAATATGCAAGCAGCCGCCATTGCGTGGAATATAGGTATCTTGGAGGAATCGCTGAGAGGAATCTTTGTGTAACGAACAACGGACTCCATTAGCATGCCTCTTCCTGGCAATAAAAGTACATTCTCGTTCTCTAATCTTGACAGCCTTTGCAGGGAACCAACAGTAGAGGCTATCTGTTGGGGAGAAGACGTGGCCTTTCAGCAGCCACACTTCACCACAACAACGAGGGTTTCGCCTCTACTAGTTTTGGCCCTTGGGCTTGGGCCATTTGGCTTCCTATTACAGCATTGGGATACCAGGCAGCTCAAGCGGTAGCCATCATGGAAGACAACGAGAGCAAACCCAAGGGGATGATTACGTCGCCTTCGGGCAACCGGCTTTGTCAAGCCGAGTCAACTCTGTTGACAGACGCCGAGAGGGATGAGAACAAGCTCAGCTCCAACCCTATCGTTCGGTAGGTCGATAGCTGGCTTTATGCATGCAAGACACCTTTGCTCTTGCTATGACCGTATGACACGATGTCGCGGTTTGCCTTTGCAGGTTCTTCCAGTTCCTCGGCTCTTTCATGATTCCTGGCCTGGGCATGGTGAGTTGCTGAGTTTTGTGCTTGGCCACCACGCCGACATCTTTTCTACGAGCCGCCTTTGTCCACATCTTTTGCCTAATTCTTTTGCACTCATTTTCCTGTAGTTCTGCGAGGCCTACTTCGTCTTTGCAGTCGGCAATCTTTCATGTAAGGACTGTTCTGTCGTGTATCTTAAGGGCTAAGGTCTGTATGCGTCAAAGAGCTTGGGACACCTATCATTGTTAGCATAATAGCTTGTACTCGGTTGCTTGTAACCCAGTACATTTGCGCCAACTCCAAAGTTAGTAACCCTCTAGTCTCTAGGGCTTACGTTACCTTCATTACGCCCTGTCCTTCACAGCGCTATGGAAGGTGGAGTACAAAGAGTGCTGGAAGGACCACAAGACTTGCCCTGCCAAGCTTTCGGACTCCATCACCTACACGCAAGTCTGTGGCATTATTTTTGGGCAACTATTCCTGGGCTTCTTTGCTGACCGGATAGGCCGAAAATGGGGCTCCGTCTTCTGCGCCGGAAGCATGGTCGTAGGTACGTCCCGACTTCCCACTTACGTGCTGCTGATTAATTAATTCTATAATGCCGTGACCCCTCCTCTATGTTGCCATGCCCCTCCTATGTTGCCGTGACCCCTCCTCCCTCCTCTCCTCCCCTCCGTACACCCCCAGGCGCCATCCTCATCATCGTCTCCAACGGCCCGAACGACCGTGCGCTTTGGGCTATGTTCACCGCTGTGCAGTTCATCTTTGGTATCGGCGTGGGTGGCGAGTACCCCGTTGCCTCCGCCTCTGCCAATGAGCGCGCTGAGTCGTCTGTTCGCCTCCAGAAGCGCCGCGGCGAGACCGTGGTGCTGACCTTCAGCATGCAGGGCTGGGGCAACCTCGTTAACACCGCCGTCATTATCGGTGAGTCTCGCCTGCGGGAATGGTACATGCCCTTCGGAGGGGTTAGCCCATGGGCTTTACTCCCGAGGTGCTCTTTGTAATACCTTTCTGGTCCTCCCCATCTGATTCCTTCAACGCCTTAACGCTTCTTTCTCCTTTGCCCTCCCTGCAGCTATCATGGCCGGCTTCCATCAGTACGGCGCGCCATACAACAAGCACGACCTGGAGGTCACCTGGCGCCTGTCGTACGCCATCGGTCTCATTCCCCTGGTCGGCATCATGCTCTACCGCATCTTCCGCCTGCGCGAGTCTGCCGTGTGGAAGAAGAAGCGGGAGGCGCTCAAGGCTATGGGAGGTGAGGCTGCGGTTCGAGGGCATGACATTATACGGGAGGGGGCTTCCTGTATGCCATCCTGCCGTGCTTGCAGTATGGGTCGTGCTCTGATAATTACCGCATGGCTGATCCGGATCGTTCTACCGTACTCCCTTCCATTGCTGCCCGTCAGGCGAGGAGAAGAAGGGCGCGCAGTGGCGCAAGTTTGGCCTGCTGATGTACTACTACTGGCACCGCAACTTCGGCACCTCCATGAGCTGGTTCGTGTGGGACTTTGCCTTCTACGGCAACAAGCTCTTCCAGGGCACCTTCATCAAGGTGAGACCGGGCACTTGGATCCTCTTGGTTGCCATAACAAGAACGACTTGACGCATTGCCTGTAGGTGTCTGGGTTGCTGCATGAGTTCCCTAACATGTGTCATGCGTTAGGGAGAGCACGCTAACGAAAGGCTTTGCGGTATTCCTGGGCCGCAGATTATCAACCCCTCCGCCACTCTAATCCAAGTGCTCGAGTGGACTCTGCTGAACAGCGCTGTTGCCCTGGTTGGCTACTACTTTGCCGCCTTCTTCATTGACAAGCCGTGGATGGGCCGCATGAGGATGCAGATGATGGGCTTCACCTGGACGGTAAGTGGAGCTGGTTTGCGCATTTCAATCGGCTCTCTAGGTAGTTGGGTAGCGAAAGACGGAAAGAATCCGTGGTCGTAGTCTTGAGGTCATGTTACTCCCCTCGGTTATGTCCCTCGGTTTCCCTTACGCCTTCTTTTCCTTCCCTTGCAGTTCGTCCTTTTCCTCATCTGCGCCGTGCACTACTTTGAGCTCTCCACTCCCAAGTGGATTCACGCCTTCCAGTTCCTGTACTACTTCTCCTCCTTCTGGGGCCAGTTCGGACCCAACGCCACCACCTGGCTGCTGCCCGCCGAGCTCGCACCCACCGAGCTGCGCTCCATGTGCCACGGCTTCTCCGCGGCCGTGGGCAAGGCCGGTGCGCTGGTGGCCGGTGTGGTGTTCAACCTGGTGGACAACCGCGGCAAGTTCTGGATTAGCGCCTTCTGCGGCCTGGCTGGTGAGCGCGTGTTGGGCTGTGCCCTGTCCTGTGCATCTTTAGCTGTTACCGGCATGGCGGTTTTGGTGTCGAGACTTGGCGTGTGAACCTTGTTGTACACTGTTTTTCATTAAACACCTCCCTTCTTGCTTTCTGCGCACAGGCGTCATCCTCACCTTCATCACCATTCCCGACGTTACCGGTCTGGACCTCCGCGAGGGCGACCGCCGCTGGCTGGCCATCCTCGATGGAAACCACGATGCCTACCACGGGGAGGCCGTCAACCCGCGCTACCTATCGTTTTTGGAGCGGATGATGGGATACGGCAAGCTGTACAAGCCCGAGGGCAGCGAGGCGGTGCAGGAGGCTGTGGCTGTGGCCAAGGGCCTTGCTACTGAGGAGGTTGAGATCACCACGACCGCTGTGAAGGCGTAGTGGGTTATTTACTCGGACTACTCGGTTGAGTCATCTGCGTGCGTTAGTGAATCGCATTGACTTTGAGGCTGGTGTGGAGTGTCTGTTATGTGAGCGACGTTGAAACTGCTGTGGGAGCATGCTTGCGCGTGTCAGGGTCAACCTGCGTGGTTGAGGGCGCTCCCATGCAGCAAATCTAAGTTTTTCTATGTCTGGGTTGCGATTCCAAAGGAAATCTGCGATGGTGCATGCTTACCTATACGGTTACTGCTTGGGATATTAGCGCCATGGTCACCCGGGCGCTTGCATTACTGAACAAGGGGGATTTGCTCCAGGACCCATGTGTCTGTTGCGCACGCCGGGCCTTTAGGAGCTTTACCGGATTCTTACGTGGGGCATCTGGTATGCATGTGTTTGTTAGTCGTATAAGCTGATAGCATGCGCAGCTATCTTGCTGCCGCAGGTTGCCGTTGTACGTCAGGCAGGTCTTGGGTTGTCACCCAATCGCTTCCGTACGTTCCAAGTTTAGGAATAGCATGGTAGGTGTATATAAGATTCTTCGCGATACGGATACTTCGCCTTGTGGCGGTGGTTACATGGCACACCTGCCGCTAATGTACCGTACACAATGTGGCATGCTACTTGTGTATGTATGTTGGTTCCTGGACATATTCTCGCTAGCGATTGTAGCGATGACTTCTGTATTTCTTGGGACAATTACTGGAGCTCGATCTTAATGATAAGTTTCGAGTTGGATGGTAGCTTGTAAGGAGGAGGTTCGATTCGCCGAGGCTGTACACTTGACAATCCCGTTAGCAAGCCAAGACCCTTACACATGTCACTAGATGTGCAAGAATCTTGTTCTACTCGTCTAGATAATCCTAACAAACCGCAACTGCTAACGGTCTGGCGGTAAGGAACATGTCCCATAGAATCAACACAGGGATGCTGCCAAACCAGCTCCCTAAAAATACGCCAAGTCGAAATCCTTGATTTGTAGACGCGTAGTAGCGGATTGGCCACACTCCGAACAGCATCCCGTGCGTCCTGGTGCCAGCAATCCTGACGCAATACCGTTAAGTGTCCATTACTTTGCTTTGATTTAAAAGGGGGAAAAGAAAGATACCCACTGTGTTGAATTAGGCAGCGAGTACCTGGTGAAAAAGGTAGGGTTGAAAAGGTCTTTGCCAAACCCCATGCTAAGAAAGGCAAGTAAGGGGTGCCGGACCCACCCACCCATTCTTTTCCCAACCTGTCGCACCGTTTTTGCTGTACGACGCCGCTGTAAACTTCGCAAATTCGCCCCAGGAAAGCACTATTCAGCTCCTTATTAATAAAGGATTCTCACGACAGGCATACCATTTGGCAAGATGTCCGAGTCGCTCGCCACACCGGGGGAGGCCCCAGGCAGGCTGCCAGATTCATTGCTCTCTGGTCAACAGCCGACTTAACATGAATTGTTGTAATGCCTGTGTGCACGGTTACGTTGGTAAGTGTGCTCCAGTCCACCTGCCACACGTCCCTCACATGACCCCGCCATCGGTACGGCTGCACCCCCTCCCCCGGGTAGCAGGTTGGACTTGCACCCCACCGCCCTCAGCACCACATGCATGTCTATGAATGGTACCGGTCCCCCCTGCCGCAGCGCGAGAGTTCCGCGCCTCCTCCCTCAGCCACGTGTGTGTCGTCAGCACGCCTGGCTGCCACGTGCCCTCCCCCTTCAACGTTGCCCTAGCATGCGATTTCACTCATTTGATATCTCTTTGGGCCCCTTCCACCTTTGTCCCTATCCGTGCTGCGTGCTTTGCCTCCTGTCCCTTTCGCGTTTTGGCTGCTGGCCCCTGCTCCTGTTCTTATCTTGTCAATAGAGGAGTCTGAGAAGCCTTTCTGTGTATGTTGGGCCAGCTAGGCTTCCATGGGGACACTGCCACCCGCAAACTCCACACAAAGGCTTAGAATCATAAAACTTGCTAAATATGGTTTCCGTTTGGCGAAACGATACATTGGAAAAATGTTTCGCAGGTCAAAGAAAAAGGACGTTGAGGCTCCGGACCCACCTATCCACCCGGACCACCCCTGCCGTACGACCAACTGTGTTGGAGTCCTGTTTTGCACGTTTTCACATGTGCGCCGAGTTGGAGTGCACAGCTATTGGCCAGGCGTATGCACATCTGCTACTATGACGTTACTCGTTACAGGGTTAGACGGTAGTCTGACTGACTAACTTCAATATTCTGCTTGGCAGCATGTTGGGACTGGTAGGCCAGGGTGAGCCGAGTGAATACCGAGGGACCAACTTAGATTGACGCATTACAGTTACATGTATGCGTGCTGCGCATGAGACCTTTCCTGAGCTCTTCATGGGCAACTGTCCTGCCCATGCTTAATGCAGCTTGTTCGGCCCATGCAAAATAATAAAGAGCAGACGCAGCTGTTTTTATCCGGATGCGCTTCGATTATTACTGGGGCAGACAGTGGGGTTGCCCGACTCCCCAAAACACATAAATGACATGAACCTCCATAATAGAACAGTTCTTCTTTACCTGCCTTCACAAGGGGCAATACGCAGCCGCGCGCGTAAAGATAGGTGTTAAATCGCGAACAATACAAATCAGGTTGCCAAGCTGTTACTGCAAAGCCACAGAGGCACCTCCACCAACACCAGAATGCATACGCATGTCACTCATGCCAATCACCCGCTTACATGTATGACGTTCTCAACGGAAGCACTTCGCGTCATACATTGAGAAGGGAGTGGTGGAAAATCCTGCCCGCTAATACGCATATCCCATGCAGAGGACATGCGCCATGCGATGAGGCCTCTCCGGGATTGCAGGCAGGTGCTAGCCCGAGAGCGTACGCATTTGGATGCCAAAAGCGCCTTTACTTGGCTCCAGCGAGCTCCGTATCAAGGCTCGCATTTACTGGGGCGAGCCGGGGGTCCAGTTGGGGAACACGCTGGTGCGGTTCTGCTTGATACGCTGTGGGAAAAGGGAGGAGGCAGAAAGGCGCACAGAGGCAGGATAATATGAATTAAAGTAAAAAGCTAATTGCTTAATAAATGCGAGCAGGTACAACCTGAGATAATATTCCATGGCGGTAGAAGAAGCTTTGCTTCGCCGTTAGGAAAGCAACGTGGCGAACGAACTAGGTTCCCTTACGCATCCCTCTACGGCCCTTTAATATTGCCAAAATCTATTGTCACCTATAATAGGCAAGGGCCGAGGCCTTTCTTTGGGCAGGCATAGCCGTCCAAAAACAATCATCGAGAAGGTTGTTGGCCATCAACACAACAGCGCAGGCCACACTATCCCAAACTGCTGATGATCCATTATCTCTTAAACGGTATTCAATAATTCAGTTAAAGAGGCGGGCAATGCGCGGCATCTCACCTCCGTGAACAGCGACCTGAACTGCGTGTCATACTTCTGGGCCTGCTTTGCACTTGCAGCCTCATCCTCGTAGAACTGGTAGTTGCTGGTCCTACACGTCCAGGTAATAGGGCTTAGTGGTGGAAAACAGGCAAGTAACCCTGGCACTCATCGTATCGTCATCGTTTATGGTCGCTCCCGAAGACCAGCAAGGCACTTACTCTGGGTCAACCGTTGGAACGCGGCCAACCATGGTGAAGAAGGCGCCGGCAGCGTACACCACGGCGGGCATCAAGCACCAAGCCTGCGGGGCACATGCCGGGCAACAACAGCGCTTGAAAGGAGAGCAGTGACGACGACAGCCACTGACGCTGCCAAATTGAGCTTGCAGCAAACTTACATCGAGGGGCAGCTTGAAGGACATGGTTGCTACTTTAGCTGGACGTCGAACGGGCAGAATTCCTGTTGTTGATGAGGCAGGACAACACGTGTCCGTAGTATGTGAAAATTCGTTTGCTGTGACTATAAATAGCCCAAGATGGAAAGCTAATATAGTGTTGGGCGCCCGGACATACATGTACGCCAAGATGTACCCCCCCGTACCTTATCCTGCACGCTCTACAGCTTTACAAGGGATTAAAACTACGTAAAAGTTATAAACACATTACCATGGGACATAGACGATGCCGCAGCGGTAGAGTCAACCCCTCATCGACGCGTCAGTGGCGAGTAACCCGTTGGTCATCCACTCGTTGCACCTAGAACTGACAGGCGCATTCATTATATAACACAATCCTATATTACAGTATACTTGCGTGTCCGGAAATAGTGCCATTTTCACTGGCCCAGGTTGGCCTAACGGCATACGGTTGTTCAGTCACTAAAATTTGTCTACCGGTACTGCAAGATTTCAGCAAAATATCAACCCTAATGATTTGCATAATTGAAGCTTGTGTCTGCTCATAGGCGGGTTCTCGCCCTGCAAACCCTAATTACCAGAATTACCGGAGGCGTGGCGCAACGAGCCACGTGTTCCGATTGAGGGCAGGACCCAAAACGCCATATGCTCAGCGTATCCACTCTACGGCTTCCGGCTTCCCCGCCGCCTACCCTCCGCCCATCCCCGCCCTACACAGTCGACCTGCATTGCCTCTGCCATACCTACACGACGCCTTCAAGGCCTAACGTCGTGTTGCATAGCGCCCTCCAACATGTAAAGCGCGCTTAATAGCCCCTGCGTACAAGCTCATACCTGGCCTACACCGCGACATATCCCTTGAACGGACTTGTCAGCATTGTAGCAGCAGCTCACAAGAACCGAACGGGTACGGCGCCAGGGCCGCCTCACATTTTCTCCAGCGAGCACCCTGCCCGCCGTCGCTCTCACTGCGGCGAGCCGGGCACGTAGTTCGGGAAAACGCTAGTACGGTGCTCCTTGATACGCTGTTGAAGGGAAGGCAGGGGGGCATAAGTGGGAAGAATAAGTGCAGTGAAAGGTGCTGAGCAGCTCATTAAGGTATAAAGTGTGTGACAAGAGGTTGCTGTGACGGCGGGTGCGGTTTAGTTATGGCCAAGTGTTGCCATTAGGCTTAGATAGGACAGCGTCCTAATGCTCACCAGTATGAAGGTAAAACGTATGCTGGCTGTAATTGTGCATATTTAAGGAAAGGGCTTTCTACAGGGATAGTATTGCCGGTTCAGCAGAGGCCATTCAGTGCAACATGTTTACCGCGGTATACGCAAGCCAACGACACCGCAAGCAAGCAGCACAATGCCCTCAATACAAGCGCAACCAGTATATAGCTCACTAATGCACGGTCAGCTACGTGAGTAGTCTACCGGGACTGCGAACCGAAAATGGCATCTTACCTGGGTAAAAATCTGCTTGAATTGGTTGTCGTAGTTCTGGGCCTTCTTGGTGCTCACGGTCTCGTCATCGTACCACTGGTAATTGCTTGTCCTGAAGGAGTAAACGCTTCTTAGCAATAAATTCTAGGATAATTTCCAAGAGGCAACAAGGTCCATGGCCATCAGCCTATCGTAATCATTTATGTCTCACTTGGGGTCCAACGTGTCACTTACTCTGGGTCCAAGAACGGAATGCGGACCATCATGGTGATGCAGGCGGCAGAAGCGAAGATAGCAGCGGGCATTAGGCACCAAGCCTGCGGGGCATGGCATCACACATGTGAAGCAGTAACACCCGAGCTCTTAAGAAAGCAATGATGACAGACACCGATACGGTTGCTAGCTTTAGCTGGCAACAACCTTACATCAAGGGGCAGCTTGAACGCCATTGCTGCAGGTCTCTGAGGAGGAGGTCCAGCAGAAGACGGATGGGTGAAGCAAAGTTGGAAAGGACAACAGACGCCTTCGATGAAGTAGCAGCGACTTGCAAAGATTCTGCGAGTTCTTTAGCTTATAAAGTGTTGGGTCCGGACGCCCATGTACGCCAAGATGTACGTGACCCCCACCCCCGTACCTTCTCCTGCCCTCCTTGCAACCTGCAAAGGATCCGCCCTCTGTGAAATGACGCATTCTGTTAATTGTTTCCTGTGGCGTGGCCTAAGCTCTAAGGCCAAGCTGGGTCGTCAACCCTGTCAAACCAGATCCTCAACCTCCTTATCGACCCGTCAACATTGAGTAATCCGGTCATCACCCACCTTTTCACCTGGGAGTCGGCAGAGCATTGCCATATAACAGACGCTCACATAAGAACATGCCTATGCGTCTAAAATTGACGATACTTGCTTGTGCGTTGGCCCATTAGGATATGCTAACGGTCTGCGGTTAGTTGTTCGGCCCTAGCCAAAGCGCTTTCCCTTCCATGCATTTCCTTGAAGAAATTCGCCCGTCAATAATTAACGTATTTTAGTTTGTGGGCTAATACTATGGTGATAAGATCCCCTTCGCTGGCTCTGGAGGCGTAAACCCTAGCTACTCGGGTTGCTACCCTGTTCGCAACGGAGCAGAAGCACTGGCCATAAAACAACAATCACCGAGTTTCAGTAGACGCATCTAGTCCGCAGTGAATTACTGCGCTCGCAGGGCTAAATAGGCTTCGTTTGAATGAATGCTTCGGGTTGCTTATCACATTGTTCGTATGACGATGGGCTTAGCAACGCCCAACCCCTGGAAAATCATTTCTAGGAATTTAGGCGCACATTTAAGCCCCGTTGCGATGCCCGTTCCCCAAACCGTGCTACCTGGCGTGCAAGCCGTGTGCCGGTAGTAGCCGCCACTAATCCAAACCACGGAGGTAGGCGCCATCCATGCCATTGCAGTCGGATGGATAACGCAAGATGTCCGGGCACCGCTGTAAGCGCGCCAATGGGTGAGGAGTTCACTCGGTACTTGTGTAATACTTTTTTAAGGGCAGGTAAGACTAGTCAAGAGCTATGTTAGGACTACTCACACGCACCCACAGTCTGTACAGGGGGCCTGCTAGGCAACCATACCACCCCCACTGCGCATGCACCGCCCCCTACACGCGCACTGCAGGCAAGTAGCGCCATAGCGACACAACTCGGTTTCAATAACACGCCACCATCTGCTTGGTGGTACAGCAAGCAGAGCTGTCATGCATCCCTGCCGCATACGGCGGTGGAAACATCCTGAAAAGCAGTACGGCAGCGCCCTTCCTGGCGCTCCACAAACAGGTGACTTTGCGAGCCAAGAACCGTCCCGTAAATGTCCCTCAGCGGCCACACCGCAATGCCATTTCACCCCAGCAGGCACTGCCACAGTCGCAACATGACACCTGTCGAGCCAACAACGTCGAAGCCAGCCCTGTGTTGGGCTGCTGTTGTTGATGCTTGCCGTTCGCACGACAACTCTGCACCCAGCACCTCCTACCCACTCCCCACTCCCAATGTCTCACATCGCCCCCCTAGAGTCATAACGTCCAATCGCACAACTCGCTCGTCTCTCAAACCTGTCTACGCGGTACCCGCAAATGCATGCATGCACTCTCATTCGATCCTGCACTCCAACCTCTCAAACTCGCGGCCAGTTTTCTGAACACACACATCACTAAGGCAGCTGCTCACATACCGGTAACAAAACGCACCACATTTCGAAACCGCAAAACTTCACAAACACACCAGCCTCTCCATCGTCAACGCCCCTCATCAACCCTGATGCTCCAGCCATCTGGAGTCAACGACACCAAAGCAAGCCAAGCCCCTCTTCTCTTCACTTTTTCTTCTTGGCCTCAGCCTGCGCATGGAAGGCCTTTGCTTTCTCCTTCTTAAGCCGCTCCTTCTCGGCCTTGGTCATCTGCATGCACAATTTACAGCATTCCTCCTCGCGGCCAGCTTTCTTAACACACAGAAAAACGTTACATGGATGTCACGCCAACACCCTGCGGCAGTAAACCCTAGACCTCCTGCCCTCCTAGCTCACGTGTACAAGGCATGACTGCGAAAGGAAGGCTCCTAGTACCGTTTGGCGCTTCCGCGCGCTGCGCAGCTCACCTTGGATTTGGCCTTGATGTTGTCCTTCTCGATCTCCTTCACCTTGGCCTCCTTCTCCTGCATCTTGACCGCCTCGTCCCTGCGGCAGGCAGGCAGGCACACGCATACCCCCGAGCAGGCGTTGACGTACAGCCAGGAGGAAACCTAAGCCCTAAGCAACAAGCACCAAAACCCACTCCAACATCAGAGCGGAGCAGTCCGAGCAAAGCATGTCTCACAGCTTAGAGCCGGTGCAGGCACCTACTAAGCATTCCGAAAGCCCCTACTGCTCAGGAGCCCTGTAGCTCCCGCACTGCCTGCTCCACCCCCCCACCCCACCCCACCCTCCTGCCCCCTCACTCGTTCTGTGTGAGGTAGTACTCGTAGTCGCCCTGATAGTCCTGCAGCTTGCGCCCCTCCACCAGCAGCACGCGGGTGGCGATCTGACGCAGGAAGTACCTGGGGGGCCGGGGGGGGGGAGGGAAAAAATTAAATATGTGAAACAACGAGTCCCAATCCCATATCCCGACTCATGGGGAGGGGGGGTTCCAACGTTTGTAGGATAGGCCAGACCCTAGGAAACCAGAGGAGGTGCGGAGCGGGAGAGGGGCAGGTGGATCCCGGTAAAGCAGGAGAAGTGAAGCTCTGTAAACCTCCCGAAGAGTCCACATCCCGACTCATGCAGTGAGCCTAAAGACAACTGACACATGGGCAGGTGGCAGGCAGGAGCCGGTAGCGGAGGAAGGTGGAAAGGAGGCAGCGGGGCGATGCAGCGTCGAAACAGCACCCACGCCAGGGAGCAGCCAGCCAGCCAGCCAGCCAGCCAGCCAGCCAGCCAGCCAGCCAGCCAGCCAGCCAGCCAGCCAGCCAGCCAGCCAGCCAGCCGGCCGGGTAGTACCGAGTTACCTGCAGCAGCTACCTCCCCCCCCCCCACACACACACCTGTCGTGGCTGACCGCGATGACAGCCCCCTGGAAGGCCCGGATGGCCTCCTCCAGCATCTCCTTGGAGGGGATGTCCAGGTGGTTGGTGGGCTCGTCAAGCACCAGCAGCGTGCCGCGGGTGCACATGAACTTGGCCAGCGCCAGACGCGCCTTCTCGCCGCCGCTCAGCACGCGGACCTGCAGCGGCAGCGGCGGAGGAGGAGGCGGAAGAGGCGTGAGGAGTGGATGCGGAGGTGAGGGATTAGATAAACTGAGCCGCGGAAACACTGCCGCGGAGGTGAGGGAGGAGCGGAGGTGAGGGGTGAGGAGTGAGGGAGGAGGGGTGAGGGGTGGGGGTGGTGAGTGGGAGAGCGCACAGGTAGCGGTAAGCCCCCAGGAGACCGCTCTTCGGGGCGGACGGAGATGAAGCCACGTGAAGCAAACACCAGGACCAGCACCCCAGACAACGCCCGCCGCATGTACCCTGTCATGGGTAGGCCGCTGCTGCCCCCCCTGCTGCCTGCGTCTGTGCTCCCCCGCCACCATCACATGGCCCACCCCGCCATGCCCCCACCCCACCCCACCCCACCTTCTTCTCCATGGCTGCCCCGCTGAACAGCATGCGGCCCAGCAGCGCCTTCAGGTCGTTCAGCTTGGCGTCAGGGGCGGACTGCGGGTGAGGTGGGGGCGGGTGGGTTGAGGTGTAGCCCGCATAGGTGGGCAAGTGGGGCAGGTACCGGTAGGCAGGAAGGAAGCGTGGAGCGTGGAGCCAGATCCAAGCGCCTTGGTACCGATGCGTGAGTTCGCAGCTCTTGCCAATCTGGTTCCTTTATCCCTCCTAACTCCCCAACACCTCACAACGCACCATCGACCGACCCATGGGTCACCCCTCCTCCTCTCCAGTCCTCCCCAGTCTCCCCACCTTGACCAGTGTGTCCAGCACGCTCAGCTCCAGGTCCAGCGCCTCCGCCTGGTTCTGCTCAAAGTAGTTGGGAACGATGTTGTGCTCGCCCAGCCGCACCGACCCGCGCTGGGGCGCCTCGCGACCCATGATGAGCCGCAGCAGCGTGCTCTTGCCTGCGGGGCGGGGGCGGTGGTGAGGAGGGCGAGGGTGGTGAGGGGGGCGGTGAGGGTGCTGCAGCCAGAACCGTAACGAGGAGCAAAGAAGGGTCAGATGTCATGGATGGGTCGTGCAGCTGGGCTAACATTCCAAGCTACCTTTGCTCGCTGCTTTCACGCTGCGAGGGGTCCCCAACCAAGCAACCGGCGCCCCGCAACCCCAATCCCTGCCGCCAGGGCACCCTTGACGCCCACCCCTCCCGCCCCCCCCCCCGCCCCCACCCGCTCCGTTGGGCCCGATGATGGCCACCCGGTCTCCCTTCATGATGTCCAGGCTGCACTCCTGGAACAGCGGCCGCCCCGGGTAGCCGTGTGTGAGGCCCTCGATGGACAGCACGCGCTGCCCCATCTTCTCCACCGGCGGGAAGGTGAAGGCCTTGCGCTTGGGCACGAAGGGCTTCTCGATGAGCCCCTCCGCGCGAATGCGCTCCAGAGCCTTCTCAGCCTGTGTGGGGGATAAGGGGCTGGGGATGTGAGGAAGGAGGGATGTGGAAAGGGGCGGAGTTTGGGCCGGTGTGAGGATCCGGTGCTCGATACGCCGCTGCGATGTTACTGAGGGTGACCGGTAGTAGTACGGCCCATCCAACTTGGCGGCTGCAAGAAAGACGAGTAGCTCGGAGCAACACAAGACACAAGAATCCGGTGTGCCGGACCACAGCATGCGCCTCCCCCGGCAGTCCCACCTGGCTGGCTCGCCCGCTCTGCGCCCCGCCCGCCAGCCGCTGCATGATCTCCTCCTGCTTGGCGATCTCCTTCTGCTGCTTCTCCCAGGCGGCCCACTGCAGCGCCGTCTTCTCGCTCTGCGGGGGGAGGGGGGGAGGCAGCAGCGCGGGTGGGCGCGGGGGTAATGAAAGAAACATGACACATATGCACCCCAGCCATCCAGTACGTTCCTACTCGCAACCAGTTTTCTCATGCACCCCAGCCGCTTGCTGACGGTTCTCCTGCGAAACCCGCAACTTGGTATCACAGATGGCCACCGTCGCATTCCACCATCATTGCAATTCCCAATTAGTCGAACCGAGATGTCCGCCCTGACCCACGGGTCACAACGAGACCCCGCACCCCGCCCCCCCCGAGGCCCCCCTCGCGCACCTTGCTTGCCACGTACTGCGTGTAGTTGCCCGGGTAGGTGGTGGCCACCCCCCGCTCCGTCTCCACGATCTTGGTGGCCAGCTGGTCCAGGAACTCGCGGTCGTGACTCACGATCACCATGGGCACGTCCTAGCAGGGGGAGGGGGCAGGGAGGGGGAAGGGAGGGAGGGAGCGAAATGGGGGCAGGGAGGGAGAGGAGGGTGGTGTATATAGCACAAACAGGGCTGCCTCAGCCTCCGACGCATGCAGCGGCACCCGGCCGGCTCCTAGCCCGTGTCCAAAACCACCGTCAACAGGAGGGGACCTGGAGACGGCGGCCAAGCGACCTGCCCACCCACCCAGCCCGCCCCCCTCCACCCCACCTGCTTGGCTAGTCACCTAGTTTGCATGCCCAATCACAATACAGCGCACAGCGGGTAACCCTCTTTGTTGTCCGCCACCCCACCCCCCACCTGTTTCCGCAGGTAGGCCTCCAGCCACTGGATGGCGTCCAGGTCCAGGTGGTTGGTGGGCTCGTCCAGCAGCAGCAGGTCGGGGTCCTGGGGGGGCGGGAGTGGGGGGTGGGTGGGGAGCAAGAGGAGAGGGAGAGGGGGAGGTGTAGGTGGGGCGGAGTTGTCAGCTGGGTCTGGTAACCCATCGGATGGTCGCTGCGACGACGACCCATACCCAACATCTACCCCTCCAAACCTCGCCGCAGCCCGACGACTTCCTTCCGGCTCTGCCCCCCCCTGCCCCCGCACCCATGACGACGCCTTATCACACGGTTCGTGAGTCGTTTCCACTTTACCTCCCTCCCCCCCCCACCCCCTCCCGCCCCCTGCCCCCCCCTCCCACCTGCAGCAGCAGCTTGCCCAGGCACATGCGCATCTGCCAGCCCCCGCTGAAGCTGCCCACGGGTCGCTCCTTGTCCTCCGCGCTGAAGCCCAGCTCGGGCATCATCTGGTTGATGCGCGTCTCCAGCAGCTCGATGTCCATGTCCAACACCTGCGGGGGCAGGGGGGTCGTGGGCAGGGGGAGGGCAGGGGGAGGGTGCGGTCAACACCCAGGGGCAGGATGCGGTGGGTGCATTGCGGCGTTGCGGGGTGTCACGGGGGTGGACCCGGTCACTGGGTGCGCCACGGGGCGCCACGGGGTGTCACGGGGTGCCTGCGTGTACAGCACCACCTGTGTGTGGACCGACACACCCCTGTCAGCCGCGGCCAGGGGAGGTCGGGTCGGGTCGGGAGGGCAGTGCGGTGCAGCAGTGCGGGAGGGCCCACGTGTGAGGAGCGAGCGGCAGGCTGGAGGAGGTCCGGGACAGGCGATGACGCTGCCAGCCCCCAGTCGCCGTCTCCACCAGCAGCGCGCCCCCTCCCTTCCTAGCTCGATTCGTATGTCTGGTTAGTTCCTCTCTTCCTCTCCACCCCTGGCACCCCCCCCCATCTCTCAGCCCCCCTCCCCCCCCCTCACCTGCTGCCTCGTCAGTTTCCTTACTGTTACCCTCCCCCCCCCCCACCTGCTTGTTGAGTTTGTCCAGCTCGTCCAGCAGCCCCTGCATGAGGTCCATGTCGTCCCCCACACTCTCCAGGGACACACTCAGCTCCTCCTGCCGCCGCTTGATCTGCGGGGCGGAGGGGCGAGGGGCGGGGGCGGAGGGGCGGGGGGCCAGAGGGGCGGGTGTGGGTGGGCGCACATGAGGGCAGGGAAGGAAGGGGCGGCGAGCCCCCAGCCCACCTTGAGCTGCGCCTCATACACCGAGTAGAACTCCTCCCGCACGCTGCGCCCCGGTTGCACGTCGAACTCCTGCGCCAGGTAGGCGATGCGCATGTTGCGTCGCGCCTTGACCACCTCGCCCGCGTCCGGCAGCAGGCGACCCATGATGATCTGCAGCTGGGTGGTCTTACCCGCGCCGTTGACGCCTGGAGGCGCGGGAGGGGGGCGGGAGGGGGGCGTGAGGAGGGGGGCGTGAGGAGGGGGGCGTGAGGAGGGGGGCGTGAGGAGGGTGTGAGGACGGTGAAGAGAGGTGGGGGTGAAGGGAAGACAGAGAAGGGAGGAGAGGTAGGGTGAAGCGGAGAGAAGGGAGGGCCCAAGAGGCCAGATAACTGTGGATGGGGATACGGAGGGAGTGTGGCACCGCTGTCTGCGGTCGTCTAGCTAGCTGCCTAGCTAGCTAGGTTTGCCATCCTGACGATGAAGATGTCGTACTGTGTAAACAGTGCCTTTCCTTTCTGTGTTGGTTCGCCTCACCTACAAGACCCACTCGCTCGCCCTTTTTGACCTCCCAGCTGCAGTCTTTGAGCACCTGCTGGTTCTTGAACGTCATGGAGATCTGCGGGCGCGGCAGGGCCATGTGTGTGCGGAATGAAGCGGGTCATGACACCGCCGTACAGCCGTACGGCACGTAGCAGCTTCGACAGTGACATTGGCTGGCCAAACCCTTCTGGGCTGGGACCCCAACCAGGTAACCCCCCCTCACAGCCTCCTAGCCCCTCCAAACGCCCCCGCCTCCCTCCCAGCTCACGTTCTCTAACCGAATGCCCGAGGAAATGCCCGATGACCCAGTCCTTGACTTCTCCGTCTCCGGGCTGCTTACGGTTTCCACCGTCGCAGCGATGGGCTGCTCCGCTGGTTGGGAGGGCGCTTTCTGAGGCCTGACAGTCGATACCTACACCGTCAAGGAGCCCGGCGTCGTCAGGCACGGCGTTTGCTGCAAGAGGTACGCGCGCAGGGACCATGGGCGACCGGACGCGCCGTCGCCACGAGCGCGTATGCGCGCGCTGAGCCAAGACGCCCCATTACCATGATAATTCTTAGGAATAATAATTAATACAGCGCATTAGTCTTCTTGGCAAGCGCACGCACTAAACTAGCTCGACGAATTGTCCATGGCACTGCTATTTCGCTAGCTACAGACAATTGCAAGCATTCCTTGACCATACCTCGGCAACTCGAGCTATAATTCCACATCTCCGGCCGCTAGTGCAAGGATCCTGCTCTGACTGCACCCAACTAACCAAACTTGCAGCTTTCCTTAATAAACGAGCAGAAGGAGCATGGCGACGGCCATTAGGTATGAAAGCTGGAGTTGCAGTGCGGCCTGACGAGCTGGCCACACGTTTGTGGTCTAGTACTTGCTGCATTTTTACAGCTGCAATAAGCCACTTCCAGTCAGAACGCCCTAGACGGAAGCATTCGGTAGCGAATTGCGCTCATTCGCCAGCCGAGGATGCTTCCCGCAGAGTGCATTACTTGTTCGTCGTACGGCATACCCGGTTCCCTCTTCTCCTTTGCTTTTGCCAAAACGTGCAGCCCAAATGCTTTGTTCCGCATATTGGGTTATAGCGTATGTTAATAAAATATGGAGGCTGCATTGAATAATTGACGGCAGAGCCAGCAAGTATTGCCAACGCTCGTGTGGCTTCGCATAGCGCCCACGCCATGCCATCGCGTCTTACATGCCGCTATAGCAGTTCTTGTAAACACCTAGGAAGGTGCCCTCGGAAGTCGCGGCACGGCACTCTAAACCACCGATGCAGCCCATCCGCCGCTCTTCCTCCCAGCCCAACTCCCACTGAATCGCAGCCACTAGCCAGCGGCGTTACCCGCAACCTTCCCCAACCAGCCTCGCCCGCGACTGCTACCGCTGCTGCCACAAACGGCACCCCGCCCACCTCAGGAGGGGCCCAGCAAGCATCGCAACCCGCTGCCACTCCCTCCCCTACCGGCTATATCGCCCTGTCTCTGGTTCCCGTGCTTTGGGGAACCTACAATCCATGCATTCGGTACCTCTATGCAGAACCAGATCCGCTGGATCCAGCCTCGTTAACTGCCGTACGTACGGCGCTGTCAGCAGGCGCACTGTTGCTTCCTGCGCTGCTAGGCTACGTCTACAGGAAAGTGAAGGAAGCGTGGCTTCACAACAACAGCGGCAGTGAGGCAATAATCGACAGCAGCAGCAGTAGCAGTAGTACTAGCAGCGGCGCCGGTAGCAATGATAGCAGTGGCCAGCACATGAGGTCTGATGCAACAGCTGCTTTCACACAAACAGCTAGTGCTACCGGCAGCCTAGAGCTGCAGCAGAAACAGCAGCAACAGCTGCCTCCGCATCAGCATCAACCTAGCCGCCACCACCAAGAGCGGCTTGGTTTGACACTGGCGGCCGCGGCAGATGGTGCCGCAGACGGAGTGGCTGCCGCTGCTGCTGCTGCTGCCGCTGAAGAAGATGACGAGGACGGCTATCCAGGCTGTGTCCAGAACAACGGTTCCGGAGGCGATTCACGACACGCATTGCTTTTACTGCAGAACGAAACAGCAGCAGCTACGGCCCCGCATGCCTTGCTGCAGTACGGCAGCAGCGCCACCACCACCACCACCAGCAACACTCCGAGCAGTAGTGGTGACAGCGTTATCGCCAGCAGCAGCAACAGCGGTGGCGGGTTATTCAGCGAGCCGCTCAGTGGCGTGCGGCTGGGCCCGTTGCTGACCCGCACCTTCCGCAGTGTGGTGCTGGGCGGGTTGGAGCTGGGCGTGCTGAACTTCGTGGGTACGGCACTGCAGGTGGTTGGGGCGGGGGGCGGGGGCTGAGACGACGTGTTCGTGCGGTTGCAACAGGGCGTGTTGTAGCAGTTCTAGAGGCATGTACGTAGGCAAGCAGTGCATCACTGAATATACATGGCTGCATGTGGGGTCTTGCACCCATTGGGTTGCACGTTTCTCTGAACGCGCGAAATGACCCATGGGTCCATGTTACTCCTCAGGTGGAGGGGCTGCACAGCACCAGCGCCACCCGGGCTGGCTTCCTGGCGGAGGTGACGGCGGTGCTGACACCGCTCGTGTCGTACGCCGCTGGGTACGACATTCCACGACAGATGTGGCTGGCAGTGGCGGTTGGGCTGGTGGGCAGTACCATGGTGGCGTACGACACCTCTCAGGTGCGTACGGCTGGATGTACGGCGATAGGCGGGGGATGAAGAGGGCAAGACGTACGGCAAGGATGCGGCGCCGAGAAATACGGACCTCGCTTGGTATATCTTCTCGGCGTGTTGCAACTTTCTTTGCTAGGGCATGCTGGGGCACTTGAGCAGGACAGATGATAAGCCCACGTCGGTATCTCCCATGTTCTTCTACCGGTTCTCCTGCAATGCCCGCCAACCCCGGCAGGCGCATGAAACCAGAACGGCCGAGTCAGCTGATGCAACCACCTCTACAGCCGGCACCCCTCAAGCCGGGCCCCTCAATGCCGCTGCACCCTCGTCACCTGCGAGCCCGGCGCTCGCAGCCTCCACCGCAGCAGCCACGGAGGCCGCAGCAACCACGGCGGTAGCGATCCCCTCCGCCCTCGCACCACCCGGCGACGATGCATACGCCGCGCTTGCTGCTACAATTGCTACAACTGTCGTACCGGAAGCGACCAGCGATACTGTTGCTGAGCCAGCCGCTGCTTTACTGAGATCCTCTTTACCACAATTGCAAGACAGCAGCCTCTCCTTGGGCAGTATTGACTTGACGCAGGCAGCTACCCAGATGTCCGGTGACATAGCAACAACAGCAGGAGCAGCAGCAGCGGCTGCAAATGCCTCGACAACGGACGGCTTGTTCTCTGCTGCTGTCCAATCAGGGACAGTCGACGCCGCGCTTTCCGCAGCCCATACCATGGCCTCCGCAGCCCTGGAGTCAACCGTCGCCTCGGTCGCCGCTTCCAATGCAGCTCTTGAAGCTGCTGGCGGCATCGCCGGAGATGCTGTCGCCGCCGCCGCTGCCGCCACCGTGACAGCCACGGCAGCCGGTGCGGCAGCAGCAGCAGTGGCGGCTGTTGCTGCTACAGCCACCACTGTGTCAGCGGCGTCCTCTGCAGCTACAGAGGCCACCACCGCCGCTGCCGCTGCTGCCGCCGCCGCGGCCGCAGTTGCTGCGCCCTCCGCCGGCGCGGCTAGTCAGCTGGCTATCACCGGCGGGGAGGCGTACCTGTTGCTGGCGTGCCTCTTCTACTCGCTGTGCACAGGTGAGGAGGAGGAGGAGAAGGAGAAGGAGGGGGGGCCTCCCTGGTCGTTGGCTCCACCAGGCGCTGCAAAGGGTGCTGCTAGGTGTCGTGGTTGAGCGTGAGCTGTTGCCTCGGAACACGGTAGCTTACCAGCTGGCATGGCTGAACCGCCTTGTTGGCCTGAACCCGCGTCCGCTGACAACCGCTCAGTCCAAGGAGCCGGCCCCAGACAACCACTGCCGGTGCTGCCGCTGCAGCTAGCACACCCCTACCCCCACGCAATCCGAAACTCCAGCCCAGTGCGAAATACCCACCCCCTCTCCTCCCCCGCAGTGCGCATGGGCCAGTACGCGCCCCGCCACGACACCGTGGCCCTGGCCGCCATGAAGAAGGTGGGGCTCAGCTCCTGCAGCCTGATGTGGATGGCGGCCAACAACCTGCGTGAGTGGGCGGGAGGGCGGGAAGAAGAAGAAGAAGAGGGTAAAAGAAGAAGACCCAATGCGTCGAATGGTATTGACAAACAAGATGACAAGCCCCTGGTGAAAGAAATCGGGTTCTAGTCAGGGGATAGGGATGATGGCGGCTGGGGCTGCTGGGGTGGCGTGAGGGTGGGGTGTTGAGGATGGGGTGGATCAGTGGGTAGTGGTAGCGTTGTTTGATGGCCGCTGTGACAGCTTGTAAAGGCATTGTGCATTGCGGCGCGGAAACGGTCGGCTAATCGCGTCTGCGCCCTTCCTTTGCCATTTAAATCTGCCACTGAAACCTCCCGACCTCGGCCTCTCTCTTCCCTACCTGCTGTCCATCGCGAGTCTCACCCTGCCCTTCTCCATTGCCCAAACCCCACCCCATCCCACCGGGAAACTCAATGCACTCGCCCACCGACCCGCCCGACCGACCACCACACAGAGAGCGGCGCGGCGCTGGACTCTGTGTTTTCCTTCCCCGACCTGAGCAGCCGTACGCCCCTCAGCATTGCCGTGCTGCTGTACAGCGGCCTGGGTCCCGGGGCGAGCGCCACCCTGCTGCAGGTCACCGGCCTGTCCACCGTGCCTGCCACCACTGCCCAGGTGGGTGCGAGGCCACACACAAGCTACACGTCAGATCCGCATCGTTTGCCTTCTACGCTTCCCCATGCAGGCTAGCTTGGTTAGTTGTGCCTATCCATGCGCCATGGACGATGGACCCATGGTACATTAATGGCCGGCAGCATGCGTTGTTGCGCGGTTGTCATGCGTTCAGCCAGCTGAGCTGCGAAGAGCGGGAACTGACAGTGATCCTGGCCACCGAATACCAGCTGTCCACCGAAGGCGCGTGGGCTACTACCGGGGAGTCCGGCCGCGCTCCTAGCTGACTGCTTGTGACCCGCGGGTCGCTCCGCTCATCCCTTCCCTCCCGCAGGTCATCTACTCCATGACTCCGCTGCTCACCGCGTTCTTCGCCTTCCTGATCCTGGGCGGGGAGGCGACGGGCCCGGTGGCCTGGGCGGGCGGCTGCCTCATCATCGCAGCGGCGCTGGTGGCGGCGGATGCGCAACACAAGCAGCACAAGCAGCAGCAGCAGCAACACGAGCAGAAGTAGCTGGAGCATCAGCATCAGCAGCACTAGGGTAGCGCCAACAATAGACACGTGTACGAGCGGCATAGTTATAGAAAGTGATGCCACCCAGCCCTGAGGACCCAAGTCCCAGCCGCCGCGTAGATATGCATGCTGGAGGCTCTTGCATTGTGGGCCTGCGGTGCGGTGCGGTGTGAGAGGGAGTATCCTGGCTGGTATTGATGTCGTGTTGGCTGTAACCGCAATGAATGGCGTTGTTGACGCACGATCTTACAAAGGTGTGGGGTATGCTGATAGGTGTACTGAATAGCAATCGAGCGGCATTCCAGACGCATGAAGGAGTGGAGTGTGCGAGTTGCGTTTGACGCGCAGGTTCATGCACGTTAGGTAACGCTCGGGGATGCCGGTAGCTTTCTGCTGTGCCAAGCTAGAGGTTGCATGCACATGTGTTCGTCTTTCCTGTGAAGGCCCCAGCTGACGAGTGGTACCAATGCGTGTCCCGCGGAAGTAACTCGCTTACCATTGCCATGTATCCTGCTTTCCAGTTTGCTTTCCTGATCTCCCTCATTTTGACAGCACCCAGGGGAAGGGGCGAGTGGTCCAGCAAGGGGCGCGTACCCGGCATACGGTAAACGCACGGAGACTTTTGGAGACTTGGGTAAACCTCTACAGCACAAGCCTTGTTTGACGTCCACCGTTTCCGCTTGACCCGGACCGGCTCGGTTGCCAAGACCACCATGTGCAGCCAGGTACGAGGAGGACACTCCCGGCACAGCCTCCTACGCATGGTCCACCCGGCAGACAACGGCAAGCGCAACGGATACCATTGGGAAACACTGTACAACTAAATCCCTCATCACCGTATTAGTTGGTGAACCAGTAGCAGCTACGCAAAGCAACCTTGCAGGATGCCAGCCATGACAGGCCATGCAAGACAACCGTTCCAGGAGGCCCGCAAGTCTGGCCATGTCAGGATTTCAACCCAGCACCCTTGAATGGATGTCCATCTGGCGGGTTCACCCGCCTGCCAAGAGTGCTCTACGCGTCTTTCAGAACCGTTTTCCTACCCCGCAATCTCGCCAACAGAAAATTCCCAACTCCTGCAACTGATGCATGCACCCACTCGCCCACAACAGCTCCTAAGGCTATCCTACCTACACAAACCTAGTAAGCAACCGTGTGCTACACCTACATGCATGGCTCTCCACCACATCCAGATCCTCCCGACCCGCACAGCTACTCATTGCGCGCATCTCCACAATGCTGCAACATCGCCATTTACATCTCAACCTCTATTGCTTTGGACGCACTATGCACAATCATATAAATACACCGACCCACGGGCCATCCTGCTCTCTACTTGTTTGGCTTGGCGAGATCGCGGTTAGCAAAGGCGCCGATTGGGGTGCGCTTGTGGCGAATAGAGTCCGCCATGGCTCGCCCTGCCGTTGAAGGAGTGAAGGGCGGGAGCAGCAGCGGGAGCAGCAGCGGGAGTTGGCAGTCCCCTCCAGTGCTCGTACTGCCAACCGTTAATCAGCCCTTGAATGCAGTTTTGAGGAACATGTGAGCCCTGTAGCCCAGCAGCGAGCATGCGATAGGGTGATACACCCTTGCCCAAGCCCGCATGACACCAACTCTCCCTAGGCCCCTAGGAAGACCCCACGCACCTAGTTGTCTGTCGCCCGTCTGCCACGGCAGCAGCCAGCTGGCCTTCCTGGCAGACCCATCCCAGTTGCTCAGGATGGGCGGGAAGGTCGTGCCGCCCCCACCGCCGCCAGTGACATTCGCGGCCTGTGGCGCCGACGAATCAGCCATGGGACCTGAGGAGCCCACCGTCGCACCCAGGCGGCCGCTGCCGCGCATGGTTGACATGGCTGTGTCCATCATGTTAACGCCCTCATAAGTGGCGGGTGGGGGTTGCTTTTCATAAAGCGTGGGGTTAATTGTGGTGAAGAACTGGCCTGTTGGCGTGCGCTTGTTGTTGACCTGCGCCGCTAGCTGCCGTGATACCGCGGCCTCACCCTGGGGTTGCGTAAAAGGATGGGGTTGGGGTTTCGACTTGGACCCAAATGATGTCCCTGGGCGTATGCTTCGTGGAATTGCCTTGCTGGGCAAGTCGCGTAAGGGCTAAGCCCCTATTGCGCCTATTTTGACCAAGGATGGGCCAATACTTGCCGGATGCAAGCCATGCAACTGGTTTGCAGGCGTAGTATGTTATTTTTGTTGGAAAGGAAACTGAATGACACACCTCCAAGGGCTGATATCTTGGCTTGGAATCCTACAGGACGGGACGGCCAAATGTCAGCTCGAAGACCCATTCGGACGGACTCGACCCACTGTGCTTAGATACCAACCTCAGCCTCTCGAACAGGCTTTATAAGGCTGCCTGCTTGTGGCATTGTGCTGCCGTATACCCGTTTGTTCTCCTGAATGGCAAGCAAAGCAAAGAAGCTTCGTCCGGCTGCCGGAAGATAGGTTGGGCCAACGAACATCACTGCTCCCTATATACCTCGCTGTAATCATGTATTAAATAGTTTAGGTGTTTCCGGCGATCCGTGCTCTTTGCAAGCTCCGTGCTTTGGCAGCATGCGTACGATGGATAGGCTGGTGCCATTATGTTTTATAATGTTAATATCATTGGAAAAGAAGGGCATAAACCATATATTTCCGGCCATGCAATGGTACGACAGCCGTTGGGCTTTCGGCCTTGGGGAACGCAAGATACGGCTGGAAGCACTACAGACTCCTTAAACCTGGCTGAATTCTGTCCAAGCGTAGTTGCTTATGCGGAGTCCACCAACTGCAAGTGTCTGAAGTATTGAACAGCTAAACCCCCTTGGCGACTCCAGGGCTTGCTGAGCCAATTCCTCTATCATTATCGAACTGTAATTGCAATACTAGGCACTCCTTTGCAGCGACGGTCGTTGCCCGCTAGGCCGGAGTAGACATAGTCTAGTTTAAGAGAGTTGCCGCTTGCCGGATATGGCTGGCGTTCATAAACAATGCATGACGCGTTTGCAAAAAGAGTACAAGAGCTTGCTGAAGGTACCGTATCTCCAGCCAACGTATGGCATTTACATCCCACCGTCTGCCCTGGGAGGGCATAACTGTTGCGGATTTAAGCATGTTCGGTGTAGCTGCCAATAGCATCTGACCGTTTCATGTGCAACGTCATACATGCAGGACCCGGTACCTCACATTACTGCTCACCCGTCGCCAACCAACCTTCTTGAATGGCATTTTGTGTTAGAAGGAACCAAGGTATGGTCAATCAGGCACATGGGGACGTGTGACGTGTCTTGTTCTGCCTTGCATCGTGGCAGAAGGAAACGGCACGTACGGAGGTGTACCGGTATAGGAAGGTCTAGAGGTTTCCCAACCTACCCATACCCCTTCTAACAAGGCCGCATCCCTTGTTCGTAAAAGGTACTACCGGGCCTCCACGCCTGTCTTTAAAACCCAAAACCCAACCAACTCCGTTGCCCACCTGACCCCTGCCTGACCCCCTCCGTCCGCCCCCGCCAGGGCACCGAGTACGAGGGCGGGGTGTACCACGGCAAGCTGGTGTTCCCCTCCGAGTACCCCTTCAAGCCGCCCTCCATCTCGCTGTACACGCCCAACGGCCGCTTCGCAACCAACACCAAGCTGTGTCTCAGCATGACGGACTTCCACCCGGAGGTGAGCGAGGGGCAGGGGAGGGGACGAGAGGAGCGACCGGTAGCGGGAAAGAAGGCAAGGCTTGTTTGCCTACCCTGTGGTCACCAGCTCTCCGCTCCCTCTCTACATCGACGACCTCCTCCCCTCATTCCCCCAACGGTTTGCCCTCATTCGTAGTTTCCTATGGTTTGGTCAAGAAACTCTCCGAGATGCGTGCTTCTAGACTAGTGTCTCCAAATGCGCTCATTGCATGAGTTGGGATTCGGGATTGGGACTGTGTTGTTGCACTTATTTATAATTTTCCCCTCCACCCCTCCCCGCTCCCCCTGAAGAGCTGGAACCCCATGTGGTCGGTGGGCACCATCCTGACGGGGCTGCTCAGCTTCATGTACGACACACAGACCACCACCGGCAGCATCACCACCAGCAGGCAGGACAAGGAGCGCCTGGCGCGCGAGTCGCTCGCCTTCAACGTCAAGAACCCCATCTTCCGCAAGCTCTTCCCCAGCTGGGTGGAGGAGCTGGCGCGACGCAACGCGGCAGCGGTGCAGCCGCCAGCTAGCAACGGAGCCACTGCGCCGACGTCAGCCGGAGCGACGGGAGCTGAGAATGGGGAGCAGCAGCAGCCCCAGCAGCCGCAAGCACAGCAGCAGCAAGGGGGTGCGGGGAATACAGGGAGAGGTGCGAGTCCGGCGGGAGGGCAGGAAGAGCAGCAGCAGCGCGGGGGGCAGCGGGGGCCGCTGAATGCCTTTGTGACGCTGGCGATTGTGGTTGCGGTGCTAGCGGCGGTGTGGGTGAGCAGCGGGGAGGAGGGCAGGGAGATGCTGCGCTCCTGGGCTCCCTGGTCTGGCGGGTCGCGCAGCGTCAGTTGAGGGGTGTGGGTTGGAAGGCACTGTTGGGTGTATTGTGTAGGGGTTGATTCGTACAGTGGCACGGAGACTGGGTGCTACCTGGGTTTATTGGGGAGGGCTGATTTGGATGGGCAGGATGGGGCGGCGTTACAGGATGCCGTCGTATGGTTAGAAGAGCAAGGGGAAGGAGCCCGTGACTTGCAGGATAACCACACCACCGTAGCCCGTTCCCCAGGGCTGGATTCGGACGGGCCTGGGCTTTAGGTCAGTCGCCCCTCAACCGCGTACCTATCTGGGTTCCAGAGACGCGACTTGGGCATATCCACTTTACCAACGTTGCTAACGTTCTCATTTCATACAATGCTGAGGCAGCACGAGCCTGCCCGTGCGGCTGCCCTCCTCCAGGAGCACCGCATGCTGAAGACCGGCGAAGCTGCCCGGCTTGGTTAACTTTCTCTCCTTTTGTCCTCGAGTATTCGGACGTGATGCACCCCCTGCATGCCGTTACAATGACAAGGAAAGCATGGTGTGTTTCGTGTTGCGAGCAGTAGTGTGGTAAGCAAGTGGCAACGATGCTGGCGGTGTTGCTTCGCTTCGGAGCGTGTGCTTGCGCGGGCAGTAGCCGACCGTCGTGTCGCGCTTATTGTGCTGTTTGTGCAGGAGGGTGGGATGTGCACGGGCAGGCCGTGTTAGGAGTATATGGGAGGCGTGTGAGGCCGTGTTAGGAGTACATGGGAGGCGTGTGAGGCCGTGTAATTAGGAGTATATGGGATATGACGGCGCCATGGAACCAAAATGGCCGCACCTACAACGCCGGATGTGGTTTGCGTTCCCAGTGCAGCAAGACCGTTGGCAAGGTAACGATCATGTGGTTGCAGGCCACTGGAATGCCCCCAGATGGGCGGTATCGTAACTCCTGCGTGTCCGCATTGGGATGAAAGTTGCAGTCGGTGGCACCGTGTGTTAATCTCTTAACCCCCCACCGGTGGGGCGTACACCCTTAAATTGCTAGGTTCTTGTGCTGAAGGGAGCCAATCTCGCCAACGAGGACTCGTCCCCTAAGAAGGATGGTAATCCGTTGCCCTTTCTTTTCAACACCGTAACGCAAGGGGACCCTTGGATGGAACAACTTTTAATGTGCGTCAGGTCAGATTGGAATGTAGTGGCGGGAAGAATGGGACGCAGCAGTTACACATGGAGATGATGAGACCACGACAAGCATGCAGCGCTAGGGAAGGAAGGGGTGGGCATGTTAAGAGCGACGCCTTCCATTTCGCTAGAGTGGACAAGCAGCATTATTCATGGCTGTAGTCAGTACTTCGTGAGAGTCGACTGCCAACTGCTCGTATTCGCTCGGGTTGCCTTGCTTCCGATCGGCAAAAGGGTTGGGCACCCAAGTACCAAATTTTTCAGGCCTACAGCTTCTGAGTGAATATATACGAACGTTCCGCTGTAGGACAGGATGCTAACATCCAGCCAAGTTTGATGGCGGGGTTGTTGCCCAATAGCAAGGAAATGCCCGAGGCTTCATGCAGTCGCTGCGCTTGGCGGTAAGAAATCCCAATATATAGTAAGTGCCCTTATAGAGAGCTATACCTTGAACCTATTCGTTGAAAAGACGCAGGGCCCACATCGCGCGGAGATTGTACGGCGCCCAGATGCTATTATCCAGAGCGAGCTCTCTTTCTTTCCTGTCCCGCCAAGCCAACACCTCAGCACCTTATCCCTAAGCATTCGAAATGGCCCTCGCTCAGAAGGTTGCGACCCGCCCCGCTGTGGCCTCCCGCAGGTAGGACATCAACGCTGGGCGCCGCACTTCTCTTTTTTACTACACAGCTCTATGTTCCAAGTAGCTACTAATAGTTATGCATCACATTCAATCAGCGACTGCGACTTGTGAGGTGCTAAAAGCGACGGCCTTCCCATGTCGCTTGCGCAGGGGTGCCGTGGTTGTGCGCGCCTCCGCCGAGTCGCGCCGCGCGGTGAGGACTACAGCATTGCAGGAAATATTAGTACGAGATTTAATATGGTTCTCAACACCTTTAATTGGTCGCTCTATGTGGGCAGGTCCTGGTCGGCCTCGCTGGCTCCGTTGCTGCCCTGACCCTGGCCAACAAGGCTCAGGCTGCCGCCACCAGCGTCGACCTGTTCGATGACCGCAAGGTGCTCGCGACTGGCTTCGACCTCATCTACGAGGTGCGGTTGTCAAAACATGTTCACAACTTGAGGCCCGCTTTGACTTGCTTGCAGCGCTGTCGCAATAAACTGCTGAATCATATGCGCTAATATAAATGCTGCTTGTTCCCCAGGCTCGCGACCTGGACCTGCCCCAGTCCGTCCGCGATGGCTTCGTCCAGGCTCGCTCTAGCCTGGCTGACACCAAGGCCCGCGTGAAGGAGTCTGAGGCTCGCATTGATGCTGACCTGGAGCCCTTCATCAAGAAGAACTACTGGTAGGCAGCGCGCTACTAGCGGTGGCAACTTGTGCGGTTGGCATTACCCTCCTTACATGGGCGCCTCACCATACCCTCCCTGCCTGGACGCTTCGCATCCAAGCCGGTTTCGTCCCTGCGCTGGGACAAACCTCTTTTCAATGGCTCAGCGCAAAGCGACCCATCTCCCTTGCTTTCATCGGTTTGCAAAACAACCACCAACTACCGGTCGTCGCTATGGTGGTAGAGCAGCACTCCTTGCCCTGTCACGCAAATCTTTCACTCACTCCTCAATCCCTTCCACCTATCACCCACCGCCACTGTACGGCTGCGGACCCTGTCTTACCGCCTCCCGGTGCGCTCCCTGACGTGCTTCCCCCGCCCCCGCCCCCGCCTGTACTACACCCAGGGTTGAGGCTCGCGAGCAGCTGCGCCGCCAGGTGGGCACCCTGCGCTTCGACCTGAACACGCTGGCCAGCGCCAAGGGCGAGAAGGCCGACAAGAAGAAGGCCCTGGCCCTCAGCAAGGAGTTCATCCGCAAGGTGGGGGGCGGGAAGGGGGGGGGTGTATCCGAACCCCAATGTGCCCGCAGTGTGTTGGGGCTTGGGTGAGGGGGGGGGTAAAGAGGAAACATCTAACTGACCGTGTGATAAGGCATCATCATGGTTTGCCAAGGATGGGGATGGGCAGGGAAGGGGGATGGGCAGGGAATAAGGAGAAACCGTACGGTCAGTGATCGTACCTCAGTGGCCATATCGAGGTCAACATGAATGTCTCCTGTAGCTGCTCGTGGGCCCTACGTTGGCGTACACAGTAGAGCAATGTAGAAGTCCTTGCTACCCTAGCTAGCAGCTTGCCTTCTGCACCAACGCTGGTCTGGACGCCGAGCAACAACGAACCAGCCGCTAGCAACCCCACTTACAACCTGCTGCATTCCCCCTGTCTGCCGGCCTGCCTGCGGTGCAGGTTGAGGACCTGGACTTCGCCCTGCGTGAGAAGGACGAGGCCTCCTCCCTCAAGAAGCTGGCCGCCACGCAGTCCGCCCTGGACTCCGTGCTGTCCTTCGTCCTGTAAGCGCCCTCCCCTCCCCTCCCTGCCCCGGCTGCTGACACCAGCGCTGTGATGACCCAGCTTACGGTAGCTAAGGTCCCGCATAGCATGGTGCTGGCTACTGGGTTGGTTGATGCGTGGTTGGTCGTTGGGACGAGCGTCGGATGCCGAGAGGAGCGCGGGCACGGCTCAGCGGTGCAAGAGCACAATCTCTTTGTCGTGAAGTGGTTCGGAAGCCGGTTTTCTCACGCAAGGGTGTAGCACCCGAGTTCGGCTTTTGGATCCCTTTACCGCCTCAACAGCTGTAGAGGTGCTGCCGTAGCGGTTTTTGCCGGTCGTGTTGTTAAAGAGGACACGGACGTGAGATGAAGAGTGTCGTAGACAGGCCTGCGCTTGCGCTGTAAGGGTTACGGCCAAGCGAGAAGAATTCTTTGAGAAGACAACAACAGTGTGAGCATCTAGGAAGGGGCCTGACCCGAAAGGGAAAGGCTCCGGGCTTTCTCAGGCAAGCCACAACTTGTCATGGGGGGCTGCATTTGTTTCGGTGGTGGTGTTGGGTGTGTTTGCAGGTTCCCTGTAAATAGCCATGCGGACAAGCACGCATGATGTATCATAACAAGCCGCCCGCACTTAATGTGTGTAAGCTTTTGTCCTATAGGAATCCTGCCGGTCAAGATGAAGAGCAGCCCAACAGTTAATGTCTTAGTTCGCATGCCCAGCACGTCCCAGCATGCATATGACCACACGCAGACACACTAAGCTGGGATTCAACAGCAGTCCTACGGCAAGTACTCTGCCCTGTGCAGGTTGAAGCTGCAACCACCTGAGCTCAGCTTCTCAAGCTGCTGCTGTACCGTCGGAAGCTCGAAACCCACACAAACCCATTACGCAAAAGTGCTTCAAACGCTCAAATCCCATTACACTTGCTTTAGTGCGGTGCCTGCAGAGGAGCAACACAATCCAGGCGTCGAAATGCAACGTATGCTAGCCGTGCACCAATCCTCCGCAACTCCTCTCTTCAGCACCCACATCCCCTGCCCCCGCCAACCTGCGTGCACCCAGGCCCTGCCCTGTATATGTTCCTATGCCCCCACCGCGAGCCACCAAGCAACACTTACATCCCCTATTCCCTTGCCTCCTCGTCTTCCTTCACTTCCAGAGCTTCGTCCCCTTAACTCCCCATTTATGCCCCATTGTTAACAACTGCCACGAACTCTTCTCCTCCCTCACGCACTCCCGCTGAAGTCCCGCAGCACCTCCCACTTCCACGCCACCCCGCCGCTCTCCGCGGGCGGCCGCAGCAGCCGCTCCATCTCCTCGCGCACGTGCCCCGGACCCTCCAGCGGCACTGGGTGCGCCGAGATGTCGGACCGCACCTCCTGCGGGGGGGATGCAACAGCAGCAGGGCGGGGTCCGGTGGGCACATAGGCTGGTTCGCCTGCCTTGACTGGCTTCCCCCATTCGCTGCCTCCCCCTGTATTTCCTACGAGCCCTTCTTTCCATAGTGCTCCTACCCTGTAGCCCCGCAGCCCGCACTCTCCCTCAGAGCCCCGCCCCCATAACTTCTTCCTCTTCTCTGCCCCGACCCCCCGCCCCACCTGGTACGCCGCCTGCCAGCCCGCCACCGCCCGCTGCAGCAGCGCCGCGTCGCCCGCATGCCCCAGCAGCACCAGCAGCTCGCCCAGCTGGCCCGCCTCCTCCAGCACCGCGGGCCGGGGGGCCAGCGAGTGCACGTGCGACACCAGGGAGGCCTCCTCCAGCGGGGAGCCGGCGCGGATGCGGGTGCCGGCCCTGGTAGCAGGAGGGGAGGAGGAGGAGGGAGACACAGGATAAGACCATGCATGGTATTAAGGATGCAGCTGACTCCACCAGCCCACCTCACCCAACTCACCAGCGGCGACCCCAGCACCCCACAAACACACACCGGCGCACCCACACAGCCTCCCCTAACACCGGCACCCGCGCCCGCCCCTCCTCCCCAGGTGCACGACCACCCGACACAAGGCCGCAGGAACACTCACTTCTGCAGCTTCTTGCCCTGCCGGTGCGCCTTGCGGCCGCCCACAGTGGAGGGCGCGCGCGAGGAGGCGGAGGCGGCCGCCTGGCTGCCCGCGCCCCCAGCCCCGCCCGCCCCGGTGGCGTCCGTGTACACGGAGAGGCCGGACACCAGCGACACCACGTCGGACTGCAGGTCGTCTGGGAGGCCCTGCGCGGCGCCGTCCTCATCTGCGCGGGGGCGGGAGGTGGGGATGAGTGAGGGAGGTGGTTCGAGTATAGAAGCTAGGATGGCCGGCGTTGAGTGGGCTAGGAAGGAGGAGGGGCGGCCGACTTATGAGAAATGAAAAGGCACTCGGTAGCAAGCAGACATAAAAGCGACGTTGGACATTACCCGCCGCCGCCACTGCCGCCGCCATAGCAAGCCGCCGCGCTCGTACATCCACCAACCGCTGTCCGTACTTGCGTATCCGCTCCGTCGACTCCCTCGCCTCCGTCAACATTGCCTCCGCGCCCTCCGCCGCCGCCGGCGCCACCACCGTGTCCACCAAGTCCCCTCGGAAGTGCGCATGCGCCACACGAATGGCCTCCCGCCACTCCCGAGCCTGCGTGTACGTCCGTACGGCGTTGTCCACGTCACCCAGGTACGACAGCATAACCGCCGCCGCATCCCCCATCTGCCCGCCCGCCGCCAGCTCCTCCGCCACCTCCGCCGCGAGAGACTGTACGGCCATCTCGTCGTACCCGAGCTGTCCGGCAAGCACAAACACCATGCGCCACCGACCCGCGGTTCGGTAAGCGCGCATGGCCTTCTCCAGCTGCCCTGCCGCCATGAACGTCACCGCGGCGTCGTCGTAGCGCTTGGAACCCTCAAGCTGGTCTCCGTACGCATCCAGTACGGCAGGCCGATGCTCGGAATCGCTGTCGTACAGTTGTAGCAGCTGCCGCAGCAACCCCCGCTCGCGCGCGAGTTGCAGGGCTTGCTGGAAGTACTCCGGCCCTGCCTGGACCAGGTTGCTGAGGGCCGCTGGGTAGCGCCGAAGCGACATGTCAATCGCATGCCGCTGCAACGCCGGCGGCGTCATGCGGCCGAACCGTGCCAGCTCCCCCAGGTACTCCCCCGGGTCCTTCTGCGCCGCATTGACCACCACCATGTACGCCAACGGCAGGTCGTACATGCCTAGAGCGGTGCCGTACAGCTCGTCCGCGTCCACGTAGAGCAGCAGGTGCTTGAGGGCCTTATCCGCGGGGCTGTGGTGGTTGCCATGACTGGTGACGACGGCGCTGCTGCTGCTGCTAGGCTGCTGGGAAGCAGCAGATACAGCAGCAACAGCAGCAACAGCAGCGGCAGCGGTGGAGGAGGCGGCGGGTGTGCTGCTGCTGCCGGGCTGCAGCTCCCGCTCCTTGGCCTCCCGGATGCAGCGCATGGCCGCCTCCAGCTGCGGCGGGTCGCTCCGAGCGTACGACGTCACCTCCACCTCGAGGTACCTGCTGCTGCTGCTGCTGCTGCTGCTGGCGGCGGCGGCGGCGGCGGAGGTGGATGCGGCAGCAGCGCTGCTACTACCTGACTGCTGCTGCTGCAGTGACATCACCGCCTCGCGAATGGCGCCACACACAGCCGTCACCTTGCTGCCGCCTGGTGCTGCTCCTTCCCCTCCTTTCTCTCCCGCCCCCTGCTGCCCTCCTGCCGGCTGCCCCTCCCCCAGCCAAGCCAGCGCCCCCGCGTACGCCCCTCCCTCCGCCAGCACCGAGCCGGGGCGCAGCGCGAAGAGCAGGTCGCACAGGTCGGCGGGGCGCGCAACTGCGCACACGAACTCGGCGGCGTGGGACAGGAAGGCGGGCCAGCGGTAGTCAACCTGGGAGGGTGGGGAGGGGGAAGGGGTTTTAGGGAGATTCCAGGGCGGGCTGGATGACACACACACTGCAGACTGCACATGAACTGCTGGTCAGCGGCCCGGCTAGAGCCGTACAGGATGAGTGGCACAACGTACGACAGCTGCCGTCAGCAGGGAAGACCGCTGATGAGCAGTCCCCTTCCCTCCCTTGTCCCTTTTCTTAAACGCTCAGCAACAGCATGGTGTATCTCACGGTTCTCCCCACCCCCCCTCCCATCCCCTGCCCCCCTACCAGCAGGTTTAGGTCCACCCGGTGAATCGCCGCCAGCCGCCACGCCTCGCCGTACTGCCGGCCCCGCAGCGCCGCCAGCAGCGCCGCCAGCACCAGTGCGCGAGGCGCCACCCCCTCCAGGTTGCCGCGCGGCATCTGCAGCACCACCGGCACGTCCGCCAGGCGCTGAGCGGGAGGCGGAGCAGCAGCCGCGGCAACACCCGCAGCAGGGGTTGCATGGGAGGTGGAGGGAGCTATTCCCGTGGGGCATGCGACCAGCTGCGCCCCCGCCTCAAGTGCGCGAACGGCCACGTCGCGAGCGGCGGCGGTGATGGCGGCGTCGGGGCGCATGGCGGCGTGCATGGCGGTCAGCATCTCACCCTCGCGCCTGGGAGTGGGAGGACGAGTGGGTGGGCGGGGGAGAGGGGAACAACGACGATGAACGACAGGTATCGTAATTACTACTTTCTAGCCGGTGAAGAGCATGGTGCAGGTTGCTATGTGCACCGTTGGTAAGCACAGAAGGTGTTGGAAGGCGTTGGTGTACGCTACACGTCGCCTCGCGGCCTAGCAGTTTGGAAACACACACACGGGATGGGAAGCTCCTATCTAGCATTGGTACTTGGGGAACGCATGGAAGACTAAGTCCCCGCTCGGTCTGACTTACTTGGGGAGGCGGAGGGCACTGGGATCGGAGGTCAGGTCACGGTGCGTGTACGTTGACAGTTGACTGAACAGTACGGTGTACAGCAGGTTCTTGCGTGTCGTGTACAGCAGTGCGGGGCCGCCAGGGCCGTACGCTCGTACGGCAAGCGAGGTGACGTCAGCTGGCGCGATGACGGCGGAGCCCCAGCTGAGGCAACCGGAGCGGGACAGGCCCAGCAGCGGCGGCGGCTCGGGCTTCTGAGGGCCCAGGTCGGGGGTCGGGGAGACAAGGAAGCATGAAACGGTGTGAGAGAAGAGGATCCAACAGCTATCCATGCAAGGGCGTTTCTGGAGCCAACCATTGCCAGCTAGCCATCCTATCCAAGCCGCCGGCATGTCATCACGTCATGCGCCCTCCTAGTAAGGAACACCCCTCAAGCAGCCTGCCCGGAGCCTGCAACCTCCATTCTCCCTCCACGACCCACTCACCCCCTGCTGCCTAACCAGTGTCAGCGCCTGTGCCGGTGTGGGTCGCACCAGTGCACAGGACCCCGGCAGCGCCGCCCCGGGGCCGCAGGCCTGGAGCGCCCCCGCCGCCCCGCCCGCACCGGGAAGGTAGCGCAGCACCGCCCCGCCCACCAGCTGCACAGCCGCACCGCCGCCCGCATGCGGAGCCAGCCGCAGCACCCGCTTGCCGGTGTACACAGCCGGACCCTCGGTGAGCGCCACCGCGGGACTGACCCGTGGGTCGCTCGGGTCGGCTGGGCCGCAGGACAGCCACTCGACGTCTACTTGGACCAGCACGTCCCCGGGCGCCTCTTCAAGGCCGGGTTCTGGGTAGGGTGTGGCGAGGACGAGCAGGGAGGAGGAGCCGGTCAGCCAGCAGAGGGCGCGAGCGCGGCGGCCGCCGGCGAGGGGGATGTCCAGCAGCGGGACGGCGGGCTGCAGCAGGCGGGTAGCGGTGGAGGAGGTGGAGGCGGGGTTGCCGGAGCGGCCGCTCGTCTCCGCCGCCAGAGCCTCTTGGTCCTGTAGTAGGCAAGGGTAAAGAGTGGGTTCAAAGCCATAACAGACTCCTTCTTGTCTCTTTGTGTATTTTCCTCTCAATCACGCAGCCTGCCCGGCTCGCTCCGCCCGCCCGCCCACCCCGCCCGCCCGCCCCTCACCTCCAGGCTCTCCTGCCACAGGTCCCCCTCCACACTGCGCACCAGCACCAGCCGCCCGCGGGAGGTCAGCGCCGCCACCACCTCGTCCTCCTCCCCATTCTCCTCCGCAGCGGCATCACCCGGGGGGCAGCAGCCGCTGCCCCCGCCAGCAGCAGCAGCAGCCCCGGCCCCCTCGCAGCTGCCTGGCGCAGGCAGCGAGCCAATGCAGACATCCACGGCAGCCTGCAGGGCGGTGACATGCGGGAGGAGGTGAGCTGTCAGTTGGAGCTCGAGTAGGTCCCCAATGACAGCAACAAAGAAGGAGCTACCGCGCATCGCTGCCCGGTGTGATGCTGTCATGCATGTGTGGGCGCGGACCCCGACGTATGTAACTGGCCGACGTGTGTGTCCCCCATCCAGGCGCCCCCACCTCAGGAAGCGCCACCCCCGCCGCGCACATGGGCGGCGGCACCAGCCCATGTCGCAGCGGCGTCAGCAGCAGCCGCCGCCCGTCCACCACCACTGCCGTACCGCGCTCTGAAACACACGTGTCCCACACCAGCCCGATCTGCTCGTACAGCCCGCCTGGCGTCAGCACGTGCAGTACACTGCCGGCTTGCTCGTCCCACCGGACATGCGGCGGCAGGGAGGCTGAGGAGGGGCCGGCGAGTGCTCGGGGGTAGCGGCGCTCGTGTTTCAGGTACCAGTGCCAGTTGCTGCGGTGCCAGAGCTGTAGTGGAGATGGGAGGTGGGAGGAAGGGAGTTAAGAGGAAGATTACCGGAGCGACAGGAAAGGGTCAGTTGCAGGATAAGAGGCATTAAGCGAGGAGCAATGGGCCATCCAGGTAAGCAAGGTAGAGAAAGCGGGGTGCTGGGGAGGGGGGCTTCTGAGCGCACCTGCACAACCCAGTCATCCGTATCCTCCTCGGCCTCGGCAGCAGCAGCGCCATCCGCCTGCTGCTCGCCTTGCTCCTCCGCTGCTGCTCCGGCTGCTGCTGCCGTACTGTCACGACGGGCAGGCGCCGTCACCACCGCCAGCAGCTCCGAGTCGCAGCTCCAGGACAGGTCAACCACCGGGGCTGGGCAGGGTGGGGGGCAGGTAGGGGGGCACTACGTTGGGGTATACACATGACTGCCTGACGTGTCAAGGAAGTAAACGGACAGCATGTGAGGGGGAGGGAGTGGCGCCGGCGGCTAGGAGCGCGCTGAACCGACCCCATCAGGTTATTAGTCTTCCTGTTGCCAGCTACCAGCTTCAGCCCTTCCTGACCCACATCACCGCACCGACCCCGCACAGACGCCACCTGCAGCTCTAGCTCCCGTCACCAGCCCCCTTGTACCCGCACACCCCCCCGCCCTAACCTAGCCCCGGCCGCCTACCTGCCCCTGGCAAGCTGAACCCCCCGTGTCGCAAGCCGTTCCGCTCGAACAGCAGCACGGAGGGGCGCTCCGCCGGCGCCGCCCCCGCCCCCCCTCCCGCCGCCACCCCCGCCCCCATCATCCCCACCGCCGCCCCCGCCGCTGCCGCCACGTACAGGTGCCTGCCGCTGGGCTGCCACGCGGGCAGCGGCAGCAGCCCCTCCGCCGCCTCCCCCGCCGCATGCAGCTCCAGGGAGGAGCGGTCCCAGATGCGCACACGGTAGGGCGGCAGGCTGGCGGCCACTGCTGCTGCTGCTGCAGAGGTGTCTGGGGAGGCAGCCGCAGCAGCAGGTGGCAGGTCCCGGCACACGACCGAGAAGAACTTGCCGTCGCCCCGCCAGCTGATGCGGCCGTCGGTGAAGAGTGCCGAGCGCAGGGCGGGGTCCAACTGGGCGGAGGCGGTGGCGGCTGCTGGCCCCAGCGCGCAGCCCTCGTACAGGAGCTCCCAGGCCTGCGGCAGGGCAGGAGGAGGAAGACGTGGTCGGCTGGCCAGCGGGGATCGGGGCATGGAAACGAAGCATGCCTGTGCTCACAAGACCTGGACACTCTCAGGCGGGTGTCTCGAACCATCCCAGGCGGAGCCTGCCTCCATGTCCTCCTTCCTCTTCCCCTTCCCTCCCCCCCGGCCTGTTTTCAACCCCGGTTGGGGCTCCCTATTTGCTCAGGGATTCACCCAGGGGGGACGTGCCCGTGATCCGATGTAATGCACCCGCCTTCCAACTTTGTCCACCGCTCCACACATCCACAGGCATCTTCACCACCTTCACGCATCCCCCATCAGCCACTACCTGCCTAGCCATACCCGCTACATGTCTCTAACCTCCCCTTCCCAGTTCATGCACCCTAGGCGGTCCCCATCCATGCTGACCCCTAGGCTTAGTAGTGATGTGGGGATCCGGGACCGGACCGCACGCTGCTGCCATCCTTGTCTTCCTGTCACACACCCTCTCACCTATCTTGTACCCGTCCGCCCATTCCTGTCCCCATGTGCCCCCAAGCCTTGTCGTATTCCGCATCCCGCACCACTATTAATTTTGCCCTTCCCCACTTATTCTTTCTTCCCTTTGCCGCGCCGCCGTGTCCATAGGAAACCCTACCACGCCATAATCGCATGTTTTTCATTTCCCGTCTTGCCTGATGACTGTTACTCACCACCTACTTAACGCGCCATGCCTCTCTTTCTTCCCTATTTTCCGCATATTGACAACCTCTTCCTACTGGACCTTGGACACGACCCTGGTGCGGCTATGTTGGCGGACCATGGCAACTGGCTTTCCCTCTCCAGGTAAGTTTCCCGTAACGCGTCTCGATAACATGTGTGCTCGTATACCCCATATGCGTGTTGCTTTGCATTTCGTGACCGGCGGCGCGGCGCATGTCTCCCTAGTGTTACCACGCAGCGCGGCTTCTCCCTCAAGTCGTCTCGGTTTACGGTAAGCAACGCTTCGGTAAGTAATTTGAGATGCGTGTCTTTAGAATAGTGTCTCCGAATGCACTCACTGCATGAGTCGGGATATGGGATTGGGACTTTAGTTGTTTGCATTTCTTATATAATTTCCCCCCCCCCCCCGGCCCCACCTGGTTCATGACCAGCAGGTTACCCGCCCCGCTGAGCGCCGCCAGCAGCTCCCCGTCCGGACTCCACTCCAGGCAGGACAGGCCGTCGTCCACACAGCCAACCTGCGACACGGCGGCAGCAGCCACGGGCAAGGATACACAGACGCCACATAAGCCATCATAGCCGACGCGGCCCCTATCGCAGCCCCAAACCCACAGCCGCACACGGCCCTTGGGCACTGCGGGCGTGACGTCTCCCCGCCTCACAGGACCAGCACCAGCAGCAGCCTCGAGGCACCCCCCGCTGCCTTCTGTGGCCCTGGTGGCGTTGCAGTGCAGTGCAATGCAGGTCGGCACCCCAGAGCACACGGCTAGGGGCATCCCCCTGCCCATCCCCAACCCCCCCACTCTCCATTAAACGTACTGGCTTGGCTAATTCGGGCTGGGCGGGTCGGGCTGGCTTACATGTTGCAAACCATGATAATGCCATATGACACAATCAGTTAGTTGTTTCCTCTTTACCCCCACTCTCCTTCCCCCCCTTGCCCACCTGCTCCAGGTGCGGCTCCTCGCCCTCGCCCACATGCAGCAGCGCGATGGCCCCGCCCCGGGTGGCGATACACAGCGCGTCCAGCTCCAGCACATGGCTGAAAGAGGCAACCCAACTGCTGCTGCGGCTGCTGCCAGGGCCGTCCGCATGGCTGTCAACTGCGACGCTGTCGGCCGGGAGAAGGTCGGGGTCTAGAGGGTAGCGCCAAAGGGGCTGCAGCGTAGCGGGAGTGGGGAAAGGATGAAGGTGTGATGGGGGCGGAGCTGACGTGTGCGAGAAGTGAGGCAGCGGTGGGGATGTTAGGCTTATTCAGCCCGTGGGGACGGGTCAAGAGGCAACACAGACCGAGCACGCTGGCCCCTAAGAAGGAGAGTATGCGAGGACATGGAAGAGAACCCGACGTAATGCTGCTGTCTGAAGCGCAAGCCAATAAGAGAGAAAGGTTTTTTGGTGCACGTTGGCTGCCGTTAGCAAGCACGGATGCCCAAGTTTTGACGCGTCCAATTCTTATGCTGCAGCGGTCTGTGATAGTGTCATTAGGAAATGAATACCCAGATCTCACTCAGACGACAAAAGCGTATCGCCGCCGACGACGTTCGTCAACTACCCTTCCGACTCACCGTCAAGGTTTCATCCTTTGCGAAGCATAAGACATAGCCGTTGATTGTCAGTGCATATAGCCGCGACTCAGTGGCGCTAACGCAGAAGTTTGCGACGGCGCCATCCGCTGTGGATTCCAGACACGCGCAGAACTCCCTTTCTACGATCAAGTTCTTCATATCTGCATTAATTAATATAATATTACTCGGGCCTTAACAGATTCAGGTAGCTTAGCAAATAAATGCCCTAGCGCCTAGACACTTTAGTCGAGAAGCGCACGCCAATTCGCCTTGATTAGCGTGGCCATAGCGATCGGTAAGGTTGATTCCAGACTGTGCTGAAGGCGAGCTGCGCAGCATGCATGTCGATTTGGATCCGGCTGTCATAGTACGGCAGCGTTCTCTATTCATTAACACAGCAAGCTGCCCTTTCCTAAAAGCAATCTTGCGCGAGCACCATACTTCATATCTGTTAGTATAGGGAAACTTAATTGACAACGGCAGAGAGCATAAGCCTGGGCAAACCAGCTCCCGCCAGAACTAACAGCCCGGAAGATGGACGCCTATGAGAAGATTGAGAAAATTGGAGAGGGCACCTATGGAAAGGTGTACAAAGCCAGGGATATCAACACCGGAAAGCTGGTGGCCTTGAAGAAATGCCGCCTGGAGGTGCGACATGCCGACAAGTTTGGAGTAGTCACGCTTCGGCCAACAGGCTTCAAGTTATAACACCGTCACAATATTGATACAAGCAGTGGCTAATTGGCTGAAGCTCTTGCGCAGATGGAGGAGGAGGGCGTGCCGTCGACGACGCTGCGCGAAATTTCGCTTCTGCAAATGCTCAGTGAAAGCAACCATATCGTCAAGTGAGGAGCATGCTGCTTACTCATCACCATGGTCAGAATTCATTTTAAACTGTCGCACGGCTTTTGCAGGCTGCTGTGCGTTGAGCATACGGAGGAGAACAACAAGCCGTGCTTATATCTGGTGGGTGATCTACAAGAATCCGCACTTGTAGCTGTGAAAGAATGATCCAAAGGGCTGACGTTTCCGTTTGCTTCGCGCAGGTGTTCGAGTATCTCAACACGGACATGAAGAAGTGGATGGACCGTAACGGCAAGGGACCCGCCCATCCTCTCCCGACGATGCATATCAAGGTGTGTGCAGGCATACTTGTCAAATAGTCCTTGTGAGCTTTCTCAGAACGTTTGGCGTTATTCCTTGTAAACTGGCTCATGCCTGGCCCCGCTGCTCCTTACAGAGCATGGTGTACCAGCTGATCAAGGGCGTGGCGTACTGCCACATGCACGGCGTGCTGCACCGCGACCTAAAGCCCCAGAACCTGCTGGTTGACGACGAGAAGATGTGCCTCAAGGTTGCCGATCTGGGCCTTGGGCGTCACTTCAGCGTACCGCTCAAGAGCTACACCCACGAGGTATGCGACACCATCAGTCAGTATCCAACATCACCAGCACCAATGCCTCCGGCACTTGCGTTCACATAATAATTCTCATACGTAACATTCCAGATCGTCACTCTCTGGTACCGGGCGCCCGAGGTTCTCCTGGGGGCAACACACTACGCCACGCCTGTGGACATGTGGTCTGTTGGCTGCATCTTCGCAGAGCTTGTGCGCAAGGTATGGGCCCTAGAACCAATGGGGGCGGGCATCTGTATGCAGCCTCTATAAAGCCATTCCTAGTAGGATTACGCGGGGGCGCTGTAGCTCTAGCAGAGCACCTGCTCCGTTCACTAGCGACTGGATCTCCGGTTGTAAGTAGGCCTGAAGCTATCAGGCGTTGCGGTTCTTACCTTATCGTCCGTTATGCACTGCAGGCTCCCCTCTTCCCCGGTGACAGCGAGTACCAGCAGCTGCTGCACATCTTCAAGCTGCTGGGCACGCCCAACGAGGAGACGTGGCCTGGCGTCACCAAGCTGCGCGACTGGTACGTGTTTCACGCGTGTGCGTTACCACACTTTTTCGGGCTGTCGCAGTCCAGCAAGTAATTGCCCAATTTGTTGGCTACCGCCGGGATGAATGAATGACCGTTACAATGGTGCCGGGATGCTGTTGGGTTACCGGTATATGGCTCTTCCCTAACTCCCCTATGACCTTGTATCCAGGCACGAGTGGCCGCAGTGGCAGCCGCAGGACCTGCACCGCATCTTCCCGACACTTGAAGACTCTGGCATCGACCTCATGAAGCGCATGTTCGCGTATGACCCCTCCATGCGCATTTCGGTAAGACGAGACCTGGAGTGGTTTTGGTCAGCCCAGCGTATGCAGTCGTGCTGCATGCCTCCTTGACACTCTTGTTTGCCTTGGTTTTACCGTTTTATTCCGTGCGACTGCAGGCGAAGGAGGCGCTCAACCACCCCTACTTCGACGACCTGGACAAGGTCGCTGTGGACGCCCTAGAGAGCCAAGAGGTCCGCGACCGCATGGCCGAGGCGGCAGCGGCGAACTACCACTGAGTGGGAGTGCCAACTCAAGAGCCTTACGCACTTGGCCCTTCGCAGGGGTTAGAGGATGCCCTAGTAACTTGTGCATGACTTCGCTGGGCATGCGCTTAGGTCTAGAGCCAGGTGAACTAGGGCGTTTAGTTCCTCTTCTAAACGAATGACTGCAGCGTGTCCTTATAACTGACCACTAAAGACTGTACGTAATGCATGAGATGCGCATGTACATAGCATTGTTACAGGCTATTGCATTGACCATGATGTGACATGGGCACTGCCTAACTGCACATATGCATCGAGTGGTAGGACGCGAACCATGGAAGGCTTCTTGTGGCGTTAGGTGCCTCGTGCTGGGCGCGGCGGCTGCATATGAGCCCTTTATCGTACAAGGGCAGCAGCGTCAATTGCTGGGCGCCTGTGTAATGAGGCAGTTGTGTAAATTTCATACCTCTTTGCATTGTATGCCGTAGTTTGCAATGGCATGGTTCGCAAGGCAGGGGGGATAGCAACCCCACATGGCGGAAACCCAAGCAAAATACCTCAATACGAAGTCGCTATGCAAGCCCTCTGGACCAGAGGAGGTTTACTTGCGTTGTGGTAGAGTCTGAGGCTGACCGACATGTACGATATGCGGAAGGTAGTACGTCGTGTTACTGTAGGCAATAACCGGTACTTCACAACCATGTCGTTGCCTTTAGGCGGGTACCTGGTAGCTGTGCTTCGCCTCGGTAAACGCCGTGGTTCGTGCCAGTAACGAGGCTGATACCGGTAAACACCGTACCGGAAATAGGCATCTCCTTACCACATCAGGTGCAAGCCTCCTCCATTTGTGCATCGCAACCGACATTCCATTACCATAGCGTTACCCGGGCCGCACACACACCAGCAGCGCCGCAGCCGTCTGTCCATACAAAACACGGCCCCATGCCTTCCTCAAGTTACCAAGCGGTCATTCATTTCGCAGCGCTGGACTGAGCACACATATCAGCGCAGGAGCAGTCACGGTATCAACCCCTATTGCTGGGGCATGCTCGCGGCTGAACGTCCTACCCGACAAACCGAGGTCGCAAACCTCTTCGCAAACCCTAACGCAAAACGCGTGCAGACTGGTAAAACATAGAAAAGCCCAGCGGCGTCCATTTCCGGGCTAGTCAGATACACCAGCCTGCAGTTCTCCCCCTCAGTGACCCGCAGTGCCCAGTGCAGATCATCGTGAGTAGGCCAATATGAGCGTATGGACCTTCCAAACGCCCCTACACGCACACGCTCACAGAACCCCGACTCAGTGCTATGCGAAGTCCGATTATAATGCTAAGCGTGCGCACTGACGCGTGGCCTCCTGAAGCAGCTACTCCCTGTCACTTCGGCACCACCCCGTGCCTAGTTGTAACAGGTCAAATACCCGGTACACGCCCCCCCAGTCAAACAAAACCGTTCATCCACCGGCCTTCCCTCCCTTTGCCGCAGGAGGCCTGGCTGCCGTGCCGTTCTTCTCCTTTAGCAGCGACTCCCTCCTGGAAAACACCTTCGTTGTGCTGCTGTCCCGTGCCTTACGCTGGCCAGCAGCCGCAGGCGCCTCCGCCTCCACCACTGTGCTATGCCGCCGCCGCCCGCTGGCCCCAGCGCCACTGCCATCCCCGGAAGCTTTCAGTTTTGGAACTGCGGTGCCGTCAGGCGCGCTGGCGCGGCGGCGACGCACCGGCCAGAGCATGGTTACCGGCTTGCCTTGCAGCGCCGCGACCTCCTTGAGCCACCCTGACCTGCTCTTCCTATGTTTGCCAGTGCTGGGAGATTCACTTGCTGACGCCGATGCTTCTCGCCTTGCGGCACGGTGCTGGACGGTACCGTTGGCGGCTTCACCGGTGCCGGACTGCCGCTTGCCGGCACCACCGTCATCCCCTCCGCTCCGCCCTGCAGCCCTCCCGTTGCCGCCAGCAGACCCGTTTCGCGAAAGCACCACCGGACCATGCGCAAAACGCACTTGGGCCTTCCTCAGTTGGCCTGTCGTACTTTTGATCGCCGACCTCTGCTTTTGCTGTGCCTTTCCCTTGTCCTTCACCTCCTGCCGCTGCGAGGCCGGCTCCTGGACGGCGCCTGCGCCACCCTCCTTGGCGCCTGTTGACGGGCCGGCGCCGCTGACGCCGCTCCGGCGTCCGCCTCCGCTGTGTCGCGTCCTGCGCCGCGGCGGCGAGTGAGACGGCGACCGTGATGGCTCCGGAGATGATGAGGGCCGGTCCGAGTCCTTAAGCACCGGACACCTGGTAGGTGATGAGCACCGGGAGGGCGAGGAACAGGGAGACGGCGGCGCCTGCCGCGTGTCGATGTCCATTGCTTCACCGACCGAGCCGCCGCTTCCTTCGTGGCCCTCCTCAGCATGCGGCGCGCCTCCCGTCCGTTTGCGCGTGACGGCACGCTGGATAGCAGCACGCCCTGCCCGCTGGAGGACGATGGCGCGCCCACGCCCTCGTCCGCGCCCGCCCCGGCCCAGCATGCCGGCGGCACCACGGCCCCTTCCCCTGCCGGGCCGCGGAGCAGGCGGCTCAGCGGTGGCCGCCTCTGGGACTCCTGCAGGCTCCTCCGCGCTCTCGCCTTCCGGGGCTGGTGCCGCAGCATGACCCGCCCCACGGCCGCGCCCGCCCCTTCCGGCTGCACCCGTGCCTCGGCCGCGCCCTCTAGAGCCACGACCACGACCTCCCCGACCTGAAGGATGCACGGCAAGGGAACAAGGACAGTGCCTGGGTAAGCAGGATCCCCGCGGCTGCAGAGAAACTCGGGCCAGTTCGCAGCAGCACAACCCACAAAGTATGCCAAGGCCCAATCGGAGACACGTGCATGCATGGTCGCGGCGGAAACCCAGACCGGTGGCATCCCACTGGAAATTCGGCATCCATGATTGCGCCCGATACTAACCTCGCGTGCTTGCGCAACCTTCGCCGCTCCGCCTGGGCCCCTCCCCTTGGTCCCGCTCGTCGTCGGCCTCCTCCTCACTGTCGCTGCTGCCCTCCTCCTCTTCTTCCGCTGACGACGATGATGCAGCCTCCTCATCGCTGTCATCGGACTCGCTCTGCAAGTCAAGGGAGGACCCCTCTGGAGAAAGCGAAGGGCCGTCGCTGCTGCTGCTGCCCCCAGAGACCTCTGTCCCCTCTCCCTCGTCGCTTTCTGAGGAAGACAAAGGCGACGATGATGTTCCAGGATGGGAGCCGCTGTCGTCGTCAGAATCGTCCGACGCTGCCTGCACGCTACGCCTTTGGCCGCGCTGCAGCTGATTCTGCGGCTTTGGCCTACCCTGCACCGGCGCCGTCTTTCCACCACGCCTGGACGGTCCATGGAACTCAGGTTCGCTGTCGGGATCGCTTGATTCCGACGCCGAGCTGCTCGATTGCCGTTCAGGCTCCTCAGACTTGATACGCCTGCCCCGCGCCGCAGTGCCTGCCAGTCCAGCCGTGGATCGCCGGCCCCGACCGCCTCTCGAGCCCCGACCCGCCGCGTCGGATACCAGCCGCCGCCGCTTGGTGGGCCGCTCGTCCGGGGGTCCGGCGGTGGCAGCCGCTGCGCCGGCAATGGCTGCATTATCTGCTGCGGTGGCAGTGACCGAGGCCGGGGCGGATGCACCAGCTGCAGCGCCGGCGGAGTGCGGCCCCGCAGGCCCAGGGCCGTCTGCTGCTCCCGCATGCTGATGCTTTGCATACAGGTGCAGGCCGAGCTGAAACAGAGACAGAGAGGGGTCGGGAGGGATTGTGAATCGGACTATACCGACAGAAGCAGCACACGTGCTTCTGGGCCTAGCACCGTATCCCACGGGGTATCCACAAGCGTACTACGCCCAACGTCAGGCCCGCAAGACCAATGTCACCATGTTGCCGTGCTCGCCGCCTTACCTTGGCCGCCACCTCCGCCCGGTAGAGCTTCAGCAGCTGCTTCTTCAGCCGCTCCCGCTTGCGAACCTGGTCCGCCAGCGTGCGCAGCAGCTGCACACAGCCGGGGAAACAATCGGGTAGGGTTGCGTCCACTGGCATAGCCTCTCTTGGTGCGGTCTTGGTACAAAGCAAAGCTGCCACACAACAGCGTCACAGGGGCCTGGGGGCCCTTCCTAACGTCATGCAAACGTCCCTAAATACCAGGCTCCCTGCCACAGCCCCCAAACCCGCACACTCTGGTTGGCTTCAGCCCCCAGGTGCATTATACCTATACTCGTCTACCCACCTCCAGCTCGTTCCGTGCCTTAAGAATCCGGTCGTACGCCTCCCGCTTGCTGAGCCGTGACCGGTTCCAGCCGCCACGGCTGCTGTTCTTCGTCTCCGTCGCCATGAAGGGCATGTCCCCCTGCTCGCCCTCGTTGCCCGGGGTGCGATCCCGGAAGCAGATGGCCTGCGAGGGTGCGAGCGCAGGGGTGATGCAGGGATGGGCGGTGGCTCGAATGCTGCTCACATCACACGTGTGAGCAACCGGGATAGTTGCAAGCTGCAATGCGGCCTGCATGTCTGGTAGGGGCACAGCTTTGAAACGAACCGAGCGCCCTGCTGCCTACCTTCCAGGGCTGCTCGTACCACAGGTACCCCAACAAGGGACCGCCAGCCTGGTAGGGGCAACCATTGAGTGAATGAGGTCAGGAGGCCATGGGGATTACGGGCAAAGACAGCGTAGGTAGGGAAGCAATAGGCATGCATGTAACGCATGACATGGTAACCAGGAAGCGGGCCAAATGATGACTTGCCTGCTTCCGGCGCTTCAGCCAGTGGTTGTACAGTGCGCGTGGGAGGGACGGCAGCGGCGGCTGGTGCTCCTTCAGGGCCGCCACAGCCGCCTCCCAGGGAAGGATCTTGTCAGCAGACGGAAGCTTGGGCACTTTCCCGGCTTTGACTGCAGATAGGATGTGTCAAGTGCGGCACAACAGCATTTAGGCCAAAGAAAGGGAGCAGCTAGGGGTGCACAGCAAGCAAACGACAGAGTACGGTATATCGTTGCCGAAGCCTTGCGGCCAATGCAGTTCATGCCCTGCGCCACCATGACCTTCCCAGCCCGAACGAAGAATGGCAACCCACTTCCCGACGCATGGGCCCTAGTTAAAGCCGCTCAGCTCACCCTCTGCCTGCCACAGCTCCTTCTGCTGCTGCAGCGCCTCAAAGTGCGCCTGCTCCAGAGCGCCCATCAGCGCCTCAAAGCCGTCCTCATCCAGGATTGCGGCGGCCGCCGCAGCTGCAGCAGCGGCAGTGGAGCGCGTGGCGGCGGTTGCGCCGTTGGCTCTAGCCGCAGCACTGGCAGCAGCCTGCGAAACCAGCGAGACAGTTAGACAGGAGGCGGCAGCATTGTAACGAGTGATCTACGGCCGACCCCAATGCGCCCGCAACGACAGCCTCCTCGCTACCGGTACTCCCACCATGCCTGGCACCATGCTACGATGCAGCGAAAGCTAGTAGACGCACCCGCTGCTGTGCATTGACGCCTTCGAGCGCCTTCTCGTCCTCCTCATCCATGTCGTACTGCGAAAGCGCCGGTTCTGCGCGCCGGTCGCGGACCACATCGTGGTAGATGATGTACGCGTCGGCGTCTAAGCCGAGGTTGCCCAGAGCCGACAAACCTGGTGAAGCGCCTGGCAGGATGCCTAGCAACGGCGCGCCATGGCCCGCCTCTGCTGCTTTGCGTGCGTCAGCGCGGGCCATTGCCTGCTCGTTCTCGCCGTAGTCAGCGACATCCCGACAGGAGGGCACCTCTATAGCTGCTGCCGCGTGGTCACCATCAGCACCACCGGCTGACTGACCGCCGCTGGTGCGGGCCGCCGCTGCGCCTTGTGCTGGGGCGGCCTTTGCAAGCTGCTGCTCAGGGCCCTGCGTGCGGCGCTTCTACGTGGGAATAGTGGCGAGCAGGCCAAGGGGGCTACCGTTAGCGACGTGTTACGCGTGTTACAAGGCGACAACCCATATGTACTCCTGCGCTGCCGCCCTAACAACCGCAGTGTCGTACCTTTCGCCTCCGGCTGGTCTCAAGGCCGCTAAGCAAGGTGTGTCGGCCCTGATCATCACGTTCTTCTTCGCAAGTGCGAAGAAATTGGACCAATGCCGGGTCTAGGGCAGGAGTGTCAGCGCCATCATCCTCGGCATCGTTGGCCCGGTTAAGGAAGATAACCGGTATGCGCTCAGTAAAGGATATGGGCCGCGGCCGAATAGTGCGGCCACTCATGTCACTTGCATCGAGAGCGCCAGCAGTAGGCAACTCCTCTGCGCAAAAGGGTCACGAAGCTGCGCTGCAAGTCGTTACCACATATCTGCATAAACATACATATGCCATCTTTGTATAAGATGTGAATTGTAATATACGCCCTGATGCGTAAATTCAACGCTAGGAATTGGCACATGAAACGCAACACAGCTGAGCCACCTAATGGCTCTCCAATACGAAGGGCGATGAAGGCAGTCACAATAAAGATGGCTAAGGGTAGCTACGTTTACTCACGTTGTGAAGTTCTATCTCTCCTAGAGGAAGGTTCCAGCAGTTGCAAAGAAAGTGAGCTTCAACTGTATTGTTAGATAACCTGTGATATAAGGAGAACTAAAGGTGTAGATTTCGTTGTTTTCATGGACGTAGCCAGCCCGTTGACCAAGTAAAGAGGATGAGTGCTGGGCCTGGCTTGGCAGTAATCCTTGATATAAAGGAAAGATGCTAGGATAATGACGACGATACTTTGGTTGAGCGCTTAGACAATCTTAGCTGGCGGCCCTGGGCCGCTTCACCATCATACCGTACAGGACGAGTCGACAGCACAGTTACGGGCTTCTAGCATACCGCTGCAAGAGGGAAATTAGAGGTCCCCCTTGCCTGCGAGTGCATAAAGAACCCCAGTTGTTTTAGGTTGTGTTCGGGGGCTGCTGCAAGAGTGTCCATACACGGCACAGCCGTGTGCTTCCACCTTGCCTCCAGCCACTTTCCAGTTTGGAATAAGGTAAGAAGTCGGTGGTCCCTGTATGTCTATCGCCCCCCCTAGGTGACGGCCTCACATTGTAAATAACACATTAAACGCTCGTGTTCCCACCTCCCTGCATCTCCTGTACTTGTTGCCACTGTTCGTGTAAATCCCGTGCATAACGCGATGTGGGAACAGCACTGTACAATGGTACCTGTGACTGGTAACACGGAAACCCCCCGGCAAGCCGACATACAAGGCCTACGGTGCTCCCCCGCGGAGACCCCTCTGCTTCAGCTTAGCCTTAAGTTGTGTCCCAGGCAGCAGTTATTGCGTATATGGTGCTAAGCGCCTGGGATGTGCATGTGTAGCTTAACAACGTGCCAGGTATGGGCTGCGCACTTGCGCTCCATCATCGCGGACTTTAGGATTGTTACCGTACTGGTATACGGTGGTCAGAATACGACAATTGGAAGAGTGTAATAACGTTTGAAGCTACACGCCCTTGATTGCAGCTAAAACAATCTTGGTTGTTCGTGAGAAATATTATGAATGCTTTCACGTTGACGAGCTAAAGCGGGCGCTCGACTAGAAGGTCTACCCTCTTCTTACGGTTTCACCGCCTAGATGGTGGACCCTAGTCAGTTTGACTGTGCAATTTGCCAGAACCTTTTGCTGGACCCAGTTGTTGGCCCGTGCGGCCACGACTTCTGCCAATCATGTTTAGGGCGCTGGCGAACTGCCTCAACGCGGAGCTCTGTCTTGACATGCCCGCTGTGTCGAGAGCCAATACCTAGCGCGCTCGGTGAGTTTATAAACTCCGAGATTGGGACACAGCCCCGAAGCTCAAGGAACGTCATGGAGTTTGGCCTGCTGACGTTGCAGGCATTTGCGTGCGGCTGCGGGAAACCATTCAGCTGCTTTTTCCTGACAAAGTACGCGAAAGACGAGCTGAAGAGGAGCGAAAAGTTGCCCTTACCAGCGCAGGTAAGGCATATCTATGGCATGAGCTGCACTGCATTGTCCTGTCGAAGCGTTCCTGGTGTCATGCCCGACCGTTGCTTACCACCCCCGTGAACTGTATGCAGCAAATACAGTGGGACAGGCGTCCGCCAGCTCCACAAGCCAGCGTGCGTCAAACTCTTTTCGCACACCGCCTTCAGTGACAGCGGGTCAAGGATTTTCACAGCTGTTGCACTCCCTGCGAGGCTCCGGGCGGCACACATTTCGCCATGCGGCCGCAACAGCAACAGCGGCGTCCTCAACGCCAGCAGGAGCCCCAGGGCCCGCAACGGAAACAGTGCCGACAGGGGCGCAGCCATTCTCGAGCACCTGGGTGCCTCCCGCAACGCTCTGCTTCACGCTTGGTTGGCATGACCCAGCCGAGACCCGCTTCGGGCGGCGTCGATCGATGGGACGCCGGAGGCGGGTCAGGGCGGCATAGGTGATGCGGCTACTGCAATACAGCTGCGCATAGCGGTATCTAAGGACATCAGGAGCGAGATAGCGACGGCTGACTGCGCTCATAGATGACATGAGCCAGGCAGCCGCCGCCTAACTGCAGCCGTGCTAGCGGCCTGGCGCGATGTGTTGTTGCGGTGTCATGTGTACCGTGACCGAGTGCGTTGCGGCCGTACTGTAATGCCATCTTGCATGCCCCAAGGAATTAACTGCGTGCAGGAGAGTGTAGTCAGCGGCCACAACTTACTGCGGTCTTTAAAAGCGTTGCTTGCAGGGCTGGTGGATGCAACTGGACTGGGCGGGCGTGCGATTGGTCGCGCATCTGGATGCGTCTGTCCGTGTTGCGGTGACGTGCCCGCTTTCCAAGTGAGTGCCTAGCAAAGGCGTCGGAGCGCGCTATGACGAGCCACTTGACGAAGCACTTCGGTGCTTGGCCAAGAGGACATACCTTGTTACCATGCTGGGCACACGGCAAGGTGCAACTTTTGTCGGCGCGTGTTCTTGGAAGCTGCTAGTGCAAGCGGGTGTCTTGCTGTTGCAAAACGGTTATGGCGCGAGACAGCGCCGTTGTATGATACGTTGTGGCCAAAAATGCCGATGTGAACTGAGATCGTCTTTCACCCCTTCGTGTGCAGGGTGTGCTCCATGGTGTGACTGTGCGGGGGCGCGCTGGGGATCATGCAGCTGTCGTGTTGCTCGATGGGCTGTTCCATTCCCCGTAAACACGCCTGTATGACAAAACGTGTTTGCGTAGGGAAAATAGCTCCATGCGCAGCGCTGTGCCTGTACGTGTCGCAGCCGTGTGTAGCTGAAATGCATGGGAAGCCATTACTTCTCTGTTGCATATCGCTTCCTGTTGTACCCCACTTGAAGGTGCTAAGGGTCGGTGAGAGGCTTTGGCTGTGATGCCGAAGGCCATCAGTCTTCCTTTATTGAGGGCCATGGCGCGCCCGTTCAGTTGCGGTGCCCCGTGCGGTATTGGGTTAGCGCAATCATTTGGATTGTCGGCCCCCAGGACTTTGGCCGACAAGCTGATGGCTGCGGTTTGACCAAGTGCTGGTACGGACATCAACGTGCGACTGCCCATCCTACACTGCTGCTAGTGCGGATATGAATAAGTTTGTACAAGTTTTCACTCGCCCCCTGAGGGGGGGGGCACCAGCGGTCATGAGGTTTGGACATTGTACTAGGCTACTTGTTGGCGTATGTGCCACCGGACGGCACCTGTGCACTCCAGCAATGCCTATTTGTTGTACTTTTTTGAGGTATAAGATATATTATGCGAATTTCACCATCGCAACGATCTCATGCAGCTATTTTAAGACGGGGTCAAATGGTTGACCTTCCTGTCGCATATTCTGTAACTCTACGGCTTTCTTTGTTTACTGGCGTGGGATGTATTTATAAGGTATCTTGAAATGTAGGCTCATTCAAAGTGACTGACCGCATAAGAGATTACCAAGGCCAGTAGCATGTTGTTACAAGGGGTATGGAGTAAATCCACACTTGGCAAACAGCGGGTTTAAGCAGACATCCACGAACAGAATACACGATATTTCCCCACGCGCGTGCACATGGCATGTCAATACCAGCTACACACTCTTATAATCACAAGCGTTGGTCACCAAGGGCCCCACGTAAGCTGGATAGGCTTTGGCATACAAATACCCAGCGAATGTACTACCCTGAATGCACCTGCTCGTGCTGGCTATAAGCATGCCTAGTTGTCACTATCCAGCACACGTAAGACACCACAGCCGGGACCCCGTGCCCAGCGGCTCATGGACGTTTAAAGTTCCATATACAGATGCGCGGAGTATCCTACACCTCACGGCCGTTGTGACCGACAGCGCGCAATCCTAGCATGGTTAAGTGTCCCAATCCGTGCAAAAATGCAGCTGTCCCTGTGTGACAGCACCTATACATTCCTCGAAAGCTAAACGAGCACTTAGCACGCTGCTAAAGCCCCCATGCGCCTAGCGACCTGAGCAGCCGCTTTACGCCGACTTGGGGGGGTTGAGCATGCGCCAGCCCTCAATCCAGGCCACCATGCCGTCCGCCAGCTTTGAGAAGTACGGGTCAATGTGGCCCAGCCCCTTGCGGACCTTCTCCGCCAGCTCCAGGTAGCAGTCCTCGACGGTCGTCGCGGTCTTGCTGAGGGTGAGGTTCTGGAAGAAGGGGATGATCTCCTGTGGAGGGGAAAGGATAGGAAGATTCAGGAATGGTTTCCCATTAAGCGAAAGGTATGTTACGACTGAAACCTTGCACCGTGTACGTTACGGGCAACTATACGAACGTGTACAGGCGGCATTGCGAAGCATGTAATGACGACACTGGCGCATGGATTCTACGTAGCCCAACGTACCTCCTGCCAGAAGATGCCCTTGTACTCCTTGCGGAGGTTGGTGAAGGGGTTGCTGGCCTTGCTGTGCCACACGTAGGGCAGGCCGGTCTTGCAGCCGACGCCCAGGTGGTCGCAGATGACCTTGGTGCACCAGCCGGCCCACATGTCATCGTAGCGGCCAATGGGCTGGCCCTCGCCCATCAGACCGAAGTACATGCCGGCGCCAATGAGCTCCCTGCGTGTGAAGCAGACAGAAAGGAGAAAATTTGGCGGTCAGCTACGAGGCGTAACAAAACTTAATGCAAAAACGAAAGGACTTAAACAGGTCAGCATTGTGAACTGAAAAGCTGCGACGCACCTGTCGAACGCCAGGTTCATGCCGCACATGGGGTACAGGGTGCCCTTGGGGACGGTCATGACGGCGTCCACGAAGCGCTGGTTGCGCTCCTTGGGCTTGACCATCTGTGGGTAACGGGCCATGGGGTTAGGGTTTAAGCAGCGGTATACGCAGGATTAGAAGCAAAAGACGGTCGTGCCTAGGGTCGTGCTTTTGACCTCGTAGCATTCCGCAATCCTGCTTGTACGTCACATCGTGCCCTAGCAGCTCTTGCCGCTGGAACAGCTGGAGCAAGGATGCTTACCTGCGTGGGGGCGTCGTAGTCGGGAATGTTGAGCCACAGGCCGTGAGAGGTGGCGGTGGGCACGCCCTCGCGCAAGCTGAAGGGGTAACCGCGAACGAAGTCGGCACCCTCGCGGTAGGGGTCGTAGAGGGTGTTGAAGAAGAAGGGCGTCGACGGGGTTAGCAGGTTCTTGATGTGCTGCTCCAGGACGTTAATCGGCTTGCCGGAGGGATCCTTGGCGACGAAGCAGTCGTCGTCAATGGTGTAAATGTACTTCTTCTTCGACACCATAAACCCGAAGCAACGGCAGGCCGAGTCCTTGAACGAAATGGCCCAGGCCTTGTCGCCAAGGATGCGCTCGATGTCGTTGCGGTTGTAGAGCTCATAGTCATAGCCCTCAGGCACATGGATCTTCTTTGTTGGGTCGCCATCCTGCACGATGATCAGGTGGTAGGGCTGGAAGAAAGGACGCCACTCCTCCAGGAAATCAAGGTTCCTGCATTAATAGAAGGCCAGAATGAATAAGAGGATTGCTCCCCACACACGGGACACCGAGGAAGGTGCAAGGCGCCCGACAGCGTTCTTCCTAGGCCCACGTTGCTATCACAGCTGCAAAGAGCTGACCTGATGGTGGGGATGACAATATCCAGCTGGTCAGCGAGAGGAGCGGACATTTTGGTGTTTGACGATGTGTCCGATCGGGAGACCTTTGGTGGTGCGTGACCCTATGCACGCTCGAAGTTGTATGGTGAGGATGGTAATGGTGTACAAAGAGCAGCGACAACTTCTAAATAGCCACGGCCCGCCCTTTGTACCCGCTGTGCGCATGTCGTATCACAACAGCGGTCCAATCGCATCGTCAACTTTAGAAACTCCCCAACTCCTAGGAGTTACAAGAGGGTAAATGCTAAGCGTTTAACGTGGACCCACTGCATGTTTCCCGTGTTTCGGTTTTCTATCGAGACAATCTGAGCCCGAACGGGTCAGTCCGTGTTGCTGGTCAGTGTGACATCCATTACCAAGCATGGTTATGTTGTCATATCTGAAACCTATAACCCTGCGTCAAGGCGGTGACGTAGCTATGCTCCAAGTAGTAACTCCAAACTGTATGCGAACAGAATGTAACCTTTGTTAGGCATGCATGGCTAGCCATTGCTCCTAAGTGTGATTACTCATGAAGGGGATAACCTCTCAAAGCCGGGAAAGGGTGGAAATGCCTTGGTCCGACAGGCCGTGGTAGAAAACCAACGGTTTGTGTTATGTGCCGTGTGTTTCAAAGCACGCAGGTCGGGTTCCGCCCTAGGACACCAATCCTGCCTAGCTACCAAAGGGATCTATGGGAACATAACCCTTTCGCATTCGCCCAGCCCCTAAAGAACCGGCGTTGTCCTTCCAGGCGTCGTTCTATTGCCCTACAACGAAAACCCAAGGCGGCAGAGCCCGCCTTAATATGTGTGTACCTTCCTTATATGACGTGGCTTGCGTTTCGTCCTAGGGAACGGAAGGAGGCATGAACCACTTTCCATTCACCTGGCAAGCGGGCATGGATGGATGGGTGGGTATGAGGGGACAGGCGGCCGGCATAGCGCCAACGATCTTTGGGAGCTGCGATGAACGAAGGAGAGGGCTGCATGAGGGCTGCACTTGGCTGCACTATTGATACTTTAAACCGACTTCGGCAAGACCGGTGGGACGAGCAGGTTAGCCCCTGGCAGCAACATCCCAAGCTTCCGACTTGCACGATTGACATTTATCGCTATCGCTTTGTCGGCACCAAGGCAAAGTAGTTGCTCCTTGCGCTACATAGTTACAGAAAAGCCTGATAAGTCAGCGGGACCATGGCTAAAGGGAAACGTGGACAGATGTATGATGAGGACGACGTTGACGATGGTTATGATGACGACGACTATTATGACGAGGAAGACGGCTACGATGCTTACGACGACTACCCAGCAGCGGGCGGGAACAAGCAGGCGAGTGTCTGCTCACCTTGCTCCAATCCTTGGCAGAGTCGCGTTTGCATGCGCGCAATATAATGCCAGTTTTGACCTTGAGCTCCAGACGGCAATTGCATTTAGCTGCAGTGGTAAATGTTGAGCATGCGCATGAGGGCAAGCGTACTCCCTTGCGCTTGCAACGCGGGTGGCCCGGATTACTCCTTGTATATCCATGTCCATTTGGTCGGCTGCGGGTGCTGATTGGGCTAGTATCTGGCGAAACCATGCTGGCAAGGCGTGTCCCTTTGGATTCCGGTCCGCCCCAAGATTCCCCCGGCCGCTAATTCGGCGTGCGTTCCTACATGTCACAGCGTGTAACCCCAACGAAAGCCTCATGGTTTCGCCCCGCGCCTGGGCCTTTCAAATGAACACGCGACTACATGCTGCAAAGTTGGGGTGGACCCTGTCGGCCTTGCAACCCCCTCCCAGCACCCCGACCACCAGCTAAAGCACGGAAACCAATCTGCAGGTTGTGCCGCCTTCCCCAACACGCGGTTCACCCCCTGTCCCTTGTCCTTACACGCAGTGCCCCGACGCTCCTCCTCCCCCGCAGTCCCAGCAACACGGGAAGCCCCAGCAGCAACCCCAGGCGTCCAAGGCAACGACATCGGCCCGCGCCGCAGGTGCATCCAAGCTGGCGCAGTTTCTGTGCGACCCGCCGCCCCCCGCGCCGGGAGGGAAGGCACAGAGGGGGGGTACGCAAGAGCACATGGGGACGGGGTGTGGAAGCGGCTGTAGGCTGCTGCTGGCCTCCGGCGATAGGAATCCCGGTCGAGGTTGAGGACATGGGGCACTGCAGCATGGGGTCCCTACCTGGACCTACCTGCTTTCCTCCCCTTCCAAGCCAGCATCTACCGACTTGCAATCGCCGCCCCTGAACTCTGTCCCGTCCTGCCGTTGTGTCGGAAAACGTCATGCCCTACCCTTACCGCGTAACCCGCGCTGCTCACTGCTCCTCCTCGTCGCTGCCACCTGCTCCCACTGCCCTTGCCCACGTAGCCAAACCCGACCCGGCAGTGAAAGCTCTCCAGCAGCCAACCTACCCCCTAGCCCCGCACCTGGCACCGAAGCAGCAGCAACCGCAGCAGCAGGCGGCAGGCAAGGCAGGCGCATCAACAGCGGAAGCGGCAGGGCCCTTTCGCTTCGACACGCCGTCCCCAGATGATGCTGTACGAGCCGCGCAGGACCGCCGGGCAGGTGGGTTGCCGGCTTTTGAGTGGGTGCATGGCGCATCTCCACCGGGCAGCTTGCAGGGCCTGATTTCTCCGAGGGAGGGAGAGCGACTGTTTCCACTCGTTCAGAAATCTTAGCTTCCATGCACGCCTTCCACAGTGCTGCGGCCCCCATTGTCCCCATCCGACCCCACCGATCATTCCTTCCTCGGTTCCCTTACCTTTCCTCTCCTCCTCCTCCTCTGCCTCAACCCCAACGCCAGGTGTGGTCGCTCCGCCCTCCACCTCGGTCGCCGCCTCCGCACCCTCGCTGCCCGCCAACAAAACCTTCCTGCGCCCGAGCCCCATGATGCAGCAACAACGCCAGCAGCAGCAACAACAACAGCAACCGGACTCCAGCCAAAGCAGCCAGCCGGCAGGTGCAGCAGCCGCTGCGGGCGGGATGGCGGCTATGAGCCTGGCGGACGGCAGCGCTGCTGCTGCTGCTGCTGCGGGCCCCGAGGCGTCATCGTCTAGCAGCCAGCAGCATGGTCAGCCGCATGCAGCCGGGGCAGGGGGGCTGCATGGGCTGCACACGCGGAGGCCGCTGGGGGAGTACGTCATGGAGGCGGACCTGGCCAGGTGGGCAGGGGGCGGGGAGGCAGGCAGGGGTGTTCAAAGACCGTAACATACCATAGGAAACCACAGGTTAGGGCAAAGCAATGGGGATAGGAGACGGCAGGCGGGGGGGGCGGGGAATGGCGTTCCGAAGGTTCCAGTGTTCTCAGAAAGGGAAGAGGGTCGCGGCAGCTCGGCAGGTAGGCCGCGGGGTCACGGGTCTTCCCCTGCACGTTTACTCTACATACGTCTTTCCTGCCTCCGCCGTCCTAAACACACGCCCTGTCCTCCACACCCAAACTCACCCGCCCCAGGGAGGTCGAGGCTGCCGCTGCTGCCGAGGCCGCCGCCGCCGCCAGCCCCTCGCCCTCCTCTCCCTCTCCCTCCTCCTCCCCGCCGCTGCGCGCGCCGCTGCACCTGGTTGTGTTGGGCCACGTGGACGCGGGCAAGTCCTCGCTGATGGGCCGGCTGCTACACGAGCTGGGGCTGGTGTCCGCCAAGGAGGCGCACAGGTACCAGCGGGACGCGGCGGCGGCAGGCAAGGTGGGTGCGGGGGGGGGAGGGCGCGGGCGGGGGGTGTGAAGGGAGTGGTGCCTGGTGGGTTGTGGGGGCGGGGCGCGGGTGTGGCGCGGCTTGGTGTAACCGTGGCGGACGTAAGTAGGTGTATGGTATGGCGGGGGCGGGCGGGGGGTCGGTTGCAGGACATGCGGACGCTAATCCTGCAGGCGATGAAGACGGAGGAGATACGGCTACAGGGGGTGCATTTACTCGTTTCATTACCTCCTCCTCCGCCTCCTGGCAGGGCTCCTTCGCGTGGGCCTGGGTGCTTGACGAGCGGCCCGAGGAGCGCGAGCGGGGTGTCACGGTGGACGTGGCCATGACGCGCTTCACCACAAACAGGTGCGGGGGGGGCGGGGGCGGGGAGGGGGGGCTGTGGGTTCGTAGCAGGTTGTGCAAAAATGCAAGGCAGCATGGGTTCAGCTTTGTCTGGGTGACACGACGAGGCGGGTGTCGTGTTCACACCACCTGCGAAACCACCGCTCCTCCCTCCCTCCGCTTACACACTCCTCCTCCGTTGATGGCCCTGCTCCCCCTCTCCCACCCACCTCCTCCCACACCCGCCCCCCCGCCTCCCTGCCCCCGCAGGTTCTCCGTGACGCTGCTGGACGCGCCCGGCCACCGGGACTTCGTGCCCAACATGATTGCCGGAGCGGCGCAGGTGAGACCGCGGGCGGCGTCCTGCCACAACAGGCGCAATCAAGCAGATGTCGGTCCGTTCGCGTCCCCTGCTGCCCTCACCACCCTCTACCGCCTACCTCCCACCTCCCCTCCTTCGTTCGCAACACGGTATATGCCTTTTCTCCTCCCTCCCCCCTCCATGGACCGCCGCTTACTGTTCCCTTTGTCTTGCCCTCACTTGCGGTTTGAAAATCCTTCGACCCCCACCCACCCGCCCACCCGCCTTCCAGGGCGATGCCGCGCTGCTGCTGGTGGACGGCAGCCCGGGCGGCTTCGAGGCGGGCTTCAGCGAGGGCGGCGGCGGGCTGCACGGCGCTCCGGGCGGCCAGACGCGCGAGCACGCGGCGCTGGCCCGCAGCCTGGGCATCGAGCAGATGGCGGTGGTGGTCAGCAAGCTGGACACGGTGGGGTACGACAAGGTAGGTGGGGGGAATAAGGGGAGGGGAGGGGAACGAAATAGCGGTTGGGGTTGCATGTCGGTGTATTAAGCAACGGTGTTGCCGTTGCGATGCTGGCGTTGCTGCGCCCAAGGGTTGCGAACATGCATGCGGCCTAGGAATGTGCGTATCTTGCCAATCTGCATCAAGGTTTGCCATGGTAACGCGCTTTGGACAACAACTTGGCGTGTGTACCACCTTTCCGCAGTAGCCTTAGCAGCCATGTACACCACTATCCTTTCTTCCCCTTCCTCGCCTTCCCCACGTGTGTCCCCTGCATGTAATACCTCCATCCATCCAGCCACACCCGACCCCAACCTCCTCCCTGCCTGCCAGGCTCGCTTCGACTCCATCCGCTCCGCGCTGCTGCCGTACCTGCGCTCCGTGGGGTTCCGCGAGGCGGCGCTGCAGTGGCTGCCCGCCTCGGGGCCGCTGGGGGAGAACCTGGTGGGGCAGCCGCAGGTGGGGCGTGAGACAGGGCAGGGGGGCAGGGGGGGGGCCACGGGGCGGGTCGAGCTGTGGTAGGACAGGGGGGGGGAACGGGAGTGCGGCTTGTGAGACAGCACGGCAGCAGTGCACGTCCTGGCCAATGGTAGCTGCGCCGCCTCTCCTACATCCACGGGCTTCTCTTACCTGTTCTGCCTACTGGCAATGCGAGCCGCCTCCCTCCCCCCCTCCCCTTCTTCCCCACCCCCTGCTCAGATTACGCCTTATGACACGGTCCCTTAATTGTTTCCTCCTTACCCCCCTCCCCTCCTGCTCAGGACCCCGCGCTGCGCTCCTGGTGGTGTGGCCCCAGTGTGGTGGGCGCCATCGACTCGTTCAAGCCGCGCGAGCGGGCCACCGGCAAGCCGCTGAGGATGCCCGTCTCGGACGTATTCAAGAGCAGATCAGGTGCGGTGTGTGGGGGGAGGCTGCCGAGGTGGGTGGGCGGGTGGGTGGGTGGGTGCAAGGAGATTGTGATGTTCATGGGGGGGAATTCGCAGCTGAGTTAGGGGCCGGTGCTGGCTGTCTTGCTGGGTGATGTGTGCGGCCATTTCGTGGTCGCTACATAGAACCGAGCGTACCGGTAACAATTTCTGCAGCTACGATGCGTAACGATCACAGCTGCATATCCTTTACCAGCGGCTCCCTTCAATGCTCCTTCCCACCCCCCCAGGTGCGGTTGTGTTCGGCGGCAAGCTGGAGGGCGGCGCGCTGCGGCCCGGCTCGCGTGTGGTGCTGGTGCCGGGGCCGCTGCAGCCCTTCACCGTGCGCAGCTTGGAGGTGAGTGAGCTGGGGCTGGGGCTGCCTGCCATCTCCCACAATTCCCGACCTTGAGGCGGACCTCGTAATGATGCCCCGTAATGTTGTGAAAACCCCCCTTGCTGTCTTGAGAAATCAAGTTACCGTAGTTAAGACTCCCCTTTGCTGGCCACACTCTTTGTGGTTCTGCACTGTCCTTCGCCTTGCCCCAGGTGTCCGGCGCCTCCTGCTCGCTGGCCCGTGCGGGCGACAGCTGCGAGGTGGCGTTGGTGCCGGCGCACGGAGGCCCGGGGGCGCACGGGGGCGGGGGGGCCGCGGCGGCGCTGGAGCCCGGCAGCGTGGCTCCCGGCACGGTGCTGTGCCACCCGGACTTCCCCGCCGCGGTGGTCAGCCGGTGGGTGGAGGCGGGGGGGGGGGTGAAATAAGTGAAAGAACGAGTCCCATTCCCATATCCCGACTCATGCAGGAGCAGGAGCAGGGAGGGGCTTGGTTCACAACAGAGGGAATTTGGAAAGGCATGCAGGGGCTGGTTCGCTGCGTGATCGCGGGATGGGAAGGAGGGGTCAGTGTGCCTGCCGCCTTGTTGCGCTTGTGTATTCACCTGTCTCCTCCTCCCTTTGCTGCGTTTTCCACTGCCACGAACCTCATGCTGCCGCGCCCGCCACGCCCAACCTTGAACGACAGCGCACCCCCGCCCCTCCCTTCCCGGCACGCTCCAGGTTCGAGCTGCGCATCGTGGTGCTGGAGGTGCCGGTGCCGCTGCTGCGGGGGCACGCGGTGACGCTGCATGCGCACGTGGCGCGCGAGGAGGGTCACATCACCGCGCTGAGTGCCGTGCTGGACCCCAAGACAGGGGAGGTCACCAAGGCAAGATAGCACGCGGGGAGAGGAAGAGGGAGGAGGGAGGGAGGGGAGCAGCCTGATGCAAAGACCGCGGCCATGGTTTTTTCTCTGTTTGTTTGCACGGCCCCTTTATCAGGAAGCACGGCGCCGCAAGCAGCCCGGCTTTTCACACTCGGCCCAAGATGCGTCACCCAGTCATCCTCCTCCTTATGAACCTGTTGCTGCTGCTAAACCTCCCTACGCCCCCTTCCCCGCACCCACACCCACAATTTGGAATTTCTTTTTTCCCCGCACCCGCACCCGCAGGCCCGGCCTCGCTGCCTGACTCGCGGCCAGACTGCGCTGGTGGAGGTGACGTCAGCCCGGGGTCTGGTGCTGGAGGAGTACGGCAGCTACCGGGCGCTGGGGCGGGTGGCGCTGCGGGAGGGGGGGCGCACGCTGGCGGTGGGCATCGTGACACGGCTGATCGAGTGAGGAATAGATGAACTGAACCGCGAGCAACCAGAGGAGTGAGGGGTGTAGGAGGTTGCGGATGGGGCAGCAGGAGTGGGATGCTGGTGGCTGGAGTGGGCGGCTTGTCAGAAGGATGAGGCGCGGGGTGTGGGATGGGGTTGCATGCGGATGGGATGGCGGAGGAGGGTTCAGTGTGAGGGGGCGGGGGGCAATGCGTTGTTGCGGTGGGAGGAGCAAGGAGGGGATGAAACTGGCGGTAGGAGGAGGGTGATGCAGGGGGCATACGGTGGTGGTTGTCTTGCCATGCGGTGCGGCTTGTGCAAAGGTTGCGGGGATTGTCGACAATTGTCAACGGACATGTTGATGTGGTGCATGCGGCATGATGTGGCGCATCATGTGTTAAGCAGCTAGTGGTGCTTGGTATGTGGGGTTTACGCTTCTGCCTTCTGCCACCAACCGCCCCTTCACGCACCGCGACAGCATGTACCGGTAACAGGTTGGGGGCAAGCGAGCAGTGTAACCACGTGCGACAGCGCCCTGAAGGAAACAAGCCGCTTGCATTCCTAATCACATCGCTTCCATGGATTCTGGATATCGATCGCGGCTTGGCGTGAATGGGCCTGTGGAGGGATCGTCTTCCTATATGTCGCGCAACCGATTTGTACGACTGCTGCACGATGCCCTTTGCTAAAGCCATACGCCAAAGCACATACTGGCATAGGACTTGAGTTCGCCCAGCGGTTACATCATTAATTAGGTTGCGGGCGACGGTTCAACATCTGAACGATCTTTGCAGTAGAAAGTAACTTTTTGTGCCCTGCGGGGCCGTTAGTGACCACGGGAAGCTCAGGATAGCGTAGAAGTATTAGCTGCTGCAGTTACACGTTATATAGGCCGTTCTGGTGTCATCTGAGCTTGGCGGGAGCTGCTGACAGCGCTGTGGGCAGCTGCGGTGGACAGCAGCAGACAGCAAAATGCTTACAAAGTTTGAGACTAAAAGCAATCGTGTGAAGGGCCTGTCCTTCCACCCAAAGCGGTGTGTCCAACTAGCTGCCATGTCGCCTTCTTCCTAGACCGTTTTAGATGGCATTCAGCTCGGACGGAACACTTGTAGTCTATTGGCCTGTTAACACGTGTTCTTGAATGCATTTGCTGTTGCAGGCCATGGATCCTTGCGTCGCTCCACAGCGGTGTAGTCCAGGTAAACCAAGCTTTGACAAGTCGCTGTTGTTATTAAACGGTATTGGGGAGATGCTGAACTCTCCCTGCTATCGCCCCTCCTCCGCAGCTGTGGGACTACCGCATGGGCACACTGATCGACCGCTTTGACGAGCACGACGGGCCTGTGCGTGGCGTGCACTTCCACAAGTCACAGCCGCTATTCGTGTCTGGTGGCGACGACTACAAAATTAAGATCTGGAACTACAAGCTGCGCCGTTGCTTGTTCACGCTACTTGGCCACCTGGACTACATCCGCACGGTGCAGTTCCACCATGAGTACCCCTGGATTGTCAGCGCTAGCGACGACCAGACTATCCGGATATGGAACTGGCAGTCCCGCACGTGCATTTCGGTGCTCACGGGCCACAACCACTACGTCATGTGCGCCATGTTCCACCCGAAGGAGGACCTGGTTGTGTCCGCCTCCCTGGACCAGACGGTCCGCGTGTGGGACATTAGCGGCCTGCGCAAGAAGACGGTGGCTCCGGGTGGGGAGGACGTGCTGCGCCTGCCTCAAGTGGGTAGTGCACGCGGGGTTGGTTTTGCATGGGCTATACACAGCCGCAGGGGACCAGGCGCCCAACTTGCGGGACGCACACATGAGCTGGTAGTTACGGCTGCCTTGCCTTCAACACGGCTACGTACCTTGCCTGCAAAGCCCACTAAGAGGTATGCGGCTCTTCCTTGCCGCAGATGAACGCGGACTTGTTTGGCGGTGGTGACGCTGTGGTCAAGTATGTGCTGGAGGGCCACGACCGGGGAGTCAACTGGGCCGCCTTCCACCCCTCGCTGCCGCTGATTGTGTCCGGAGCCGATGACCGCCAGGTCAAGCTCTGGCGCTACAACGGTGGGGATGGTTGCTTGGCCCTTTGGCGGGTTGGGGTTTGGCTGGGGTTGCGTTGCTGGGTGAATGTTGCTCAAGTAGTAGGGTAGAATGTGTTGGGGTAAGAAATTATGCCGCTGGCCCGGGGCACGCAGGGGCGGCGCGGGTGAGGGGCCGTTGCCTGAGCGTGAGGATGGGGGCCGCTTGGTAGGGCCTTGAAGCCAAATCGTTTCTCTCGGCACTTCCCACCCACAGAGAGCAAGGCCTGGGAGGTGGACACGTTGCGTGGCCACACCAACAACGTGTCTTGCGTCATGTTCCACGCTCGCCAGGTGAGCACATCAGGAAGATGGTACAAACGAACACATTAACCTAGTGCAGCAATTGGGGTTGTGGTTGGTTTTGGCGTGTGATATACTTGAACAGGAAGGTTCAACAGGCGCTGTGTAACTGGCTCCTTTCGTTCTACTCTTGCGGTGCCAGGACCTGATCATCTCCAACTCGGAGGACAAGAGCATCCGGGTGTGGGACATGTCGAAGCGCACGGGCGTGCAGACCTTCCGTCGCGAGCACGACCGGTTCTGGATCCTGTCCAGCCACCCGGAGATCAACCTGCTGGCGGCGGGACACGACGGGTGGGTGGCAAGGGACCAGGGAGGGGGTGGGTGGATGGGTTTGTCTTGAGTTCTAGGAGATCCTAGGGAAATGCAGGACGGAGCACAAAGTCGCCCCAGCGACAACATGGGGTGGCGTTGCTGCCTTGTTACCACTCGCTATCTTTTCAACTACCTGGCATGAAATATAACCTGAAGATGAAGTCCTAACAAGGTGTCCCTTGGCCCTGCCACTGCCCGCAGCGGCATGATTGTGTTCAAGCTGGAGCGCGAGCGGCCCGCGTGCGCCGTGCACGGCAACGTCCTGTACTACGTGAAGGACCGCTACCTGCGCACCTACGACTTCACCACGCAGCGCGACAACCCGCTCATGTCCATCCGCCGGGCGGGCAGCGCGGGCGCCAACCAGGTGGGGACTCTTGAGCGGGCGGCAGTGTGAAACTTGGGGTACCTGTAGTGCTTGCTTGCGTCCCACGGCTCCTTACACGGACTGCGGCGTTGTCCTATCCCGATGGTGAGGTGCCGAATGTTCATGTCCCCACCATGGGTCCCTACCTGCAGGGCCCCAAGACGCTGGCATACAACCCGGCGGAGAACGCGCTGTTGATCACCTCGGACCTGGACGGCGGCACGTACGAGCTGTACGCCATTCCCAAGGAGGCGGCGCGAGGCGACACGGCGCCGGTGAGCAGCGTCGCATGCATCCCCACCACGGCTAGGGTACACTGGAACCCTCGGTCCTGGCACACACTTCAAAATGTTATGTTGTTTGGGGGCGTTGTCGCAGTCATGGAAGCGTCCCGGCTTCCATCCCGTCATTCTGAGTGTCACGCTTCCTCCACGCCTCTTTCCTCCGTAACACCAGGAGGCCAAGCGGGGCCTGGCCACCTCGGCGGTCTTCATCGCGCGCAACCGGTTCGCCGTGCTGGACAAGCCGAACAACACCATCCAGATCCGCAACCTGCAGAACGAGATCACCAAGAAGGTGCCCACGCCCTGCCCCACCACGGACGCCATCTTCTACGCGGGCACGGGCATGCTGCTGTGCCGCTCGGAGGACAAGGTAAGCTGGAAGCTAGGTCAGCAAAACACACCTTTTTACTCTGTGGGGGGATGTACCATTGCGTTTTGCCTGGAGAGCTGTTCACCCCAGCCTTTCATCCTTTGCGGAACCCTCCTTAGTAACTCCTCTTTAATCTATAATCGATTTCATTCCTCCTCACTTGTGTTGACCACGCCACGCGCCCCAGGTGACGCTGTTCGACATCCAGCAGCGCTCCTCCATGGCCGAGCTCACCACCCCCTTCATCAAGTACGTGGTGTGGAACAACGACATGTCCATGGTGGCGCTGCTCTCCAAGCACGCCATCATCATTGCCGACAAGCGCCTGGGCGGCGCGCAGACGGTGCACGAGACCATCCGTGTCAAGTCGGCGGCCTGGGACGACAACGGCGTGCTGCTGTACACGACGCTCAACCACCTCAAGTACTGCCTGCCCAACGGCGACTCGGGCATCATCCGCACGCTGGACTCGCCGCTGTACGTGACGCGGGTGGCGGGCAACGTGGTGCACGCGCTGGACCGGGAGGGCAAGAACCGCTCCATCCAGGTAGGCTGCTCAGCTCGCCTCCTGACGTGGGGTCGTGCATGGGAAGGGAGGAAGCAATGGCTGCGGAGGGACAGTCCTGGCCTTGCAGGACTGAAATGAACGCACGTATTTGTTCCGTCCCAGTTACAAGCAATCACACAGTCCCGAATGCCATTCGTCCATCTGCACCTAACAATACCCCCTGTCCACTCGCCCCCAACGTATGCCCTCCTGCAGGTGGACCCCACCGAGTACATGTTCAAGCTGGCGCTGCTGCAGGGCCGCTACGACGCGGTCATCAACATGGTGCGCGGCGGCGGCCTGTGCGGCACCGCCATCATCTCCTACCTGCAGCAGAAGGGCTTCCCCGAGGTGGCGCTGCACTTTGTGACGGACGAGCGGTCGCGGTTCAACCTGGCGGTGCAGTGCGGCAACATCGAGGTGGCGCTGCAGGCGGCGCAGGCGCTGGACGACAAGGACACCTGGTACCGCCTGGGTGAGTTGCCCTGCCTGCGTGCCTGCCGGGTTTGGGTGGTGACCGCTCGCTTGTGCTTTGTCGAGTTGTAGCACGTGGTCTTCATTGCTGTGACCCCGTCCCGTCCCCTGACATGTACCGTCAACTTGCATGGCAGGTGTGGAGGCTCTGCGCCAGGGCAACTACAACATTGTGGAGTTCTCCTACCAGAAGACCAAGAGCTACGAGCGGCTGTCCTTCCTGTACCTCATCGCGGGCCACACGGACAAGCTGCGCAAGATGCTCAAGATCGCGGAGATGCGGTCGGACGTGATGGGCCGCTTCCACAACGCGCTCTACCTGGGCGACGTCAAGGAGCAGGTGCGCGCACTACGGCGCTGGTGCGACACATTCACTCCCCAAACATCCATTCCCACCCCCTCGCCTATAATTAATTTGGACCCTTATGCGTCCGTTGCGCTGTCAAATCTTCCGATTGCCTTCGCATCGCTAACGCCCGCTTCCCGCCACGCACCCCAGGTCCGCATCCTGGAGGAGACGGGCCAGCTGCCGCTAGCATACGTGGCCGCCAACACGCACGGCCTCACGGAGGACGCTGAGCGCCTGCTCGCCAAGCTGGGCGGCGAGGCGCCGGAGGCTTCGGAGCCAGCTGCGGGCGCCGTGCTCATGCACCCGCCGCAGCCCATCCTGCGGGAGGACAACTGGCCGCTGCTTACCGTGTCCAAGGGCTTCTTCGAGACGCTCGCGGCCAAGGGCGCGAATGCGGCGGCGGCAGCGGGTGCCGCAACTGCAGGCACGGCTGCGGCGGGGACCAAGGCGCGCGGTGCTGCTGCCGCGGCGGCTGCGATGGAGCTGGACGAGAGCGCGCTGGAGGGCGCCGGCTGGGGGGCGGACGAGCTGGACTTGGGGCTGGGCGGTGAGTTCTCAGGGGCGGATGCACTGATGTTGTTGTTGGAGGTGGATGTGCAATGATATGCATGGGGTTTGGGTTATAGGTGACTTGGATGGACCTGCGACCCTGTGTTGGACACTGGTTCACGGCTGCTTGCCTGCTCCCCAATCCCACAGGCGAAGAGGTCGCGGCGGACCCCCTGGAGGGAGTTGCCGGCGAGGGCGGCTCGGAGGGCTGGGAGATGGAGGACCTCGACCTGCCGGCGGACGTGGTGGCCGAAGCCGCCGCTGCTGCCGCCGCTGGCGGTGCCGCCGTCGCCTTCACGGCGCCGGCGCCCGGAGTGCCCGCCAGCCAGCGCTGGCTGGAGCGGCGGACACAGCTGGCGGCGGAGCACGCGGCCGCGGGCAGCTGGGCCACCGCCATGTCGCTGCTGCACCGGCAACTGGGCGCGGCCGACTTCGAGCCGCTCAAGCCGTACTTCATGGACCTCTATACGGCGGCTTTTGCCGTACAGCCCGGTCTTAGCGGTGTGCCGGCGGTCATGGCGCACGTCGACAGGTGAGCAAATAGCCTCTCCGTCTCCGCCTTATCATACGCGTATCCTAGCGCTACTTGCTGAAGCGTCATCCCCGGTTTCGCCCTGCATCCTCCTCCTCTTCCTCTACGTTCTAATGCACATCCGACATCCCCGTTTGGTGTACCCGGACACCTTTCCTCTGCAGGACCTGGTCCAGCGACTCTTCCTCGCAGCCGCCCAGCTCCCCCACGCTGCTGTACAGCCTGTCGGGTCTGGAGGAGGCTCTGAAGGCTGCGTACAAGCTGGTGACGGAGGGCAAGTTCAGCGAGGCGCTGCGGTCGTTCACGCGCATGCTGCACGTCATCCCGTTCACGTTGGTGGAGGGGCGCAAGGAGGTGGACGACGTAAAGGAGCTGCTCACCATCTGCCGCGAGTATCACACGGCGCTGCGGTGGGTGTGCGTGCCCCGGCTGGTTTCCTATTTTGCACGGCTATCGCTTTCATGGGCTATATGAAGCTCCTGTCTTTCACCTGTCCTTGAGCAGTATCGATGCGCTTTTTCACGTTACCTCATATTGGCATGCGTCCCTTTCTAAGTCGATTTGGAGCTGAGTCCCTGCTGATACATGGATGCCGCACGGTGTCGTTGGTCCTTTCCGCAGGTGCGAGCTGAAGCGCAAGGAGCTGCGCGACGACGACATGGGCCGCAACGCCGAGCTGGCCGCCTACTTCACGCACTGCCGCCTGCAGCCGGTGCACCTGGCGCTCTCGCTGCGCTCCGCCATGACCATCTTCTTCAAACTCAAAAACTTCGCCACATGCGCGACCTTCTGCCGCAGGTGCGCGCAGATGGCGCCTTGCTAGACCACGCTCATCCATCCTGTCCGCAAGCGGATATCTGCCACGATCCTTGTATCTGAATAGGGTCTTCATATGAACCTGAAACATGCGTCTCGCATCTTGCTCTCTGTCTTGCTTAATTGCAGGTTGTTGGAGCTCAATGCGGGCGCCAAGATTGCGGAGCAGGCACGCACCGTCCTTGCGGCGTGCGAGAAGAACCCCACAGACGCGGTCAAGGTCAATTACGACCCGCGCAACCCCTTCGACCTGTGCGCGCTCACCTTCACGCCCATCTACAAGGGTTCCAAGTACGTGGAGGACCCCTACACGGGCGCGCGCTTCGTGCCGGACTGCAAGGGGCAGATCTCGCCGCTGGGCGACTTTGTGCGCATCGGCGCGGACGCGTCCGGGCTGTACATCTCGGCCTCGCAGCAGATGCGGTAACTGCTTCACAGAGCAGGCGGCGTTGTGTGAGGGACAGACGGCTTGGTAACTGAAGTGGTTAAAGAGGGCGAGCGCCGCAGGGACTCTTACCGAAGCCGAGTTCGGGTGGTAATTCCTCGGCTGTGTGGTGGCGTCCCGTGCTCTGCAACGGCAGTCGCTGGTTTAGTGGCATGAAGCTCACAGTAAAGGTTCGTGTCATTTGGTGTCGTTAAACAAGTTCTGGGCCTCTGTTCGTTACGTACATGACTGAGGCTATTGAATTGTACGGCATAAGGCGCAGGGGCTTGAGCGTGATTTCGTACATGCTAGGAACCAATTTCGCTCGGCATCTGCGAGCCAGCTCAGAAGGGACGACGAGTTAGTGGAGGCTTGCACTACTGCCAGGACTATGGGGTCAAAGCAGCATGGCTTTAGGGTCAGGAAGGTGTGTTGGTGCTGCTGCTGCTGAGCCACAATGCGTACATAGCGGTGAGGGTGGACACGGGTGGGCAGGCTTCAGTGCCATTATTGCATGATGGATGCATGCAGATCTGCAGGCAGGTTGAAACCCGGGGATGTAGTTGGGTAGGTTAGACAGTGGACTGACGACATGACTACGGACGCTTCACCATGGTTACCAGTTTGACAATCGCATAGGTAGGAGTACCTCCATGGGTAGTGAACTTGGGATGGTCGCTTGCCACAAACGGCCAAGGATGCACAGGACTTGTGTCCTCCAGCTCGTGTAAGACGATTGATTGGTGGGAGCACGCACAGGCCCAACACGTCCATCAGCATGGTAATCTTCCCTTTGTGGGGTCGGGGGCTTGGATTGCAGGGAAGGTCTACGAGCTTGGGGCCCATCTATGACCAGGTGGCTACAACTGCTGCAGTACCGGTGCTGTAAAGCGCCTGATTAAGTGGTGCGTCTTGGGATGCACCCAAGTCACGCATCAGACGCCAGTGAGCAAATTACCTGTCGTATGCCAGTGCAGGTCAGTGCAGCCCATTGGAGGCGCTAGTGAAGTGCACTATTAAGAGCGATACCGCGCGTGTCATGTTTCACGGTTGGCCAGCTGTCGCCCCTAGCGTCGGCTTGGTTTGCTGACAAACCCGGGCTCTAGCTCACAGCTGGGCCCGATGCGTCCCTCGCATTGCCTCACGTGCAGCGCCTTGGCGCTGATGTCAGCATCCGCGATTTACAAGGCAACGTCGTTGTAATGGCTTTGAGCACGGCTGTGAATCATGTCATGCGGTGTTGTGCTATCGACCCATGGGTCGCTGCAGGACTGGAGAGGTATGGATATGGTTGTCACACGGGACTTGCAGTGGCATCCCGTCGCAGGTTGGATTTGCAACGCGTTACAGCTTAAGACACATCCTTTAGCATATGCGATCCGTTACGACGTGGCTTACGGAGGTTACAGTTGCAAGCTGTCAAAGCCCCTAGGAATTTACAGCATGCATCCGCTCCGACCTGCGCCACACGCTAAACAGGTAAGCGGTTTTACTCTCTTTCAGCTTCTTACCATTACTTCCGTCGTCTCCCCGTCTCGTACATGGACATTCCTCGACTTCCCTCACGTCTCCTAATGTACAGGGCCCAACTAAGGTCGCAACTCCGATACGCAGTAAGCACAATAAGCAGTCAGGGTGCCGATGTTCACCCCCGAACACACGCCAAGTATCTCGTTCCAACTTCCACACAACAGGGGTGCGGTTTTCGCAAGGCGCGCAACGCAACGCACAAGAAATCAAACGAAGAAACGGCAAAAAGGCTAAAAGCAATGTATGAATGGAGAGTTCGCGCCCATGACCCCTCAAACCACGCTCAGAGCAACCCCAATGGTCACATCCGTTTGGTCACCCCGTCTCGCACTGCTAGAGCTCTCCCCTCCTCCTTCACATCCACCACCGCCCCTCAGCTCGCCCCGTCATCAATGGCACACGCTCATCACATAGTTACGTGACACGACGCGATAGCCACTTCTTCATTACTGCACATTGGAGTCTTTCGCAGTGCTCGCTTCGCCTCGCTCGTGGTGCCGCTCTTGGTTCACGCCAACTTAGTCTGTCCTGCCGCCGCCTCCTCGCCGCCTCCTTGCCGGCAGCAGCCGCCTCCTTGCCGGCAGCAGCCGCCTCCTACTCCTGCGCCTTCAGCACAGCCGCCTGCGCCACCTCCGCAACCACCTACGAGGTGAGAACCAATTGCCCGAATCAGGCAACCAAGTAATTCAGCTAATTCACACCCACTACCGCTGACAATAGCAGTACTTGGCCCCAAGACCACTAGTAGCCGGCAGCCGTAGTAGCAGCCCTCTCCTCCCTCAGCCCCCTCTTAAGCCAACCCCCAATAACCTTGCCCCCCACCCCGCGCCCCTCCTTACCCCGCCTCCCCCGCCGCTGGTATTGCCGCCGCCCCCCAGCTGCCGCCTGCTCCCCGCCGAGGCAGCAAAGGAGGTGGTGGTGGCGAACACCGCCCTCACCCGCTCCTGCAGCTCCTCCCTGCTCGCGCCCGCCGCCTGCCCCTCCGCGCGCACCGCTGCTGCCGTACGCGCCAGGTGCTTCAGGTACTTGGCTGCCGTACCGCCCGTCTGGTCCACCATGGAGGTGAAGAGGCCCTGGAGGGAGAGGGGGAGAGGGGAGGGAGGGGAAAAATATAAATGATAAAGTGCAGCAACGAGTCCCAATCCCATCCCCCAGGGAGGGAGGGCAGGCGAGAGAGAGGGGGGCAGGGGATGAGGAAGAGCGGGCAAGGAGTTCGTCGCAGGATCGTGTCGAAGCCCAAGCGACTAGACCGGTTCGTCGGGTCGGGATGCGTGTAATAACACCGCCTGCACGCATTCTTCAAGAACACCATTATACACATCGCCACGTGTTCACAACCCCTCTCCACCCCTTCCACCTCCACCCCCCCTACCTCGTCCTTCTCCAGCAGTCGTGCCGGCTGCTCGTCCTCCACCACCCGCCCCGCCTCCAGCACCACCACCCTGTCCGCGTCCATGATGGTGTGCAGCCGGTGTGCGATGGTGAGGCAGGTGCAGGCGCCGAACTGCCGCCGCAGCGCGCCCTGGATGTGCGCGTCAGTGTCCACATCCACACTGGCGGTTGCCTCGTCCAGCATCAGGATGCGGGACCTGGGGGGGGGCGGAAGGGGGGAGGGGAGGAGGGGGAGGAAGTATACCCCATGAGAAGAGGAGGGAAGGAGTTAAGACACGGGAGGCAGGAACTGTAGGGGAGCAGGAGGGGTGAGGGGCCACGACCGGGGCAACCAGAAGTGATGGAGGAGCCGCATCGGACATAAGGAGCGCATCCAGGCATGTGCGCGATGCACCTCTTCCCCTCTCGCGCATACGCTAGCAGCAAAACAGTGCGCATAGAGACGAGTACACCCACCAAAACCCAACCACCACCACCACAACAACAACACACGCAGCCGCCCACACCGCCCCCCCGCACCCCGCACCTCTCCACACCGCCCCCCCGCACCCCGCACCTCTCCACACCGCCCCCCCGCACCCCGCACCTCCGCAGCATGGCCCGAGCCAGGCACACCAGCTGCCGCTGACCCAGTGAGAAGTTGGCGCCCCCGTCCACCACCGCCGCACCCAGCTTGCCCTCCAGCGCACACACCGCCTCCTTCAGACCCACCGCCTCCAGAGCCTGGTAGTGAGGGGGGAAGGCAGGGGGGGCAGGGGGGGGGGGTAATGTGTGTGCATGGGGCTACTCGGAACGGGTTGTGAACGGGTTGTATGTATCAAGAATTCGTCACGCGTATGCGGCTCCTCACCTTCCAGAGTTCATCGTCAGTGGCCTTGTCAAAGGGATCCAGATTGTGCCGTACGGTGCCGCTGAACATGAAGGGGTCCTGCAGGTGGGGGTGTGGGTGGGGGTGGTGAGGAGGAGGGAGGGGCAGGGTGGTGACGTGGGGATGTGAGGAACCTACCCGCCAAACGCGCCAATGCACGTCCATGCTATACCACGAGCTAGAAATGGCCGTCGAACCGCAAAGCTCCTCTCAACGCACCGCATGTCTCATGCCTGCCCACAAACACCTCTTCAGACCCCCCCTCCCACGCTGCCAGCATCCCGCCCTCCTCTCCCCCCCTCCCCTCGCCCCCACCTGCGGAATGATGCTCATCTTGGAGCGCAGGTGCCGCAGCCCCAGCCTCGCAATGTCCACTCCGTCAATCCGGATGGCCCCCCCCTCCGCCTCCACCATTCGGAACAGCGCCAGCAGCAGCGAGCTCTTGCCGCTGCCGGTGCGGCCCACCAGACCCACCTGGAGGGGTGGGGGTGGGGGCGAGGAGGTAGGGAGCGGTAAGAGGCATGATGAGCGGTGCGACAAAGAGCAGGTGGGCACAGGGCTCCAGGTCCTAACTGTTTAGGAAACCAGCAGCGACCAGCGCAAAACACATCCCTCCCTCCACCTTCTCCCGCCTCCCCCCCACCTCCTCCCCCCCCTCACCTTCTCCCCCGCCGCCACCTCGAAGCTGACCTCCCGCAGCACCAGCGGCATGCCCCGCCGGTAGCGCATGCACAGCTGCTGCACGGAGATGGCGCCCGCGGGGGGCCAGTCGGGGGGCAGGGTGGACAGCACCTCGGGGGGGGTGTCGGGGCGGGCCTCGGGCTCGGGGGTAAGGTACTGTTGCGAGGTGGGGGGGTGGGGGGGGGGCGAGGTGGGGTGGGGGGTGTGTATTGGGCACATGCGGGGAAGCATGCGTGAGAGGTGTCAGGCAGGGGCAGGGACGGCAACACAGGCAACGCATGCAGACACACAGGCAGGGGCAATGCAAGGAAGGAAGCGGCAGGGGCACTCAGGTACCGGTGTAAAGCGTGGGGGGCACAAAACACAGCCCGCCTGCCCCTTCCCCCCCTCCCCTTCCCCCCACCTGCGCAATCCGCTCCACGGAGTTGAAGTCCGCCTCGCTCTTGGACGCCATGTTGGTGCCGTGCTTCAGGAAGCGGGTGAGGTCCAGCGCGTACACGAGCGCCAGACCCGCCATGCCCGGGTCGATACCGCCCTGGATGCACAGCGCACCTGGGGTGAAGGGGAGGGGGGTTAGCGATATACCAAAACACGGGTTAGGGGCGAAGGGACAAGGGAGGGAGGGAGGTTGCATGGTTGGGAACAGGGTGGTGTGCACGCGTCTACTCCCTTTCCCGCACTGCTCCTGCTCCCTCCCTGCCTCTCCCCCTCCCAGCAACATCACAACATGCCGGTAGTAGAGGCCTCGTCACGGGGGCTAGTGGCTCCCCCTCCTCCCTCCCCCGCCCCACCCAGGAGTCGGAACTTGGGATTGGAGACTCCGTGGCTGCACTTATCTATATCTTTCCCCCGCCCCCTCCCTTCCCTCACCGCACAACGTCAGCACCGCCAGCCCCAGCACGTCCAGCCGGCACGCCAGCCACCCCGCAGCCAGCTTCTGAGTCACGAACGCGTGCGCATTCCGCTCCATGAGCCCATCACTCGCGGCGGTGAAGTGCGGCTCCAAGCGGTAGGCACGCAGCGTGGAGACGCCGGCCAGCGCCTCGGCGAAGCGCGAGTAGATGGGGCTGCGCGAGACGGACTCAATGCGCTGCAACTCGCGAGCTGCGGGGATGTAGTAGCTGTGGATGGGAAGGGGAGGGGGAGGGAGGGGGATAGGGGTTAGGGTGGAGAGATGGGAGGGAGGGGATGGAGGAGGGATTTGATAACCTGAGCCGCGAGGAACAACTGACCCTAATGTGGGAGGCGGTTATGGAGCCAAGAGTGAGAGTGGGGCGTTGCGTTTATCCAGAACAACGCCCCTTCCATGCCTCTCCCCCCCCTACCGCACACAGCTCGTTAGTTGCCTCGTCAGTTTCCTTTCCCCCCACCCCCCCTCCTTACCGCTGGATGGTGAAGTAGATCACCGTGAGGGGCACCAGCGCCACTCCGAACCAGTGGGTGGCTATGGTAATGACCACCAGGATGGCGATGTAGGTGGCCACACTGCCCGCGAACTGGATGAGAGAGGCGGCTAGGGTGGCGTCCATGATGTCGGTATCGCGGGAGAAGCGGTTCAGGATGCGGCCTGGGGGGAGGGGAGGGGGGAAGGGGAGGAGAGGGGGGCAAAAATAAGGAAACTGACGAACTGGATGAGGAGAGGGGGGCGGGAGGGAAGGTGGAGGAAAAGGGAGGAAGGCGGGTTCATAGTCGTTTGCACGGTTGACATGCTGAGCGAGGTAGGGAAAGTCAGGGGGAAAAGCCGTGGAGGGCGGGATGACGAACAGTGCTGGGTGAACAGGGGAAAACGTTGAGAGCGCCCCCACCCCATTGCACACCTCAGCATCCCCATTCCCCGCCACGTCCTCCCCTCCTCCTCCCCTCCTCCCTTCCCCTCCCACCCGCGGGGTTGGTATCAAAGAAGCTCTTGGGCAGCGCCAGGATGTGGTCCAGCAGCTGGTTGTGAATCGACACCGCCGCCCGCACGCAGAAGAAGAGGAACACGGTGGCGCGGATGAGCGTGCAGAGCCCGTACAGCACCCCCAGCATGAAGTAGATGCCCAGGTAGAAGCCAGTGCTGCGGTCGTACTTGTCGCCGAACCAGTTGCCCACCCACGTGTCTGTGTACACGCGAGCACCCTGGGGCGGGGAAGCGGGTGAGGGGGGGAGTTGGGGGGTAAAGAGGAAAAAGCTAACGGCCTTTACGACAAGGCTTTACACCTCGTGGGGGGTGCCGACGTTAGTCAACACCCCCCACCCGGTACACACGGCAAACAAACTCACGGCCAGTTTTCCTAACACATAGCAATGGTCAGGCCAGTTGCGCCCCCCCCCACCTGCTCCAGTGCAAACATGAGTAGGAGGGGGGCGAAGTAGATCCAGCCGCCGCCAGCCTGCAAGGAAGGGGGGAGAGGTGGGGCAGCGGGTGGGATTAAGAGGACATTCCGCACAAGTTGGCACCAGTAGTTGCATGATGGCGGGCGGGAGAGAAGCTGCAAGACATGGGACCCGCCAGCGGCCAACCTGCTGCCCAGACGGAGCAGCAGCAGGACATGCAGATACAGCAGCAGCAACATTTTAATGCATGCCCACCAAGCCCACAGCCCCCCCTCAACACATGCGGCCACAACCACACGGCACTCCTCGAGACTCGCGTCCTCGCCATTCCTGTTACCACCCCGCTTGCAAGCAACCCCGCCCCCCTCCCTCCCTTACCTTGAAGTAGGTTGCGATCACGTGCCCGCTGATGGCCCCCGACTCGCGCACCTCCAGCCCCGTCAGATTGCGGTTGGCGTCGGTGGCCTGCCGGGTCAGCGTGATCTTGCCCTCGTGCGCAGCAGCAGCAGCAGGGGGGGCAGCAGCAGCAGCAGCCTTACTTGCACCTTCGCCGCCCGCAGTAACCGCTACCGCAGCAACCGCACCAGCAGCAGAGGGGGGTGGAATGATGGTCGCTGTGGCCACTGCGTTTACTGCCTGGGCCGCCGGCTTGTCCTCAGGGGTGGTGGGGGGGGAGGTGACTGGGGAGGAGGGGTTGCTGTCTTCTTCCTTTGCGGCCTCGGCCCGCTCCTCCTCCTCCTGGCGCCTGCTGGTTGCCTCGTCGTGGCACAGCTCCGCGATGTTGAGGCCTGAGGGGGAGGAGGAAAGGAGAACATCCTATGTGTCGAGAGGAAGAGGAGTTAAGCAGTGTCCACAGCAAGGTACTTTTCCTTGTCCTCCCCACCCCACCCTGTGTTTTGCCCCAACATGTGGTTTCTTATAGTTCGGTATGGTCTTTGACCCCACCCCACCCCCCACCCACCCGCCTCCAGCAGCTGCGTGTAGCTCCCCGCCGCCCGCACCCGCCCCCCCTCCAGCCACATGATGCTGTCGGCGTGCGGCAGGTACTGCAGCGCATTGGTCACCAGCAGCACCGTCTTGGGGCGCAACACACCGCGGATGACCTGGGGGGGGCGGGGGGGCGGGGCAGGGGAGGAGGGGGCAGGGGGGTAACAGGAGGTGGGTATTGCGCACCAGGAATAGCAGTGGGGGAGGAAGGAGGAGGGGTTGGAGCAAGGAAAGACCCGCGGGTCGCTTGGGGTGCGGGTCGTGAGGCGGGTGGTACATGCAGGACCCTTTCCTGGTTCGAAACACGGGCAACACCTCCCCCCGCCCACCCCCCACTGGTGGTATGATACCTCCAAGACCAGGGCCCCCACCCCCACCCCCACCCCCACCCCCACCCCCACCCCCACCCCCACCCCCAGGCCGCCCCCCCCCCACCTGCTCGAACAGCGCCCGCCCCACGTGGCTGTCCACCGCACTGAGCGGGTCGTCCAGCAGGTACACGTCAGCATCCGCGTAGCTGGGGGGGGAGGAGGGGGGAGGAGGGGAGGGGGGGAAGGGTAGGCGCGGGTAAGGAAGGGAGCGCGAGTGGGGCCCGAGGGGCCAAGAGAGGTCATGGGGCGGTTGCGGCGGCTAGGACGACCGCACAGCGCGATTGGATCAGTTCGACCCGCCAGGTAGTGGCGCAACTGGGAAAGGACATGCAAGACCACCCAGCCCAAGCTCGCCTGCCACACGAAACACAGCAGCCCCCCTCTTCCCCCCCTCCCCCCCGCCCCACCCACATGGCCCGCGCAATGGACACGCGCTGCTTCTGTCCGCCACTCAGCGTCACCCCGCGGTCGCCGATCTCCGTGAGGTCGCCCGCGGGCAGGATGGCCAGGTCGGGGCCCAGCTGGGAGGCCTCCAGTGCGGTGCGGTAGCGGGCGGGGTCCAGCGGGGCGCCCATCAACACGTTCTCCTGTTGGGGGGGGAGGGGAGCAGGGAGGGAGGGGGAGGAGGGGGGAAGGCTTGGGCCGCGTAGCAGAGAAGCTGCGAAGGAAGGCAGCATGCCCCGGCTCTTAAGAGTGCTACCTTCCGTGCCTGAATTACTCCTTCAGGGATAGAGGTCACGTGCGCGACATCTCCCTCCCCGCAGCATGGCCTTCTTCATTGTTACCCCTCCCGCACCCCCCTCCTCGCAACCCCCCCTCCCACACCACCCCCCTCCCGCCCCCCACCTGCAGCGTGTCATTGATGATCCAGGCCGTCTGCGCCACGTAGGCGATCCTGCCGCCCACCTCCACCTCCCCCGCCACCCGCCCGATGTGGCCGATCAGCGCAGCCAGCAGCGAGCTCTTGCCGCTGCCCACACCGCCCACAATCATGGTGAGTGACCCAGGGGTCACCGGACCCAGACTGATCCCCTCCAACGTAGCCCGTTTGGGCTCCTCTGCTGGTGCTGCTGCTGCTGCCTCCGTCTCCGCCGCATCTCCGTTGGTGGTGGCCTCCTGGGGTTGGTCGCCGCTGGCTGTAGCTGCGGCTGCGGCAGTGGCCGGTGTCTCGTCGCCTCCCTTCTTCTTCTTCGCTCCCTTGCCCTTCTTTCCCTGCTTGTCAGCCCCCTTGTCCGCAGCTCCCTTCTCGGGGCCTGCCCCCGCTGCTCCCCCCTGTGCGGGCGGCGGCTGCTCCCAGGCGAAGCAGCCCCCGCGGATGAGCACCTGGCCCGCGGGGGTCTTGGCGGGGTCCCACTGGGGGGGGGGAGGGGGTGGGGGGGGGAGGGGGAGGAGGGGGGGAAGAGGTGTGGGGGGGAGGAGAGGGGGTGGGGGGAATTGAGGTGTGTGGGGGAGGGGGGGGAGGGGGGAGCCATGTGACAGGGGGTGCTTGGCAGGAGGGGTCATGTGAGTGTGTGGGGGGGGTTGAGACAGTGCTCCGGGGGCAGGTACAAGCCCGGGGGGACACCAGGGGGCGAGCGCGCACCCCTGCTAGGACGTAAGACCATACGACCTGCCCACCTAGTTGGGGACTAATCGTGCTGGCTTGGCTGATTCGGGCTGGGCTGGGCGGGCTGGCTGGCTCACATGTTGCAAACCATGATGACTCCTTATAACACGGTCAGCCAGTTGTTCCTCTTTACCCCAATCTAGTCACGGACGTTAAACCCCACACGGCACCCTGCCCCCCAAACCTGTGGTTTCCTATGCTTCGGTATGGTCATTGACCCCCCTGCCCCCTCCCAACCCCTCTCCCCCCGCTCCCCCTCACCGCCTGCAGTGCCGCCTCGTCCCGCTGCAGGAACAGTCCGATGCGCTTGATGGCCACCATGGCGTTGATGATCATGGTGACAAGCTGGGGGGGGGGGGGGGTGGAGGGGGGGGAGGGGGGGATTAATTTGGTTGGAAGATTCCGCATGAAGCTGGAATTTAGGATTGCGCATAGTCATATCGTTGGGTTAGTAGCAGCACACAGAGTACAAACCGTGATAAAGCTCCATAAGCTGGCGGCTGTGCTGACATCATATCATTGGACGAATCCCTGACGAGCTATAAGCTGGCGTCTGAGCTCCACTGCATTGCTGTGCGCAACCGCGCTGTAAGCTGTGGCTGGTATGCGGCTGTGTGCACCTAAACATCCCACCCGCCCGCCCGCGCAAGTGACCCCTGGGTCGAACTTTAGCCCAGCCCACCCACGACCGAACCCGACTGACCTGCGTAGCAAGGGAAAATTGTGCAACGAAGACGTACCAAATTTCGTTAATAGTGAGCGAAAAGCGTCCAGAGGCACAAGAAGGCGGCGCGACGAGCGAACAGAAGGCAGGCATGCGTCCCTGTGCTGTGCTGGTGCTGCGAGCTGCGCTGTATATCGACGCATGCTGTATGACGATGAAGATGGCTGACTTATCGTGATGAAAGAGACGGGACTATGCCGAGAGTTAGTATTTATGCGAAAGGCGGCGATGCGAAGTACGGCATGGGACAAGCATGCTTAATTTAGTGCAAGCGCAGTATGGGTATAATGATCTAGATATGCAGAAGGTGCAAAACGTGCGGTGCCAGTGAAATGACAACTAAAAACAATGGGGAGGGGGGGAAGGGGGGGTTCATGGAGGGGCTGCTACTCGAGGCAGGCGGCAGACAGGCACAGGCGTAGACCGGGTGGTGCCCCCCTCCCTCCCTCCCTCCTACCCTCCCTCCCACCGCAGCCTGAACTGACAGCTGGCTTCTTGGTCCCACACCGTTCCTCTTCCTCCTTACTACTACATCTGCTCCTAATGGACCAGCATCCATTGGGCAACAATACCGGTATACGCCCCTTCTTCCCTCCCTCCCTCTTCCTGGTTTTGGTATACTTCTGATCCCTCTTTTCTCCCCTCCCTCTTCCTGGCCTCCTCCCCTCCCCCCCTACCATGGGCAGGAAGGACATGGGGAATCGCAGCAGTGAGAAGAGCGAGAGAGCCGTGTAGGCCCGGGCGGGGCTCAGCGGGTGGCCGGCGATGGCGTAGGAGCCGAAGGTGAAGAGCGCCACCGCCACCGGGCCGTAGAACAGCAGCAGACCGAACACACCCTGGGGGGGATAAGGAAGGGGGGAGGGGAGGGGGAGTGGCAGTGAGGCAGCAGGAGTGGTGGAGAAGGTGAACGCAGTCAGCAGCGGCAGCAGCAGCAGTAGCAGCAGCAGCAGCCACCGTACCATCTGTTGATGCGAGAAAGAAGACATGCACCTCCCTGCTTTCCGAGTACATCCTTCCCTCGTCTCCCTTCGAAGACTCTTTTGTGAAAAGCACCCCTCCCTCCCCTCCCTCCCTCTCCTCCCCTCCCTCCCTCTCCTCCCCTCCCTCCCCTCCGCCCCCCACCTGCCACCAAGCGAAGCGCCGCAGTATGCTCGCCTCCTGCCCGCGGCACTCCGCCACCGCAGCGCGGAAGGACTCCTCCCACGCGTAAAACTTGATCATCTGCAGCCGGGGGGGGCGGGGTAGCAGCCGGGGGGGCGGGGTAGCAGCCGGGGGGGCGGTAAGCAGCCCGGGGTCAAAAACCATACCGAACCATAGGAAACCACAGCAGCCGGGGGGTAGCAGCCGCGGGGGGGGGATTGCAGCGGGCGAGGTGTGATTGGCATCATCACAACCGGTGTTGCTCCTCCTCCCTAACACGAAACCCACCCCAACATACCCGCAGCTCATATGATCCCTCCTCCCTCCCCCAGCACCCTTTATACCGTAAACCTTGACCTGCCGATTTCTAATCACCCTTCCCACCCCCCCTGAGACTCCAGTGCTCTACCTCCACCTTACTTCCACATGTGTCAACCTGCATACCCTTCCCCCCCCCCCACTGCCCCGCCCCCACCTGAATTCCGTTGATCAGCTCGTTCATGCGCCCCACCCGCCTGTCCGTCCACTTCATGAGCTCCCGCCGCATGCCGCCCAGCCGCGCCGCGATACCCCCCGTCATGGGGACCATCACCAGCATGATGCCCAAACCCACAAACGTGGCCCAGCCAACCTGGGGTGGGAGGGGGAAGGGGGCAGGGGACTTTTCATAGTCGTCTACTCCGACAACAGGTGCAGCACCTTCCGCATATAGTCCTACGCACATACACATACACCCGTCCACCCCTTGCCATGTCATTCGACACATTGGGTATTAATCTTGTCCGCCCCCCCCCTCCCCGCCCCCACCTCGAACCACAGCAGCACCAGCACCGCCGCGATGAAGGCGGGGGAGCCCCACATGGCGTGGATGGCGAACATGGCGTCCTGGAGGGGGAGGGAGGGGGAGGGGGGAGGGGGGGGTGTTGACATGCAAGGGTGGTTAGACCCCGGCAGGGTACCCCCACCGGCAGCAGCGGGGCAGCAGGGATGACGCAAAAGCGTTCGGGGGCGGTCCTCTCCCTGGACCCACCTCCCCTGTACGACCCCACCCACACCCCACCCACACATGGGCACCTGCCCTCCCACCCCCCTGCCCCTCCCACCCCCCTGCCCCTCCCACCCCCCTGCCCCTCCCACCCCCCTGCCCCTCCCACCCCCCTGCCCCTCCCACCCCCCTGCCCCACCCACACATGGGCACCTGCCCTCCCACCCCCCTGCCCCTCCCACCCCCTGCCCCTCCCACCCCCCTGCCCCTCCCACCCCCCTGCCCCTCCCACCCCCCTGCCCCTCCCACCCCCCTGCCCCTCCCACCCCCTGCCCCTCCCACCCCCCTGCCCCTCCCACCCCCCTGCCCCTCCCACCCCCCTGCCCCTCCCACCCCCCTGCCCCTCCCACCCCCCTGCCCCTCCCACCCCCCTGCCCCTCCCACCCCCCTGCCCCTCCCACCCCCCTGCCCCTCCCACCCCCCTGCCCCTCCCACCCCCCTGCCCCTCCCACCCCCCTGCCCCTCCCACCCCCCTGCCCCTCCCACCCCCCTGCCCCTCCCACCCCCCTGCCCCTCCCACCCCCCTGCCCCTCCCACCCCCCTGCCCCTCCCACCCCCCTGCCCCTCCCACCCCCCTGCCCCTCCCACCCCCCTGCCCCTCCCACCCCCCTGCCCCTCCCACCCCCCTGCCCCTCCCACCCCCCTGCCCCTCCCACCCCCCTGCCCCTCCCACCCCCCTGCCCCTCCCACCCCCCTGCCCCTCCCACCCCCCTGCCCCTCCCACCCCCCTGCCCCTCCCACCCCCCTGCCCCTCCCACCCCCCTGCCCCTCCCACCCCCCTGCCCCTCCCACCCCCCTGCCCCTCCCACCCCCCTGCCCCTCCCACCCCCCCCCCCTGCCCCTCCCACCCCCCTGCCCCTCCCACCCCCCTGCCCCTCCCACCCCCCTGCCCCTCCCACCCCCCTGCCCCTCCCACCCCCCTGCCCCTCCCACCCCCCTGCCCCTCCCACCCCCCTGCCCCTCCCACCCCCCTGCCCCTCCCACCCCCCTGCCCCTCCCACCCCCCTGCCCCTCCCACCCCCCTGCCCCTCCCACCCCCCTGCCCCTCCCACCCCCCTGCCCCTCCCACCCCCCTGCCCCTCCCACCCCCCTGCCCCTCCCACCCCCCTGCCCCTCCCACCCCCCTGCCCCTCCCACCCCCCTGCCCCTCCCACCCCCCTGCCCCTCCCACCCCCCTGCCCCTCCCTAACCACCCCCACCTGCCCCTCCCTAACCACCCCCACCTGCCCCTCCCTAACCACCCCCACCTGCCCCTCCCTAACCACCCCCACCTGCCCCTCCCTAACCACCCCCACCTGCCCCTCCCTAACCACCCCCACCTGCCCCTCCCTAACCACCCCCACCTGCAGCTTCTGCGCGTCGTTGCTCATGAGAGTAACCACCTTGCCCGTGCTCTCGGCCTGCGGGGGGGCAGGGGAGGAGGGAGGAGGGAGGAGGGAGGAGGAGGGAGGAGGGGTCAAGTAAAATGCGCAGCGACCAGTAACTGGCCAGGGGAGATGCCTGGCAGCAGTGGCAGCAGGGAGGCGTTCACCCCTTGAGAAAGCACCGGGAAACGGCATGTCGTGCGTGCGGGAGATGTACAGCACTGGCCTCATGCACTGTTCATTTGTTCCTTAGCCTCTGCCTCTCCTACCCCACACCGCCCCTGCCCCATGCGCCACTTCCCACTCTCCGTATGCACTTACTGCACGAGTCGGGATTTGGGATTGGGACTCGTTGCTTCACTTTTCACTTATTCCCCCCTCCCCTCCCTCCCTCCCTCCCTCCCCCTGCCCACCTGCAGCGCCGCGTTGCTGAGCCGCAGGCACTTGCGGTATATGGCGGCCATGAGGGCGTTGCGCATGCGAGTGCCTGTGAGGTACAGCAGGAAGTTCTGCTGGTTCTCGCAGAGCGACTGGATGGCGGGGGCCAGGAACAGGCCGATGATGTAGCTGGGGAGGGAGGGGGAGGAGAGGGGGAGGCAGGAGGGGGAGGGAGGAGGGTGGGGGTTTATGAGGAGGGAAGGGCCAACCAGGAAGAGGAGGAAGGAGGGAGGAGGCGGAAGGAGGTCGAAGGAAGGTGGGGACATGGTCAAGGCCTCCGAAGGGAGATGTCTTTTGTGAATGGAAAGAGTGAAAGGGAAGGTTAGGGGAGGTTGGCAGGCAGGATCCCAAGGCCCCCCGTACGTACTAGTAGAGCTTCTTGTTTGGTTCGCAACCGATGTCGAACGAGAGCTTCCGCTGCGCCGCCTGGCACTGCAGGCCGTTGACAATGCGTCGGAGAAGAAGCGGGCCTGCCAGCGAGCAGGCCTGTGCAATCGCGTACAAGACCGCGGTAATGAGGAGGTAGCCCACATTGCCGCGAAGAAGCGCGCGTTTGAGGTCCGGCTTTGGCTTCTTGAGCTGTTCTTCCCACGCTGGTTCCAACTGATCGATTAGCGTTTTGGTGCTGACAGCGGGGTCTGGGCACATATGTTCCGGCTCCAGCCGTGTCCGGTAACCGAGGAAGATAAGTCCGTCAACATCCAGGAAGAAGAGGCGCTTCAGCCAATTGCGTTTGGTGGGAAAACGCCATTCTGCTGCCTTCTTGTCATCCTTCGCCGCTGGCTTTTCTGTCCCGCCGCCCGAGTCTACCATTTTCAAGCGAAATAAGGGTCTACTGCTGGCTAGGACACGTGCGAGTGAATCAGTGGTAGCCAATTAAGGCCAGCGTCAATGGAGCGGTGTTAGGTAAGCGCTCGGGAAGAAAGCCAAACGTTTAAGTCATATTAACCGATGAGTGGTTTTACGTCCTTCCAACGGCACACATGGGTCAATGTTCTGCTTCACATGTGACGCATGCAGTCGGCTGTGGCTAGTGCACCGGACCACTGATGACCACGCGTTTGAGCGGTTTCTCGGCGCCGAAACCATGGCAACGGTGCTAGTCGCAATCTCGCAAACCAAGCGATGTCACTGAGGCTATATGTCCTCATAAATCGCAACTTCCGAGTATGCATGCCTTCAGTGACCTATGAACATACAACGCTATCGTCCAACTGAACCGTTGGCGCACGAAAGGAGAAAATTTCTCGGAATCTGTAGAACTACATAACGCACATCAAAACCAATTTGGTACCTCAGATCTGTGTAGAAATCGAGGCTTGTCGGCGAAGGACATGTTAGGACATTTCATGCAGTGGCTGCAATAGACGGCATATGGACACCACCCAGATTCCAGTGGTTCAATGTCGGTTCGCCCACCATGCAGTCACGTCTGTCAGCAAGCCGCTCCCGACGTCGCGCTGTCGGGCAAATTAGCCGTCCATGGCTTTACATCACAGCCATCCAACACAGTACCACGTGCGACGAGTCAACGAGCCTCAGCTACAGCACCGGCACCGCCACGACGCCTCGGTCATTTGCGTAAACCACAACAATGGATACCAACAACAGCCCTGGACTCGTACCCTAGCATGCCCTTAGCGGCGCCTGCTGCTGCTGCCGCCCTCTCCCCCGCCGCCTCCACGCCCCTGCCCCAGCTGGTGCTGGCTGCCGCAGCTCCGGTGGCCAAGCTGGCCCTCTTCTGCGCCGCCGGCGCCTGGGCAGCTCGACGGGTGGGTGGTGCTGTCCGCTATTACCCAGTTGCCACTCGCGCGCACCCCCCCCACACACACATGGGGGGGGGGTCTGAATCGGCACAATGGACCGTCGTCATGGGTCGGCATCGGGCATGGGCGACAGACTTGTTTCCCCCCTCTTCCTGCTGGTCACTCTCATTCTCACCCTCCTCCTCCCCTCCCGCCCCCCCCCGCCCCCCGCTGTCAGGGCCTGCTGCCCCCCGAGGGCCGGCGGCTGCTGAGCTCCCTCACGCTCCACCTCTTCACGCCCTGCCTGCTGTTCTCCAAGCTGGCGGCGGGCGGGGAGGGCTGGGCAGAGCTGGCGCGCGGCTGGCCGCTCAGCGCTAACATGGTGGCCAGGTGAGGGGGCGGTGGGGGCATGTGTGGTCGGGTAGTTGCATGGTGGGGTCGGGTGAGGTGCCCTGAGGGTTGCAGCCCTGGCCGTACACCAACGGGAAGACTGTAGCGGGGCTCCATGACTCCGGACTCCAGGCCGGCTGACGTTGCATGTACTGCCTGCCTGCCTACCGGACTAGGTTAGGTTTCTGGTGGCGACAGTTCCGCTTCACTTACATGCGCTCGCTTCCTGCACTCCCTCTCCCCCCACACACACCTTGCATACCGCAGTACGTTCACAGTACGTTCCGACTCGCGGCCAGTTTCCTTAACACACCCCCTGCATGCCTCCCTCCCTCTGCCCCCGCAGCCACGCTGTGGGTCTGCTGCTGGGCCAGCTGGTGGCGGGCGGGTGGGGGCTGCGGCCGCCCCGCCCGCCCGCCCGGCTGCGCGGCCCGCTGCTGCTGTGCTGCGGAGTGGGCAATGTGGGCAACCTGCCGTTCGTGCTGCTGGCGGGGCTGGCGGCGGACCCGGCGCTGGGCTTCGCGGGGGCGCTGGGGGGGCCGGGGGCGGCGGTGGAGCGGGCCATGCGGTGCGGCAGGGCGGGGGTGGGGTGGTAGGAGGAGGTAGGGCGCATGGGCAGTTGGGGGAGGGGGTTGGGGGTTGCAGGGCGCTGCTGCGGTGGGCGCTGGGGTCACACCCTTGCTTGGTCCCCGTGTTTCAAGGCCGGTTCTGAGATGTGAAACGTACGGACACTGGGCGCCCATCCGCCCAACGCCCACCCGACACCGACCTGTTGGCACCCTGTCGCCTGCTACCGGTATCCCATTTGTCTTGCCCTCACTCGTTGTTCGGCACCTCCCTGACCCCTGACCCCATCACCTACCCAGCGCAGGTACGTGGCCCTGAGCAACCTCTCCGCCGCCCTCATCCAGTTCCCCCTCACCTACCTCCTCATGCAGCAGACCCCGCAGCACCCGCACCCGCAGCTGCAACAACAGTCGCACGGGGCAGCAACCCCCGGTGCGGCGGCGGTGACTGAGACACACGCCGGGGCGCCAGCGGACAGCAGCGGTAGCAGCAGCACTGCCCCCTCCGCTGCAGCCGCCCGCAGCGCTGCTGCCGGCCCCCACCCCCACCCCCCACAGCCGCACCGGTGGCGGGCCCTGCTGGCGGGGGTCTTCACTCCGCCCACGTGCGCCAGCCTGGCGGCAGTGGGGGTGGCGAGCGTGGACTGGATGCAGGTAGGTGTGGGCGTGGGGGGTAAGGAAGCCCAGTATATAAACCAAGGGGGCGGTGACGTCGGTGAATGTTCCGGCAGTGGGTGCCTTCCGTACATGCGAGGTAGGTGCTGGGGCTCCGCGGGCTGTGTGGTTCGGAGCTGGGGCTGCATGAGCGAGCATGGTAGGAGGGATACTTGGGAGGTACCGGTATTCCGTCATGCAGGAATGATGCCGCTAGCTGACGTCACGCTGGTACATGCGCATGACGGAGCTGAGTTCCTGGCCTGTCACCCTCCTCCTCCTCCTCCTCCGCCTCCCACCCTCCCCCCCTGCAGCACGCGCTCTTCCGCCCCACCGGCTGCCTCAGACTGGTAGGTGAGGTGACGGACGCGCTGGGGGCCGCATGCATCCCCCTGCTACTGCTGGTACTGGGAGCAAACCTAGCGCACGGACCCGCCGGGTCGGTCGGCGGCTCGACGACCCATGGGTCGTCGGACAAGGAAGGCCGCGAAGCCGGTAGCGACGGCCTGTCGGCTGCACATGTGGTGGCGGTTGCGGTGACGCGGCTGCTGGTGCTGCCGGCGGTGTGTGGGGCGGCGCTGTGGGCCGCTTGGACGGCAGGTGCGTGTGTGGGGTTGGGGTGGGAACGTGGGATGTAAGGAACTAAGGATGCAGCGCAAGACCCCCAGTAGCCCCTTTGAAGCGCTTTGGTGATGGGCCGTCTGGCTGCCTCTTGGCCTCCCCACCCCCCTTGCTGGTCTTGGCCCTGACCCAGCCTGGACTCGCATGGCCTCACGCTCGCTCGCTCGCTGGCTCGCATGTTGCACAACATGACGAGACCTTATCACACGGTCAGTTACCGTAGTTGTTTCCTCTTTACCCCTCCTTCCCGCCTGCCCTGCCTGCCTCTGGTTCCCTCCCGCCTCCGCCTCCCCCTCCGCAGGCCTGCTGCCCGGCACCGACCCGTTGGCCCTGCTGGTGATGCTGCTGATGCACGCCACCCCCACCGCCGTGCTGGTCCACAGCATGGCCACACTCTTCCGCAACTCCGAGGACGAGGTGGCCACCCTGCTGTTCTGGCAGTACGCGGCGTGCCTGCTGACGCTGCCGCTGGCCATTGCGGGCATGCTGGGGCTGCTGGGGCCGGCGGCGGCGAGCCGGGAGGCCTGGATGATGACCCGTGGGTCAATGGTTGCGGGTGCGTGAAGTGACGTGTGTGAATGAAGTCGTTGAGCCGTTGCTGATGTGTGTTTGTGTTCTGGTTGGGATTGGAGCCGGGGTTTGTTGGGTTGTGCACGTTGGTAGCCTACCCAGGGTGGCCAGTGCGGCTGCTCGGGACCGCCTGACAGGAAGCGGAGGCCACGGGGTGCGGGCGAGGTGTTGGGGGGCCCATGGCGTCTTTGGTAGGGGCTGAAGGAGGCAAAATTAAGAGGGGTGCTCTGTGACGTCCGCGCAACCCTACTGCCTGTTTGCATTGCCTGGGCACAACGTAATGCGCCAAGCAGTGTGCGTCTGTACGTGCCGGTGTGGGAATGTTATATAAGTGGGAATGTTAGTAGGTAAGGCCAGGAACCAGACCGGTATTTGTGCCATGAAATGGCAGTGAAGCCATGTTTCCATGTGACCCCTATGCGCAGTTGGCATGCTATGCCCGATCAACTTCAAGCTGAAAGCTTGACGAATGTGGGACGCTGCCGCTTGCTGTCCTCTGTTAACGCCTGGAGACGGTTACATAGGTTTAGGGCTGCTGGTTCCATGTGGACTGCAGCTCTTCCCCCCTCCACACTCCATGAACTGGGTGCAAAGGCTGACTAGAGAAGCGAAGATGGGCCGCGATGGTGCCACAAGTAAAGACGTGAAATATAATGTCTTCTGGGAGAGCCGTTAGCTTCTTTTTACCCAGATTAAGTTGCGTATTACTAATGAACCCTGTTGATGCGCCTGAAAACCAGCCACTCTAGAGTAAGAACGCACAACTAGAGAACAGCCCATGGCAAACGTTGCGGTCAACATCGCGTCAGACTCGCAATGGAAACCATCCGTACCGCAGCAATTCAAGGGCTTCTGAGTTGTGGTTTGTTGCGTCAAGCTCTTGTTACTCTAGTGTTCGCTAATTGTATGGGCTGCATTTAGGAAATGCAGCCTTCTAAAGTTTGCTTTCACTTTGCACAGCGTGGATTCTGTAGCTATGGCAATAGTTGCCGCTTCGTGCACGAGCGCTCTGGGTCCTTTGTTACTGGAAGTTCATCTTATGGCTCTGGGCGGTGGGCAGCCTCCCAAAATGCCCGAGGCGGCCAATATCGGAGCAGCGAGCCCTTCGGTCGGCAACAAAGCTATACAATTTACCATGAACAACAACTACAAGTAGTCCGGGCAACCTCATCGCGACCTAGCTGTGCGCCACGGGCCCGCAATGAGCGGGATTGGAGTACTCCCAGCACCCTTGAGCCTCAAGGGCCGTGCCTCGAGTTCCGCTTCATGTCATGGAACGTATTAGCTGCCGAGCTGGTAGGTATCGTCTGGATTCCGAAGGCGAGCAACAGTCGTGCCTCGTCCAATTTGTGCTGTCTGACGGTTGCGTTGCGCATTCTTTGCTGCTTCGGACGGCATCACCCTTGAAGCCACCGCCATCACTCTCGTCGCTTCTCTCGGCCCTCCACGTCCCCAGGCGCACACGCACGCACCGGAGTTGTACCCTCACGCGCGGCCCGCCTGGCTGGACTGGCGTGGGCGGCTGGCGGCGGTGGTGGAGCATGTGGCTGCGCAGCGGCCTGACGTACTGTGCCTGCAGGTTGGAAGGGGGTGGGGAGAAATGCTGACAGATTGGTGCTCGAGTACGGAATGGAAAGGGTGTGTTCAAAAGCAGGACCTGGGCAACTCTGTTGCCTGTCCAGGACAGGGAAGGCGCGCTGCAATGGGTCCAAGCCTTTACCGTTCTGCGCAACCGGCGCGCCTGTAAGGCATGAGTCATGTGCTCTAACGACACCTGACCATCTCTGCTCCTCGCACATGTCCCCACTTTCCCACTCCCCCAGGAGGTGGACGACTGGCCTGGCATCCGCAGCGCCCTGCTTCCCCTGGGATACGACGGAGTGCATGTGCAACGCACGGGCGGCAGGGGGGACGGCTGCGCCACCCTCTGGCTCCGAGACCGACTGCGACTCGCCAAGCCACGACCCAAGTCGCGGCGCGGCACGGCAGCATCTGGGTCGGCAGTGGAGGCCCCATCCGGAGCCGGTCAGGGCGAGGGGTTGCAGGATGGTGGGTCCAACCAGCGCAGCAGCAGCAGCGGCGGCAAGAAGCCTAGACACCCCGGCGTGCACAAAATTCGCATGGCGGATCACGGGCTGAAGGACAATGTGGCCCTGCTCGTGCACCTGACGCCGGTGAAGCCACGCGAGAGCGAAGACAACAGCGGCGGCGGCAGCAGAGAACGAGGAGGAGGTGAAGGAGGAAGAGGAGGAGGGGCGCGGGCGGTGGGAGAGGTTAATATGGAGGTTGAGGAGGGCAGTGACGGCGAAGGCGGGCGGCTGAAGCGGAGTCGCCAAGCGGCGCGCAGCAGCGACGCCAGCGCTCAGGCCTATCCGCAGCAGCAGGAGGAGGAGGAGGAGCATGAGGATGTAGAAGTCGTGGAGGGTAGCGAGGGCAGTGAGGACGGGTCACGGCCATCTGGGTCGCAGCAGGGTCGGCGGCAGAAGCGCTCCCGATGCAGCTCCGACCCAGAGGATGAGGACGACGGCTCCATGCACGGCGGCAGCGGCGGCGGCGGCAAGGACAGCGCTGGCACAGGTACGGCAGCGGAGGCGGATTCCGCCAGCGCCGCCGCCGCTGCGGAGGCCATCGCAGCTCTTCGGCCGTACTCTCAGCCCGGCGGCGCCGCCACCGCTTCCACCAAGGGTACCTCATCAGGACGGCAGAGCTGCAGCGGCGCTGAGGAACCCCCCGCTGCAGGCGCCGCCGTCACCACACCGGCGGCCGCCTCCTCCGCTCGGCTGCCCCTCCACCTGCGGCGGGGCTTCTGGGTGGCCAACACGCACGTGCTGTTCAACACCAAGCGCGGCGACATCAAGCTGGGGCAGCTGCGGGTGATTCTCACAGAGCTCGCGCAGCGGGCGGCGCAGGCGGAGGCACGTGAGGAGGAGGAGGCGCGTGGGGAGGAGGAGGGCGGGCAGCCAAGGCAGCGTTCACGGCGGAGGTCGAGCGCAGCGGGCAGCGGTGCGGCGGGGGCTGCACCGGCAGCGGCGGCGCTGCCGTGCATCTTTGCGGGCGACTTCAACACGGCTCCCGGCAGTGGCCTGTACCGCTTCCTCCAGCGGGGCGAGCTGCAGCTGGCGGGGGAGGACAGGAGGGAGCTGTCGGGTGGGTGGGGCGCCGGGTGGTAAAGAGGAAACCCGGGGGCGCCGGGTGGGTGGGGCGTGCGCGCATGGGTAGCGGTGCCAGGACAAGGCAGGGGGTAGTGAGCTTATCGCTGGTTGTTGGACAGGGCAGCGGTGCAATCGCGCTCATGGCTACGTGTTTTGTCAGGCGGGGCCTTGCGCGCAAGCCACGTGGTGTCGGACCTCTCACTCCACCGCCTCCCCCGCTGCCACCCACAGGCCAGGTGGAGGGGTACGGCTACTCCTCCCTGCAGCAGGACGCGCGGTACGGCAGGCCTCCACGACTGACCAGGTGGGTACCGCCGCCGCCGCTACACCAGCAAGAGGAGCAGCAGGCGGAGGAGCGGTCCGCACGGCGCTCTACATCTGCAGCTGCTGGGGCTCGTGAAGAGGCTGGCGGGGGTTCCGCCGCTGCATACGTGTCAGACACAGAGCAATGGCGAAGGCAGCGGCAGGAGCAGCTCCAGCAACGGGGTGTAAGAGGCGGAGATGGCCCGCAGGGCGGCGCCGTACGGCACTCATCGTACTCCGTACGGTGGGACATGGAGGAGCTAGAGAACGCCATGGGCCGTGTTGCGCTGGAGCAGGCGGTCGCACGAGCGTCCTCCTCCTCAGCAGCCTTATCCGCCTCCGGGCCGGCGGCGCGAGGGCTATCAGGAGTGGGGTCACGGTCCTTTAGCGCTGGCGATCGGAGTAGCGACGGCGGCGGAGGCGGGGCTGTTGTACGAACGCTGACGGAGGCGGAGCCGCTGCCGCTTGGCGGCCGCCAGCACCCCACATCATGGCAGGGTAACGGCGGCGGAGGCGGCCGCGGACAGGGACGTGGCGGCGGCGGCAGGGGAAACGGCAGCAACGCAGCGTCGTGGGGTTCAATCAAGGACGCCGCCGTGGTGCGGCACCCGCTCACGCTGCGAAGCGCCTACGCTGCCGCTGACCCGGCGGGTCGCGAGCCGCTGTTCACGACGCTGCATGCGCGGTACGTGGGTACGGTGGACTTTGTGTGGTACACGCCGGGAGCTGCGGAACCCGGGGAGGCGCCGGGAGCTGAGGGGCCCGAGGGGTGCCGACGTGAGCGGGGCGGTAGTGCGCCCCGGATGCAGGGGGTCGCAGCGGGTTTCAGGCTGGCGCCGCTGCGGGTGCTGCATCCGCCGGATCCACTGGCGTATCCGTACGGCATGCCGTGTGATGGGTGGCCCTCGGACCATGTGTCTCTTGTGGTGGACTTCAGGCTGAGCTGAGGGGTGAAGCGGCGGGTGCGGACATGGGCTAAGCCCGAGGGTTGAAGCAGCTGGGATGCAATGATTGGTTAGCGCGCTTGCTTGGGTGGTGCGTTCTGGGTAGTGGCGCTCAGTCAGGACTGTATCTTCGTGTGCACATAATCTACAGGCGGGTGGCTTGGGGCGCATGGTTGTATGCAGCGATGAGTTGGTGTATTCGTGCAGTACCGGCGGCATGTAGCAGCAGCAGCAGTCAGCAGCAATCGCGGCTCTGTTCATGTGCGGCACATGGAGCTAGGGGCACTCGAAGAATGAGGTCTAGTAGCCAAGTGATGCTGAGATACGCAGCGGCAATAGCACAGGATTGCGTAATGGAAGCATACCTGTAGCGTAGCACCATTGCAGCACGCATAGGCAGATGGCGCTTTACATTCACATACAATGTGATGCTTTCTGCTTCACATTGGGCAGCACCTACCATTTGGGCAGCGTCCTATCTCGGCCGTCTGCTATTCGTAATTACAGCTGTAAGCTAGGCATTATATACTACCTTGCTGTGTTCGAAAGGATTGTTAAACGCGTTGACTATAGCCATGGCGTGAGTGTACATGTAGGAGAGCTAAGGAGCCTGTGTATGAAGTGGTGTGTTGTACGACAAGCTATGTGCCTAGTAACTGCTGGTTCCCAGCACACCCCAGATACCCCATGGCATCACAGGTACCGACCTAACTGTCTCTAAAATCCGGAAGGCAGTGTTTTAGCGTGAAAGAGTACAGACCTGGCAGTGCACGCCTATCGGTGCATGTAGCCGTCACATCGTGCTAGCTAGCATTAAGATAAGCACAGCAGAGGCGCATCCAAGCCATCCTAGCCGATTTACCGGTAAACAGCAGCCCCTGTGTTCTCCTCACCTCGACATGAATACCGGTATGCGCTCGCATCTGACACCATGACATGGTTCTGTGCCTCCCATGGCAAGGGCAAAACGGAAGCCGCATGCCTGCAACCGCTGCCTAGGATTACCTAGTAGCTAGGGCCCATTGCTCATGGCAACGACTGAACACCTACTACATGCCATGCTTGTACTTTCTTGCATGTCACCAGCGGTTGTAGACAACCCGCATTTCCCAGTCCTCCCTGCCCTACTGACACTTCTTCCACTTCCCCAGTTCCGTTACTCCCACCTCTACCTTCCCGTGCCTAGCACGTCCCGCTCCCGCCATCGCTGCACACCACTGCCTTGGCCGCACCCCCATCCTCCACCGAGCCCCGACCGCTGTGTAAGGGTGCGACGGCACCGCCCGCACCGCTGGCGTGTGCATCAGGCACTGCCACAGCCCCGACCTCCGGCGTGGCGCCGCTGGGTTGCTGTTGCAACGGCTGGGTAGATATAGGCGGTGGCAGCGTTTGCGGATGGTTGCGTTGGTGATGAGGGTTCGGCACGTGTCCATTCACACCCTCCCTGGACTCCACGTCCCCGCCCATGGATGGCGCGGGCGGCGACAAGAGAAAAGCAGCCGACCCAGATGGTCGCAGCCCTGACGTCGCAGCCGCAGCAGCTGGAGTGGTGGCCCGGGCCAAGGGTCCCGCACTGTAGCCGCCGCTGCTGCCGACTCCCGCCGTTGCCATGGCCACAGAAGCCCCGCCGCCCACATCGCAGCTGCCTCCTGCCCCATGCGCCGCCTCCTCCCGGAGAGCCAGGAGGTCGCGGTACAGGCGGGAGGCCTCCACCCGCTGCGTGTGCAGCTGGGCCTGCAGGTTGCCCTGCTGCTCCAGCATCTGCGTGCGGGATGGGAGTCCTAAGGGGTCAGTGGACCTCAAACTATTAGGGCTTGGGATGGGCCTAGGAGACACGGCGTAGACACGCATGTTTGGGTTCCTTCTACTCCGTGTAGCTCCGCATACCCCTACATAATGTCACCTCCCGCCACGCCCCACCTGCGACAGCTCGTCCATCAGGCGCTCCTCGTGAGCCTTCTTCTGTCGTACCGTCGCTACCGCCCGCAGCAGCAGCACCACCAGCTGGTCGTGCGGCAGCCCCCGCAGCAGCCCACACAGCTCGTCATCCGGCTGGGCTAGCAAGCTGCGCAGGCTGGGAGGTTGCGCGCCAGCAGCGGTGGCGGCGGGTGAAGCTGCTGCAACAGCAGTTCCCGGGGCCGGAGCTAGGCCGGGGGCCGGCGGTGCTCCGTAGAGACCGTTATTAAGTGGAGGGATGGGAGGTAAGGTCGGCAGGGCTGGAGCCACTGAAGGTGGTGCTGGCGGTGGAGTGGCACGCGGTGCGGCGTTTTGCTGCTGGTGGTGGTGTGTGGTGTGGTGGTCAGGTGTCCGCCGCTGCTGGCACTGCTGCTGCTGCTGCTGGTGCCGTGGGGTAGATTCCGCCGCAGGGGAGGCCCGATTGAAGCGGTCCATACCGCCTTGGGGCTGGGAAAGAGGAGGTCCTGAGGGGTGCCGTTGACCCTGCTGGACGGGTTGCAGGGCTTGAGCATGGGTCGTCACGGGTGCAGTGGGCGGACGAGAGGAGGGCCCGGTCGGCTGGCAGCCGAGCAGCTGTGCTCCGCTAGCCGCTGCGACTGGGGTGGGAGCCGAGGACGGTGACCGGGACCGCAGCCCTAGTGTCTGCTGCTGCGGCTGCAGTGACCTGGGATCGGCCGCTGGCGCAGCGGCGAGGGCAGGAGGTCGCTCCGGCGGCGGCTCCAAGGGTGTGGCGGCCAGAGAGGGCACAGAAACCACGCTTGAGGGCGCTGGCGCCGCAACGGAGGGTTGGGGCGTAAGCTTCTGTTGGTCGGGTTGTTGCCGCGATGGGTCACCCGAGTGACCCAAGCCGCCATTATTACCGGGGCTATTACCGATTCCGCCATCCGTGGCAGCCGGTAACCCAGCCGTCGCCGCCCTCGTAAGGCCCTTGTCGCCAGCACCGTCGTCGCCGCCGCTGTTGGTCACCGTAGCGGATGCGGTAGCAGGTCCCGACAAGCCGGACGTGTTGCTAGCGTGCGGTTGCTGCTGGTGTTGCTGCGACTTCGCTGGCGCCTGAAGCTGGCCCGCTGCTGGTGTTGTCGCACGCGGTGTGATGTGCAAGACAGCCGCGCCGTCAGCAAACGGCATGGATGTGAGCAAGTGATGCAGGGCTGCAATCTGGCCGGCACCTAGAGGCGGCGTTACACCCTTGGGCATTTGGGTTTGTTGCAAAAGGAGAGCTGCCAGTTCGCCCGGGTCCTGATTGCCCTTGTGTGATGGCCCAAGGGTCGTAGTCAGCGCCTTAGGGTGGCAGGTGCCCTCGGAAACGGCAGATGCAGTCGTTGCCGGAGTTGCAGTGTTTGTTGCAGCTAGGAGGACCGATGCAGGGGCAGCCGGCGTGCTGCAGCCGCCGGATGAGGGCCCCACTGAGAGGCCCCCACAGTCCAAGGAACCGCCTCCGGAACCGTTGAAGCCACAAGTATCTCCGCCTCTGTTCCCGCCGGCCTTCTCCTCGCTGCCGCCTTGGAAGAAGGACGCCAAGGAGCCCGTAGCGGTACTGCCACCTGCCGAGGAGGGCAGCCCAAGAGCCAGAGGGGGAGCCCGAGACCCTGGCGCCGGCAGCGGCAGCAGAGCCATCGGCGCCCCTGTCGCATCAGGTGGCATGGCATACGGCATTAGACCACCATGCGCCTGGGGCTTGGATGGGACTTGCAACGAGGTACCAGCCTTACAGCTGGAGGCCGCTGCCGCTGCTGACATAATCTGGCTCTCCGGACGAGCTGTATGCTGGAACTGCTGGGACGCGGAAGCCGCCAGGGCCTGCAGCAGAGCAGCTGGGCTAGCAGCGGGCGCGGATGGAGCGGCTCTGTTGGCGGCAGCGGCGGCGGCCAGCTGCAGCTGCGCTAGGCTGACCGGGTTCAGCGCTGAGAGCTGCGGCAGCAGAGAGGAGATGGCCGCGAGGTGCTGCAGGTTCTGCAGCCCCGAGGCGGCGGCAGCGGCAGCGGTAGTGGCAGGAGTGGAGGCTGAGGGGGCCGACCTTGGGGCGGTGATGGTGGGGGAGGAGAGGCCGCCCATGCCGTCCGCGGCCCCGCCAACATCCTGAGCGGGACGGAAAAAGAGAAAGGCGCTGACGTCAGTGCGCACGAATTCTGGAGATGAAGTGTGTCTCTGCACTGCCACCTAGGGCTTCAGTGCTGGAGGACGGCAGCATAGGACAGCACAGCAGCAGACCCAAATCAGCCGCGTCACTACTCGGCAGCATCGGACGCATGCCATATTCCAATACCTCTACGTGATCTGGGTCACGCCTTAAACCGGGCACCAGGATCCAACCCCACCCACCTCATGCCGGGCCCGCTTCCGCGCCCGGTAGCCCCTAAAGTACTCTCGAATGGAGCCCACGGAACGCAGACACTTGGCGTGCGTGCGCGTCTCCTCCAGGGAGGGCGCCTCCGCACCCCAGATGCTGGGGGCCTTCTGGATGTACCAGTCGCCCACCTCGTCGCCGCTGGGCCGCTTGCCGGTGCGCTCGAACTCGCTGCGCCACCAGTCTGCAGCCAGGATGGGGGTGCGGGCATAGGGGTTGGGCGAGGAACGTGCGACCTTAGATGGACACCGGTATGAGGGTGGCTGGGGTGACATGGCAGGTGGAGAGGCGCGAGAGAAGCCAGTCGCACGAGCGTGTGGCTGTTAGGACTGAGATGGTCGGCACTAAGATGGTACCTGGTAAGGCGAGCAGAGAGAGCATCCCCATAGCATGCCATCCCCACTCACCGTTAAACGGCGCCCAGAATTGCACCGGACGGCGGCTGAGCCGCTTGCCGCTGCCTCCGCCGCTGCCGTACATCGCCCTCATGCCGTTAATGCCTACCATGGTGGGACTCCCGAACTGCAGGCCAGCGCCACGTCCGGCTTGACCCAGATCCCCGCCACCAAAGCCTGCGAGTATGGCGCATCCCCCGCCCCCGCCAAAGGCTTCACCGCCAAGGGCCGGGAGCATGCCTCCGGCAAAGGTGCCGCTCGTCGGCTGCCCTCCCGTTATAGCGCTACCGCCAGCCGCACCGCTCTCATAATCACCATCGCTGTCGCCGTCATCGCCATCCATTGCCATAGGCGTGTCCTCGGTCTCCGACATCGCCTCTTCGCCTTGCGTTTGCTGCGATTGCCGAGATTGTTGAGACAATTGCTGCTGTGACCGCGCTGGCCGCTGAGGTGGAAGTTGATGAGGGGGCTGCGGTTGCTGGAGCTGGCTTGATGTCTTTTTCGACAGGACGTGGGCCGTGTAAGCCAACTGGGAAAGCGGGTCGGACATTTTTGCCCGCACCGCTTTGCCTGCGCTGCCAGGGGCAGCCCTCTTAACGTTGCGTCCTCGACCCCAAGCGCGCAGAGAAGGTCGCAGCCGGTGTGCGCTCGTCAGCTTGCAAAGTTGTGAACCTGCGACAACATATGAGGTCGGGATGGCTGTGTTGGAAAGGTAGGGTAACGGACAAATGTTGCACAACGGCCCCGATGGACAGCGAAATTTATGGGCTCAGATCTCAGAGGCTCTCGGCCAGCACATTAGAAGTCGTGCGTAACGAAAACGTCAAAGGGAGTTAAGGCCCATACGAAGACCGCGTGAGTGCTCGCTGGGTTAGGTGCGACATCGCCATGTCGTTGGTTACCAGCAACCGCGGCAGCGCTAGCCGTGCTATTGACATAAGTATAATTGCACCGATAGCAATCAGCATCCATGCACGGATGCAGACCCTGTCAGCTGGGATGTCCTCTGGCAAGCCAGCAGATGGCGCGGCTGTCATCACACAGGCAAACGAGGACGGTCGGAACTAAGCCGTTGGCATAATTCCGCCGTCATGGAGCACAACAGCTTTCCAGTATATGCTAAGTAAAAAATTCCACCCGCGAAACGCAGTTGCAGGCAAATCCACAAGCACGCCTCCCGCCTCTTCATCCCGCCCCTGTGTCTCACCAGAGGTGACAATCCAGCGATGGAGGCGATTCCGATACGTAAAAGCTGTAGGTATAGCGGTTGCGCCCCAGCACAGTACTAGTCTATCAGATAGTAAGGTGTTTAAGGAAATAGCTATGAGACGTTAAACCATACAAGTATACAAAATTGCGACGTAACTCCTATCTCGCAAAGGGTCGTGCCGTGCTTCATGTTCGATTGTACGGCTCCTGTAGCGACAGTAGCTAATGTTGGCACTTTGCACATCCCGCCAAAAAAGAAAATCTGCACTATCGTGAGCACTTGCAAGCGACGGTCCGAAACAACACTATTAAAAAATACCTGTGCGACATACAGGCTTCGAGCTTGCTAGACACTGACGGTATAAAGATGAATAATGATACTGGCATTTTATATTATCCGATCAAGTGCTACTATTTTGTGTATATAAATTGCGGCGATTCACTTACCAGTTTGCGCTTGTCCCTTAGCGACAAAGGCCAATTGGCGGAAAACTACTTCTGCGAAACGCTTTTCTGTGCTCATTACCTGATGCTGGGCGCAACACGAGGACTTGGGCCAAGACGGCTGGGCGCTAACCGGATACCTGGGTCTTGACCACCTGGAGGCATTCAACGGGTCCATCATCCGGACGTACTCGCATGAGCGGTGGAGGCTACCATCGTGTGCATAAGTTGAGAAAGCCTCCTTAAAGGACAAAGGGTCCGTAACCCTATGGTACCGGAAGGACATTGCCCAACCCTTTACCCCTCCGTTGAAGATGTATGCGTGGGCCTAAAGCACACGGTCAGAAAGCAGCCGGGATTCTGCTTGTGCTATACCCAGTTGCACCACCAGTTCCTGCGGACGAATAACAGCAATGGTACTCCGAACACCTCACTGCATGCCACACAAAAAGTGTGCCCCGTCATCTGGCGTAATACGAGGGTCCGGGCGTCCGGCTAATGGTTGGACCCAATGGCGCTGTATGGTCAAGGAATAACCATTGATGCAAGTAACCACGCCAGGGGAGTGGGTGCCTCGGGGCTGCGCTGCACTATTAGTGCTTTTGCTCAACCGGACCTGGTGAAGAAACGGACATTATACCGGTACGAGACCGTGTCCTTACGCACAGATATTCTGCCACGGTAGGCTATAGTCTCCTACTTAGCCTGCAGTGAGAGTGTTGCTGTTTCAGCTACGGCGGTTGGCAACTTGGCGTCATGGCAACTTGGCAAGGCTTTAGCTTGTACGGCGTACCGATGAAACCATAGTGGAGCTCGAAGAATATCATGCTTTCCGCGCGTGTGCATGCTGCTCTCTTGGAGAGGTCGGCCTGTGCACTTGCTTACGACCTGTTCAGGAGCCGCTTGCTTGGCATGCTCATTCCTCTCGCCCTAGAGTCAGTAGCTAAAAACGCCTTTCGCTTTACTACTTTCACTATATGGTCTCTTTTAGTTTAGCCGTATCTAATTGGCGTTAGGCTTGGCTTTTGGGTCGTATTCAACCTGGCGTAACCTGGTGTCGAAGTTCGCTCTCCTAGACCAACTTCTTGCATTCAATAGCATCGCAGCTAAAGCACGCTACCCATGCATTCTTCGGGTGGCGCATCGCCGGGGTCTTCAACCTCTGGTCGGGCCATCCTATTAGCGTTGGACCTAACGGACGCGAGCGTGAACGCAGCCCAATGGGCGATGCATGAGTTCTACCGCAAGGGTGACACGTTCCACTTGGTACATGTGGCTCGTATTCTAGGTAAGTAACTGGCGGTTGAACGGCATGCGATGGGCGCAGAGATACCAGAGCTTCCGCATCCGCCAATCGCCTGACCCTTATCTTATTCCCCCATGTAACCATTTCATAATACCAACCGCAGCTCCGCAGCTTACTATTCACCATCAGTACCATGCCACCTACAACGTGCCTGACCCTCGGCCGCCCATGGACGAGCGCGCCTTTGTAGAGCGGCTAAAGGAGGACATCCGGGAAAAGTAAGCACATGCAACCCAATCCATCTCACATGCCTGCCTGCCATTCATTAAGTATAGATCACCACCTTCCAACACGGCACAGGCGATTCCACGTTTCCAGTCCTGCACACCTCCCATCACATGCAGCCTGGTGGTCGATGCATCCCCCATTCGGGCTGTGTCTTCCCCGCCGGCCAAAACGTGCCCCTTCTCGTTCTGTGCCCTCTGCGCCCACTGCACCCAACACGCTCCCGGCCGCAGATTCACTCGGCCCATGGACGGGTACGGCATGCCGCACAACCTGCACCTGTTCCTGGACACCGACAACGCGCCCGCGTCAGCCGTGTGCACCACCGTCTTCAAGGTGGGGGGTTGACTTCGTACGCATCGCATTACCGTACCTGCCTGGTGCCTACCCTCAGCCGTGTTGCTCCGTCGCTGCTGATTCGTTGGTCACGTGTCCTGACTCCACCTGGCTCACTTGTTGCTCAGCCGCCGCATTACCCAACACGCATTTCTCGGCGCACGAAAAATTCTCCCCACCGCCCCACGCTCCGCAACCTACGGACCCCTGCCCCCGGGGTGCCCCGCCGCCCCGCAGGTGGCTGAGCAGGTGGATGCGGCGGTGGTGGTGCTGGCAGCGCATGGCAGGGTGAGAGGGGAAGGGCGGAGGAGGGGCCTAGTCCGTGTTGCCAAGAAGGGGGTCAAAGACCATACCGAACCATAGGAAGCCACAGGTTGGGGCAAGACATTGGGGATAGGAGCGGCAGGGTGCCACAAAAACAAGTATGGGTTAGCGGTCCCTACCAATACCGAGTCCGGGGTGACGAAACAGCGATCCTCCAGCGACCGAGCTGAATGCTGGCTGTTGTAGTTGTCTACTACTATTGTCTTGATGTCAAACATCGTCACCAAGGCCCCATATGTGCTCGGGCATGACAAAGAGGCAGGACCGAAAACATAGGCATTGAACTAGTGGCCGGCAGTGAAGACAGTCTGTTGCACCAAACACCCGTATAGGAACGGGAAACAAACATACAGCCATAAACCCCCCCGGCCCGCCCGGGTGGGCGGGTGGGAAGATAGAGGCCACGTCCCGGCAGAGGGACAACGCCTCAAAAGTGAAATCTACACAACGGCAGTTAACCAGGCAGTGCGCTGAGAGCCGGAAAAGAGGCCCAGCCGCCGAGCGCTGTACGACACCAGCGTGACACGGCATATGTGCAGGAACCTGCTTCCACATTCCTGGCTTATTCGTCACAATAAGTTAGCCTTTTCGTTATGAAAAGTCCGCACTTATTGTTCCTCAACGCCTGTCATGTTACAGCAGGTGACGCCCGAACCAGGCCAACCAACCGGTGCCCAACTAACCATTGTGAAACGTCCATTGCAAACCGTCCGTTGCAAACAACCAATGCAAAACGTTCGTTGTAACACAAAACCCCATGGCAAGGCCCTCCTCCCTCGTCGACGCCCCATTGTTTAAATGGAACTAGTGGCCGGCAGTGAAGACAGGGTGTACGCATGGTGGACGTAGAGGACGTGGGGCCGCTCCTCCGCCGAGTTATTTTCACTGCCGGCCACTAGTTCAACTTAACCAATGGGGCGTCGACGAGGGAGGAGGGCTTTGCCATGTAGTTTTGTGTTACAACGAACGGTTTGCATTGGTTGCGTTGCAACGGACGGTTCGCAATGGACGTTTCACAATGGTTAGTTGGGCACCGGTTGGTTGGCCTGGTTCGGGCGTGACCTGCTGTAACATGACAGGCGTTGAGGAACAATAAGTGCGGACTTTTCATAACGAAAAGGCTAACTTATTGTGACGAATAAGCCAGGAATGTGGAAGCAGGTTCCTGCACATATGCCGTGTCACGCTGGTGTCGTACAGCGCTCGGCGGCTGGGCCTCTTTTCCGGCTCTCATATGCGAAGGGGCCTTCGTGACTACTAAGAGGTTGGTGTGTATCTGTAGTAGAGGAGTAAGGTTAGGGATGTACAATGGGACAAAGCAAACAAGGGGTCAAGACAAATGATGTATTCGTGTTGCCAAGAAGGGGGGGGAGCTATGGTTTGGCTCGGCATTAGGGTTTGTGTCATTGTGGGGCGGTAACAGCTAAAAGCTTTGAGTGGCAGGGAAGAGCAGCCTGACAAACGCTTCTTTCGTCTCCCACCGCCCGCGCCGCTCACCTCCCTGCCCGCTCCACTTCAACAACCCCCTACCTTCCTTTCCCCTGCTCCGCCGCCCTGCTTTACTCCCCCCCAGGGCCAGGAGGGCGGCCACGACCCCTGGGGCGCCTACCTGGGCTCGGTGGCCGACTACGCCACCCGCAACAGCAAGCGCCCGGTGCTGGTGGTGCGGAACTACACACCGCCGCTGGTGCTGCACGTCAGCAGGTCGCGAGGGAGGTCGCTGGGGGGAGGGGCGGGAGGGGCGTGGGGCAGCGGGGAGCCGTCGCCGAGGGAGGAGGGGGCGGCTGGGTCGGGGTGAGGGGTGCGGCTGCTGGGGGCGGAGCAGCAGTGGGAGCCTGGGAGGAGGGGCGCCGTTGAGCTGATGAGGAGTTGTGGGAGGGGGAGGAGGATGTGGAGTGAAGGTGATGCGGGGAACTGCGGGGGAAGAAAGGTGCATGGGCTTGCTGCAGTGCTGTTGGCAGTGATGCTGGCTGGATTCGGGCTTGGGATGGATGATGTGGCTGTGGTATAGCTGGCTGTGTAAGGCCCGGAGCTTCTGGATGGCCTGGGATTTGCGTACGGTATGCTTACGGTATTTCATGGTAAGCATGAAGATTGCAGTCGCAAACATGAAACCGTGCATGTAAACAAAACAAAGTGTAGCCGCATGTTGTACACCGTACGACAATGCTACAAGACGTGATCCTCACGTATACGATATGTAATGCAGGGTTCCCTGCCTGTACTTGCATGGCATGCCCCCATGCGTTTGCCCCTTGAGCTTCAAAACCCTCTTTGACCCAGTGGTTTCCCACCTGCTCTAGCCTGCACGGTTCCTAGTTGCTACCCTCCGATATCCTGCCTGCCCGACGTATCATACGTACCGTTCCTGCCTACCTGCCTGCTGGCCTGCCTCTCGACATCTGATTTCCCTTCTAGCTATCCTGCATTGACTACCATGCAAGCTTGGGCGCCGACCCATGGTTCATCGCACCCGCCATTTTCGCCCAACACCGGTACTCACCCAGCAGTAACCCACACACCTGGCTGCGTAAACCCCTCAACAGCGCAAGCCAAAACACACCTCCCGCCTTGGGGAAGTGCACATGCACTTGTGAGGGCCCTTTTTTTGTAACGGCAACAACATACTAATAATACGGTCGGATCAGAAAGACAACATACGGCTTACGATACACCGCCTAAGAACTGTAATATAAAGTCCGACTACCCAACAGCCATGGCTCCCATCACCAACGCAGCGCCGCAACGTCCCCGTCTGAAGCAACATTGACAGCTCATTAAAACCCCCCATCCATCACTGTATCCACGCCTGGGCAATTCCAGTGCATACCAGTTAGTCCTCTCCACCATACACCCCCTTTTTCTCCCCAAGAACTTCCTCATTACTCCCAAGGCCGGTCGGACCGCGGCCCCACAAACCCCAGTCCGAGCCTCCCACCATTGCCACGACCCAAGCCTCCGACCCACGGGTCCAAGACAACGCGAGGCGGCTCCACCTCTCCCCGCCCAGCCGTGGCGGCCCAGGCGGCCCCTCATCACGGCCCCGCAGGCGGCACCAGCGGAGCGGCGGGTGTGGGTGCGGGTGCAGCGCCGCCTGCCTCGAGCTCCCCCGCCCCCTCCGTCCCGGCCCCCAGCACCAGCGACCGCAGCGCGCGTGCCGTCACCCGGGAGGCCACCTGCGGGGGAGGGGAGGGAAGGGGGGGAGGAGTGGGAGGGGGCATGGGCGGGGGGAGGGTACGAATGAAGAGGGAGTGAAGGGTACAGCATGCATGTAGTGCTATGCAACACGTAGACCACGAGACAACTTCCCATGTGCATGGAAACACAAGCCCCCGATGACCCGACCGGACAGTACAACCTAGGCCCTCCGAATCCCTGGTGTCGCCCCTCGTCCGCATCTCCCAGCCCACCCCTCAGCCTTAGTCCGCCCCTTCCAAACCCCCGCCGCTGCTTTCCCTCTTCCCCTCCCCCCCGCCGCCGCACCCACCCTGCGCCCCAGCTGCAGCGGCAGTTGCAGCAGCTCCCCGCGCGCCTCCCGCGGCAGCTCAGCAGCCTCCGCAGCCAGCCAGCGCACCGCCTCGGCGGCCTGCGCGGCGGCCTCGAACAACTCCGAAGAAGAGGTGGAGGGACCATCTGCAGGGGTTGCGGACGACTGTGATAGTGTGGAGGCAGTGGCTGCTGCTGCTGTTGGTGCTGAGGCCGTCGTTGCTGCTGCTGGGGACGAGGCAGAGGGCGATAGCAGGGCTGGGAGCTTGAGACCTGGATGCAAAGGTAAGGGCAGGGTGGGGTTATTTGGATGTACGGAACCGGAGCGTTTGAAGAGATGAAACCTATGCCTCTCTCCTCTGTCCCACAAAGGCCCTCACCCCTCACTGACCTGCTACGTCCGCAAGGGCATTCCCCAGCTGCAGCAACCCAGCCACCTGAGCCCTGTCGTCCTCCGTTGCCAAAGCAGGCAACCGAGCCAACGCCGCCGACAGAGACCGCTGCACTGCAACAGCTGCCCTGCCGCCGTTGCCGCTACTGCTACTGCCGCCATCGGCAGGGCCCGCGCCTCCTGCCCCGCTACTGCTACCAATCTGAGACGACGAGGAAGAGGAGGAGGAGGCTGTGGTGGCGAGCAGTGCGGCTGCGATCAGGGACCCCCCCGGCAGGAGTGACAGCACCGGCAGCGCCGCGGACGGCAGGTTGGTGATGGTTTGCCGAACGGAGGCCAGGGTGGCGTCGGCGGCGATGCGCCAGGCCCCGTCGATACCCTTGGCGACCTCGTCTAGCAGGATACCCCGCACGAACTCGCCGTCGGGACTGAGCAGCAGCGCCAATGCACCGCCGCCACTGCTGCTGCTGCTGCTGCTGCTGGTAGTGCTGGTGGTGCTGCCACTGCTGCTATTGATACTGCTCACGCCTGCGCTCACAGTGGTGGTGGTGCTGCTGCTAGCAGTTGTGCTATTCGTCGTAGATGTCGCTGGTTGCTGCTGCTGTGATGGTTGTTGAGGGGCCGTTGGAACCGCGGGTCGTTTCAAGCGGTTAGCCGACTTGGCTGCCTGCACCGCATGACATGCAGCGGCAGCAGCAGGCGCAAGGAACCGGGTAAATACCATAAACTCAGCACCATCAGATTCATCGCATCACGTCCCGTCACGCATCCCTCCGTTGCGCTGTAACTCCATGTACCCCAATCCTTCCCCACCAAGTTGACCAATATCATACAACGCATGATTCTCCATTTCCCCCCTGTTGCCTTGCCCTCACTTGTGTGGATTCCTTGGCAACTGTTCTCCCTAACCCTAGCCGCCCACACTGTCCCCGCCCCCGCCCCTCCCACCTGTCTCAGCAGCGACTCCAGCCGGTCGAACCTGAACCGCCCCTCCCCGCTGTACAGCAGCCGCCGCAGCGCCTGGCGCAGGTCGGGCGAGGGGTCCGTGAGCAGCCGCCGCGCGATCCAGGGGTAGGCGGAGCCCAGCACCTGGGCGGGGGGGATGCAAGATGGACCAAACCATAGGAAACCACGAGTTAGGGTAGGAGGTAACGGGGATAGGAGGTGGCAGGGTGCCACAAAACAAGGGAGGGGAGGGTCCGGAGGGAAGGGTGTGGCGGGCATGAGGGCAGCAACAGCAGCGGCAGTGTCTTAACCCATAGGTACCAGTAACAACGCAAAGGAAAGCACCGAGCCTCGTGAGTAGCACCTAGCACCTAGCAGCCGTAGCAGGGCGGGGCTCGTAGCGTCGCAATGGCTGACACGTAATAGCCAAGTATCCAGGCAAAGGAAAGACTGTGTAGTTGAGTAGAACAAGAGCAAGCAGTTGGGATAGGTTCGCATGTGAAGGTACAGGCAAAAAGAGAGGGAAAACAGAGGTGAACAAACCTGAAACGTAACTCAAAAACTGATTAAATTGCTGGTGCTGGATGTAAGAAGAGTGGCGGGTTGGCGGGAAAGACTGTGTAATCAATGGTGTATTGAAAAGCAATGGCAAGAGAGCGTACCTTGTAGTTCGGATCCGAGGCGAGCGCGATGCCTTCGAGTACGGACAGCGACCGCACTAGCAGTGTGTAGTACGGAGGTATCCTGCAGCAGCAGCAGCAGCAGCGGGGGGCATGCAAGCCGCAGGAGAACACGGTTAGGGCACGGCTGGAAGCAGGAGCGGAGACGCAAGATATTACTCCACCCTGATGCACGTGTCATTTATCTTACACCCTCTCCCCCCTTTTATATAATTTTTCCCCACCTGAATGAGTACTTGTACATGGTTGCCCCCAGGTTGCCGCTCAGCTGCCCGAACGACAGGTTGCTCACACCGCCCTTGAGCGCGTCGGAGAACACAGCTGGGCAGCAGCAGAGGTGGGGGGGGGGGGTGGCGTGGGGGCACCGATTCGGTTGAAGCACCAACAAGAAGTTGACGTGGGGTGAGCAAGGAGAGGGCGGAGTGGGGCGGGTTAAGCGCAGGCTACAGATAAGCAGACGGAATGAGGAGAGGGATAGCATAAGGATTTGGGGTGGGCTGTTCCCCTATACCGCCCCAAGCCATACCGCCACGACTGCCCCCCTCCCCCTCCCGCCGCACCCCTCCCTCCCTCCCCTCCCCCTCCAGGCCTACCCGTCAGCTCCGGCAGCACCGCCTCCCGGTCCGTGCCCGCCGGCAGGAACCCCAGGGTCACAAAGTCCTGTGCGTGCGGGCATGCGAGCGGGGATCGGGGACTTGCCAGGCGTCCGGGCAGCAGCAACCGCAGCGGCAAGGGAACAGGTGTTACACAACAAGGCCGATGCGACTAAGCTCCACACTCGGGCCGCCTACCTCCGCAACGGAGGGGGTCCCGACACAGTGCTGACGGCAGCACCAGCAGCCCCCCTACAACCACCACGCCCATACACAGCCCACAGTCGGCATACAGTCCTCCTGCCCCCTCCCTCCTTCTCCCCTCTCCCCCCCCTTGGGACTCCGTTGATGCACTTATCTATATCCCCCCCCCTACCTACGACGCTGATTACAATACTTCGACGTCTGGAACACCATTTCCGGTAACCTTCGGTCAGGGTCAGTGTTTCCGCGGCTCAGTTTATCCTCCCCCCTCACCTCCGCCAGCCTGCCGTACTCCCTGTTGACTAGGTGCAGCGTGGCGGTCATGAGCGCGGTGCGGGTGCGCTCGTCGATCTGCCCCATCATGCCGAAGTCCAGGTACGCCAGCCGCCCGTCGGGGGTGCGCAGCAGGTTGCCGGGGCTGGGGGGGGAAGAGGGAGGGGTGAGGGAGGGAGGGGTGAGGGGTGAGGTAGGGGGGTGTTGGCATGGGAAGAGAGAAAAGAAAGGGGCGTGTCGCAGCTGCTGAGGAGCAGGCGAACGCAGCCGGGAAAGCAGCGCACCCAGGCGGCCGCAGCGTTCCTACGCTCCTTCCTTCACAGCCCCATGCATTGCCGGTAACCGCTAAGCATGCCATGCTGGCCCCGCAGCATCATCATCGCCATCATCGCCATCATGCATGGCTTCTCATCCGCGCCCCCCCTCCCCCCCATCACCCTCCCCGCACCCACTGCGGGTCCGCGTGGTAGAAGCCCTCCTCCAGCATCTGCTCCAGCGAGCACCGCACGCCCACCTCCACCAGCGCCAGGTCCTCGGAGCGCCGGGCGGCAGGGGGAAAGGGGGGGCTGGGGGCGGAGGTGGAGGCGGACGGGATGCGGGAAGAGGAGGGGGAAGAGGAGGGGGAAGAGGAGGGGGAAGAGGAGGGGGAAGAGGTGGGGGCGCTGCCGCGCTCCGCTGCCGAGGCTCCTGCGGTGCGCAGTCGCTCCCCATCGATCCACTCCATTGTGAGCACCTTGGCGGTGGTGAGCTGGTCGTAGATGTGCGGCACGTACACCTGGGGGGAGAGGGGGAGGGAGGGGAGGGGGAGGGGGGGAGGGCGGGGCGCGGGGGAGGGGTGCAACATTAAGGGAGGTGTCAGGCGGAGGGCCGGTGAGAGGTGTGCGTGTCAGGCCCACCTGCCTTCACGACCAACGATTACACCACACATTGGAATTCCTCCCCCTCTGCCCCACCCACCTGCGGCAGGTGCGAGAAGAGCTGCTTAAACCGCACCGCGTTGTCCGCCTCGGTGCGGTAGTTGAGCTCGCGGAACAGCGAGGACGCCCACTCGTCCACCAGCGCAGGCAGGTCGGTGTTCAGGCGGCGGGCGGTGCGCAGCCAGCCAGCCAGCAGGCGCAGGATGTACACGTCCTGGGGGCGGGCGGGAGAGGGAGGGAGAGGGAGGGAAAGGGAGGGAAGGGGGTGACGGAGGGCGGAAGTGAGGGTGAGGGAGGGAGGGTGAGCGAGGGAGGATGAGGGAGCGTGGCATGCAGGGAGAGAGTGGCGCTGCAAGGTAGTACCGGTAGGTCGTCGGTAGGAGGGCTGCATGCAAGGAAGGACGTTCCTAGCGCGCGGAGGCCACCTGGTGGCAAGGCGGGGTGCAGGGGCAGGGGCCCAGCACCACATCTCCAACCTCAACCTCAACCTCCCTCTCGCCCGCTCCTCACAGACATCCCGTCCTCTCCTTCCTCCCTCCTCAACCTCCCTCTCTCTCCTCCCTCCCACCACCACCGCATGGTCGTTCCACTTTTCTTTCCGACCTGTCCCTCCACGTCCCCCCCCCTCCCCCTACTCCGCTTTCTGCTACTGATGTAACAAACACGCCTACATGCAATCCTGGTTGCCAGTTTGTGCCGAATACCCACCTTTTCTTCATCCCCCTCCCCACCCCACCCCGCCCACCTGCGCAATCATCTGCGCCACCCGCGGCCGCTGCACCTTCACCGCCACCTCCCCGCCCCCCAGCTCCGCCCGCAGCGCCCCCCGGTACACCTGACCCAGCGAGGCGGCCGCCACCGGGCGGGGGGACAGCCGGGCGAACACCGCGGAGGGGGGCGCACCCAGCTCCGCCTCCAGCACTGCAGGACAGCAGGGCGGCAGGAAGGGCGGGAGGGAGGGGTTGAGGAGGCGGTGAAGGTGCGGAGGTGAGGAGGCGGCGAGAGGGGGGGTGGTTCAAGCCAGGCAGAGGGAGGTGAAGGATGGTGGTGGGGAGGCGCGGGGTGCAGCAGGGATGGCAGCAGGGCAGATGCGTGGTTGAGGGAATGAATGGGTGAGGAGGATGTGTGGGCAGGCGACATAGAGCCATGGCATGGATCGCCAAGCGCAGCACTGCCCATACGGAACCTTGCCAGAGGGCGCGCGTACCGTGCACTGCAGCGGCCCCTCCCAGCCTTCCCTCTTCCTCGTCAAGCCGTTCAGGGCCTCCCCCCACGCCACCCCCCACAGCTCGTCAGTTGCATCGTCCGTGTCTCTTTACAGTTTACCCCGCCACCCCCCCTCCTGCTCCCCTCCGCACCCTCCATAGCCGCTGCATCCGGGAAGGGCGGGATGCGGTCCTGCAGCGCCTCCAGGGCCGCGATGTACGGCGGGGGCAGCACGTCGGGCCGGCTGGACAGCGCCTGACCGATCTTCACGAACGCAGGACCCAGCCGCACCTGGGGGGGAAGGGGGAAGGCAGAGGGGTCGGGTGGGTGGGTGGGGCGGAGGGGGATGCAGCGCGAGGACACCCCGGTAGGACAGGGTAGGGTAGGGTAGGGTAGGATAGAGGAGGGTAGGACAGGGTAGGGTAGGGTAGGATAGGGGAGGGCATGGAAGTCATGCAACTCCGCCTGCAACACCGGCAGCAGTACTGCGCCCATCCATCCATCCATCCATCCATCCTCCAAGCCGCCGCATGCAAACGCCAGCTGCTGCGGCCGGTTTTCACGTGTTGTCGTTACCGCTGCACCCCTTCAACTCCCAAGCGCCTGGACACGGTCGCACAACCCCACCAGCACATCCTTCAGCGCCTCCGCCGCCGCCGCCTCCTGCACCGCCGCGTCCCGCAGCCGCAGCCCCCGCGCCCTGCAGCCCGCCGCCCAGCCCCCGAACTCCAGCCCGATGCGCAGCATGCGCGCCAGCACCCGCACCGGCCGCGTCTCCCAGTAGCGGCTGTTCATGGCCGCGTTGTAGACGGAGGGCTGCGGGGTGCCCCGGTATGGACCCGACGGACGCAGGGGGGGGCGGGTTGTGGGGTTGAGGAGGGGGTTTGGGATGTGGGTCAGCGGGGATGGAGAATGGATGGAGGAGGTGGGAGGCCCTGGCATTGGCATGGGTGTTAGCAATGTACCAGTTCCCTCCCAGTAACTGACACACCTCCATGAATTCTGGGATTTCGATGTCTGACGCGTCTTCATCGTCCGGCTCCCCCGGTCCCTGCTGCTGCTGCTGCGGGGCTGAGGACCGTGGAGGCTGCTGCTGCCGCCCTTTTTCTTGCTGCTGCTGAAGGTCGGCGGTGGGGAGCAGCGTGGGGGCACGGTAGGATGGCGAAGGAGAAGGACGCGCGGGGCCGCCGTCTCCGTCTGGGCCGCCATTGCTGCTGCTGATGCTGCGGCCAGCAGAGGAAGCTGCGGTTGCTGCGCCGTTGCTACTGCCTGAGGGATAGCCATTGTTGTTGATGGCGCTGCTCTGCGGGTTTGTGCCGTTGAGGCTTCCAGTTGCAGTGGTATAGCTTTTGCTTGCCCCGTTCGGGCTGGCCTCACGCCAAGTTCCGGATGTCGATGCAGCTGCCGGGCTAGGCGACGGTATGGGTGGGACGGAAGGCACACGAGAATTCGTGCCAGGCAGCGTCGACGCAGCCCTTGGCACTATAAGTGGCCGGCGTATTCTCCCGCAGCGTTTCGGCCACGTAGCCACTCTACCATTCTGAGCAGCTGGGCAAACGAGACTTGGAGTCTCCACCAGGTGATGGTTGTGATTAAGTAATCCTGCACCTGTCCGCATGATTGCCCAGTATCGGTGACAGGTGCTTTAGGATTCCCTGCTAGATTGCATCGGCTAGTTTCCACCTGGCATCTTGCTAAGGTATACGCATACGCCAAGTCGTTACTATGTAAAGACGTTGCCTACGTCTTGCCCACGAAAGGGCAAGGAAGTCCAGGACTTAATATGAGGCGCGACGCGGCCGAGCTTTGATAGGTGTGGTATGAACAATTCATGCACGTCAAGTATGGCTATCTGCATAAACAGTATAGTGGAAATGCTCGCATATAATCCGGGAAAATACTAGGACTGAGTCACACGTCCAATGCATCGCCCAGCTGCATCTGTGCGATGCCATCTTTTGCTGTTTTGCATACCGGTAGCGTGGCATTCGCTGTCTATGCAAGTTGACAAGACTGCCTCCTTACGCAGGGCGTTTTTGCACGTCCGGTTTACGCTGGTTAAGCCATATGCTTGCACGACCCGACCAACAACAACCGAAGCTCACGAACCATGCCAAGCTTGCAATATCGATGTAGCTGTATGCTCGTTAGACAGCCGCTATGCACTGCGCTGCAGTTCGCTTGCGCAACCACGTCACAGGAACCCTAAAGGGACTGCAGCATGCCGATATGCGCGAAAGCCCAAGGGCTCGCAGACGCAAGACATATATTGGCATTACGACGATGCTGCTGTTTAGGTTCATTAAATGGATTCTCTTGTGCTAGTTCTGGTGTACACCGATCCTGCCTGCCGCTCTAGCTGTCCCGCAATTAGCAACATCCCATTAAGCACGATCACTGCAATTGGCCGACAGACGCGGCTAGCAAGAAGGCATTGGCCATGCTGCCAGCCATCTGCCTGGACCGCATCTTCCTATCACCGACAACGCGCTTGTACGGCAGCCTAGCCGAAAGCAGAGAAGCGGCCAGGTGCAAAGCCGGCTGCAGCAGCCGCTGCCTCCTCCTCTGCCGCCGCAGCCTCCGCATACTCCTGCGGTTAGACGGAGGCAGGCCTCCTTGTTTGCATGCATGCAACCTGATAGAATTCCTGATGGAGAGGTGCACTGGACGCGGAGAGGTGTAGATGCAGTGGAACCGCCCCGCCTCCTGACAAGGGTGACAACCTGGCACCACACGCCTACTGCACACGAGAACCGCCTCCCCACATCCTCGTCTCACCCTCTACTTCACATCACACGCGCCCTGCGGCCTACCTGAAGCGCCGCTCGCAGCATGTCGGTGGTAAAGGGGTCGTCCGGTCTGAGAGCTAGTGCAGCGTGGTAGTGCTCCACAGCGACCCGCGGGTCACCTGACGGTAGCAACAGGAGCGCACGGCAGCCAGGAATTGCATCCTTCACTTTGCAACCTCAACAAAAGATTACAAAGCACAACCCATGAGTAACTTGTCGCCGTACGCGGCTGCCAGCACCATACCATACAATCACACTGCACTCGTGCCTGCCCACACCGTTCAGTCCCCACCCTGCTCCATCCCCCGCCCCCTCCTCACCTGCCAGCTGCGCCACGAATCCCATTGCCGCCAGCGTGCTGGGCGAGGCGGGGCACAGCGCCAGGGCGGCCGAGTAGCAGTCCGCGGCGGCGGCGAAGCGGCACAGCTTGCGCATGCAGTGGCCCAGCGCCACCAGGGTGGGCTCCCAGTCTGCGTGGGGGGGGGACGTGGGGCGACATGGGGGGGAAGAAGGCTGGGCGGGAGGGCATGCAAGAGGCACAGGCGGGGACGTACAGGTGCAAAAGGGGACAACAAGCCATCCCAGCAAGCCGTAAGACCGGGGTACACGGACCAACCCGTTCGGCAGGCCAGCAAGCCAACAAGCCACGCACACACATGCGTGCTTCAATCCCAGTACGTTCCTCCCCTCAGCCGCTGCTCATGTGGGGTCATGTCAGCACCCGCGCCCCACTCACGCACTGTGGGCCGCCCCCCCGGCAGCAGCTGCAGCGCCTTGTCCAGCCACATGGCGGCAGCAGCCGTCTGGCCGCACTTGTACATCAGCACGCCCAGCTCGTGGCACACGGCCGGGTCGTCGGGGCAGATGTCGTACGCCTGCGGAGGAGGGGATGGGGGCATGATGAGGACGTGGCGAGCGGGATGACGCATGACGAGCGCGTGATTGCGACGCGTGGCCAGCGTGGGGGAGCAGGCATGGTCAGGCGCCGCCCCTCCTTCTTGCCCGGTGATGCCCCTCTAGGTACCCGCCTGTGCAGTATCACGGCCCGGATCCATATTGATCCCCGCCCCTCACCGCCAGCAGCGCCCTCTCCGCCAGCGGCAGGTTGGCGGTGGCGCAGTACTCGGCGCCCAGCCCCAGGTGCGGCGTGTGCAGCCCGGGGAACAGCCGGGCGGCGGTGCGGTAGGCGGACATGGCCTGGTAGGTGGGGCAGGCAGGGGGGGCAGGCAGGGGGGCAGGGCGACATGACCCGGGGAAGGAAGAACGGCAGGCACGCAGGAGCGAACCCCGCGCCAGCACACCGCATGCAAGGTCTTGATGCTGCCACACACATGCGGCCGGGGACACAGCAGTCATGGACATCCGGTCCCTCCCACCTCCCCCCACCTGGTCCCGCTCATCCTGCGCCGAGAAGGCATGTCCGTACGCGATCCAGGCGGGTGCGAAGCCGCGCTGCAGCTGCGTGGCCTTGCCCAGGTAGCGCCGCGCCGCTGCGGGCTGGCGGGCTGCCAGGTAGTAGCAGCCCACCGCGTACCAGGACACTGGCGGGGGGACAGGGAGGGGGCAGGGAGGGCAGGGGGCAGGGAGGAAAAATAAAAGATAAGTGCAGCAACGGAGTCAGGGGCAGGGAAAAAAGAAATTCCAAAGTGTGGTAGGGAGGGGGGGCCTTCGCAGTTGAGCCACAGGAGGCAGGAGGCAGGAAAGGAAGGGGCAAGCGCCGCAACGGAAACGTGCAACCAAGCCAATCAACTAGGCTATATTACCACCCCAACTCCCCCCTCCCTGCCGCCCCCCGCCCCCCCACCCCCCCTCCCCACCCGCCAGCTCCGGGTGCTCCTCCGTCAGTCGGTGGCCCAGCAGGAACAGGTCGGTGCGCGGCTCGCTGCCGTGCGCCGCCAGCTGGGTGCCCGCCGCCAGGTGCACCGGCAGCAGCTGCAGCGCGTACGGGTCGCGGCCGCCCAGCAGCACGGAGCGGGTGAGCGCGTAGGCGCCCTCGTAGTCGCCGCTGCGGGGGGAGGGTCAGGGGGGGAAAAGAAATTCCAATGTGTGGTGTGATAATGGAACATGTAGCTGACAAGCCCTGGTGGAAACAACCGTGAGGGTCGAGGGGGGGAAGGAAACAAAGAGAGACCAATCACGTGGATACAGATCAGGGCAAAGCTGCTTCAGGTCAACAACAGGTCAGGGCAAAGTTGCTTCGGGGGAGGGTGACACGAGGCAAGGCCAGGACGACAGTGACAGCTGCATGCAACCCCAAAACGGCACCGCAAAGCGCCGTGGCAGGCACCTCACCGGTAGAACAGCAGCTCCGCGCGGCACGCCAACACGTCCACATTGCCGTCAAGTCCGCACCCGTAGCCGCCCTCGGCAGCAGCACCGCCTCCGCCGCCGCCGTCGGCACCTCTCCCGGCCTCCGCCGCCGCTGCGTGCTGGTGACCAGGCGGGGACTGCGAGGGTGATGCCAGGGGCGGTGCGGAGCCGCTGCGGGAGTGCGGGGCGGGGGCGTCGTCCATGCCCTCGTCGCCGCTGCCGGTGCAGGGCGTCTCCTGCGGGGTGTTGTGGAAGCGGGGACTGCGTAATGTCTAGTGTCCCTAATGTGGAAGCAGCGGCGATGCTCTCCAACACGCTCCACACAGTTTCCTACATGCAGTGATCTTGACCCCAGAACCTAAACACGCACCATTCCTCCGCCGCCGCCTCCACCGCCGCCGCCATTGTACATCGCCGCTGCTGCCGCCGCCGCCGCAGACGACCCACGTGTCCCCCTTCGCGACCCGCCGCGGCCCCCCCTGCGACCCTGACTCCCCACGCTCCCCACCACAACCGGCGTCGCTGTGTTGCTGCCAGCACCGCCCCCGGCGCCGCCACCGCCTCCGCCAGCGGCGCTCTTCGAGGCCGCACGCGGCGGCGTCATGTAGGGTATCGGCGACGCCGCCAGGGAACCCGAGCCTGAGGCGCCGCCGCCTGCGTCAGAAGTGTACGGCATGTAAGGCGGGTGATCTAACCCTGCCGCCGCCGCCGCTGCTGCTGCCGTGTCGGCTTCTGCCGTCGTCGCTTCCTGCGGCGGCGCGGGCGCCTCCAATTCCCGCAGGGCTGCTTCTATGGCCTCTGGATCCAGGTACTGCGGCGGGGATCCAGCGTTAGGGAGAAGGCAGGAGAAGTGGGGCAAGGGCAAGGGTCGAGGCAAGGTTTGGAAAGGCGCCGTACATGGGAACTTGGGAAGTGTCGCCCAGCGGTCAGATACAGTTCTTGTCCCTCCTCCTCCCACCTCGCCCTCCGCGACATGTATCCCCTCCTCCTTGCAAGTCCCCAGCCAACTGCCCCAATGCACCAACACCCCCCTCCCTCGGCCCCCCTCCTGCTCCTCCTCCTCCTCCCCCTCCTCCTCGCCCGCCCACCTTTTTGCAGCGGGCCCTCAGCAGCAGCCCCAGCCACCTGTCCCCCTCCGCCAGCCCGCCCCGCAGACCCTCCACCAGCGCCACCTCCGCCTCGTTGCTCAGCAGGTGGCCGTCGACCAGCGCGGCGAAGGCGTCGTAGCAGTAGGGGTCCATCTGAGGGGCGAAAGGGGACGGGATGAGATGAGGAGGGCAAAGGATGGCGCATGCAAGGGCGTCACGCATGACGGCTTGGCCCCAGATGCCAGGAGTGGGTGAGGTCAGTAGCATCGGGGAGCGGTGCGCGACATGCGCCACGTGGTGGCTCGCTGCCCCCATGCAACCGGCACCGGCACCGCCAGCGCCTGGGGCTGCAGCTCCCGCCCCACCTGCAGCGCTGCCTGGTACCAAACGGCCGCCCGGCCGCGGTTCTCCAGCGCGTCAAATGCGCGCCCGCGCAGGCAGCACATGCCCGCCTGCACCCGCACGCCCTCGCCGCCGCCAGGCGGCTCCACAACCGTGTCCTGGGGAGGGAGGGCAGGTGGGTGAGGTGGGGGGCGTGAAGGCATGTTGCTGTGCGTGCAGCTAGGTGTATAGAGTGGGCACTGGGGCATGCGCGCATACCTCGTACGCATGGGGCTCTTGCCCCGTCTCATCGTCTCCGAGCAGCGCTATGACTTCCTCCCATTCGCCGGCCTCGGCCAGGCAGCAGCCGGCTAGGTAGGTGAACTCCGCTCCAAGCTCCACAACACCAGCCGTGCGCAGCAGCGACAAGGCGCGATGATATTGCCGCGCCGCAAAGTATGCCTATGGGATGTTCGTGGAGCTTTCGACGATGGGGCCCTTTCGGGCGCAGTGCTGCCCAGACAGTCACCCCTTAAGCGTACTTAGTGACAGAACCCTACGGATTACTAAAATAGCGCAAAGCCTCCTGCAAAAAACAGGGCAGCACCTAAGCGCGGGAAACCCTTGCGGACAAGAGACCGCACCTGCGCCAGCAAATATACATCTCCGGGAGAGCCATTGCTAAATGTTACAAGCTTGTCAGCATAAAAGATCGCCGAGGTAGTCAGGTGCTTGTCAATACAATCCTGTGCGAGACCTCGCAAGCGAGAGCACAAGGACTCCATGACTTCTTAATATATCATTCCCCACATTAAGGATGGCACGGAATGCTACAAGCCGGCAACAGTATCAACCGCTACACCTTTGTAGCCACGTTAGCGATATACACGTGCAAGTTGTTAGTAAGAATTATAGTTAGTAACCCTCCCCTTTAGCAAACCTGCAACACGGTGCTAGCTCGTGAAGTCGAAATGGTGAAACCATGGTTTCGGTGCACAACCACTAACTGCCTTCCGATGATCCAAAAGGCAGGTTTGCCGGCTTGCTTCTCCTAGCATAAGGGTTGTGACTGAATAATTAAAGAACATGTTTTCTACCCTTACGAACTGCCTAGAAGGGCCTCTGGCGCTGTACTTCGGCCTGGCAGCAAGTGGGTTCCCCCAAACGATCATCTTCCTGACAGATAAGATACGGGCGCTGGAGAGCGGCAGTGGCTCTGAGCCTATCTGTCTCGGACCGCGAAAGCTTGCCCTGGATGGAGATGCTGGAGGCAGGTCAGACGAGATAGCCTGCCCAGTCTACGCAGCCAGGCGGCGGTGACTTTCAAGCCGAGCACCGAGGCGCTGGCTGGGGCAGGTGCTGGCAACCAGGCGGCAAGCACCAGGCGGCAAGCACCAGGCCATCACAGCAGAAGATGGCCCCGTACCTGGTCGCGCCAAGCACCCATAGCGGCGGAGCCGGCAGCAGCAGCAGCAACAGCATCATCGTCACCATCCATGCGGCCGGCAGCGTGTTCCTCTTCCACCGCGGCCTGCTGGCTGCCCGCTGCGAGTAGTACCGTACTTCAAGCGGCGGATGGAGGGCGGCTTTGCGGACTGCAACACGGCGGAGGCAGGACAGCCCTGCAGCAATGGCCGACATTGCTGCGGCGGCATGGACGGCAACACGGCGGAGGTAGGACAGCCCTGCAGGACGCCGACCCAGATGCGTTCGCAGCGCTGCTGGAGTACATGCATATACACAGGCGAGCCCAGGCACGTCCCTCCGAGCTCGTCCGGCCTGCTGCGGAGCTGTGGCTGATCGCCCTGCTGGTGGCTGGTCGCCTGCTGAGGCCTGCACTCTGCTGGCGTCCTGCACACCCGAGAGACCATCCTGGCGGACCTGCTGCGGGCTGAGCAGCACAACCAGACAGGGTTCCTGCGTGAGCTGAAGAAATACCTGCTGCGGCTTGTGAAGCAGGTTGCCAAGGAAGGGAGCAGGTCAGGGAGCTGCTCACAGCGGGCAGTCCGGTGCTGGCGGGATTCCTGATTGATGGGTGCGGGTTAGCAGGGGTGTTTGGGCCGTGGTGCGTGCCTGCGCGCCGGAGAAGCGTCCCTGGGTCCATGGCACAATGCTCATGCTGCTTGCCCTCACCAATTTCAGCCACCCGCTTGCCTACGTCCCCCTGACACCTGTATTTCTTTACCTGTCTTGCTTGCAGGCTAAAGTGCACACTTTACAAGGCAGCTCTCCATGGCTGGGAAGTCATATGCTCCATTGAAGTCCAATGCATGAGACTACACGACCAAGAGCATACGACTCCTACACGTCCAAGGCGTTCGACACGCGCATATGCAATGCAGGCAAGTTGGGACCTCAGTAGACGTCGCTTAAGTTTTGCCCCGGCATCGGCTTAAGGGACATGTCACGAGCATGGGCTGGCTACCGCTGCGTGTGACATGTCCCTTAAGCCGGCTGCGTGGGCAAGGCTCGTTGTTCTGATGACGGCCTGTTGCATGGAGCAGGAACGCCTTAGGATGTCTTTGGGTTGATCACTGCCTGTTTTTCGCTCGTGCGTTGCTCTAGTGTCCCATCCGTTCTCCCATACCCACCAACCCCTTCCCATTTGCCCCTCCCGCCTCCCCACCCTTGTTTGTATCTCCGCATGAGCCTCCAATCCGGATGGTTCCCCGGCGCTTCGTCCGGGCGTATCGTCGGCTCATGTATGACCCTTGCGGCGAACGTCAGCAGTACCACAACGAACGGTACGGCTTGCTGCTAGGATTGTCGCCCGCTCTTGTTCAATCCGGCTGATGAAAAGTATTCTTTGCTTTCTGCGCAGGTGCGACGCTGAAGATTCAACTGACACGAAGAGGGTGACCGCGAGCTTGTCCCAAGAGCAGTACAATTCGCGTACCGGTAAGTTGGGATTGGCTGCGTAGTTATGGGGCTACTTTGCTACAAGGGGACGTGGAGGGATTGTGTCGCTGCCCCAGACCCAACATCAGGTCAGCAACAGCCGATCAGCCTCAGTTCAGCAGTCTCAGACCCTTCAGCAACAGCCGTCAGCCAGCCAGCCAGCCAACAGCCAGCCAGACAGACAGTTAACAGCAGCAACAACAGCAACAGCAGCGGGGTCTGGGGCCGCGCGGGTGTTAATGGTAGCTCATGCATGATTGCGCTCTAAATTGCCTCTATAGCCCTGCTTCTAATGTCGCATCCCCCCTTTGTTGCCCATTCAACCCCTGACATGTTATCCTCACTGGGTACTTGCGGTCTACGTGTGGAGCTGGAGCCCCATCAGCTGACTGGCGCCTGCGTGTGACCCACGGGTCCAAGCCAAGGATCATCGCCGTCCAAGCCAAGGATCATGGCTCGACATGAGATGTCTGGTGACAAGGGTAGAGGGACGTGGACGCGGGCGATTGGAGCCATCGCCCTTCTCCCCAGGAGCAACCAGATAAGTGCGGTTTCATGCCTGGGTTTGGGGGGCTGTGTTTCAGGAGTGTGTGTAGGTACCCAGGGGCAGCGTTGGGAACTGAGAGGATAGGCGAAGGGGTGTGCCCGCATGGCCTATGCGTGACCCGAGGGTCACATAATGGTTCCTTTGCGGCTTAGAGGTTTGTCATGAGCGTATTATTGTTGTGCATGGAGAGATGTTTAGGGCGGTCACGGTTGTACAATGGAACAGATTGCAGACATCATTGAGCTATCTCCCCGTGTGTGTTCGGTTCCTGTAATAAGATAGACCGCAAGGTCGGGTGGGGAGGGCAACGCCCCTGTATGCCTCCTGCGCATTCAGATGTGGTACCCTAGGGGTTTCCCCTGAAACGTATAGTTAGTTCCAAAACGGCCAACTGAGTTGCTAGATCAACCGCCGTACGAACATTACCAGTTTGTGACAAGCCGTCGAAACATTCAGACTTAAATGTACTTCTCGAAAATGCATTTCAAAGGAAAAATGTGGACGTACGCTACCCATCTTGAGACAGCGCAACTCGAACAATGGTATGGTACAAAATTACTTTGCCTGTCCAGTGGAGAAACTGAACCGTGACACAGACGCAGAGCAGTGAAGATGTCAGAACGGCTGAACTATGATTACAAACCAACAACAACATCCACTGCAAGCCCATATCCTGCCATGCTAGCGCAGAAGGTATGCTCCAAGCAGCCGCATCAATGCAGCGTGATGACACATCGGCCCCTGGGTTACTGGTCTACGGAATAAAGTCTACATGTGGTCTGATTCGCACAATGCCAGCACCGCAATGACGCTGTGGTGTCATTGCAGCCAGGCTTAAAGGTACACGAGACAGCCTTTACAAAAAGTAGGCGGGTTCTGTCATGGTGCTGGCAGGACCTGCCTTTTCTGTAAAGGCTGTCTCGTGCACCTTTAAGCCCGGCTGCAATGGCACCATAGCGTCATCCACCCACGAAACCGCGCAAAGCCGCATGCCCCACCAACATCATGTGGCGTAAGCTGCGACCGACGCCTGTCATGCGGTGTGCCTGTCATGTCCGCATGGGCAGGCATGTAGCGTGTTCCCTATGTCCCTGGGCATACAGGCTAGGCCAGCCCCGGCTGACCCGACTGCAGCAGGAACGTGTGCACGTCCGCGCCCGGGGTGAGCACGACTTGCATGGCCGCCGTGCCAAGCCCGCCGTTGATAATGCCGACCAGCTTCCCATGGACGTTCACAACAGGCCCGCCGAGGTAGCCGCTGTCGGCATGGATGGCGATGGTCATGCGGGCGACACCGTCATTCGACAAGACACCATTGCTGATGCAGGGGGCGATGACGCTGAGCGAGAAGCCGAATGCGTAGACGGTTTCCCCCTTGCTGCACAGCATGCCGCCCAGAGAGCGAGGTGCGCGCCGGGAGCCCCGCAGGATGGCGACGTCCGGCAGGTTATTGGGTGCGCTCTTCAGGACCTCGACGTCCTCCTCGAAGCCATCAAAGTAGCGTGCTTTGAACAGCTCAGCAGGTGGTCCGCTTCCAGGGGGATTGCCGGTGTGGCCGACAATGTGGGCCGCACTTATGATGCTGTCACATGAAGAGCTATACAGGAAGCCGGAGAACTCGCCCGCCGGCTGGCCGTCCTGGCTCCGTGCGTAGATCTTGACGAGCAGCGGGCACATCCTTTCGTACAATTGCTTGCCGCGCAGCTCGGTGGCGTGGGCGAGATCCGCTGGGTTGGCAAAAGCGTCCAGCCCCCGCTGTAGCCTTGCCATGTTGTATAGCGACCATGAAGGATCCATTGCTGCAATGACCGCACCATAGTGAGGGGCAATGTATGAAGCTTGTTGACAACAACAACACGGTTTCGGCGGTAAGCCCAGCAAACCCGACAAACCCAGAGTGCACACGAGGCCGCGCCGGGTCCGAGGCCTAAAACAAGGCAACTGTTAGACCTTGCCCCAAGGCCGACAAGGCTTACATCGACCCCAAGCACAAGGCTCTGTGATGAAGCAGTGCAGAACCGGGAGCTCCTGCACGGAGAAACGAGCACGAGCATGCTAGCAGTCAGTTACCGGTATTTGGCAGGTTGGGCGTTGGGAGGTTAGGTTGTGCGTTATGAGGTTAGGACACCCCCGGATCCCCGCAACGCCCCACCCCCTCCCTTCCCCTCCCACATTTCAAAATTCGACCTCACCTTTTGCCAAGTCAGACTCCTCCTCTGTCCTCTGTCAGCTCAGCATATAGGTCGGACCGCTGATCAAGAACCTGGAGCAACGGTGGAGGGGCGGATGTGAGGCATAACCAAACCCTCAGGCTCAACATTATACTGTCTGCAGAGCCGCTCGTACTCGCTCACGAAGGCGGCCGTCTGTGCCTACAGGTCGGCAGCTGTCATGCAATGCAGCGCTCGCCTGGTCCGGTCGTCCTTAGCGCTCAGCTCGGCGTCCTTCTGAGCGAGGGCAGAGCTTTGCAAGGACAGTCTTTCGAGGTCGAGGAGTGCTAAAACAACAGCGGCAAGGCCAACAGCGATGAAAGTTAAGTCGTGGCCTTCATGCAAGTTCAGACAGGGAAGGGACAAATGCCAGTCGTCGAGGTATTGAAGGTGCACATAAAACACTTGGTGTGCTTTCAGCGCGTGCTTTGCGACCAAGGTAGTAACACGGTACGAGCGGTGACGTAAACCTGCGGAAACGGAAACTGCGAACACTAGTATCCGCCGTTACCATACCAGCAACCCAATTTTGGCGTGGCGGTATCGGTTCCGTCACGATGGCCTCAAACGCGTCCAGTATTCGTTCGTTCGGCCATCGCCTGACCGTGATTGCCGTGCACAGTGTTTGTATTGAGACAAGTCTGCCCATCGTAAGCAGTTACTAAGAATTTGAAGCAGCCCTGGCAGTGTAGGAGGTCGCCACCCACGGTTCCACGTTAATTGTGGCTGCCACAAGCCCACAACAATCACCTTTCCTCTTTTGTAACTGTTGTATGGTTGATGGGGTGCGGTCTGCCAGGGAGCATGCTTCGGCTTTACAATTACGGGGCCAAAACTTGATATGTGGTATTTGCACGGGAAGGCTGAAGCCAGGTGTCAGGGACATGGGTAGGTAAGGAAGAGGCTTGGAGTGGTGACATGTAGGGCAAGGACAGGTGTAAGGAGCAGGGCAGGAACCCAGGGGAAATAAGCAGGTCAGGGGCAGATGACAGCTGAGGAATGGGACGGGGACAGCCCGGGAAATGGGGAGGGGGCGAAGAGTTGGCGGAACCGCAAGGCAGGGGAAGGCATGCATATGGTGTGAAAGGCAAGGGGTATGGAGCTAGGGACCCGGCAGTCGTGCTGAGACGGGAGCCGGGGAAGCATGGTATGAGCCGCATGAGCGAAAGGCAGTAGCTGAGCATTGGAGGAGTGGACAAGAGCAGTTGGAAGGTGTGGAGCAGGGACAGGAGGCAGGTCATAACCTCATGACCCAGAACGCAGGGAATTGGGAACGTGAGTAACAGCTGAGGAGGGCTCGCCGTCCAAGGAATACCTGGTAGGTAGGGGCTCTCTAAAGATGCAAGTGTGTTAAGGAAACTGGCGAGGGAATGTGCCCGAGGCCCAAACACAGCTCTAGGTGTCTGCTCCTCCTGTACTTACAGTGCTATGCTGCGGATGGCTACTCCCATTGCCGCCATGAATGCCACATGCCATCGGGGTCGCCAAGGGGCCTCACCCCTCACCTACGGGCACACACCCAGGCAATACGATACACTAACTTACCCATCTACAGACGTTCACCGCCTGCTACTCCTCCTACCGATATCCTGCTCGTTCCATTGCCTACGGCTCACCTTGCACCCTGCACTCTTTTCAAGCAATACCATATACAACTTACCCATCTACAGACGTTCACCGCCTTCTTCTCCTCCTACTGGTATCCTGCTCGTTCCATTGCCTACGGCTCGCCTTCCTGCACTCTTTTCTCTCCCTTGCTTCCCTCCACTCGCCGCAATGCCGCGCTCTAAGGAAACCCGGGTTCACCGCACACCTAGCAAACCGCCCAAGCGCTCTTTCCTGGTAAAATTGAGCTGCATGACGGTGCCGGTACCTGCTCAGACGTCCCCGAGACCCTGCAAGGACATCCTTCACAACCCGCCACGAGTTGGCTTGCCAGCCCCAAACTCGGAAGCCTAGTCATGCCGGGTCGCCTCACCACGCAATGTCAAATGCACCCTGCTGGCTTTCCTAGCCGTGATAGCGTCAGTCTTAGGAAAGCTGGTCATCCCACTCGCATCGGTCGCATGCCGTACTAACCCACAAACGCATCGCTCCAACACACGCCTCACACACTCCCTAGCCACACTTCGCTCGAGTCGTCTTCTCATATCCACCTTCTCGCAACCAACATACACCATCAGCCGCCGCGCCGTCACCCCCGCCCCACAGCCTCGACCATCTCCACCACCTCCGCCTCCGCCACACCTCTCTCCCCATCCGCCTCCGCTGCCGCCGCCACCACCCCAGCCCCTGCCCCAGCCCCTGCCGCCGCCGCCAACTCCGCATCCGCATTGCGCTTCACCGCCCCCAGCGACAACAACGTCTCATTCAGGGAGTTCAGCGTCCGCATGTCTGCCGGCGGGAACACCACGGGCTGCCATGCAGCCGCGCCGCCACCTCCACCTCCCAGCCGCTCCCCGATCGCACTCAGCAGCCCGCCTAGGCCGCTGAGGAAGCCCGGCAGCAGCCCCTCCTGCTGCTGCGGGGGCTGCTGAGGCGGTGTCGGCAACAGCCCTTCCGCGGCCGCTAGGTCGTAGGCGAAGGTGAAGGCACGGCGCAGGTCTGCGGGTCCGGCGCGGATGGGTGCTGCGAAGTGGCAGGGGATGATCTGGCGGAAGTTCCAGTCGGTGCACATCTCCTCCACCCACTCCACCACCTGCGGCAGGAGGAGGAGGAGGAGGAGCAGGGGTTGGGAACGCACGGATTCGCCATGGGGGGAGGCTAGCATACACAGCAGGCTGGGGGGTACGCTTGGACGGATTGAAAGCAAGGAGGAAAGGCGGAGTAACATGCCTTGCCCTTGTCCCTGCTTGCCCTTATCCACCATATGCCCCCTCGCCCCCTGACCCGCTGCCTTACCGACTTGGGTATCTTGTTGTATACCAGCGTCTGCACCACCGGACCCACCATCAGCCGCCCGGAGATGGCGGAGAAGGACTCCTGCGGGGAGGTGGAAAGGGGGGGTAAGGGGTACCACGATGGGGTACGACAAGGGTAATGTAGGGCGAGCGGGCAGAACAAGGAGCTAGACTGGGTAGCATGCAAAGCAGGTGTGGTCAACGGAGAAATCTGTAACCGCGCGCCCTTGTCTGTCCGAGCCCCTACACGTCCGCAGGCCATGCAACAAGCTGCACATGCGACCCCTGCATGCGCCTCACGGCCCCCGCCTCTCACCCCCCCGCCTCTCCTACCTGCGGCAGGAGCAGGTTGGAGGGGTTGAAGAACAGCACCAGCAGGGCCATCCGCTGCCAGCCTGCGGGGGGTGGGCATGGGGAGGAGGAGGGAGGGAGAGGAAGGTAACGGAGGGGACAGTTGGCTGCAAGTTAATTCGTCACACCGGCATTCCTCAGCATGCCCATCGCCCTCCCAACACCCAGCCTATCCCTCCTCCCGCTGCCCTGTCCTCCAGCGCATCCTTTGTCCCTCATGCTGCTGCCCCGGGGTCAGCACTTCACCGCGGCTTAGTTGCACCCTTCTCCTCCCTGCCTCCCCGCTCTCTCACCCTTCCCCACCCGGCTCGCCCTGCTCCCCCTGCTCCCTCCCCCCGCCCCCTCGGCGCGGCTGCTGGCTACCTCGATGTACTGGCGACGCTACTCTTTCCCTCCCTATCCCTGTTCGCTCTGGCTTCGGTAAGCCTTCATTTTTTGGTAAGTGCATTACACGTACTGGCTTCGCTAATTCGGGTTGGGCGGGTCGGGCTGGCTCACATGTTGCAACCCATGTTGACGCCTTATCCCTCAGTCAGTTAGTTGTTTCCTCTTTACCCCGCCCCCTCACCCTTCCTCCGCGCCTCCGGGCTGTCCTCCACGGGCCCCGGCTGCGCGATGCGGCGCACCTCCTCCGCCGGCAGACCCCCCGCGATGGAGCGAGCCAGCAGACCGTCGCGCGCGTTCTGGAGCAGCGCGTCAACCGGGATAACCTGGGGAGGCGGGGGGGGAGAGCAGGAGAGGAGGTATTCCAGCAGGAGCAGGAGGGGCATGTCGAGCGGGATGGCCACAGTGGCTAGAACCCAAGGGGTGGGCACGAGGTCTGACGCCCTTTCACTCGCTGTGTATCGGTACCACCAGCGGTACCAGGGCGAATCCATGCCAAAGCAACCCGGGCCTTGCCGCTTCTGCAGCTACGGTACCACACATTACAACGCAACCCCCCCTGCCACGCGCCCAGCGGAAAAGAAGCATCCTGCCCTCCCCCGCCCCCCTCCCGCTCCCCCCCGCTCCCCCCCGCACCTCCGGCGGGTCCTCCGGCACGTACACCACCGCGTCCGTCAGCAGCAGCGAGCGGCTGCGGCGGTGGAAGAACGCCACCTCGCTGAACCGCACGTAGTCGCCCACACCTGGGCCGGGGAGGGGGGGGCAGCGGCAGGAGGAGGGGAGCGGAGAGGAGGGTGTCAGGCAGCAGTGAGAGCAAGCAATGGGAACGCAGAGGTGGTGGGAGGCGTGTTGAAGGCCCGGACGCAACGCAGCTCAACCGGCCCAACCGGCTGTCCTGCAGGCCTAGCCCCCCACCACGCCCTGCCCTGCCCCCCCACCAGAACCCGCACCTATGGACGGCGGCAGGAAGACCTTCTGCTCAATCTCATCTGCCCAGGGTACGTTGGGGTCCCCGCTGGTGAGCTCGCCGGCAGGGAAGATGCCGAAGAACTGGGCGAGGGAGGGAGGAGGGAGCAGGGGTGAGAGGGCAGGACGCAGAAGGTGGGAAAATGGTGGAAGGCCGTGGCGAGAGGGGTTTTTGCGTAGAGTGAGAGGAAAGGGGGAACGGGGCTCGACCAAGGGACGGACCACCAGGCTTCGGTGACCGGAGCAAGATACATGCCCCAGGTGAGCCGACCCGCGACCCACGGGTCACCACAACACCCACCACCCATACCTGGGGAGGCAGGTTGAGCGGGTAGGACCACTGGTACGGCGCCACGTACACCTGCACATGCACCCAGTACGGCAACCGGGGAAATGGGGGATACAGGAAAGCGGGTGAGGGTGGGCCCAAAGGCTGCGGCTAGGTTCCCATACATCATCACAGCCCTGCGCGCAGGGTCTGCGGGGCAATGCAAAAACCGTACCAATGACCTCTTGCTCCGCCAGGATAGGAGGTGTGTCCATGCCAGCCGCTACCCCCAACTCCCCGCTAGTGATCCCGCCGCCCCCTGCACAAGCGTTACTGTACCTTCGCCTTGGGGAAGCGGCGCGAGAAGGGCCCCACGAACACCTTGTGCTCGTACGCAAAGGTGGGCAGCACGATGTACTCCACCGGGGCATCCAGCTCCTGGGGGGGAGAGGAGAGGTAGGAGGAGGTAGGGGGAAAAGACAAATGAGAAGTGCAGCAACTGGAGGAGGTAGGGGGAGGTGGAGGACAGGGTGGAGGTTGTGGAGGGACGACAGGATGTGTCAGGAAAAAAGGAAGACCTAGCAGCAGCAGTAGCATTCATGGCGAGGACAAATGCTACTCGCCATCTTCCTACCATCTCACCCTTAGCCGGCCAACCTGCGCAGCAGCCGGCGCTAACCCGCCCACCCGCGCCTTCGTCGTCACCCCGACCAGTTACCCAAGATCCAACCCACTTCAGCCCTTTCCCCAGCGCCCCCTGCCCCACCACTTGTTTTGTGGCACCCTGCCGCTTCCTACCCATTATCTTGCCCCAACCTGTGGTTTCCTATGGTTCGGTATGGTCTTTGACCCCCCTGCCCCCACCTTGAGCAGGCGGATGCACTCCTCCGTGGGCGCCACGGGTGCATGCACCCACAGCCCCCCCGAGGCCAGCTTGATGACCGTCATGCGCACCGGCGTGTACACCGAGAACAGCTCCAGCGCCTGCGTCTGCTCGAACACCCACATGCTGTCGCGCTCCACCTGCGGAGGGGGGTGGAGAGGGGGGTGGAGGGGTGGGCGCGGGTGGATAGGGGCGGTAAGGAGGCATGGTGGGGAAGGCGAGAGGCGCCGGCAAGGTAACGAGGCATGTGGGTCGGAAGCTGTTCTTGGCCGGTCTGGAGGGCTCCTTTCCGACCCTCGAACGACGTGTTTTTGCCTCACACCTACTCGGCTACTCCGGTCCCAGCAACCCATGATAACTCTTGGGGCAGCTCCTGCAACTGCCGGCATGAAGTTCCGTACCCCACGTGGGGCCATCCCAGCTGCGGCCAACACTCTTCACCACGCACGCCCTCCACACGAACCTCGATGCGCACGGTTTTCCTCGAGAAGAAGGGTCCCAACGGGAAAGGGAAGCCAGTCAGGTTGAAGTAAAACTGGCTGCCCCCGGATTTGCGGGTTGCAGGTTCCTGCTCAGCGCCCTTATTGCGGCGAGCAGTGCTGTTGGTGCCCGTCCGCGGTGTGCGCACGGCTATGGTTGAATTGCCGCCTCGCGCTGTGGTCCCTGCAGCCTTGCCGCTACGCACCGTCCCTTTGGAAGCTTGTGTTTGCTGTTGTTGCTGTTGCTGCTTAGCTGGGGCCGAAGCGCGGGCCAACACAGTGGGCAACGACCGATGCTGCTGGATTGTCGCGGAGGCGACTTGCCGACGAGATGTCCGCTCCATGGCAAAAGCAGATTTTCGTGTTACGTGCATCTGAAAAGTTGTTACTGTGAAGTTCTGGGTTACAGCTTGCGCTGGCCGCTCGGTTTGCTAACAAGTAGGGCAATCGATGCCCAAGACCAATCGCGCAGCGCTGGCCACAGCGATATGACCAGTGAGCTGTATAACAAGTTACAACCAGAAGCGACCGTAAGCGCGGTACGATGCAGGTACAGTCCTCGGTTGAGCTTTAGTGGCTAAAGGCCTTTTGGGGGCAGTGACTAGGGCCACGGCCCAATTATTTTAAGCATAAAGATACACCACCTATTGTTGTTGGCGATGGCGATGAGCCGTTTTGGAAAAGCGACGTACTCGCGATTAGAAACAGAAGCTTGCAGATGGGCAAGCTTATAAAGCCAGGAACCAAGACGAAAGTCGTTCTTTCCAAATACGGTTCAATGTGATTACTCAGTTCTTACCTGGAACAACTGTTTCGACAGCACTTCTTTGCTTCATAGGACGTTAACTAACGCGACCAAATTCGGAGTGATCATACCGGTACAGCTTTCTCATCTGAAGAAAACATACATAGAAGAATCATTACAGAATCATGATATTAAAGTCCCCAGACACCTGCAGAGGACTGCATGCTCGTTGAAAAAGCAGTCTGGCTTCTCAAAGGAGCAGGGCAGTGTAGTAAGGATCTGTAATTACCATGACGACTACAAACGAGGAGGTTAACATCGAGCAGCTGAAGCTGCTGAAACGCATTTTCGAGGTATGCCGCGCACAGGAAGCCCGCAACATGCCCCCTAGCCCCAGGGCAAACGTAGATCAATCGCGATATGCTAAGAAACTGGGCAGAGCAAGAGAACATGTTCGGTGCCTTTGGGCTATGACATGTCACAGTAAGCATGCGGTCAAGGCCTGCCGCGATGCTTATACGCTAGCCTTCTCCCTCAGTCCGTATACGTGACTCACGCTCGTGGGTAACTTATCCTGCACACCAGCCTTCTGCTCTGTGTTTGCTCCTGCCACACATGGATGGCCAACCCTGGTGCTTTAGCCCGGATGTCTATTCGCTGCTATACTGGAGTTAGCACCTGCCCTTCCACTCCTGGGCCCTTATGCAATTACAGCGAAGCATGTGTAAAGCAATCCCACCGCCGCACCCGGACCCGCAGGAAGCTGATGCAGATGGCAGCGGTGAGCTGGACATCGATGAGTTCTGCGACAAGCTGGGTCCCTACCTGGGCGACGCGGTGGGGCAGCCTCTGCGTACCCGGGAGGACATCCGGCAGCTGTTCATGAAGATTGATGCGGATGCGGGAGGCACCGTGGACTGGTGAGGAGGCAGAGGGTGGCAGAGTGGCAGGGGGTACGGTACCGTGGATACGGAATACTGGGCGAGCAGCTAGCCTATTGAGTAACAGGCTGCATCATGGATATGGGTTTTGGAGGGAGGGAAGCATTGACAAAAGAAGGTGATTGCAGGCCTAGCGCCTTGCCTCACATGCTTTTTCTCACCAAACCCATACTAGCTTCCATCCAGCCCATGCCCTCGTTGTCTGGCAAAAGAGCGAACCCCACACCAAGTATGAAGATGTTGATACCGTTGACCCGTGCAGGGATGAGTTCACCAACTTCATGTTCCTGGAGAGGGCCCAGATGGCAGGGGAGAGCGCCAGCGAGAACTGGCGGCTGTTTCCGCAGGTCAGGAGGGCCCAGCGGGATCACGCACTGCTCGCCCTTTCCTTGGCCTCATCGATGGTACACCAGGCTGTTATTGTTTCTGACCTTTGTTTGCTGCCGTACAACATGATTGCGCAGGACTTTCGAGACCGCAACGACCCCAGTGTGACGCACAGGTGCGGAGTGAAGGTCCCATCTGGACCAGCTTGCCCTGCCGTACTCCCGCCGGTCAAATACCGTCTGCCCAACCGCTTACGTCTCCCACCCGCCCCAACCCAAATCGCCTGGGCGCCTGTTTGCACCTCTCAACCACCCATATGTATACATTTATAAATCCTATGCCCTCATCCCCACCACCCCTCACACCACCCCACCACCACCACCTCATCAGAGGCGCGGTGGACCGCGTGCTGTACTGCGAGGCGGTGGACAAGTACATCTCCTGCGGCCGCGACGGCACCTTCCGCCTGTGGAACGGCCTGGACTGCCGCCACTTCAAGACCATCAGCCTGGGATCCTCCTGGATCACCGACGCCATCTACATGCCCAACGCGCGCAAGCTGGTGTTCACAACGGCCGACAGAGCCATATCGTACTACGATGCGAACCGTGGGTCGTTCGAGCTGACCGGCCGGCTATATGCATCAGGTACCGTGCGTCCATTTGGGTCACGGAAGGATCGCGAATGAGGCTTTCCTGGAGGGTTTTAGGTCAAGCATGCGCAGGAGTAGGCCGGAAGCTTGGGTGCATGGAGGCGCGTGGAACGTACCCTAGACCGTTCACCTTGCCCTCATCCTAAGTTCCTGACCACGCCGCTACACCTTCCCTCCTTGCTTCTTGGACACAACCCTAAACTCTGCCCCAGGCGGCATGGGTGTGCCGCAATGCCTGACGCTGGTCACCAACGAGGCGGGCGAGCAGCTGGTGTACGGCGACTCCAAGGGGGCGGCCATCATGCTGCTGTGCGGCTCCAGGGAGTGGCCGGCGCGCGACCTCATCAGCACGGAGGAACACCAGGTGGGCCGGAGGGGTGAGGAGAGGTGGGGAGGGATTAGAGGGGTAGGAGGGGGTGTTGGCGCATGGAATTGGACACGTGCGCTGGTGTGCACCGCATCTGCATGTATGCCGACCCTCGTTTGGGCCTAGCTGACGAGCCTAGGAATGGCGACTTTACTGCTGACACACCCGTCTCCCCGGCCCCCTCGCCCGCCTGCTTACAGGACTACATCTACATCCACCAGGACCATTCCGACTGGATTAGCCAGGTGGGTGGGTCAGCCAGCAGCTGACCCGGCTAGGGGGGCCCAAGGCGCGCGGCTTTGCAGCACCTCACTGACCCAGATGACCTCCGTTCCGTTGTCAGCATTATCCTATCCCCCCCTATCTTATCCTATCCTGTCCTCCCAGTGCACCCTATCCCCATCGCCCGCTGCCCTACCCAGATCACGTGGGTCCCCGAGATCGGCCTCGTGAGCTCCTCGCTGGACGCCACCATCAAGGTGTACGACTTTGTACGGGAGCGCGTGATCAACACCTGCACCCACCACTCCAAGGCGGTGCATGGCTTCGTGTGGTGCAGGTAGGCGAGGAGGGGTACGAGGTATGTATGGGGTTATACTGTCTGTATTACCAGCATGCCACATAAGGCATGCGCAGCATGTCGCATGAGGCGCGGTTCCTCAAACTGCGAAGGCTGAGCCTGGACCGCGGCGTATGGAGCGGCTATCGCAACACGCACCAACCACAAGACATAACCCTTCGGCAGACCGCTTGCGGGTATCCTGGCTTAACCTCCAATCCCACCGTGTGGTCGCCTGGCCCGCAGAGCCTACTCCATGTTCGCCTCATGCGGGCAGGAGCGCGATGTCATACTGTGGCAGGGCAACACCATGCGCAAGGTGCGCCGGGGCTGGGAGGGATTGCGGGCGGGACCCGCTGCAGGGTGATGCCCCTTGGCATGTCGCCTTCCTTTCTTATCGGAGTACAGGGCGTCAAGTTATTGCTCCCGATAACGTACTTACGTTACGGCAAAGATGCCGCTGATGCTGCTGTTGGCCACAATATGGTCATGCCGCAAGGCCTCCTCAACAACCGTACAACCTAGCTGCAGCTGTCCTGCATCAGGGTCGACCCCCACCTCCCACCCCACTACCCCACTACCACCACCTCCGCCCTCGCGCCCCTCCCAGGTCGGCGACCTTACGGGCCACACCGCCAGCGTGTCGCACATCGCCCTGGACGAGCGACTCAACCACGTCTTCACCCTGGCAGTGGACAAGACAATCAAGGTAGGGCAGGAGCGGGGGGAGGGACGGGAGCTACAGAACATCCAATGGGGGACACCTCCTGAAGACCAGCTTTGCTTCTTCCGGCCGTAAGACCCCGCCCACTGGCAAGTGCGCTCAGCCCCTCCCATGCTCCATCCCATGCCCCGCGGGTCTGTCCTTCTCCTGCACACTGTGCGCTGTACACAGGTGTGGGACCTGCGCAACCACAAGTGCCTGCAGACGCTGACGGAGGACGACTGGCGGCGGCCCGAGGAGTGCAAGCCCAACTGCCTCATGTACGACGCGTCGCACCGGCGCTGCATCACCGCCATGTCTAAACCCTACGTCTGGGTGCACAAAATGGTGGCGCAGGTAGGGTAGAGGGTAGGGTAGGGCGGCACGGGGCTGAGGGAGTGGGGGGGTGACCATGCGGTTGGCAGCAGCCCAGTAGTTTAGCTGCGATTGGACCGATCCGTTAGCCATGCAACCATTGCGATCACCGCACCATTCCATTCCCCGGGAGTCCTCGTCTCTCTCGTCTCTCCTCTGCCACACCGGGCCGCCTTCAGACCGGCTAGCAACTCCCCCCGCCCTGGGCTGCCCGCTTCCTCCTGCACCCTCCCCGCCCCCGCAGGACCGCACCGGCCACATGGAGCCCATCCGTGCTGCGCTGTACAACAGACTGTTCGGGGTGGTGGTTTCGGTGGACGAGGGAGGCACCGTGTGCGTGTGGAATCTGGCCAACGGAGCAAGGTGAGGGGAAGAGAAGGTTTCCCGGGTGTGGGTTGATAACAGCAAACTAGATGACAAGCCCCTGGTGAATGAAATCGAGTTAGTCGAGCCGAACGTGTGATGTCGAGGCGAGGGAGCCCTCTTCCGTGCTTCTCGGCCCTGCTGGACTCTGTAGCAATTTCGAACTTGCAGCTGCTGCTGCTGCTGCTTATGCTCCGGCTGCTTGGCGTGTCCCCGACCCCTGCAGGGAGGGTCGCTTCACGCGCGCGCACGGCGACTCGCGTATCACCACCGCCTGCTTCGACAACAACGAGCGGCGGCTGCTGACGGCCGCCAACGACGGAGCCGTGCGCATGTGGAATTTCAACAACGGCTCGCTGCTGAGGGAGTACAAGCATGGTAGGGGGGGCGGGGCAGGGGTGGGGTGGGGCTCGGGAGTGCGGGTATGGGGTAGGGCGTACGGGTTGGACCTCTTAACACGTTGCAAGGGTTTTGCATGTAGGATAGACGGCTGGCTTTCATGCGACGTAGTGTCGCTTGGCATAGAGCATACCGGTTTGGCATTCCAATGCTGTACGCGACGCCGCCTGCCTCCTCTTCTCCTTCATCCTCGCCCTTCCCTCCCCGACATGGAGCTTGTCGTCTGGTTTGCATTCTCATTCAACTTTGGGAATTCTTCTTCCCCCTCCCTCTCTCCCCCCGCACCAGACGAGGAGGAGCTGGAGGTGTCCACGGTGGAGTACGCGGCGGATGAGAAGCGCAACGCGGACTCGGTGTTCGCAGCAGGCTGGAACTGCAAGGTGGGGGTAAAGATAAGGAAACACGAACTGTATGACGAACTGTATGCAAGGTGGGGGGGGCGGGCGAGGGGGGGGGTGCAGCTTGAGGGGTGATTGAGGGAAGTACCGGTATGATGGAGGTCCTGGTAGCGGCAGAGAGGTAGCGGGGTAAGACATAAGGGTATGGGTCTTTCTGCGTGATGCGGCCAGGAGTCCCGTCCACCTGTCTCTCCCTTCGGGACCCTTCGGTTAAGATTGCATTCTCCGGCCCCTGCCCCTGCCCTCGTCCGCACCCCCTTCCGCCACCCCCCCCTCAGGTGTTCGTGTGGGACGACATGGAGACCACCAGCGGCATGGTGAGCAGCGGGCCGCGGCCTGGCGGGGGCTCACGTGCATGAGCCGTAGCACGACCGTTAGCAGTCCCCCTGGACTGGAGGGGTGTTCCAGGGTTGTCCGTAGTCGTCGGCACTGCGCATACCTCGCTACCGCCCATGCCCTTCACCCTGTACGTTGTTCGGCGCCCTCCAGTCTTAATCCAGTCTAACATCCGAATAAAACCCACCACAGAAAGAAGCTGCAAACCTTCTTCAGCTTGCTTCACGCCCGCCTGCCCGCGCCCACCCCCTGCTGCTGCTGCCGCCCCAGGTTACCGAGTACCGCACGTTCGAGGGCCACCGGGAGGACATCATCACCATGGCCGCCCTGCCCGCCCGCCACCTGCTGGCCACCGGGGACTACGAGGGCAGGATCAACGTGTACCATCTCTTCACAGGTGTGACCCACGGGTCAGGAGAGCCTCCCGTGGTGGTAACCTATACCACCAGGGCTTTCTTGGGGTACAAGCATGTCCACACATCTTAACTGCATCATTTGACTTAATATCCCGGTTGCCTATTCCTGGACCAGCTTCGCTTCTCCTTCCCTCCACTTCCTTTAGGCTCTTCCCTTTCCTGCCTTCCTCACCCCCCTTTCCGCAGGCGAAAAGCGCACCTCCCTCTTCCACCGCGCCGAGCGCTACGAGTCCTCCGTGGAGCGGCTGTGCTGGCTGCTGCCGCCGCCGCCGCCCACCTCCGCCGCCCGCAGCACCAGCACCGGCTCCGTTACCTTCAACTACAGCAGGAGTGTGGGCGGGGGCACGTCGGGCGGCGCGGCGCGGAGAGGCTCGGGAGATGCAGGGACGGCGGGAGGAGGGGCGGGGGCGGCGGATGATGCATTCTGGGGCGGTAGCGGCGGGCCGTGCCTGCTGATCTCCTTTGGTGGCGATGGTCTGATGCGCATCTGGCTCATCGGGGCGACGGGTGAGTGACGGCTTGCGGAGCCATGGGGGCGTGAAATGGTGTTTCGCAGGGTGACCAGATGCCTGGGATACCGGTAGCACAGTGGATGGATGGAAACATGAGGAAGGCCAATTGTTATCAGTTACAGGTCCGTCTGATCCGCCAACAGCCCACGTCCCTGTCACACACCGACCGTCTGTTTATATCCCATTACCGCCACCCCTACCCGCCCATGCCTCCTCCCCTACCCTCCCCCCGCCCCTCCCCCAGGCAAGCTGCTTGCCACGCTGCCCGCCGCTCAGGGCCGGCTGGACGTGGTCACCGCCGCCGCCGCCTCGCCCGAGCACGACCACCTGGTGGCTGGCGACACGGCGGGTCACATCCGCGTGTGGGACCTGCGGCAGGGGGTGGACGTCAGCAGCATGCAGGTGAGAGAGGAGAAGTGAAGAGGGGGGAGGGAGGAGAAGTGAAGAGGGGGGAGGGAGGAGAAGTGAAGAGGGAAGCAACGGAGCCCCATTCCTCAGGAGGGGGGTGGGCCAAGGGAAGGAAACTAACCGTGTGACAAGGCTGCACCATGGCATCATAGGAACCAGTAGGGGGTGGCTGTTAAGATGCAGTCGTTTGGGTTGGGGTTGCAATCATTGAGTGATAGCAGCAATAAGGATGGAGACGGGTCGCAGCTCGCTTCTCTTCCTCTTCATGGCGTCGTCCGCCAGTGCAATACCAGCCACTGCACCTCTCCTCTCCGCTGTGCTTTCCTGCCACAGGCGTGTCGCGACTCCTTCCGTCAACGCGCGCACTGGCTGGCGCACAACAGCGGCATCAACGGCCTGTCCGTGGTTCCGGAGCGGTGAGGAGGGGCAGCTTGGGGGTGGGTATTTTGCGCTCCCCGAGCGGCGTGAAAGCATAGGAGCAGGTAGTTGTTGTCCGTAGCCCTCACACATACAAGAATATACCGCATATCACAAGCGCATACATGCCCACGTACCCTGTCAGTGCTGCTACGCGGCTCATTTGGATATGTACACATGCGTACTAAGATAATTGGCCGCGAGTACACATGTGTACATACGGAGGTATTCATACATTCCCTCGCCTCACCCTCTCATCCGCCCCACCATGCGATGTGTAGGGGCATCATCGTGGCGGCCTCCAAGGACTGCAACGCCTCTCTCTGGGACCTGGACGGATGCCTGGTGAGGGGGAAAGAGCGGAGGGATGGGGGCTGAGGAATCCCGAGATCCAGGGAAAGCGTGCATCCTCTAAGCCGCTGTGCTTCTGAACGGTGACGTGGTGTCAGAGGAAACGGCAGTGCGGCGGAAGAGGCGCAGAGATAGGGGCCGTTGTCGTACGAGTCCACTTGTCACCTTGAGAAACGCCGCGCTGAGCCTTCTTCTGTCGATCTGCGCCATAGAGTCCCGCCTTCCGGTCCCATGCAGCTCCTTGTCGCGCGCACTATTCACCTACCGTTAGGCTCCGCCTCCGTTCGCCATGTACCTTTATTCTCCGCTTGCACCGCTCCCCCCCCCCGCGCCCCACAGATTGGCGTGCTAGGGGAGCACAGCTGGCAGCTGGACAACCGCACCTCCTGGCAGGTACGTCCTGACGTGGTGGGGGGTACCTGATGCGTGCTGGGCTGTGCTCGGGGTGGCGGTGTGAGGGTCAGAGAGAAACCGAACCGTTCCGACTCCAGAGGGAAGCCGCAGATTAGGGCATGAAGCGTGTGCTAGCATTAGGGCGCTGGGGGATGGGGCAGGGAGGTACGGCAGGCGCCGGGGCCGCGTGGGGAGGGGTAAGGGAGGTATGGACGCGAGGGTGATGCAAGCGACTATCATGTATGCCGGTATGGGGCTCCTATGCCTTTGCCCATGCAATCCCGCACTGCGTCCTTGTCGTACGGCATACCCCTATCACCGCACACATGCACCCCGCCCGCAGGACCCCACGGGGGAGCGCCGGCGGCCGCCGCTAGACGAGGCCGCCAACCTGTACCTTGCCTCAGCCACCGCGGGCAATGAGGGCGGCGAAGAGGGCAAGGGAGCGGCGGGGGACAAGGGCGGCGCGGGGGCGGATGGCGAGGGTGCGGGCGAGGAGGATGTCTTTAAGGACTACTCGCCCATGCAGCGGGCGGCGCTAAAGCTGGAGGTGAGGCAGGGATGGGGGTTTGAGTGCGCCGTTTGGGGAAGGCATGGGCAAGGAAGGCCCTCAAGGGGGGACAGGACGGGAAGCAGTTGGTAGGGGTCAGAGCAATGGGGCCTGGCTCTGCAGCGTTCGCTCAGTCTGTGTTATACCGCCCCGGGTTGCGGTCATGGCGGGGCATAGCCGTTGGAGCTCTGAATTGCATGGCTCACATGCCCTCCCGAGCACAATCTCTGAGCTCGCCCTTCCAGTCGCCTTCCCCCATCTACCCGGTACCTCCCTCTCCCTGTTTACCCCTCTCCGTTTCCTGACCCTCCCTCCCTACCCTCTTCCAGGAGAAGCGCGGGCGGGCTCGCGAGGCGGAGCGGTCACTGCCGCTGGGCACACATTCGCTGCTGCGGGTGCACGATCTGCAGGTGCGGGGTCGGGAGCTTACTGGGCAGGGCAGGGCTCCGCCCGACCGCCCCCCGAGCCACACACACCGTGGTTATATCCTATGTTATCCCCCCTCCCCCACTCTAATATCTGGTTTCCTTCAGTATGAATTATCTCTCACCCCTCCACCACCATCACCATCCGCAGGAGGTTCCCTCCTCAGCGCGAGAGCTGCTGGGTCAGGACGTGCGCGCCAGCCGCATCAAGGCGTCATGGCCCGCTGCGCCCTCGTCAGGCGGCGCAGCAGGGGGAGCAGCGGCAGGCGGGAAAGCAGGCGGCGGCGGCGCAGTGCAGTTTGGGACGAGGCTTACGGGAACTCGGTAGCATGGGGGGGGGGGTAGAAGGAAGAGATGCAGTTGCATGTGTGTCCAGGTATGTCGGAGGGGCGGATAAGGTCGTGCAGGCTGTCGCGCGGTTGGGGTGGAGAGGCAGGACGAAGTCGGGTACTGGCATTCCAGCTGGCTATCAGTCAGTCAGCTGGGTCCTGGCAGGGCGTCTGTGTCTCTGCTGTAGGAGCAGGCGCACACTCCGTGAGGGGTGCGGGTCGCAGCGGGTGCGAGGAGCGGTGCTGCACGCACGCTGCCGGCAACCCCTCAACCCCCTCAGCACATGACGATACACACCGGACACCGCAGATACGTTCCTTGTTCGTACCGCGCGTCACAGCAAGTTCCTCACTTGACCTCATGACCCATTCATTATCATCCGGTGGCATGGCGGCACCATGGATGGCATGTGCCCACTGCAGCAAGCTCTGCATAGGGGAACACGCACGGGGGTGTCGCAGCCATGTGCATCTAAGGGGATGGCTTGCGGGCCACATGGGTTATAGCGCAGGCAAGGGGTCCCGTTGGGGCTGTACAGCGAACTAGCATGTGGAGGGAGTCATGTGCCAAGCAAGGTGGTCGTCCGGTGCCTACCTCTCTGGACCGTTCCAGTGTGTGTTAAGAACTCTGGCCGCGAGTAGGAACGTACTGGGTATGTGTCGCACTGGTAACGATGGAAGGCCTGGCGGTAGGCAAAGTGTCACGGGTTAAGCAGTCCGTTTCGCGTACCGGTAATATAAGCCGTCTTTGTCTCCTGGTGTCAGTCTATACTCGAGACGTACTGAGCGGATTGCGGTGCCCACTTGTATGGTGAGCGGGCGTTCTACATTTTTTATGCCATCCAGGATGCGCGCGTGTCTGCTTTGATGGGGCGATGTTGGACCGCATGCTGCTTGGGGGTTATTCCCCCTCCTGGTCGCCATTCACTTGTCGCGGAATTGGCAAACAGAACGGCTTGTGGAAAGCGTTAGCTGGCCTCACGCGGGAGGAGTAGCGTTGTCCGTTTAACCAAGTTCTCCAACCACAGCTGCAACCAAAAGCATGCACAGTGTAAAGACGTTGAACAAAACCAGCACGAGGTAAGCCGTACCGCCCAACGCCGTACATAAGGTCTACGGTTCTGTCATCTCTGCATGCCGTACATTTCAATGAACTCATTGGCATGCGGTACGACAACGCCATTGGTCCGAATTCTAGGTTCCGACATGCTAGCAACGGCAAATAATTTGTAGGGTACAAAAGCTTCGTCTCTCTTCTCTTCTATTGCTTGTTTCAACCTCTGTGCCACTCACAACTGTCAACGCACGGCACGCTTCGCCTACAGGTCGCCCTCTCACACATTCTTCGACGCTTCTCCCCTTTCTCGCCGGGCAAAAGTCCGAAGCTGGGCAACCCTAACCACGTTTCGACCAGATCTTCCCAACACCTGCTTTAGGCCCCTCAAATGATCAGGCTCACACGCGTCACAGCGGCCACCCAAACGATACAGATAGCGGTCAGTAAGGGTGGAAACGCTGCCTTGTGTACCGCTTTGGGTGCACGTCTACTGTAGCGAACAAGGTAAAAGTACAACAATACATAAGACGCGTCCATGCATTGACACATCACTAAATGGTTTCTCGAGCGTTCTCGAGGGAACGCGGTTTCCAGGAGCCCCCAAAGTCGGCACGTCCCAAAGGAACGAAAGACCGCAGACCCTGTTCGGACTAGATCAGTACGACGCGTAGGGGGTGTCGCCCCGACGACTTTCCATCCAAGGTGCATGCAGCTCTCCTACACTCCTCTGCAACAGTCGGCGCCGCCACCACCCCTCCACAACGCTGCAAGGCTTCCCTTTCCGCCCAACAAGGGCAGCGCAACGGCGTATCCTGCTTACTTGAGGCAATCCTGCTCCTATGTTAGCGTGCAGTCTCCAGGGCCTCTCCTCTTACCCTGAAGGCCATACGCCAAGCTTCATGCACGAAAGCATGGTGCAAAGCGACCCTCCGTAGCCCTCGCAGCTCTCAACCCTTGCATTCTTCCTCCCTTCTAGAACATCTCCACCCCTCCTAGGCCTAGGTCTGCACGCAGCCGCGCGCCTCCTACCAGGAAGCATCCCATCCTCTCTCTTCCCAGCACCCAACTCCGCCCTCCCCAGCAGCCCCCGCCCGCGCCCCTCCTCACGCCTGCTGCTGCTGCACCGCTGGCTCGGGCGAGGCGCCCTCCTTGCTCGCCCCCTTGCCCGCCTCCCGCTCCGCCTGCTTGCGGCGCTCTCGCTCCACGAACTCCCGCATCATCTCCTTGGCAGCGGACAGCTTGGACAACACACCCTGCGGGAGCGCAGGCGCAGAAGGGGGGTGGGAAACACGCGTGGCGACAGCGCGTGAGGCGACATCATAGGTCAGCAATGACACCAAGTGGCCTCTTCGGGCCCTTACAATATCGGAAGCCATACTTTTGGTGCACAGCCCTACCCGCACCCAACCTGCGAAACCAACTTTCCCCCTCCCTCCCATTCCCCTTCTCTCCGCCTCTCCTCCGCTTCCTGCCCTAACATGCGGTTTCATTCGGTTCCTCCCTGGCCCCCACGTACCTTGTACAGCAGCAGGTCCCGGTTGACCGCCTCCGGCTTCACACCCACCGCCCGCACCAGCCGCTCTAGCGCCGCCGGCTCCTTGGCGCCCGTCAGCTCCAGCAGCCGGAACAGCCCGATGGCCACAAACTTGTTGTAGGAAAAGGAGCCAGAGGAGGAGGCGGAGGAGATGGAGGCCAGGGCTTTCTAAAGGGCGGGAAGGAGGACGGGGGAAACGGAGGGAGAAGAGGGGAGATGATCGCTGGGAGAGGTTGGGAACTGTGAGTTGAGGTGTGGGCGTTGGGGCTTTTGCAAAAAGCCACTCTGCTTTCCTCCCGGGCATTTACTTAGCCCTCCTCCCAGTACATCACAGGATGCGGACCTGCACGGCGTTGCCCTCAGCGTCTGGTACGAGCGCATCCGGGCCTGCCATGCTGCTGGCAGCCTGCTCCATAGCAGCTGCATCGCGCTTGTATGCCACGGGATCCTCGCCTAGTGCTGTAACGTAGGCTGAGAAAATAGCCGAGCGCTCAGACTCCGGCAGACTCTCCAAGATCTGCTCATACACGCTCACAAATCCGAGCGCGTATACCTGCGGTAACACAAAAATGCCACAGATGTAGTGTAATCCTCATATTCCTTTGTACATATAGGTGGTGTTATTGCAAACAGCGCGCGCAATGTAAAAATGCAAGTCGTCACTGCGACGCAAAGGGCGAACTAAGCTACGTAGCCGAGCGCACCTCGTTGTAACAATAGTTCTTGCTGTAACGCATAAAATGCTGCTGCACCAGCAGCTCCTGGAGGACGGTATTGTAAATGCTGGCAATCGGCTTGTTGTAGCCCTGAATAAACTTCGCCTTTGTCTCTGACACAGTTGGCGGTGTAAACGCCGCTGCATACGGTGTAGGTAAATGTAAGCGAACGCTCGCGGTGCCAAACTCCTTGCGCGGCTAGCGCACCTGCCAGAACTGGGGTAGCCACAGCGCGCCCAACTCGGCGAACCACGCGCGCAGGAGAGGGCTTGGCCCTGCATCCAGACAATGTAATTCAGGCATAGCGCTTTCACAATAGTGTGATTGCCTAGTAGCCACCTTTGAGCGACAGCCGCGGCCCCCGCGCGGCGCTGCAGAGTCGAAAGCACCATTCGTTTGTAAGTGTTTCAGTAGGGGTCCGGCTGTGCAAGTATCGCTATCAAGAACAGTAAGGACTTGTAAGGTAGAAATATTGCGTAAGAAGTGGTTTAGCGTGACGCAAAACCTGGGGCCATTGGCGCGACTGCCGTATCTTCGCTCCGATGCCTTGCTTAGGTCGTGATGCGCTCCGATGAGTCTTTCGCAGGAAGTACGGCATAAATATTGATTTTCCTTACCGCGTGGTGCTCCCAAGCTTCCAATTGTTCCAACTTCTGGCGTCTCGCTCCAGAACCAACATCTTTTCGACCTTCTTGTCATTCAGGGGCAATCTAGCTTTCACAACCAAGGTCGATTGCAACGATGGCAGCCAGTACTATCTCCTGCGGCGCTTCAGTGTTCCCGTCCGGGCTTGCGCGGTCTCGGCCCACTCCCCGCCGGGCCTCTTACATGCAAGCTGCGAGCAGAACCGTCGTCACGAGGGTGCATAAATCTGAATCTAACACCAGTAACTGCCGGGATCTCAACTTCGGTGAGCAAGACTTTGGCACTCGGCACCTACCTGCCCGGCAATGACAGCGTCCCTGTTGGCATTTTCATGTGGATGGTTGCTATTGTTGCAAACAGACATTACAAACTTGGTGGATCTTGCATCTGCCTTCCCGCGATTACCCTTGCTCAGCGCCTAGCGCTTCCACGTTGTCGGCATGGGCGGTGTTGGCACCCTTCGCCTTGACTGCCGCTGCACATGCGGATGAGGCCACGGCTGCCGTCACCGAAGCAGCTGGATCCGGCGGATTCGGCGCCGGGGAGGCTGCGCTGCTGCTAACGCCTGTTGGCGTGTATGCACTCTTCAACATCTACCGTGAAAAGGTTAACCCCAAGGCTTCATTCCTGGTGAGCGGGGGCCTCATCAATACAAACCTGCTACCTCTTTCCCTCCATGGGAGTACCAGATTGGCTTGGTCTGGCCCATTCCTTGTGCACGACCCTCCCGCATGACATTTGTCACGTCGTCCATGGCATCTGACCTCCCCGGCCGGCCCTCTTCCAGGACTACGTCTACATCATGGTGTTCCTGGCCATCGTCGCCAACCTGTTCTCCATCCTGGTCTACAAGGTCCGCTTCTTCTAAGGCTACATGTGTGGAGGCGGTCGTCGAGGCCTCCGTCCATGGAGCATGGCTTTCCGGCAGCACGCAATGGATGGTGTAAGCATGTGCGCCGGCAGCCGTGTGGGTTTCAGCATTTTGGCATGTTGGTTGTTGTGTTGGCACTTGGCAGGGTGTATGCGTGATTCCTAAGGCTACTGCGCATTAAGGCTACGGCGCATGAGACGTACAACTGCAACCGTACTAAATGCTGTGTTGCGTCAAGGAAACGGGGCGTAGGGAACATACTGTGTTCGCGTTATTTGGACGCTGTGATGTAAAGTGGCTTGTCACTGATTGCTGGTGGTTCGTGTAGGACTGAAGAAGATATTGGCATGCAGGTGTTGGGCAGGGGCTGTGAGGTACACGAGTTCTGGGGTGCTGCGGGTGGGCCGGCGGTTGCCTCGTTGATGTTTCTGGACGGTTTCTGGTCGATTTCCTGTCGCAGTTCTGCAACTGTGGCATGGTGGCGTACATGCGTGCGACATCCCCCTACACACAAAGGTTTGTACCCGCCGCGGATTATCGATCTGCACATGCTCCTGTATGACGTTAAGGAGTGCAGCGGCACTTCAGCCGAGCATGTAATGTGTTGGACCTATTTGGCTGGACCTATTTGGCTGGACTAAATAAATCCAATGACACCCCCGGCATTTTTCGCTACCGAAGCCGGAAGCGGCTAGGAGGCGGCAGGAGTGCATCCCGGATCTGGGACCTTTGGGATCATGCATATGCTGCTCGTGCGGAGCTCCCCTACCCCAGCAGCGATCTCAGTCAGTCAAAGTGAACTATGTGAAGCAATGGAAAGGGGGCCACAGGTGTTGCGCAGATGGATCACATCGAAGCGCCAGGACTGGTAGCAAGATTGGGTTTGGTAGGGCATTGCTTGGCGTACGACGAGCACCGACGTACTTCTTGAGTTCTGCGGATCAGTGCGAATCGATGGAAAGCCACCTAACATAATGCTAGCGTTTATGTAGCACCAGGCTCTGCAAGCATTGTAGAAACAACCGCGGATGCCTCATCTCAAACGATAGTTTGTCAACCTAGGTCATCCATACCTGCGTTGCGCGCTTACCTGAATTAAAAATTCAATCTCTAGTTCCATTGTAGCCGTCTGCGCGTGCAGCGGCCCTGCGGCTGCAAGTCAGTCGCTCAGCCTAGAGAAATGGCTTCGCCGTGAGGCGGGCCGCCCAGGCGCCAACTGGGCGGCTCGCTGCGAGGCTTTCAGATAGATATGGGCAGCGGCGATGTTGGTGGCATGTTGGCGGTGTCCGCTGTGTCCGCTTCCCTGGGCGGCCTGGTGACGGGCATGGCTATCAGCGGCCGCCTTTTGGACACCGAGTTCGTTGCTCTGTCATCCCATGGCGGCCACCACCTGTTCATAAACCGTATCCCGCCGAGGCTGCCAAAGGAGGACGTCGAAAAAATCATCCTGGCACAGCTCCGCTTGCAGTTTGTTCTACAGGTTTCTAAGTGCAGCGTTATCCCGCAAAACAGCCTCAAAAATAAGGGCTATGGCTTTATCACGTTGGACGGATCGCCAACACCCTCCGACCTGGATGAAATTGCAAACTCACTAAACAACAAGCTGCAGGTAGGCACGTTTAATGTTTTAGTGTCCTTACCCTAGCGTTTAGTCTAGCTCCGCAACCAAGGAATCCGACTCCCTTTTGACTTCCTGTAAAGGCATCAAGAGGGGTCTGTCAGGAGGGGTCGTTTAGCTGGACCTAAACCTTTCTCCTGACGTTCTTTCCGCTCTCGCCTGTTCAGGTCGGCTGTAGGACGCTTGGTGTTCGGGTCTGTACCGATTGCCATAATGCGTTGCTGGGCGAGGATGCCGCAAGCGCGTCTTCATCTTCGCCAGACTCTTCACCATCGAGCGAGCCAGGAGGATGCCAGTCGCCAGCGGGTGGTGACCAAATTACTGCAGGCGATTTGCAGGTTGTTAAGGCTGCCTTGGAGGATGGTTCCAAAGCACAGCCCCCGCACCCAAGTCCGCCACAAGCGTCTTTGCTGCAGTCAGCTGCTGAAGAGCTGGCGAAGCAGTCTGATGAGGAAATTGCAACACGCTGTCAAAAATCCGCCAACGGTGAGCGGTGCCTTACCCTGACTGATGGCATTAAGCAGCAGCAGCCTCACAACCGCAACCAGCAGCAGTGTCGGCCATCCAAAGTGCTGGGCTGCAAGGGCAGCGTGGGTGGGCCTCGCAAGCAGCCCAGTCCACGTAATGGAAAGGCAGACGCTGCAGGAGAGGAGCTCTTGTCGCTTGCGGTTGCGGTGCCAAGCGCCGCTTTGGACGAGGACTTGGTGTCACGCCCGCTCGTAGCACCTGCTCCCCCTAGCCCCTTGCTGCTGCTGTCGCCTCCGGCCGGCTCAGCCTCGCAGCCAGGTGAGCCGGCACGGCGTCCGGCAGCCTCGACAGGCGCAGGGGAAGCTCCGGGCTTGGGTGTCGATGCATCCTGCTCCCGCCCTCAGCCAAGCGAAGGCTTTGAGGATGCCAGGGCTGGTGGTGAGGCGGCCATTGCGGCGGCAAGCACGGATGACGCTATTTCCGGGGCGTCTAACCACGGCACTGGCGGCAGCACTCATCCTTCAAACAGCGCAGTTTGTCCCTCTCCCGCGACCGGCGTGGCTGTGGCTCGCGCCCGGCATGGTGGCGCAGGAGCGCACCCTCCGCAGCAGCTGCACGCCCAGCGGCAGCAGCGGCAGCGCCAGCATCCGCAGCAGCGACAGCAGCAAGCACAATTCCGAGGCGTCTCGTCGGGCGGCTCCGCTTCTGCCCGGGATGCGCAGGACGAATGTACTGCTGTCAGCAATAGCAGTGGCCCGGCACCCGCGCAGCTGCCGCCACCACCGCAGCCGCCGGTTTTCCAACGGCACTCGTCGCCTGCGACTATAGGACCGCCGTCCCTGCCTCCTCCCGTCTGCCAACCTCCACTGGCATCGCAGCCTCAGGCTCTCACCCAGCGGCAACCGCAGCCGACTGCCCAGCAGTGCCTCCCATTGCCGCCGCCTCCGCCACCGCCGCCTGCGCAGCAGCAGCCGGGGCCTCATCCGCATGTCCAGCCCTCATTGCCCTCGGGCGCAAGGAGCGCGGCTCGGTCGCTGCCATCTAGCGCCATGCATGACGGTACAGGTTCGGCAGGGTCGCAGAGCCGAGGCGGGCGGGGACAACCCTACCCTACTGGCAGCCAGTTGAGGCAACCGTCCCAGCAGCAGCAGCCCCGCCAATCCCAGCAGCAGCCGCAACCTGCATGGCAGCCGGTGGCGGGCCTTGGCTGCGTGGAACGTGGTGGGGGCGTTGAGTCGTATCCCTCTGCCTCCGCGCGGTGTCCCTCCCGCAACAGCACGTCGTCGTCCGCGGCACCGGCCCCACTGCAGCCACTGCTGCACCAGCCGCATCACTACCCCAAGCAGCAGCCACTGTACATGCAGCAGCAACAGCAGCCCCAGCACCACCACTCCGGCACGTACTGCGCCAACGCTAGGCCGGTTGGGGCGCACGCTAACACTGTCGGTCGTAACAGTGGCAGCGGTGTTGCTCCTGCTGGTGATACGGGTATGCCGTACGGCGGTTTTCGGCGGCTGTCAGCGCAATCATCTGCTCCAGAGCTAGACTACGGCTCGCCGTTTCTAGGCCCTCAAGCGGCTTGGACCAGCAACGGTGGTAGCCGCAATGTTAGCGACGGTAGCGGCGGCGGCGCCAGCAGCGGCAATGGCATTGGCGGCTGGAGGGAATCGGACGGTGCTTCCGGTGGTGTTAGGGGAGGAACTTCGGCTATGGGTCAGGTTGGGGACGCTTCCTCTCTACCTTCCTCCCACTCAGATCACTCCAAGCATCAGCTCCAGTCGAGATCCAACCGCCAGCTGTCGTACCCGCAGCAGGTGCACCCACCGCCCCAGCAGCAGCCTCAGCAACGCCTATTCCGGCACCAGTCGACCCCCTCAGGACGGCCGTACATCGCACAGCACATGCAGCTGCCGCCCCAGAGGCCGCTGCATCCCCAGCAGCACCCGCGTGCAGGCCCGCACTCGCAGGCCGTGCGACCCCAGCAGCACCCGCAGGTGCAGCCGCAGGCGCTCGGCTACGGCCCAAGGCGCAGGATGTACCCTCATCAGCAACAACCGCAGCAGCCCTACAACGGCTCAGTGCCGCGCGTGCAGCGCTACCAGCAGCAGGACCTGCCGGAGTCGTGTGTGGGCAAGCAAGAGCACAGGCTGAGCAGCGGCGATGGCAGGAGTAGCGGCAGCGGCGCGCCTGTGAAGATGGGCGCTAATGCAGCGCTAGCACCGCCTGCGCCGCCTGCCGTGCCGGCAGCATCCTCTGGCTGCTTTACGTCTTCTGCTGGGCCTGGCTCTGCCTCTGGGGCTAAACAGCAGCACCCCGTTGCAACTTCCCCAGGTACGTCTCAGAACTGGCCATGCTGTGATTGTCGGAAATGTAAGTCCCAACTGAGTAGGCCACGACGTGTGTACGCGCGCCTTACGTGGAGTGGTAGTTGTAAGGGTAGAGTCCCGTCTCTCGTGTGTGTTGTTACCTAAGCCTTTTACGTAGGCCGCCCCTCGCTGCAGCAGTGAGTGCTGCGCGTATTTGCCCCTTCCCATCCCTCTGCTCCAAGTGTAGCTACACAGAATTCCCAACATTCCGTTATGAACTTCCTCCGTTACGCCCCAGGCCGACGCGTGCCGAGCCACGTACCTCTGCCGTCCTCCGCCGTACCTCCACCACCCGTGCATGGTGGGTGGCTCACGCGGAGCAGCATGGACCAGGGCGACAGAGACGGCTGCCTGGGCAGAGCAGCGACAGAGACCATGCCGTCACTCACCGACATGCTGCCTTCGCACCCACCGCAGCCCTTTGGAGGGCCGGCGATGCCGCTGGGACTGCCGCCGCGGCAGACATGTACAGAGGAGGCAATGGCGGGCGGCGAGGCGGTATTGCTCATGCGACGCGGGAGCTCGGACGGATCCAGGCAGCGCGATCTGGATCTGGGCACGGATCTGGAGCTAGAGCTGTCCGATTCGGCAGAGCTGAACCCGCTTCACCTGGAGCCCATGATCCTGCAGCTGCTGGAGAATGAGGACGATGACGACCTGGTAGGTCCCGCGCTCAACCCCAGCAGCACCAGCAGCAGCAGCTACCGCCAACGGCACCTGCATGGGCAGCCGGGAGGACACAGCCAGCAGTACCCCCACACGCAGCAGCCTCGTCATCCGCAGCACATGGCCTCAGCCGCCGCAGCTCGGCATCAGCACGTGAACTCGGAAGGCTTCGGCGGCAGCAATGGCACGGGCACGGGCACCGCCTTGAGCAGCAGCGGCGTTACTCCGTTTGCGCAGCTGTCGACCGACAACAACAACCACGGCCACCAGTTCGGTCATCAGCACTACCACCACCAGTATCACCTCTTCCAGTACCATCAGCACCAGCAACGCCAGCAGCAGCAGCAGTTCATGTACGGCAGCCTGCCGGCACGTGGTCCGGTTCCCGAGCTAGCATCCTCCTTGGATTTGGGGCCCTGGGCCCTAGGCCGTTCCAAATCCGTATGCGGGGACCCAGACTATGCTGAGGATGATGCTAGCTTGGCTACTGCTGCGGCGGCGGTGTCGGCGGTGCCGGCCGTGGGAGCTCCACACTCCACGAGTGGGGTGACGGCAGCTTCTGCGGCGGTGGCCCTGTGGGCCGGTGCGCCTGCAGGGCCCTGTGCGGCAGGTGCCCTGGCCGGCGCTGCAGCTTCTAGGGTCGCAGCATCCGACGCAGCCAGGGGCGCCTGGTTTGGCAACCGCAGCTGTGGCGGCGGCAGTGCTGTGATGGATAGCAGCAGTTGCACTGGCGGCAGCGGTGCTGGGCAGTTGGCGATAGCAAAGGCCGTACCCGCTGGTAGTGAGCTTTTCCTGGGCGGTTCCCGCGCGGTTGGCGGAAGCGGCGGCTTCGGATGCTTTGGAGGCGTCGGGCTCGGCGGGGGCGGTGGTGGTGTTGGCTGTGGGAGCTTCGAGCCGCCCTGTTTCCTGGCCAGCTCACTGCCTAACCCCAGCTTGTTGGCGGTCATGCAGCGGTTTGATGCTTGACGCGGCATGGCGGTTGGGTGCGCTCCGCGTGATACTCTTTGTGGTTGGTTGCACCCTGGACTAGAGGCGGCAGGGTTGTTGCCTGAGGCTTTGCAAAGGTTTGTGAAGGGTGGCGTGTCTAGGGGGTTCGCGCAAAGCTAGTTGAGAAGAGAGGAAGGGTTGACTCACATTGAGGACTCTTTGCTGTAAGAGAAGACGTGGAGCCATGGTTTTGTGACTCTTGTTGCGGCCGTGTGCATGGCTTCCCCGCGATGCTAATGGCGATGTAGCTATTGCTCGATGTTGCTGTAGGTTCGGAAACACAGTAGTCATATGAGTACATAAGAAGCGATTTGACGAGGGCTTGGTTGCCGGTTTCTTGTGCCGCAACTTGCCCCTGACTTTGGTCGTGGACCGCAGTGATTGTTCGTAAGCTTGGCCGCCTGCTTCATTGCTGACAGGGGGCAACCCTGCGTGGTTGTTTCCACGAATGATTGACCGTTACAGTGGTTCCCAAGAAGAGGTCAGAGGTTGAGGAGTCGGATAGGTGGCGATCGTATTGTTGGGGCGGGAGTTAGTAGGCTTGCAAGTGGCGCATGCCAACTTAGCTTGCAGTCGCGGGTCTGTTGTGCCTTGCGCCTGTAGCCTTAGGAAAGGAATATGAACCGGGTACGTTGATTCTTACGTCTGCTGGTCGGTTTATAGCAAATTGGCTGGTGCCTTCCTTCTGTTGCATCGTCCGTTTTGCGATGTGAACAGTTGGGACGCGCCGTACCTAAAGCCTCCTTCGCACCAGAAGCTGTGGCAGCGGTGAGCGCTGATGTAGGGGGAGCGCTGTTGGTCCTGTTGGGCCGCCGTGAGGGGGCGTGGCGCCTGCCATGTTGTGTATCTTGGCCAGCTCCAGCATGAGGCTGCGGTGCGAGTTTTGCCCGAAGGTTTCTTGTGCCGAAGGGCTGCTCTGACGAGCGGTGTCGTGTACGGACCTCAAGTCTCTGTGCGGCGGCTGCCAGGCGTTTCTTGTGCGCCTGGGAGCCGCAGCGTTCGTGATCGAGACTTGTTGAAGTGGGTGCCGTCTTTTAGACGCGTGTATGCGCTGCCCTCCTCCGCCTGCTACCGAGGTCTGAACTAGGTGCGCGCTGACGAGGATGTGCTGACGAGGGGCTTTTCGGTTGAGATGGTGGCCGTTAGCACGTTGCGTGCACGGCTGTGGTAGCATGTTGGGAGACGTGTCCCTCGGATACCGGATACGTAGACAGTGGAACGGCCATGTTGGGTGGATGACGCAACACGGCGGTTGAGTTGGCACGGTTTCGGAGGAGGACACTTCATGAGGATTGGGTGGGACGAGGGTTCCTAGGTTTTCTTTGCTGCAAATGCTGCAATATAGGAATCCGTTGGACGGCTCATCATTAAGGCCTGGTTAACTGCCGAGTAATTCTTTTTGGCTGTCACTTGCTGTTTTGCGTAGCAGCTAGACGCGTCTGCTGCTGCTTCCTTGCTGCAGATAGCCAGCTCTGCTAGTCGCAAAGATTGACGACGCTTCTTGTTTTCACGGACGCGCATGTTCGAGATCGCGTTTTAGATAATTTTGCATGGTGCAGGCAATGAAGATCGAGTTGCGTTGGTCGTTGCCTGCTGTAGCGGATTAACGGTGCAGTATGGGCTTTTACGCAGATGGGGAGAACACAGGATGGTTTCGGACTGTCAGTGACGATTTGAGATGTTATTCAGGCTTAAGGTTCGTGGCGTTTTGTTACTAGAAAAGAAGACGGGGCTTCATTTGCGGCATATACCGGTAGCTGGAGGTCTGTTGCCGCCTCCCATGCTAGATCTAAGCTGCGATCCCCGTACACGGCTTCCCCCTTCATGGCTGTCTAAACCCTGGTCCTGACATGGCCTTACTAATTGGTGGATGGTATTCGCAAGACCTTTGTTGGTGGTTTATGTTTATAGTTGAATAGCCTGGCATAACTTTTTGTTAGCATTCCTGTCACATTGTGGCGATGGTTTGACGGGGCCCTGAAGTTCTAAGGCCCCGGTATGTAGTTGCCAGTGAAGCCACAGCAGGTGCCATGAGACAGTACGGTTAGTGGTGGTGATATACTGTTGGGTAGGAGTTGTCAAACCAATAGGATGCGGGGCGCCTGGGGTTAAAGACGCTTGTCAGTTGCTTGTCATTTTGGAACGAAGAAGAGCAAGGACGCGTCAGGCGGCTTAAGGTGTAAGAACGGTGCGCGGGGCATTAATGGTACTCGTTTGCCCACACTTGAGTAAAGAAGAAGATGTCTAGGGCTCCGGAAATTGCGTCAACGCCGCTTAAATAACATGGCGCTGTCGCATAGGCTCCTGTTTGCGTATCAGGATGTCAGCTTTCAAACTCAATACTTGTACGGGACCGTACTCTTAACCCCCTGTCCGTACTACCGTAGCATCTATCCAAGGCTCGATTATTACGGTAACCGGGAGTACCGACCAGCACGGAACAAGATACCGGTAAGCCCATTCTGGCCAAACGTTCGACGTGGATTCCAACAGGGCGTCGACCGCCCTACCCAAGATGCGCGCCCTGCATGAAGCAGGAGGCCGTGCCAACCGGAAGGTCCCAAACCACCTACACCAAGCACCCCGCCTGAACATCACAGAGAGCCACAAGGCCCCGTACCGACAACTAGCTGCTGTGTACGCGCTGTGTGTACGGCAGAGCCTATATCCACTACGCACACTAGGCACAATGAGAAACAACCGCGCGGATCTTGTGAAATGGGTCGCCATGTGACCCACGGGTCGGTCCAAAGCATGGCCTTGTATGCGGTTGCTCATGAAGCCTCTTAGAAACACCCGGGACAGTGATAGAGTAGTATGGAACAATCCAAGCAAGGCACCAGTTTGCCCCACGTCTGAGATATCAACCACAACTTAACTCGCGAAGAGTGAGTGATCCGTCTTTAGAAACTAGGGTTGTTTTGTAAGTAGTTAGTCCACTGAAGCAATTTGTTCATCGTATTGGCCTTGCTTATTTGCTTTATGGCAACACAAACAGAAGCGGTTGTGTGGTTAAGGCCGCATTTGTCCCACCAACATGTGCTAGCCCTGTAAGCGTTTGCCACAAAGATATATTATTGGCCGGCTTGACTGAGAGCGATAGACAGAATGTGCCAAGCTAGCAAAAGGTTCCAAGGCGGGTTCTCGGAAATGGCTGCCGTGCCTTTGGACGGCAGCTCCATGACGCAAGAGGTCTTTTCGCCACGCACAGGAATTTAAGTGAACTTCTGCGGTCTCGGCATGGGCCATTATTAGCCGTGGCGTTCACATACGAGGATTGGTGAGGGTACCAAAGCGGCAAACCGCTCAGATCAATTCGCTAAGCACCTTGCGCTTCGTGCAGCTGGCAGGGCAGAGCAAGTGGTTAAGTGGTTAGCACTCAAATGGCTAAACAGACCCACCGAGCTCCAGAGCTGCAGGAGCAGCTTGATCCGGATATTTGGCGCGACTTGCCGCCCGAGCTTTTGGTCCCAATTGTGCGCTGCCTGCCAGCAAACGAGATTGCGCTCAGTGGCCGTCTCATAAACAAGGCTACTGCTGCGCGTTTCAATGGCCCTCAGCGCACCACCGTGCGGCTGTCGCAGCCTTCTCCCCCGCCCGCTTTCGCACAGCACTGGGGCCGTCCGGGCGCCATGCGGGGGCTGACGCGGGAGAAGCGCCGGCAGCTGCTGCGCCTGACCGCCTCCTCCGGCAGCCTCCCCAACCTCCAAGTGGCAGCAACCCACGGGGGCTGCGTCCTGACAACCCAGGTGCTGGAGGCAGCTGCAGCCGCTGGGCAGCTGGAGGCATGCCAGTGGCTGCTAGGTCAGGACTGCCCCTGGGGTGACGCTCTGGCTGCAGCTGCAGGGGCGGGGCGGCGGGCGGCTTGCGAGTGGCTGCTGGCGCATGGCTGCCCCTGGAGCGAGGACGCTGTGTGCGCTGCGGTTCGGGGGGGCCATTTGGGCCTGATGGAACGGCTGCTGCAGCAGCGACCGGAAGGGGTCGAAGTGAACAACCCGTGGCTGCTGGAGGCAGCTGCGAATGGCTGCGACCTGGCGACACTGCAGCGCCTGTACGTTGTCTGGCGGGGAGAGCAGTTGAAGCCGAAGAGCAAGTGTGACATCCTGTCAGCCGCTGCCGGCAGCCCCACCCCCGACTGGCAGGACAAGGTGCTGTGGCTGGAGGAGCGGGGCTGTTCTAAAGACCTTTATGCATGTATTGCAGCCGACAGGTGCTCAGATGCGCTTAGCCGCCTGACCTGGCTACGGCAGCGGGGCTACCCGGCAGACGGGTACACGCTCGTTGGTGCGGCAGCGCGGGGCGACGTCGCTGTACTGGACTACCTGGTCAGTGAGGTCGGGAGTGTTACGGACGTGGATCGAGTGCGGATTGCATCCTATGCAGCGCGGCATGGCCACCTGGCTGTCCTGCAATGGCTGCACACTCGCCTGGGCCTACATGAGCCTTCACTTGCCATCTATGATGCTGCTCGAGGCGGGCACCTTGGGCTAGTTTCCTGGCTGGTGGAGGAGGTGGGGGCGCGCATGACAATCGGCATCATTTGTGCAGCCCAGTCGGGCAACTTGGAGCTGCTGAGGTGGCTGCGGCAACGCGGCTACCCCTGGGAAGGAGGCACCTTCAGCAGTGCTGCAGAGGGGGGCTGCGAGGAGGCCATTGAGTGGCTTGTGGAGCAGGGCTGCCCCCGCGGGGTGAGCGCAGGGAACATGGGAGGTTGCTGAAGTAACAAAGCTGTTTGGGAGGTCAGCAATATGCACGTAATCCACTTCAAATCAAGCCGACCCGACTTGTTCCCTGGTCCCCGCCTCATGACACCCAACCAGCATGCTTCCCTCCAACCCCGCAGGCAGATGGCGGCGCCTACAAGGTTGCCGCACGCAACGGCGACCTGGCCACACTGCGCTGCCTGCGGCGCCTCGGTTGCCCCTGGGGTTCCCATGAGACCTTCACCACCTGTGTCGGCGACCATTGCCCCTTGGAGGCGCTGCGGCTGCTGCGGGAGCTGGGATGCCCCGTGGACTGGGAGGAGGCGGTGAGGGAGGCGGAAGACGGTATGCATCGGTATGTTGGCTACCGACGGAAGGTATTGGCATGGCTGCGTGAGCAGCAGCAGTAGCAGGACCAGCAGCAGCGGTAGTAAAGGTCTTCAGTGTAAGCATGTGTGCAGCGCAAACAGCCTCGCCGCCCAGTGGCGGGTTGTTGTAGCGTAGAGTTATGACATTAAGAAAGACCTGTTGTAGAGCTATGTGGCATTAAGAAGTGATTGAGGGGTTATGGGCGGCAGTGCAGTGCAGTTGCTTTCAGCTGCTGTACTCCATGCAAGGCGGCATGGCTCGCTCTTGACCTCCTGCATGTCCTAATGTAACACTTGCATGCACCCGTGTGTCCGAATGGCAATATTACTAGCGGCGGTGAGGTCGATGCCAGGAAAGGCTGGCTTGTTGTGTTGAGCGAAAGCTGCTAGGCTGAATCGGTAGTGCGCGCTGTTAGATACAGGTACCGGTAGTGGGCGATCTGGAAACTGGTTGGATGCTGATGTACTACACATGAAACCGGTGGAGGACTTTCTTGACTCGGCAGTACAAGCCACATCTGTTGCCATGTAAAAGCATTGCCCAAAGATCCCATCGCGGCGCCCATGCAAATACAGCACACCTGGCCTCCCAGGCTGCCCTATCGGTACAGCAGCTAGCCCCAGGAAATGTGCTGTCGTACCTAACAACACAACCCACCACGGACACTGCAACTTTGTACGGCATATCGCTGCATGTACGGCAGAGCGTTTGTGCGTTGCCAACCATGTAAGGTATTTAACAACATAGCTCGGCTATCAGCTCAAGCACGCTAGCCATCCTCTTCTCAACACCCCCCGATCAACCAACGTAAGCACTGCATCACCGGTACCGCGGCCTCCACCCCACTGCAGTGCTGCTCCTCATGCCCTGGGCTTAACCCGCTGTGCCTGCAGGTGGCTGCATGCGGCTCGTGTTGCCACGGTCGGCGCCGCCGCCCATGCCACTCCCGCCCATGCCACCGCCGCCCATCTTGCTGCTTGCATTCATGCAGCACGGACAGCCCATGCCTCGCCCAGCTCCCAACCCAGGCCTACTCGCATTGCGCATTGCACAACCACCCCAACCGCCGCTTCCATCTCCCATGCAGGGGCATCCCATGCCCCCACCACGACAACGGCAATGCTGGCTGCGAGGCAGGTCCATCCCTGCGTGCCCCTCCATTCCTCCACCGCTTGCATTGCCACCGCCCGAACGCAGACCACCCACATCGGTGGCATGCAGGTACCGGTACGAAACCTGCGACCGGTTGGAGCCAGCAGGAGCCCCCAGCGGCGGTTCGCCGGCAAGGCTGCCCCTGCTGACTTCACCGCCCGTATGTGTTTGCTCCAAATTCCCAACATGACTCGCGGCCCTTCCGCCTCCTTCTCCTCCAGTCCCACCACCTCCTCCCCTTCCGCAATCCAGCCCAGGCGGCGCTACCCACGCAGCGCCCGCAGCCGTCCCGTCGTCATCAGCTGCAAGCCCTCCCGTCAGCGCAGCAGCGGCTGTCTTACCATCCGCTTGGCTGCCCGCCGCCGGGCTGCGACCCGTGGGTCTCACCGTGAAGAACATGAACATCCCGGAGGCTGAATGCAGCTCGATGTGGCAGTGGAAGGCCCACACGCCGGGGTTGTCAGCTCGGAAGCGCACCAGGGTGTAGCCAAAGCCCTCCGGATGGTCCATCATGTCCCCGGTGTCCTGCGTGCAGTTGCAGGCAGATACCGTTAGTAGTTACCGATGGTTGGAGAGCTGCGGCATAGATGATAACGACCAGGGCTTAGCAAAGGAAGCCCATGGCAGCCACTGAAGGCACGGCGGGATTTTGTGATGCGAGGGTTGCGACCGCCATGGAGGTCAGGTGGCAGCCCCTGGTCCCCAACTGTTGAAGGACGAAGGCGCACATGGGGCCAACCATGCACCTGTGCCATGCGCGCGTACTGGGGGTTCACCACGGCCCCTTCCCTAATTCAAATCTTCACTCCCAGACTCAGCACCTCCTACCTCATGCGCGGCCCCCACACTGACGCTCTGCGGCACTGGCGTGGTGTCTCGGAACACCGGGTGGTGCAGGTTGAAGGCCACGGCGCTTGTGTTGACCGAGTCGTCGCGGGCGTTCAGGATGTTGCCGTTGCCGCTTGCTAGCACCC